GCGCTCCACCATAATTATATTTCTCTTGGGGAGCGTTCTTCTTCTCCCTTATGCCTGTGTTTCAGTGAGTTGCTGCGTCTCATATTACCCGCAGGCGATATCTGCTGAAAGTATGAATTTTAGATGCACAAGTTTATGGATGTGCTCCTTGTTCTTCGATCGACCAGTAACTAAAGTGCGTCCGCTTCAGCAGTAAGTAGTGAAATAAATAAGAAAGAGGCAGGTTGCCAGACAGTCGGAGCCACCTCGGCGCAATCGCTATACTTACAAAGAAAGACTACCGGTAACAAAAAATTATCAGCTCAAGAAGTTAGTGGAATGTAGTTGAGCTCGTGCTCTCTATGCTAATGGTCATAGTTTTAATTATGTTCTTCCCAAAAAACAGAAAGCAGTCCGATTCTATCTGATTTGCGGCGTTTATTTACATCGACCACGCACAAGCACAAGTAGCCTCGCGTGGTACTATTCTGGTCCCTCAGCGTTTGCTGCAAAAGCAGGCGTGGAAGCCACAGTAGTGCCATAGAAGGATGCCAAATGTTAGAACTATCAAAAGCGCAAACGTCCTCCGCGCTAACACTTTATTTTACTCAGTCCGCCCTGGATCTTCTACCACTAATTCTTCGAGTTATGACTGGGCCAGTCAGTCGAATGTCAGACCTCCAACTTCGATTTTGAACGGCAAGCAATCGGTGTATTTAGTTTTAGTTGCAAATGACGCGCCGAGGTTTGGTAGCGTGCGCGCCTCCTTCGGTAGCAGTGCCCGCGACCTCCGCCTCGTGCGCCGTCGCCCCTGCAGCTTCTCGCCTGCATTATCGAGAAGTCAGTGGCGCCGCCACCAAGAGTCTCGTAGTAGCGGCGGCGACTTCTCCCAAGCTAGATGCAGAGGAACCAAGTCGCTATCACTCGGCGGCCCTAGTGTTAAGTACACTATGTCCAACCGCCGTAGTGTCCATAGGCATCAGCGGGACAACCCTGGGTAGGGGCCAAGCAGCTACAGACGGCCTCTATTATTGCAGGCGAGCTCATCGGCATCTGTGGCCCAAGGGTAAAGGCGACAGTAAAAAGACTACTCTATTGCTCACATACTTCTTTACGACAGCCGAAAACTAGTCCTACGCGTCGGCTACTCTTGCAGGCTGTTGCTTGCTGAAGGTGTCCGTCACGGCGCAGCTAGCTCGGCACTATCGCGAAGAAGCGTCACTCTGTAGTTAACGCGGCGGCTCCGTCGAGTGAAAAAGAGCACACTGATTCGCACAGATTTAATTGATTTCTCAGCTCCCGTTTTGTTGTGACTGCGACGGTATGTTCTTCTGAAACTGAGTCTATAAATAGGCTGCTACCCCTTCTTGTTCTTTTGTAAAAAAAAAAACGACAAGCAACTGCCTCGGCGCGGATTATGCAGCCACTAGCACTTGGCCGGCGTTCTTTTATTATTGGAGTGGCCGTCCGCCCGTGTAACGCTCGTTACAGGATGGCACTGCGTTCGTATCGTGGCTTCTGAACAACATCGGGCACCAGAGTGATGGCCCCCTTATCGTAGTTGGGCTGCCGTGCGGGAATGTCATCGCATCGGTCCAAGTGTCTGCGGGCACAGAAGCTGTATAACCGTCGGCATCGGAAGACTGCTTGCGCGCCGTGGGCGCGGGCAAGCGATCGCATTGCATTAGGGTGTATATCTCTGAAAAATATGGCTGGCACGTTTTCGCCTTTTGCGCTGGCATATTTGTCGTCGGTTCAGGCCGGGTGTGAGCCTGGTGCGTGATATCGCTGCAGTAGCCATGCTAGTCACCTGGGACTGCAGACTTTGCTAGCTCGTCATCTCTACAAATGCAAGCGATCGACTTATATATAAATATTACGGCTAAGGCAGAAGCTCGGTAGCAGCGCGTGTTTTTTGGTTGCCTCCAGTAAAATGCCACAGGATCCGCCCCTGATCACTAACCAAGCAAAAAAGGCATCAGAGCCGCGTCGTCTGCGAAAAGCAAAAGAATTGAAAAGACACCAAAATGGGCTAGCTCTGACCTTTTTACTTCGCGCAAGGCAAGTTCAAATCGTTTTCTTTATTAGCCCACACAATGGCGTGGCCTGCGCTACGCCTATCGGAATGGATCAGGTTCGCCTTTCTTTTTGTATGTGAACGCTTAGAGCAGTGAACTTTGTAGCAGCTACCACCACAAGCGATCCGACGCCGGTGTTGACTACTTGATACGATCTAGCCTCGTAATTCCGTGACTCCCCGATCATTAATAAATTGGACCGATGTGCTTTGCACGACGTAACAAGCCGACTCTGCAGCCATCCGCCCCCTGTTGTGCGATGGGCGTGCCCCTTTCTTGCATTTGAATGGATCGGATCTAGATCTGAGCTGCAACTGCACCAATTCACAAAGAGGCGCGCTTTTTGATAAGCGTGAATTTCGACTAATTGAGATTTTTTTTATAACTAAGGGCCCGCAGCACTAGACGCTAGGGCCAGGCCTAGCCTCCGCCAGGTATCCCGTCGGCTATGGATGCCTGCGATCCAGCCGAAGGCAGCGCCCGAAACTGCTTCTAAGATACAGACTCGGACTTGTTTGCGACCTGCTGCTCGGAAGCTGAGGGCGGCCGCCGATATACTATTCATTGGACCGGCCAAAGCTAAGTAAAGCCGGGCCGCTCAGCGTCAAAGACCAAGTCCGAAGTTGTTGCGCCGACATTCAATGAGCCGGGACAAGCTCGGCCCCGCATTCAGGGTATCCCCGCACCCACCGGTTGGGTGTTTCCTCGTCCTCGCCCGTGGATTGGCAGCTTGAGGGTGTTTTCTATCGCCCTGATTTCCATCGGCTGCTTCGCCGGTGTTCGTGCTTGTAATAGTACTGCGCGAGCTGCCCTCCCCTATATTAAGAGCACAGCTACTACAACACGCACACGCGTGGGCATTTGGGTCTATTTTCTCTGCATTTTCTAGCCGTTGGCTAGCTCCCGCTGGCTACAGCCAGCGCTAAGGGTCGACGGCTCTTGGATTTTGCCACATCAGCGCGCGTAGTATCTTATTTGGCATTGCGACTACATCTACGCACATCCTTGCATTTTGCATGTAGATTTAGATTTAATCCTTACAGGCGAAGCACGCACATAAAGAAGTCAGGGGGTTGGATTACACTCGCCGCGCGGCCCCGGTGGCAGTGTGAGCGCTCGCGTTCGCTGCCGCGCATTCGCGAACAGCTGGTCGTTGCCGCTCACCAACGTCGACGACTGGTCGCATAGATGTCAAGACAAGAAATCGCTTTGGTTCAAGAAGGGTCGACTTGTCGGCCGTATTGTATTTTTACGCGGCGCCGGTCTTTCTGTTTCTATGTTAGGCATGACAAACGCCCTGGGCTTTATCTTTACATGAGTCACGAACCCGGAAGCACTACGCAGCTCGAAGCTCTGAATTTTAGGCATGGCGGGGGGATGCGCATCCTCGCTCAAACAACGCATAGAGAAACGCAATAGACAATGTTAAGACCGCCGACAGCTTATAGAGTTCTGTCCCATGATAGTGCGGGGAGTCAGAGCCTGTGTATGTATTTCGTGCAACACATTCCAAAGTCGATCCTTTGAACCAAAGCGACCCCATACCGGATGGCGATCCACGATACGTGCTGGACATTTGTCGTTCTGCCATAAATTGAATTCTTTGGGCAAGTTCCTGGCAAGTTTTTTACAAGTTCTTCACTCCGTACATTTAGACCCATGCTTTCGGAGTAACAATATGGATATGATATATCTTGATCCAATCGGAATCGAAAAATTTATGAGTCTCATGGGATGAATTGGAATGAAAAATCTGAATGAAAATTTTTAATTTCCGAGTGGATCTCAGAATTTCAAGAGTTTCTTTCATTCTTTTTTCTTTTTTCAAGTGATCTCTTCCTTGGATTTCCATTGGAATTTTATTTTTTTTCAAAAAAGAAAATTAATTTTGAGAGTCGAAAAAGAAATATTGCAATGTCAGAAATCGAATGATACAATCGAATTCATGAAATAATTTTCAAATGAGGTATTCTCTTCTGATATATATTCTTGATTTCAGATTTCGGAATATATATAGGATCTGATTATTTATCAGAGAAACATATATGCCTATTTTTTAAAATTTTTCCATGATGAGATTCGGGATATTCCATGTAGAATATTCCGAAAAAATCGATAACAGACACAGATTTTATGAAGTTTTTCAGAAAAATTTTCAATAAATAAAAAGAGAAAAACAAAAATCAATTTTCATGGATGATTTCCGAAAAACAATTTTTTTTCTCCCGATATATTTCCAGAAATCGAGATTGTCTGTCTTCATTCTCATCATCTTGTCGTTCTCTCAAAGATAGATTGATGAAGAAATAATAAAGTAGTATTGAAAAATATAAAGATGTACTTTTTTCATTGTCATAATTCAATTGAGAAATAGAAAAATAGTCTCCGAAAAATAAAGATTGTCAGGTTCTGGTTCGAGAATCAAAAATTATTTTTTTTCGATATCCAATTCTAAATTCGATATCCAATTTCCAGAAATCTCGAGATTCATTATATCATTTGAAATTCTTCTCAAGATTCCGACTCCGATATCAATCCAGAAAGATCATGAATCCCAGATTCTATCCAGAAAGATTTTTTGTAATTGATGGATCCAAAAATTCTCGATCATAGGAAAATATAGATTGAATTTGAAAAATCATGATGAAGAATCATCCATTCTATCTATGAATATGAATCAATACACAATATTTATTCCACCTCTCCCTGATCTCATCGAGGAAAGAAGAAATCATTGATTCAGAATGAAGATCATCATAATCGAAATTGGCATCAACATCCTTTTTTCAACAAATAAATCGAATATTCCGGTGTTTTTGATTTTCCTAATATTCCAAGATTGTCAATATGGGATCAATAGTTATCTTATCACCCGAGAAATGTTGATCGTCCGCGCATCTTTCATGTATAAACTTTTTGTCTGAGTGACAATTTCGTTCTGTATCTGCTCAATTGGAGTCGATTTGGTTTCTTTTTCGTCTATTTTCATTATGTCAATTTACTTATTTATGGGCCTAACATGGAATCAATGATCCAAGCGGCAGCTGTGGATTTTCTTCGTTTGTGAATATTCCGACGAATCTCGGGAATAGTTGCATGGATTTTGCATCCGTGTGCACTATCTTTTCTACAGGTCGGGTTGCCGGAGATTTTTCATCTTCATCCGAATGGTTTGCCCGATTCGTCTCCTTATCACATCTGTTCGTAGGTGGAAGGATGGAGTTATTTGTGCGCTTCAGTTTTTCCTTTTCGTAAAAAAGTTGATCATTCATTTGCGGCATCACCAGGATGTAGTCCCGGGGTGGTGTGGTGTGTGGAGTAACATTCGTCATTTTCGGTCCTGCTGCGGGACCGGAAAAGTTGTTGTTGACCACAATCGTTCGTGGCAGCCACGCATTCAATTCGTTCAAGCGGAGAAAAAATTCCAAACTTCGCGTTGCCCGCTTTTCCGAATGTTTGGAATCGTCCGCGCTTTGTTCACGCGGCGCTGTGTTGCCCGATTGTGCAGAATGATTTTGAAGTTGACTTTCATGTGATTTTTCGGTCAACATGTTGGTTCGACTTTTATTCGTGTCAAAAAGAGTTGTTAGGTGGTCAATGACGCCCTGTGCCAAACGAGTGGCCTCCGCTATATCCTTATTCGCTGGCGTACTTTTAGCAACGTCCGCATCCTTTTTGATAGGCGAAGCCGGCTCCAGTGGTATGAGTTTCTTCATGTCTGCAGCAGTGTCGACGTCGACCGCAAAGTAAACATTAGTCGGGCAGAGCTCAGGCGCCGGCGGTTCTTCGATAACAAGATCTCGCTGCTGCATTATGGCTCCCTCGGGCCGCATTTTGAGTGCGCACTTCTTAGCGATCGCGACAAGCAGCCTGTTGTCGGTTGTGTCTTTCATCTGCTCTGCGCCAGGTGCTGCCAACAGTTGCGAAGATCCGGTTACGTGTTGCGGAAGAGCTAGGACTACGAACCCTTGCGGAAATTGGTAAGCCAACGCGAGAAGATACACGAGGCTGTTTGCGGCTGCGGCGCTCGTCCAGCCTTGTTCTGACGTCAGAACCACCACCAAAACAGAGTTTTGGTCGCTTCGTTGTCGCTCTTGTAGGAGATCAGTTACGATCACTGCATTATTTTTACTGCTGTTGGCTCGTTCTTTGTCAGTGGTTTTGCATGTCCCGTTCGTGTCTGCGGAAGCCTTGGTATGTTCCTCATCTAGCTGCACCGTCACGGGGAGAAGTTCTCTGCTCGTGACCCGAAATCTGTCCAAGTAGAGAGACGATGTTGATAAGTCCTCTCTCTTGATGCGCGGCTCCAAGTCCAAAGGCGGCCGCGGATTTTCACGGTTCGAAGTACGTGGATCGTTTCTTGCCGCACCCAAGGTCTTGTCGTTCTCCGCGGTTGCAGCAAGAGACTGTTCGTCGGTGCTCCTCAAAAATACTGCGTCCTCATTTGAATGTGAGTGCGAATCCGAAGTTGCAGATGAGCGGCGTATCATTTCTATCTGTACAAGAGGTCGTGTGGAGGATGGCAGTGCAGGCGCTTCGCTTCCGCTTGTTCTCAAGAGTCTCACGAGCCGGCTATGGGTCACTTCGGTGTTGGTTGCAGCCTCCCGATCAAAAACTTCAGGCCCCGCGAGGACGATGTGCTTGCGGGTCGTTTCAAACGCCGTTTGGAAAAACGAGCATCTTGCGCCGGTTGTGGCGTCTGTCACATGATGCGTGGTTGCGACTCGCTTCCGCTGTGCGATGGCACGCAAAAGAAAAGAGCACGCGAGTTGTTCTAGTAAAAGAACGTTTTGTTCCTCAGGCTGGGGGCAGAGCATGCCGTCGAGAACAGACATCGTAAAGCTCAGCTTCGGCCGCAATATCTTTATCCGCGACACATCCTGCAATCTCCGTGCCGCTGCATGACGCCGCCGGCGGTGGCGTCTTCGAATAAAAGCCTGTAGGATCCGAGCAGCTGTGCACTGGCGGTCGAAAGCCAACCGTGCTTGCCTCGCAAGTTGTCTGCACTTACAGCCTGCCCATAGGCGTTGAATTCTATGCGCTGCGCGTCGGCAGCGGCGCTCGCGAAGGTGGGAAAGCAGAACAGTTCGCATCAAAGTTTGGATTCGGCGGATCGCGATCAGGAGCCTGCGAAACTGTCGGTGTGCAAGCTGTATGTGATTCGTGAGACAAAAAATTCGGCTCAGTCCGATGCACGATGCGCTAGTATGAGGCACGTCAGACCAAACGAAGAAAAGAACTGATAAACTACTTTGCGAAAGGAAGCAAGGTCGTAGTACGATACAAAGAAAGGGAACAAGTTGCACGGTATCAAATCTAAATCATTGAAAAATTCATACCCGCGTCGCGCAGAACCTTTGCAGGGATATCAGCGCTGTCCGTACACGTCTGTAGTACATCTTTGCACAGACCATGCGGTACGCTGCCTGGAGTCGACTGACACAAAGTCGCACAACGCGAAAGCCTCTTCGGACAAGCATACCGCGAAAGTCTGCCTGTATGCGGATGGCCGATCGCTGACGCGTTTCCAAAACAGACCGCGCGATGGCACCACGACAGTGCGCTTGCAGCTGCACGATGCCTCGACGCCAACGGCGCACCTTGCGCACGGCATAAAACCGACGCCACGCCGTTTGAATCGTAAGCGACGAGTGCTTGCAGGCGTGAAGTTGGGCGCGTGCGAGATAACCACGTACGACCCGCTGCACCAACACGGCTTGGGAATCGGCAACCTGCTGGATGTGGTTCTTCAAGATCGTGCGAGCCCGACACCCACGCAGCCAGGCCTGCAACCGAACTGCTGCACCGTACTGCAAGTGTGCGCGACGGGCTGCGAAAGTTAGGCGGAAGGCAAGTCGTCGCTTGTTGTCAGTCTCTGCTTCATCTTCCCGTGAAGTGGTGCCACCAGGGCTTCGATCTTCACGACCTGCCTCTCGTTCTTCTTCGGCGGAAGCTCCAGCGCTGCTGGACCGCTCTTCCTTTGCCTTTTGATTTTGAGGCCTAAAATGCCTCGAAAAATCCACCGCTCTGTTGAAGTGTCCCGGCGCCAAGCAGGGACTGTCTACACTACCGTGCAGCTGCATGCGGTCGTGCATCTTGTTTATTCCGACAAAGCAAACAAACTTGCGCGCTAGCATTCCTCGGACGCGCGCTTGAATGGTTGAAGCTGCTGCTTCCCGAATGGCTGGATGAGGCAGAGGCACTGCGCGATTTCGGTAGTGCTTCACCTTTGTCGCAGTGGAAGCGATTGCACTGGTGCGCCGCTGTTTGTCACCTTGCTGTAAAACGACCGCTGCATCTTCATCGTGATGCTCCAGCGCACGCTTTTCTACCATTGCAGACGCTCCTCTTTTTGAGAAACCGCGGTCGTCCATTTGGCTTGGCGCAGGTGAAGTCGTGTGGTAAGACACCGATTTTCTTTCAGCGTTAGGGATCCGTAGCCTGCTACCCGGACGGGCAGAAGGGCGGAAGAACGTTGAGTGAAGAAGGCTTGTTCCCTGCCCAGCTGGTGCTGTTGATCTCGTGGAAAATCGGTGCGGTGCCCCAGGCGCAGTTGGTGCGAAGGTGGTCCGCGAAGGTTTCGACTTTCTGGCGTGCGCGGCGTCGCTTTCACTGTCCAGCTCTGGTGATAGCAGCAGCACGCTGCGACGGGAGGCAACTGCTGGGGCCATTCTATTTTGTTTCTCTGCTTCGACTTTTGCCTGCAGAGCTGCACTTTGTCGATCATTCGGGCCTCCTCGCCGCAGATGGGCAGAGAGCGCTTGTTTCTCGTCCTTTTGTTCGCACCGCCTTCCGCCTTTATGTGGGTTATTCGTCGAGCTGCTTCCTGCAGTCGCAACCTCGCTGGGCTGTAGGCTGCATTGGCTGGTTGTATGTTCCCCGCGCATTTCGTTAGCTACGCCGCGGTCGGATCCTAGCGTTGGGACAGGACGCAGTTTAGAATCAGACGGTGGTATAAGGCCGTTAGCGTTAGTCCGGGCGAGCAACGTTTTGGCTTTTTCGTAGATCATGTTCGGTCGAGATATTACATGTCAAAATTAGCCTCGAAACCCAGCGCCGCGCAAGCAGGTATTACTACAAGTGCACTGACTTCTACTAGATGAAAGAGAGAAAGTCTTATGATCTGCCTGTCGATCCTACTTAAAACAGACCGCCTGATCATGTTGCTGTTACATCTTTCTGAAAATTGGTGGTTCGGGCACCACCGTTGACTGCACCCAGCAATAATTAAGAGTTTGAAACCGTAATCACTTGTTCATCTACTTCGTCTTGGAGGCAATGGCAATCGAGGCGAATGAATGTGACATCGTTTTCCTCGCGTAGTAGTTCGTAGACGTCCAATATTCTCAGAACTTCCTTTGCGTTGGCAACGGCTTGAGCGTGATCGTGGGCTTCCTGGTGCAGGATCGACAGATTGTAGAGTCCGACACACAACCGCTCTGCCAACGTAGCTTGCAGGAAAGATGAATCGATTTGGAGGTCTTGATGCCAACAAGAACTTCTATCGCGGGCTGATTTTCTTGTTGAGCTGCAGAACCTCGAGCCGGGAGAAGACGTCTGCCGCTGCTCCCGGCGGATCCGCAAGAGACACGCTCGCACATCGTCGCACGCGGTTTCGGCAAGCCGCATGCTGCGGTCCCTCTCGGCCGGTGGCAGGAGAGCCGCTAACGCTAGTTCCACCCTTCCGACGATGTGTAAAAACTCCTGCAGCACGGTGCCGCGAAGATCAAGATCATCACGCGGTGGACGACCCTGTTGTATTTCATCAAGTTGCTCGTCCGTGGATGCATTTGCGTATGCAGCAGGCGGATCTTCCTTTTCGATCGCATTGCGGTACATAGTTCGGCACTTCTGCAGGATTGCGTGCGCCCGCTCCAAGTACTTCGTTGCAGCGTAGAATTTGTGGTTTATTCGGTAGTGGATTCCGAGATTGGCAAACGTGATAATGCGCAGTAGCTGCAACTCGGTCGTCTCTTCTGCAGCCAGCACAGGCGGGGCGGCATCATCGGTCTTTATTCCAGTGCGACGTCGGCCGGCTTCCACTTGTGTGTTCTTCGTGCTCTCCGCGGTCAAGGCATGATTAGCGCATTCGCGTTTGCTGGCTGGGTGAGAAACACGAGCCAATGCAGAGTTTGCTTTCAGTAGCAGCATGGGCTTCACTTGCTGCAAGTCCTCAAAGGAGGGCCCAGTCGAGCCGGCAAAGAATAAGCAAACGCGAACGAAGTAGAAGAGCGCCGAGACGTAGGAGGCCGTTAAGAAATGTTGCAGGTGCGCGTGCCGGGACTCCAGCGCGGTCTCCAGCTCTTCCACTGCCGTCAGCACGACAGATAGCTGCATCCGGGCGAATTGCTTCCGCTGCACTGCGAGCAGCAGGTCAGAAATCGTTTTGGCCGCGTTTTGTTCCCTCGCCAAAATGGTGCGCTCCAGTAAAGACCTCGGGTCGTGGTCTGCGGGCGGCGATTTCTCTGGTAGAGAAGGTGGGAAGGAGGGCAAGGCTACGGGTAAAAAGTCGGGCAAAAAGATCTGTCGCAGCTGCGGCGCGACAGGAGCGTGAGCGGGTGCCATCTTGGAGTTCTAAAATGTCGACCTTGTTTCCTGCGGTAAATGCAACTAAGTACGGAACTGAGCGCGAAGTCATATTTCTCCATGGTTCAACATTTTCTATAAGAATACTCAGTCCTCTGGCAGGTGCATCTCTCAGTTCCTCTTAAGCATTATTCATTGCACATGCACTTCGTCATCCGTTTCGTCCATACCGGATTTCGATTTTTCCCAGCATAAGCTTTACTCTCTACTTAATGCGCTCCGACTCCGCGTCCGGAAACACCACAAAAGATCTTTGAACACGGAAAAGGACGAAAGGAAATCACGGCGTCGCTTTGCCTTTGTCGCTTTCCAGAATGTCTCGATCTAGATTGCTCGTCATGTTTTCCCCAAGCAAATCCACACCTTGCTATCATGTGATTCGCCTGAATAAGTAAATGTGAAACGCATAGTACTGGTGACAAACTTTTTCTTTTTCCACCTTCTTTTCGGCTCAAATCGCTTCTTCAACATCGTTCCCCGAAGTATAGAAAGGATGAGAGTCTGGTGGGGGAAAGAGGAGCTTTTTTTCTTGGAAAGAGACTATGTGACCGGGTTACAGTCTGTCCCACGCCGACGGAGCAGTGCCCGAAACTAAATATCTGGATGATCTGCGGAGAGGACACGAATAACAACTAAGCTGCACCTTGTTAGGTCTTTACGCTCACTGTGTGTTTTGCGTCCTTCTCCTTCTCTTTCGTCGAGGGAAACGGTTAGGAATAAAACCATGTTTGAAAAAAATATAGATAGAGGGTGTAAACTTACACACCTCGTGAAGAAAGATGACCGCAGAGGCGGGGCAGCCCTAAGAAAGCTGTCTCTGCTGTCACTAAAATTCCTGCAAAATAAACAGTCGCTGACTCAGCTTGATGTTCCTTAGCAAGACAAAACATGTACTTACAAACATGATAGATTAAGAGTGTATCTGTAGACTCAAACTCATATTTGTTTACTAATTATACAGGCGTGTTCGTAGGTTCATTTTCTTACTAAAGGGACCACTCAAGTTCGAAGTCGTACAGTACAATCGAGGATAAACAACAAAAGTAGCTGCCGAACTACCGAGGCAGGTAAAAAACTAGGTACATGCTCCAATAACCTAGAACCAGCTAAAAGTGAGTACTTTTTTGAAACGAATGCTTTTGTTTTTCGAGTAAACTGATTGCATTTGCAGTGTGGTACACGTACAACACCACAATGCATCTTCTCCCAAAATAAGCCAGAAGGAGAAGCAGAATCGCTTTTCTTGCCTTTCATAGACAATATCCGTATCGGCCTGACGTGTGTGAAGATGCATGCGCCCTTACTTCTCCGGAGCCGGCAGGGGAATGCCACCGTTGACATCCATGATCTCCTTGCAGCCCAAGTCCTTTCCGAACTCCTTCCAGGAGCGGACGATGCTCCAAGTGCCGGTCTGGAAATCGTCATCAGACGTCTTCGAGAACACCGAATAGAAGATTGCCGCCGTTTCCTCGGGGGTGTGGTAGTCACCAGCAGCCCAACGCTTGCTCACCTGAGATCAGCAATTGTGGCTTCGGATTCTTGCAAAGAATAAGAAAGTTCGTTTGAGCACAGTGTGGGTAAGTAATATCATATACGTAAGTGTGAAGTTCCTCCTCCCCTACAACTTTGTAAAACAGGAATACCATCGCTGCCATGGGATGGTTCTTGTCGTAGTTCTCGGCGAATTCATCGGTCAACAAGGACTTGGTCATGCCCGGATGACCGTACCCGAAAATCGCCTGCTCCTTCATGTCCACCTTCATACCCTCGTGCAACCACTTGTTGGCGTATGAAAGTGCACAACTCCCCCTCCCCCTCATTTGTATTGCATGAACAGCAATACAAGCGTCAGCAATAATACAGTTTTTGCATCACAAATTTGGACAGGAGTGTAGTGCTATTTGGGCTGCCAGAACTTGTCATGCATACAGTTCCAAGGGCCAGGTCGTAAATTAGGCATTTTGCATGATAAATGAGGGGGGGGAGTTGTGCATATTCATATGGCGGCCTTGACCGCACCGAAGCCGCCCCATCCCGGCACAACCATGTAGGTACCGTCCGGCTTGGGACCGTCGGAGAACGGCGCTGATTTGATTTTTTGTAGCGTGAATTATTATTTCGCAAAAATACAGTAGTTGTACCCGCGGTGAACCAAGTGGAATCTACTACATGCAAGCCGAGAATGGGTTTACTGCATACGATTAGGGTTCATGTAGAAGGTCCACGACCTTCACGAACCAAAAACAAAAATTATCCCATCACGTATCAATATAGTACCTCCCAAGTTGAAGACGCGGGCCTTCGGCTCGGATCCCAGGTTGTTGGCCAACGCCTGCATCACAAACAATTTCCCATGGACGTCGGTATTCATCATGTCGTCCTGTGGAAATATCGTCGTTTTCGTTTCTCAGCGAACCAGCAATCTAGTACTTGAGATACATTTACGAAGTTGTTTGGACAGACACTTTGAGTACACGGCGGAGAGGAGGTAGTCGTGTTCTGCGGAATTGCACGCGACCGAGTTCTTATAAGCTCGTTGCGGTAGAAAACAGCATCAACACATTCATATTCAAGAATGAACAACAAGAACTTTGTTGTGCTTGCAATCAAAATTGTACGAAATCTTCCCGGGAGATGCTCTTGAGATTGTGGCCGGTGCCGCTGGTGTTCTTCGGCGCGGCCGCGCCGAGCAGCACGTAGTGAATCTTCGCACTGCCGACCGCGTCCGCGATACTCTTTATGGAAGTGTCAGAACCGAAATTGACAAAATCGGAAAATTTGCGATGCACAAAATCGACGCCAGTCGGAGCCTCAGTTTCTAAGTGGCGCATGACAAATTTCGGGAGCACCCAAATCCAGTCTGTCATGCTGTTTGGGCAAAAAAGACTGCTCCTGTAATGCTACTCTGGTAGCACATTATATATTACCCCTAAACAGGCTTACAATCGGTCCCATTTTCCTGCTCCCCAATACAGTCTTTAGCCTTACGTGCCCTACATTTCATGCATCACAAATTTTTCGACTTTGTCGATTTCGATCCTGATTCTCCCATACTCTTCGGCCCGTCCTTAGTACCGATGTCCGCGAGGATCTTGACCAGGTTCGGGTGATCCTTCACGCCATCGAGCGCTTTTTGCGCGCGGTCCACCACGAAGACCTTTTCCGCCTCCTTCAGGCAGCACAGAGTGGCCAAGGCCCCACCGATGCCGGAACAACCGGTAATGAGCACGCCCTTGCCCTTGCAGTCGGGCAAAGCCTCGATCTTGGCGGCATCCAGGGAGTTGCCGTTGCTCAACGTGCTTCCGAAGTCAGCCATCTTGATCGGTCCAGTACTTAAGTAGTACCTATTTGTTCTCTGGGGTTTTTTGCTGCGGACTTAGTTTCAACAAAGAACTTTCCCTAGTACTTGGAAAGTTTTCTCGTGCAGTTTTTGGTTTGCCTTGAGGGGTCGCTTCACGGAGCCGACGTTGATTTTCTTCCTGTAAGGAAAAGGATGAAGTAGAGGTAGCAAATGCACAAGTAGAAGTGAAGGCAAATTCATACAACGTTCCACGAAAACATGGCTTTAGCTTTTTTTGTGCCGCTTTTCGTTGCTCGATTCAATCAGCCTCTCACTTTAAGAATCCGGTTCTTTCAAGCTGCTTCCCTCCCTCACTGTCACTAACTCCGTCTATGTATATGTTTGTAGTCTTCGCTATATATCGTGGCTTATGTTGTAAAACAGAAGAGGCAAATACTTAATCAGGTGCTAGATCAGCTACAATCTCTCTCGTGACTACTTTTTGTTTGTGCTTAATTAGAGGCAACCGATTCGTTTGCTTTGCGTGTTCCGCAATTCACTCACCGCTGGACCTGGAGTACTTACTTACTACAACTGCTGGACGCGAACACTCAGGGGAAATAGGGTGGGTAGATGCTTGCATCAGCATGTATGTTGGAAATCCTTTATTGTTTGCCGAGGCGTATTCCTCGATTAGATTTAAAATTTCAAGGCGTTTTCGCGCCACTGCATCCGAGGTGATCTGCGCTTGGAGCTTGGATGCAGCGGTGCTAGGTGGTAGAACCGCCCCGTTCCTCTTGTCACCAAGCTGTTCGCTCGTTGCCGCCACAACATCGCGCACACCTGCAAGAGCCTCAGCAAAGCTCAGAACATAAAGGCCACAATCGTGACCGTTTTGTTGCTGGGGGACATTGTCCTCAATTGCAGCGAGACTGGACGATGACAGCGACTGTCCCAAGATGCGATCCATCTTTCCGACAAATTTCTGTGCCGCCGAAGCGTTCAAATTATTGCCGGAGTCATAGTGCGTCCACGATGCGAGTGCCGGGTGTTCCTCTGACGTGGTTCCACTTTGCGCAGGCCGTCCCAAATCGTAGACCAATAAGCTCCAGTGCGTGCCTCCAATGCGTTCCCAATCCTCGTGATTGTTGACCGGGAAAAATACTTTTCTCCCAACAGCCTGCCTCTCCTGTGTTGCGTCCCCAGCATCAGCTGGTGGCCGGACACCTTCGGAAAGCAACCCCAGTGCTTCGACCGCAGCTGTGACGTCCTCTTCGTCTGTCTCGTGCCGCATCCAGAAGGCGGACTCTGCCCCCACGAAAATGTGCTGGGGATGTATCTTTTGCAAGTGCTCAAAGTAAAAGGTGATCAAGCGGTCTGTGAGCCACCCGCTAGGATTCTTGAGAATCTTCATATCCTCCTCGTGCACCTCGGCGCCGCGCCAGGTTAGAATCGCCCTGTTCGACATCCTCTGATGCTTTCGTCTCTTCGTGTCGGCCTTATTTAAAATGTGTGCAAAATACCAGCGCGTGTGTGAATGTTGGAGAAGGCCGTCGGACTTCTACGCAACGCATTTTCAAGTACGAGCGACTTTAAGTGCAAGTGCTGTGGCACGCCTTTCGCCCGGAACAGGGGCGATTATTTCCTGGATGATGAATGAAACGAACACAGAACCTACCATTGGCAAGATAAGAAAGGCATGAGCATGACTGAGTTTACTGGAAGTCGAATGCTGCAGATCTCGTTTTTTATTTGTGCGCATTCATCATCAATTTTTCGTTCTCATCTGTCATTATCTTTATTTGTGGAAAGCAAATGGTGGCGCGATGTTGACAGGAGTTGCGGACCTGTAATCCTCCACTTGTTCTGTCGTGATTTGGAAGTCAATGCCTTTCTCTAAGTATTTTTTAGTCCGTTAGCGACCCACCTTAGCATCGACTCGTCACCACTTTTGGTCGCCGTGGACGCCAAGCGACGGATCGGCATCACCGTAGTCACGTTCCAGTGCGGCAAAAACTTGCTGGTAGTTGAGAAGATCAGGAGCGGGCTCGCCCTTCGGGCGGCGGCTCTTGTGGAGTTCATTAATTTTGTCCAGCTCGTAGATACCTCTCTGAATGGCACTTTTGGCGTCGCTAATTGTGTTGGTGATTTTCTGTTCCACGTGGCCTCCAGGAAGCCCGCCCGGAGGGACGACGGGCACGGCCCCAAGTTGTGGGCTCTGGGTCGTGAAGCTTTGCGGTACTATGCCCGGCTGGTTTGCTCCACCTGGCGCACCGGCGGGGACCGCAGCAATGTGTCGCAGATCGACCAACTGCGGATGTTTGGCCGATTGCTGTGCTGGAGATCCTACTGCCGCGAAGGATGCAATTGAGGGCAGGTCCTTTTGAACCGAGCCTGGCTGGGAGACGAGGGTTGGAATATTGCCCTGCGCTCCAACTGGTGGTTGCGAGATGAAAGCAGGTTCTCCCGCCGGTGGCTGCCGACCTCCTGCAGGACTGTCACCATCTGGTCGTGAAAAGACTATTTCGTGCTGTCGCTCCACCGGCACGCGCAGAACCGGCGCCTCCAGGATCATGCGGACGTACTTGCTCTTATCTTCTTGGTGCTTGGTCGGCGGTTTCTCTGGCACCTCCGCGGCTTTTTTTAGCGCCGCGTCGATCCGTTGGTAGTATCGCTCACGTGCGGCCGCTCCGCTGGAGTTATCCTGCTCGTCGTCGCCGTAAGCGTATACGGGTGCAGTGGTTTTCTTGCGGAAGAAGCTGACACTCTTCTTGATCCAGGAGATGTCTGAGCTCGCGCGGAGTTTTTCCGTGACCTCGGCGTCGAAGACGAAGTCCGTGTGCGCCTCGACGTAGTCCTGCACCGGGGTGCTCAAACAGTTGACGTGGCCCCAGCCAAGTCCGCACAGCTCCTCGCCCGCCCAACTGAGCACCAGGCCCTTCTTGCCGAGGTAGTTCAGGTTTTCCAGAAAAACCGGCGCCCCCTTCGCGCCGATGTGCTCTGCCACTTCCACGCAGAAGACGAAATCAGCAGGCTGGAGAGACGTTTTCGTGGCCGGGATAGGAGCAGCGATGTCGAAATACTTCACTTTGCCGTGCGTAAACTCCTCCAGTTCCTTTTCTACGTCCACCTCGATCGGCAACAGGTTCACCGTGGCGTCGTAGCCTTTCGCAGACACCTACATTTTTTGCATAGCCGTCATCTTCCTTATTTCCCACATGCTCAATGCTATGTATTAAACAGAGGAAGAGCAGCAACGTAAGAATCTCGTTCAACATCTACATCATACACATGTACCAAGCCGGTGTCGTTGAAGGCCGTGGTGTAGTGGCCGCCCCCTGCGCCGAGGTCCAGCACGGTGCTACCGACAAAGTTTCCGCGGGCGATGAAGCGCATGAACTCCTGCACCAGGCCCTTATCCAGAAACCAGCGCTTGAAGATGTTTCGGTACAAAATTTCGAAGGCCGTGAACTTTCCCTCAGAATCGATGTTGTCCCCGAACTTCTCGAGTTCCCCGACCGCGATCAGCGAGATCTGGCCGTCCAGGATCTCGCCGCTGTTCACAAAGTAGTTTACGGCGTCGAACGAGGTCTGGAGGTCGCGCTCGAGCAGCACCTGGACCTGCGACAGCATGCTGCCACAGTAGGCGATGTCGGCCTCGGCCGGCTTGGCTGGGTGGTCCAAAAGAAAGGAGTGTGAGTGGTAGTGGAAGCTCCAGAAGTACTGCTGCATCAGCCCGGAATGGTGGAGCGAGTCCCAGTTGTATATCCACAGAAAAAAACCCATCCACATACATTTTTTGCATTTGCATGACAAACTCGTGACTTGGTAAGTACGTGTTTTGCATGACAAATTGGATGCGGATGGGTTTTGTTCTGTGGATATTGTAGAGCAGGAGCAGCATCTGATCCTTGAACACCCGCGGAACGCACTCCGCGCGCAGGTGAAACAACGCGGACGAAAAGGCGAAAATACCCGTCATCACGGCGCTTATCCTGTCGCGGATGTGTTTTTTGGTAAAAGTCGGCACGGGCTTGGCTTGCTATAATTCGACGAGGTTTCTTGTTTCATTTAGATCCCTTCTCGATAAAAGTGCTGCTCTTGTTTCTGCTCTTGGTTCTTCATACTTATTTCAGTGCGGAAAATAAGTACAGAAGCAAAATTACCTTTGTGTGACTAGGCCGGGTATCCAGTACATGTTGAGCGCCGAGGTGTCTGGTGGCGGCTGCTTTACCATTTCTTCAAACTCCTCACGGATGAGTAACAGTTCCCCCAACGCGTTTCGACGCGCGTCATACGCCAAATGAATGACCTCCTGGCAGGCAAATTTCAGCATGTCGAAGCTCCCGGTGCGACTCTTGAAGTTCAGCCACCAGCCCTGGAACTCGGGAGAATAGGCTTGCTTGACAACTCGTCCGAAGTACGCCAACAGCGGGTCCGTCTTATGCGGGCTGACATTCGGTGGCATCGTACTACCGGAAGAAGCCGGCGCGTGCGACGGAGACAGGGAGGACCCACTTGCCAGCTGCTGACCCGCAGTGCTACTGGTTCGAGGTGGGAATGCCAAGTTCGGAGGAAAAGTAGTACCCGCTGTGGGCGAGGGAGCATTTTGCGTACTAGTAGCGGCACCTTGAGCGAGAGGCGGACCCTTGTACTGTTGCAGTTTGTTGTCCAGAAGTGAGTTCACACGGCTAGCGATCGCGCTTGCGCTGTTGGAATGTGGTGGTCCGCCTTGTGACGGCTGCGTCATCCCCAATATGCCACTTGGAGGACGTGCCGGAGGGGGCTGTTGCAGATTGGCATTGGGGCCCCGTGCGTTTGCAGAAAATCCGAAAGAACCGCTTCCCAGCGATCCTAGTCCAGCCCCTGCTAGTGGGGACGGCGCTGCGCCAGCGCTCGTTCCGAAGTTGAGCGTCTGTGAAGGCGCGGGGGGTGCGCCAAGTGGCCCCGTAAAGCCTGCAAAATTCGTTTCCCGGCATAGTGCAAAGAGAGATCGCTCACGGCAGGGTAGGAGTTCCAGAGCACTCTCCACTGCAACAAAAAATCCTAAGAAACTCCATTTTGCACCATTCCGGTTCATCATCTTTGGTCTACTGTATTTCGTTCCATTCACACACTTAGTGGCAACTTGAGCATGAGGATAGTTATCGTGTTGATGTTGATTATCTGTCGTGTACTTCCACTACAAAAAAAGAGGATAAAGGAATTTTGAAGCACAAACTTGAAGAATGAAACGACCACGCACAGAACCCTTGCTCTTTCAAGATTCCATAAAAGGAACTTTCTGGAAAAAAGTTACGATCTTGCACTCTAACTTTTTTAGTTTGTGTGCGGAAAGCAGGCAAGGACACGATTCGGATCTTTGTCTTATCGAACAAACACAGAAACCGTTACGACCGCTACAACCATCATGTTTCAAGCAACATAAAAACACCCTTGTATCACCTGAAGTAGCTACGGCTCCCTTCTTCTGCTACTTGTACTTCTCTCAGTAACGGATCATATAGAAGAAGTCTAATTGTGCGGGAGGAGAAGGACCTTCATGACTCTTGATCTATGAAAGGCAACATCAGAGTTTTCACGAGAAGCTGCACCGAAGTGGATCTGCAACCGACTAGTCGAACGAGTTACGGACCGAGATTTTACCTCGAACACGATCCGAAAATAAATGTCGAGACGGTAGCGTCGGGTCGGTTCACAGCGGGTGCTATTCAACTGTTTTGTGCGTGTGCATGCATGTCGCTTTACCTTTCATTTTGCGCAGGTCGGTGGGGGTGTCGCTCGTGTGGGGAAAGCAGCGTCCTCGTATTTACAACTAGTTATGGCTTGCAGCATGGTGATTCCGATTCATCGCGATTATTACCTGTATCGATCGTTCCTGGGTGTATGCGTAGAACGTGCCTAGCCTGCTGTGGGAGACAATACATAGAACCATCGAGTCCAAGCGCACCGCCCTCCCATTTTTCTTTCACCAGTGTGTCGTCCTCACTCATCGAGGGATTCGAAGCCACGTGTTTCAGCTCGTCTTTCTCACTTGCCGTATTGCAGTGGCTAGACCAGAAAAGATATTCGATGCTCACGTCTGTTTCAGGTCGGCGGGGTTGCGAGTCGCTCGTCGTCCCATAGTGCATCACTGTCTCGCGCCGGGTCACACTTTGGTCCTCTGGTGGGACAGAATGTCCACACGTGTTCCTATTTTTCTTCGCGCTTTTTCTCTGTGTCGGTGTCGCGGTCCCTATCCGCAGAACTGCCGGGGCGTCACACGGAATGCAATAGATGCAGCCATCCGAAGCCGCCAAAAATCCGTTCTGCCACTTGTTCTTGATGTGCGGAAACAAAACGGGGCCGACCAAGCGCGCCTCTTGCTTTACTGGATCCACCCGCAGCACACGGTCCGCGTCGCTAGGGATGCAATACACACAGCCATCGGTGCCAAGCACACCGCCGCCGTACTGGTAGCGTTTATTTCTCCGCTCGGAAGAACTACCTCCCGTACGTTGCTGGCGAGAAGGTGTGGCATTCGGTCTGTCAGGCTCCGAACCGGCCGTCTTGCAAGGACTGGAAGGTCTGTCGTCCCCCACATCAATTGGAAGTTCGTACACTTCATCATTGCCGTCCGCGTTCACACGCACATATAGCACGGTCTCGGCGTGACTCGGAATACCAACGATGTCTCCGTGCCCGTCCACAACTGCGCCGTGCCACTTGTGCAACGAGTTTGTCATCATGTGCTGCTTGTCCGCGCGTTCTGCATCTTCCATGTTTTCCATGCCACTCGTCATGCAGCTCTTGCCAGCGGTAGCTATCGATTTACGTTTTCCCGTCAACCGCAGCGAAGAGAGCAAGCAGTAGTCCGTTCCGTCTGCGGAAATTCGCAACACGCGATCGGCATTGTAGGGTATGCAGTAGAGTGCACCATTTTTCGGCGAAATAACACCACCGTAGTACTTGTTTCTAAGCATGCGCTGTGTGGCGCAAGGCGGAAGTCGTCCCGAGCGCACAAGATCGTTTGCATTTTCATCTTCGTGCGACTTCGAACTTACGTCCCTTTTGGCACCCCGTACCAGCATCTCATTAATGTTGGGCCCGACCAAACGAGCACATGGAGGCGCGGACGAGGATATACTGCCGTTCGGCGCGCAAACCGACGGAGATTCATCGCACTGGTGGTTTGACCTACGGGGACAGATTTCTAGCACATGCGCGGAATTGCAGGGAACCGCTAAAATGGACTGCTTCTGTTCCATGTAGCATCCTCCGTGCCAGCGCCAGGTTTTCGGAGGAGAAGCCTCTTGTATAGCAGCTCGACCTGATGTGTCGAAGAAGTCGCTCTCATACACTGGATCAGCACCGGTAATCGCGCTGAGCTCGTCGATCTCAAGTGCTTGGAGGGCGTCTGTATCGCAGTTGACGCGCAAGACTTTGTTCGCGTTCGATGGAATGCAGTAAATCGCACGATCGAGCGGGCAGTACACTCCGCGCAACCACTTGAACTTGTTTCCGGGGATGGCGGAAGAGACTATAACAGGGTCGATAGCCCTAGCAGCTCGACCCTGCGCCTGCACTTCTTGGTGGTGTTGCTGCTGCTCCGGTCTGATTTCTTGCTCAGCAAGGCCACGTCCAATGTCGGCACTGTTTGCTGATCCAAACTGCTTATTGATTTTGATAGGGCTGGCGTCCGACGAAGATAGGTCTCTGTCGGAATCCCCGGATGAGACCGACGTGGAGACAACATCTTCATTACGAAGCGTGTTTGTTCCTGCGTCGAAAGCACAACTCTCCTTGTCGCTCTTATTCAGGAGTTTAGTTTCTACTACCGAAAAAGTCTTGAATTGGCGATTGTTGATATCATCTTCATGTGATTGTGATGTTCTCTCGTTCTTACGAAGCGCTGCTGCTCGTCCTGGTGCATCCGTAATATTGCGACTAGTACCACTCGTGGAGGAGATATAGTATTCCTTTTTCCCAACACCGCGGCAGGGGTACCTCGTCAGCAGAGAAACGCCACCAATTTCTCTCTTAGGATCGACCTTCACGACGTGGGTTGCGGAGCCCGGTATTCCATAGATTTGACCCGAGATGGGATCCAATGTGCCCCCCATCCACTTATCGCTTCCTCGGAGGTCAGCATTCCCCTCGTTGAGCAGCGTTATTGTGGGCGGCGCAATCTCGAGATCCTCCATGATGGTTTTCGTTTTCTTTAAACTTTGTCGGCTGTAAATTTAAAGTAAGAGCAGATAGCTGGTGGTCTGGCGAAAGTTTCAAGTTGTCCCGATGAAATAAGTACGTCCTACGTACCCGAGGCCAAGCAATCAACGCGACTCAATGATCTCAAGCTGAATCTTCCAATAGATGAAGTTGATGCGGTGACAGCTTTTGCAGCCTCTGCTGCGGTTTTGGATGACGCCTGCAATAATTTTATGATGTCAGGGACACAAGAACGCTAGATATGTGAATAGTGCTCATTCATCTCATGAACCCACAGCCCAAACCCAGCCACAACTCTCTTTGCTTTTCTCTGTCCACCATATCCACACCTGCTTCTTTCATCCTCTTCTTACTCAAAACTCACAAGTTAAAATCGATCCTGAATGATCTTTGAACAGATACAAAGGTGCGCTTTTTGCTTGAGCTTTTTCTCAACTTCTTCCCCCAAAGAAGATCATGATCATCGACGATTGCAATGACTTTCCAATGCTGATTAGCTCAGCAACGGTTTTCAATTCTGCTCGTGCCACGCTATTTTTCGGAGCGTGTCTCTTTCGTTTCGCCTTCGATTCTTGCTTGATTCATCTGATTCAAGGGGAATAAACCGCTCATAAACATTTATCGATTTCATGATCTGATCATAGGCTGGCTCAATATCCGGTGGCGATTTATTGGACTAATCGCGTTTGCGTTCCGCCAATGACATTTTTTGGTGCGTTCATAATGCTTCCTTGACTAGCGTACTCAAAGTCATCCATTTCATGAAAGTAGTATACTTGGTCCATTACAAGTTCGAGCAAGGAATGGTTACGCAACCAGGCTGAAACGAATCTATGTTTTAATTCCTGCTCGGTTCCTCCGCCTCTGCAAGAATTTCGGCTCTGTTCTTCAACTTCAACTTCTTTGCAAGATAAACACGGTCATGAAGACCATGCTCATGCTCATAATCCCGACGACGAGCGTGACGGTTTGCCAGCCGGAAAAGAGATCCAGATCCCGGTAGGAAATGAGAATGACGCTCAGCATGTAGCTGAGACAACCCATAGCGAACTTGCCGAGCGGAAGATACGGCACCCAGTTGTACTTGATCGACCAGGGAAGTAGCTTACTCTCTGGCATGTTGTTCACATGCCGGTATACGAAGGCGCTGGTGAGGGCCGAACAGGTGCAGGCATGCACAGCCACAAAAGAAAACAAATATATGGCGAGATGCAGCGACTGGTCAAAGTCGTACCCGCTCTGCTGCAGATTGCTCAGCGCAAAGCCGCCGATGATTGCCCCCATCACGCTCGTGTTCAGGACGTCGTTGCACAGTTTCTCCCGAACACGCCCGGCTTCCGGGTCCTCCTCCGACCCGGGACTAGTCATCTCTGACGCTACGCGGTGCCTCTCCGAAGCCCCCAACGTAGCAGCTGTCATGGTTACCGGCATTTTTTTGGATTTCCGAAAAATTGTTTTTTGCTGATAAAACAGGAGGACAAGCAATACGGGCGAAAACTAGGACCTGCATGGGGATGCAGACGGAAAAAACAAATTCGAAAAAATTGTACATGTACATATAAATGTAGCCGACCGGGATCAATACCGATAGAGCAGTAAAAGCGGTCTAGTCACAAGCTTTAAGGAAAAAACGGGCAGAAGTATACAAGTATCTGGTACTGTTCACAATTTTCTCACAGGTAGTGCGTGTAATCGAACACTCACAACCAAATCGCAAGTTGTGTATATCCTTGAGGATACTTACACACAGTCCAATCCATAACTCCGCTAAGGAATTCGGCCGTGAGTCGCAGCGCTCGACCCTTGCTGAAATACACACTGATCGCATCGATTCGCAAACGAAAAGCAGAAACTACTTTCGTATTCAATCATACATAAGAATGCGAGGACACGCAAGGCCAACGGCAACGCATCGGATTCAAAACTTCATCACGGAGTTTGAAATTGAATTATTGATTATGATTTTCACTAATATTGCAATTATTTGCTATTCATCGAACTGCAAGACCCACTGTCGTGAGTGCTGCAGCCGTAAAAAATTATCCTTTTCCAGCAGCCAGCTTCCTGTGACCACACCCATGATCATTAATTTCACGCCACACCCACGATCGCGTCCAACATTCGTTTTATTATGCGCTGCGCGGTGGAGAGACTCACGGTAGTGTCCTTGTACTTCCCGTGTTCAGTGATCAGGGTGACTGCCGTTTTCCCTATGAGATTCGTGCACGAAGTTTTCCATGCCTCCTCCATGTCGTGGAGATGGGTCTGTAATTGCTGTTGCAACTGAAAGACTTGCGTCTTGATGGTGGCATGGGAGCTCCCGCCCCTCGGACCCATTGTTCGACTCTCCACGGCTATTCCGGGAGGGGGCTGGGAGAGCGAAGTGGATCTTCCCGCGTCGTGGTTTGCAGGAGTATGAGAAAAGTCGGCGTCCACGAAGGAAAGCCTTTCTTGCTTTTGCTCGTCGAGTGACACTAGCGACCCTCGTTGTAGTTCCCGGCGGGTTTTGTCGAAGCTGGCCTGCAAGTGTTTTATCAAGGAAGCGAGCTTGTGCATTTTCAAGCGGTCAGTGGCGCGTTTGCTCAGAAGTGGTCTTATTTCCCTCCGATACACTCTGTCTTCGCGGAGTTGCTTCATAAAGTTCTGCACCTCTGTCCAAACCGAATGATCTTCTTCAGGCGACAGCCGAGAATGTTGCCTCGTCGAAGCGTCTTCTGCAGACGACAGAAAATTAGTACTAGGCGCATCGGATTGTAATTTCGCCTTATTCGCGCCTCCGCCTGTCGTTCGTGCCTTCTTGGAAACTTTATGCGGTTTCGTGACCTTCCTCTGGTCCCGCCGCAGCGACTGCGTTCGCGCGTCGGCTTTTGCAGCTCGCGCGCCAGCCTCGCGATTCATCGCACGAATGCGCGCCAAGAAGTCCGCAACAGCAGAACCACCTTCGCCAGCATCCCGAGCCGCTCCCACGAGTTCTTCGCCGCCATCAGTCCCTGTTGGCTCAACCTCGAACGGCAGATCCAGCAGTTGCAAAAACGCTGCCGGGGCAGTCAGCGGCTCCCCGTGGCCATCGCCTTCGCCGCTGGCGGACTTCTCGAGCATAAGATCCATAATCATGTACTGGGTGAGCACGTCGCCGACGTCGTCGCCGGTCTGTGCGTCGAGATATCCACTTTGGACAGCGAGATGTACGAGCTCGGCCATCAGAGCGAAGTACTCGCGGTTCGTAGTCGGAAACGCCAGAAAAAATTCCGCGTACTGGTTGTCATTTCCAGGGCCCAGAACGTCGTCGTCCCCAGCATGGGCCGCACCGAAAGTAGAATCTCTGCCCTTGCACATGAAGCGACACGGGAAAGTCGTGCCACTCGCAACAAGGGGCAGCTTATTTCCAATGTGGCCGTCCAGTTCTTGTTGCTCGTCCAAATGTTCAAGCTCGATGTAGCAATCCAGATACACTTGATTGATCTTTTGTTTCACTGGCCGTGCTGCACCAGTTTTGCAAGGTTTACTGCTGTGGTTGCGATCACTGCTGGCCGGCGCACCATCCGGGAATATCTTGCGCACCAGGTTTGAATGCATCGACATTGTAATGAAAGAGGTCAAATACCGCATCGCGGCCGCAGGCACATGTTCATCATCAGGGAAGGACTTGTTGCTTCTATCGCTTTCGGTTTCGTCGCGTGAAAGCCCCGCGCCTACGTGCACGTGGACAGAAAAGGCATCCTCCTTCTCCAAGCGGCGGAAATGGAAAACTGGCGCTTGCAGTAGTTCGATGGCTCCCTGGGTCGGAAAGGACGCGGATGATTGCTCGGGAGGACCGTGCATTCTTTTCAAAATTGCAGCCGGCAAGACCACCGAGGAGGAAAAAACTTGGCTCCACGCAGGTTTCAACGTTCCGTAGTGCTCACGTTCCAATTGCGTCTGGAGACCCATAATGGCGCTACATTCTTTCCGCATTTTCTGCAGCCCAATCGTTCCTGCGTGCTGATAAAGCGCTACTGCCTTGTCATGCAGATCGTTCGCGCGGCGCACCAGCGCGTCGCGCTTCGCTATGATCTGATGAAGCTGCGTGAGGTCGCTTAACAGTCTCGTTCGCGTCGCAGAGTCGCGCAAGCGAAAAGTCAAGGCTCTGTTCGAGAAATTTCCGTCCGAGCGGTAGTTCCAGTGCCCCCCAACAAACAGCACACGTTGCCAGTTATCGTCGGGCCTGAAAGAATTGTTCCCCACCGGCGCTACGAGCTTGCGTCCCCTATCGTCCGTGATCCAAGCGCGACCGAAGTAGCCAATATGCATCAAGATTCCGTGCGGGAGGGTTTGCATCTGGTGCGCCAGAACGTACAGCCAAAACTCTGAGTGGTTTTCTTCGAAGTACTTCTTGTCGTCCTCGTGGCGCTGGCTCGCACTTGTAGTTCCAGTGGGGGACGAATTATGTTGACCACTAGCAGCAAGTTTCCGTCCATTGAAAAGTCCGACGCGTGTTGCGTCATTGCCATGTTCTCGCAGGACGGCCTCACCACGCTTTTCCCAGTCAATGTTCTGTAGCAGGTACTGCAACGCGTCAATGAAGAGATCGGAAACTTCACGATCGAATATTTGCATCCCCTTTGCCGTTCGTACCAATTGACGTCCTTGTGGGACGTGCTCCCGCAGCGTCGCCATTTGGTGCTGGTAAGCATCGTCGTAGAGCGGTTCCAAGTAGTAGACAAAGTGAGCGAACGCTTCCCACAGGAAGTTTTGTTCTTCCTTCTTTTGGGCCGCGGGGGCTCTGGCATGGCGCTCGCGGCCTTGTTGACCGTCTGCCATTCTGTCGAGAACGCCCGCAAGATACTTCTCTATCGACTGCTTCCGTCGACTCTGCATTGCGTCAAGTCGGCGCCTCAGTTGTTGATGTTGCTTGTGTTCATCGTGCTTGTTTGCTTGTTTTCCTTTTCGTGGAGAATGAGAACGATCATCAAGAAGATGATGGTGCTGACACTGCTGCATGCATGTCTGTCGCTCCTGGTCGCGCCACATGTACCCGTGCGCCTTGGACTGGTGTTCCACAGTATGTGAGGTCCGGGCAAGTTCGTCACGCAAGAATGTCAAAAGGTCGGCCCCTAGCATTTCGGCGCTGCGTTTTGCTTTGCCACTTCCAGCCCCGCTGGCGCGACGCGACAGCGAAGCAAACAGAGTACCAGTCGTTGCGGCTACTGCTGACGATCCCAGTGGAAGAGTCGCGGAAGTTGTACTAGCAGCTTTAATATTGCCTTTCGTCAATGTAGAAGTAGATGCAGTCTTCTTCATGATGAAGCTTTCTCCGACGACCGTGCCGCTACTAGTACAACCGGGCACGTGAGGTGGAGGAATCATCGTTGCTGACCCACTGCCACTGCCTCCCCTCGTTGTACTTGTAGCTCCCTCAGATATAATGCTGTCGTCTTCTATTGCCAGGCTCGAGCGGATAAGGTTTGCCAGGTCTGTAAGATCGGACTGCGGAGAGGTTCGCAATGCGTCTAACATGTCCGGGGAAACAGTTTCATCCTCAAGAATGATTCGAGACACGTCATTCCGTGCTGTGTGGCCTCGATCTGCATCCGCGCTTTTGCTCGCAAAAGAAAGGCTGTTGTTGAAAGTGCCGCTCTCGCTTCCGTTTTTTGTTTTCGTGCGGTCGCCAGTCGAGCAACTTGCTGCGAGGCTACTTGTTGCAGAGGCAGTAGACGCGCTGGCAGCCACAGAAAAGGGTGCTTTTCGCGCAACAGCCGAGCTAACGTCGTCGTGGTAAGGCGACGCGGCTAGTATTCCGCGAATCTCGCAGAAACTACCCCACGTCACTGTAGAGCAAAAAAATACCGCCAGCCTCCCACCACCACCTTTCCCTTTGCCACGGGCCATCCTATACTATTTGTTGATCAACTAGAAGATGAGTGTCAACATAGAATAAGGCAATAGGAGAGTCAAATCGAAGTTGCTATATCAAAGTGGTGGAAGCAGGAGCAGAACAAAAACTTGACAGGCCTGCTGCAAGTGCATCATCAATCTTCATCATATCTCTATCTTTCAATTTCGAATCTTCATAGCACACCATCACTTGCGCCTAAGAACAGGAGCCCACAATCAAAGTCGTTCTTCTCTCTAGAAGTAAGTAGATCGGATCTATCAACATATCGACGGCGAGCAGTTGGAGCGCGTGTCACGTCAATATTTATTTGGTGGCCTTTTGTATCTCCTCTACCCTTTGCAAATTCAATTCCACGAAGAGATCGTCTCCTTTGGCAAGAGCAGGCGTGGCGTATCACACCGGATATGAAAGCAGAACTCACGTTGACGTGTCGAGTTGCATGAATGGGAATCTGAATGCACAATGCATGATCTTGATCTTCGTCGAATGGATTGCTGTTCCGTCATTCGAAAACAAAAGGCAGAAGAACGAAACGAATGCAGATCTAACCGAATGTTACATAAATTTGAACAATCGACACAACAAGAGCATTGGGGAGCAGACAAACAAATACGGCGAACGACAAAGAAAAGGCATTTCGTAGCTCCGAAAGGCGAGCTACTTCGACATACCACAATGCTGGAAAATTTCTGATTCTCGGAGAATGAATGAAGAAACCAAAATACTGATTTACTGAAATGGCTCGGGTTGCCGAAAATACCCACAACAAAAAGTTTGATCACCCTTACCCTATCGAGTGACGTAAGCAAGTGAAGAATGACACCAAGTTGTGGATTTTCGTGCGACAAAACACTTGCGCGAAATACTACGGAGGGGAAGCTTCTTTATCAGACCGTGCCAGATATTATCAATTCCAATACACAGAAATGAGTCTAAGTATGTACAAAAATACATGAAAATCAAAAATATTTTCAAGAGCCGGCTCCAGTACGAAGAAGGAGCTCGGTGCTACACGAAACAACATTCTTCCCTCTTTACTTAAAGTCTGAACACAGCTGAGCTGTAGCGCCACGAAGAATCAGTAGGGGCTGAGAGTTTTGTTTTCCTTTTCGAGAACACTATGCGTATGTCGTTGCTGTTTTAGACATTGACGGTTACGGACTTCCGCTTTCCTTTCCCACTCGCTAAAAAAACGCGAGTAGAGCTCGATGTAGAGTTTAAGAAACATCAACGCACATCAAGCCCTAGGAAAGTACGGGACTCGCTCCCTACCCGGTGAGTGTCTTGCAGGCGGTGCGTATTTCCGCCATGGAAAACCAGTCTGTGACGGCCTCGCCCGTGTCTTCGCCGGCACGGCACCGACGAAAACCGCTGTCGCAGTTTCCAGTGGTTGATTTCCGCAGGACGGTTTCTGCCAGGTGAGACGAGAGCAGGCGCTCCTTGACTGCAACCAGCAGTGCGAAGCGCTTGTCCGCGCGCTCACGACAGAGCGTGGTAGCGGACGGCTCCGAGGTTGTACTAGTTCCGCCTGGGGAAGAGGGAGATTTCGACGCGTCCTTGCTCTCCGTTTCGTCGTCGGCGGAGCCGCTGCTTGGTTCAGCTGTGGCCTCTGTTGTATCGGTCCAGAAAACCGAGAAGACTGAGCTGAAAAAGTCTTCCTCTGGTGGTGGCGAGCTGACAACAGTTGGCTTCGACTTTGCCACCGGCGTGCTGGTGCCGCTGGTCTGCTCCTTACCGGCTGCGCTACTTCCGCCTGACGACACATCCGTGGTCTCGCCGTCGTTAGAGGTGGACGGGGTGGAGGTACTGGCAGCGCACTTGTCACCGTGGTACATTTTGCTAAGCTCCCGAAAGTTTTTTCGTACCATGCTGGCGCCGCGAGCCTGTTTCTGCTGCGACGTGAGGCCCTGCAGGCAAAACAACTCCGCAAACGTGATCGGATCTGGACCCACGGGCGCGCCTTTTTTACCGGCCTTGTTGCCGGGACCGGCCGCGCCATTATTTGCACCCGATTTATTATTGCTCTGTTTTGCACCGCCGGAGGCGTTTGCTCCGCCGTTCCTTGAGCCTGTCGAAGCACCGTCTTGACCACCTCCGTTTGATGCTGAACCGGGCTCCTCCTCCGCCAGGTTGTAAAACTGACTGTACACGAGGAAGAAGAACTTTTCGTAGGGCTGCGTCACATACTGGCTCCAATACATCTCCGGATAGTGCATGATGTAGGGCCGGTACAGGCTCCACAGGATCTGCCGGTACTCGGCGTCTTTCCGCAGCTGCTTGTTTTCGTACCGCTTGTCGCTTTTTTCGACCAAGTCAAACACCGTGGCCAAAAGCGGCGCCAGCACAACGCCACCCAGATACCTCCGGTCAAAATTCAGCGCGCCAGAAAGCCAACGTGTGGACAGTTCTCGGCGCCGCTCGACTAGGCTCCGGAGCGACTCTTGGCACTCCTGAAAGATTTTCGGCTCCCCTTCGCTCGAGTCATCTGTTTTAGTGCTCTTGTTGTCTATCACAGTCCACTTCGGAAACTCGAACTCGCTCGCCCAGGTGCACTCAGTCACAAGAACAGGCGGAGAGGCTGCAGGTGCCGTTCCATTTTTCGCACTAGCAGACACTGTGGTCGTCGTACTGCTCCCCCGGTGCGGATAGGCGGAAAAATCCGCCTCCCTCTTGCCTTTTGAATTCGGCGGCAGGAAGTGCTCGGCAGCCCAGATCAAATTTTCGATCACTGACCGGTCTGCATCCGATAATGCTGCAGAGGAACGAACTGGCGACGCACTACTTGTTTCTTCGCCTCCTCCGCCTTGTTTTTGTGCTTCTTGGTTTGTGGCTTTTTTCTTCTTGTTGTTATTCTTCTTCTTTCGTCCCGGCTGCACGGAGGCGTCTTTCATCTCGTTCGTGCCAGCGTCTGAAGAAGTTCGCAGCAGCTCTGTTTGTCTGTAATGCGCGATTGCGCGCTTCCACCAGCGCGCGGCCGCATCTTCGTCATCGCGACCCAATTCGTCCTGCACGAATACGGGAAAGTGCCCCGGCAGACATTTGAAGACGCGCTGCGCCCCAACCGCGTGTAGCTGTTTCGTGGTGGGGTTCGGAACAAATAGCTGCTCCGAATCTTCTTCCTCGCCGTCCGTCCCCGCAGCATCGCCTGTCGTGCCACGTTTGTTTTTATCCAGATCGAGCTCGTCCTCGCTGTCCTCCTCAGCCTTGCTCTTTTTGTGGAAGTCCTCGGCTTTTTTCTTCGCTTCGTCCACCGCTTTCGTCCGAACGCGGCCAACAATCTTGTAAGTCGGCCGCCCCATCACCTTCTGCTGCGCGGCCTCCAGCTTTTCCTCCCCGATGTCGGAGGGAAAAACCACTTGCTGCGAGGAGGAAAAACCACCTGCTGCACCTGTCTTCTTGTTCGCCGACGCGGAAATTTTGATCCACTTCTCGTCCTCGCAACTCAGCAGCCGCCGGCACCCGCTCAGCGGCACCTGGTTGGTCCACATTTCCCGCTCGGCGTCCGGGATGTCGGTGTATTTAGCGAATTTCGTCTCGTCGTCCGGAGGTGGATCTTGATCTTCGTCTTCGGGGGGTGACGACTTCTTGAAGAACATGTTTTCGAAACCCTCGACGTCGTTCACCATCTCCCAGTTCCCGTCGTGGCAGTAGAGGCGCTCGATGGAGCTCAGGTCCGTTTGCACCGTGGGGCGCCGCGTGTCGGACCGCACAAAGTCCGGTACCGGACAGGAGGGCGCGATCCACTGGCCGTGCTCCACAAACACCACGGGCTGCGTCCGCCCGTTGTTCTTGGTCCGCATGGTTTGGAAGGGCTTGCCCGGAGGATGGAAGTAGGTGCCGCTGTAGGTCCGCAGGTTCCCGTCGCGGAACTCGTCCAGCAGGCAGCTGGACTGGTGCACGCAGGCCAGCGGGTCGAACTGCGACCACACGCCGTCCTTCTCGCAACTCAGGACCTGCTTGTGCCGCAGCAAGGCGTCGCGGAAGTCGCCGGCACACTCGAACCGCAGGTCGGACCCGTACGCGACCTCATGCTTGCGCCACTGCCGCGTGCCGTCCGGCAGGTCCACCGGCTCCTCCTCGTCAAATTCATCTTCTTGTTCGTCCTGCGAGTCAGGCTCGTGGTCGTGGTTGTTATCTACGGTCGTGGAGGTTGTACTACTCTTCATGTGGTCCTCTCTCTTCCGCTTCGCCTTGTCTTTGGTGAAGAACGTACGGTAGAACTGCTCGTCGCGAACGATGCGCATGTTGTACTTCGTGTCCAGTTATGCATTGCAAATATGTCTGGGTCTGGAAGGTTGCAACTTGTGATGCTGCCTTTGGATTCTACACAGAATCTGTGTTGCATGATCAGCAGAAAAGGCCCTGTCTTTGCTACGCGGGGAGGGCATTTCTCGTGCAGTATAGGCGTCAGAAAGTCCTCAAAAAATCTGTGATGCTAGGGCATGCATCACAAACATCATGGGTCATGCAGAATGTGCATGACAGGCGCTGCATTCTTCCAGACCCAGACATATTTGCATTTGATACCAGTTCTCCTTCCACCTGGTCGTTGATAATGCTGTCGATTCCGGGGCAAAAGACCGTGGCAAGGCGCTCCTTTTCCTTTTCGCTCTCCTCCAGCTCGCGCTGGCGGCGCTCCTCCTGCTCCCGCCGCCGCTGCCGGCGCCACTCGCGGTCCTCCGCTTCTTGCTGTCGCTCGTACTCCTCATCCTCCATGTACTCGTATTCGTCGTGTTCCCCGGTGAAAAAGTTCTTGTACGAACGCCGATTGGCTCCCCCATCTTCGCCCGTGGCATTTTCATCATGTTCGTCCGCGGAGTTGCCACTACCCTCGCTGTCGTCATCATGTCCGCTTGTGCTGGCGCTCTTTTCGCTCTTGTTATCGCCTTCTTTATTTCCAGACTTCTTCGATTTCTCCCCCGTGCTTTTCGCCGCGGAGTCTGCGGCCTCATCGTCAATGTCTTCCTCTGCAGCAAAAAACTGGGCGCGGAGGATGAAGTCCTTCCACTCCCCTGCGGAACAGCCGCCGGCGGCTTTGCTTTCTTTTGTAGATACAGTTGTACTGCTCCCTCCAGATAGGTAATTTACGGCTGAGTCGTAGTATCCGAACAGACTACATGACTTCACCACACTCGTTCTGCTCTTCATCTTCTTGTTGCTGCTTGTTCCTTTGGAGGTGGACTTACTGGCGCCACTTGAAGATGCACCAGCTGCACCTGGCGTCGCCTTCCGCCAGCGGCCCGGCTTCATGCTCCAACCGGTGTAGGTCTCAGCCCAAGCGGCCAAGCTCAAGGAGGCGAGCAGTCCCTTACCTTGGTTCACCGCCGTATAATAGAGTTCTGAGGACCCGTCCAGAACGAATGAGCCTCCGAGATTGTAGAACCAAGTATCGATACTGCCAAGCTGCTGCCATGGCAGTAAGAGGTCCACGCGCACCTCTTCGTAGGTGTAACTAAACAGCTCGCCGAACGACATGGACGTTGCAGCCACACCAGGAAGATCTGCGCCGGAATACAAACTGGCGAGCGAGGAGGACAGCCAGTAGTACGGACCAACAAACGGCATGGCGCACACCGTGAGTACTTGGGCGGGTATGTAGACACCGAGGAGATAGGTGAAAGCCTTGACGAAGCAAAAAATCGTGTGCACAACAGAACCGACCATTCCGCTCCCGAGCACAAGAAAATGCGTTGCCACGACCGTGACTTTCGCCGCGAGCAGGATTGCCGCTAGACACACCCGTCCAAGTAGGCCATACCGCCAAAAGACCCCATGCAAGACGGCGGCCGTGACGCAAATCTCGAAAAGGAATAGAAGGGCCGTCAGCTTCGGCCGCGTGTGATGTGGCGTTTCAACTAAAGACGCTTGTCCTTCTTCCGAGCGGCCCTCGTCCGCTGTTGCAGCGGCCGCGGCGTTTCGAAGGAGAGCGGACGGAGCTGCTGCAGTCGTCGGTGTGGCGGCAGGGGAGGCCTGTTGCGAACTTGGCGACTTCATCGCAGCTGTCGTGCTGCTGGCGGTCGGCTTTTCCTTCTTCTTCCAAAAGTTCGTGTTTGAGGACGAGGAAGATCCTCTCAACTTGCTTTCGATGCGTTTTTGCAAAAACTGGAACAGCTGACCTAGTCGCTCCTTGCCGGGCGAATAGACACAGTTTCGGAGGATGTGGTCCCAAGAGTGGCGAGACGCTCGATACTTCCTCGAAAGGCGGTTCTCTGTCACGACGCGGAAACCGAAGGTCAGGACTGCGAGCACGAGTGCGCGAAGCCCGAGCACCACAACCGGCAATTTCTTCATAGCCGCAAATGCGCAGAATTGGATAAATGTTGCTGCCTCGCCAGAAAAAACTCTTAGTCTGCTTTTGTAGCTCGGGCCGACAAGAGCGACGTCCTTGTCATCACGGCACTCTGCTGCACGGCCTGATTCAAGAGACGCAGCACCAGCGGATGTAGCATCAGCCAACCTGCTTCCCGGAGGTCGTGGTGAGGGAGTCAACACTGTCGTCTTTTTTCCCCCGCCAGAACCGGTCGTGTGCTTCGACGGTGGTGCATTTCGATCCTCTTGGTCGCTGCCGACGTGGTCTATCCTCGCCGAAGCTCCTCCTGCTGGTTCCCGAAAGAGCCAGCTGCGCACTCGACACAACATGGAAAGGGAGGGTGAGCGCACGATTGGAAGTTTTTTACGCGAACCAGTGCCTGCTGCGGGGGTTGATGCAGTGGATCTCTTGTCGACGTCTACCGGGGAACCCATACTGCGAAAGCCCTTATTTGTTCACCAGTTTCGTCACAAAGTAGAGGTCGACTTGTAGAGGTAGTCGTCGGGCAATCGCGCAGCGCGTCGTGCTCTTGTCGCTCTTCCTGGAATTCAACTGTCGTGAATTTTCACGATGAAGCACCTGGTACTGGTCGCTTCAGCATGTTTTCAAATGATTTCTTGGAAATTTGAAGTTCTACCTGATAATGAAAATGAAACTGCGGAAAGGGAAGACATTAAATTGAGGGGGGATCAGAGCCGGACATGGATACCGGTGGGTAGTTCAATCAATAGAGCTCGAAAAGTATCGGCAGGGGACCGACCAACCAAACTAAAACTCAAAAAGAGGGTCGTCAGCGCACGGCGAAATGAAAACGAAAAAAGTACAAGTATTCGGAAAAATCAGGGGTTACTTGGAAGAATGGGTGGGCCAGACGAAACTACTTCTAGGTGGGATTGATATGAGTGGACTGTGGAGCGTAACAGCGATCAGTCGGGAATCCAATTTGATTTGTCAGAATCAGAGACAGAGAGAAGGAGAACCAATCGGACGTCAACCGTTTTATCATGGTAGCATGAGTAAAGGTATTTTACGTCTCCGGATGACTATAGTACTTACAGCACATTTTGACCATCTTCTGTGATAACCTGCGGAACAGATTGTGATGTGTGTGTCGAAAATCGTCGTTGATCTTTTTCAGCAGCTACAGGTCCCTTTCGTCGAATTGAAAGATTGACAGGCATCTCGAAAGTTTAGCGAACAGCCAAATTATAGCCACTCACGTGCTCACTTGGACCACATGGTGCGGGTTCCAAAGGTGGTAGGTTTTGACTGTAAACTTTGATCCTGTGTTCGTGGACACCCGAGTCAAGGGCATATCTCTTCTTCATTGCCGACTACATTCAATCTCGAATGGGCACTAGCTCCCCATCGGAACAACGTTTCCTTCCTCCTCAACTACTGGACCTGTGGGTGCCTTTGGCGTCCCGTGCATCGCTTTTTTCGCGCTGGTAACCGGGCCCTTGTTGAGTGCCAAGTCCAGCGCATCTCGTTTTACTTTGAGCCGCTCCAAAGAGCGCAGCATCTCCTTGGGTGGCGGTGGGTAGTCCCAAATGGCGAAGTACTTCGGTTTTCCCCCAAAATCATTGGCGGTCTTGAAGATTCCCTTGAAGTTATCCCCAAACACGCCGTCCCCGTGTCCATCTGCTATGTCGTGCTCCAGAACGCCGGGACCCATCGGGAAGGGTGCGTATTTCTCCGCGAGCGGGGCCGGGAGCTCCGTTACCGCCTCTACTGCTTGGCAGACCATTGGGTGCTGAGTAAAACAGGTGCGCAGAACCCCGACCATGCTATTTTCTAGTGTTTCACGTGAATCTGATGCTGATGATCATGATCATGTGCAGCCGAAACTGAAACAACTTACTACTACATCGTCGTTTGCGAAGTCGAGGCTTTCAGCCCCCACCTGGTCCAGGTTCTCGCTCGTCTTTTCTTCTTTTACAGAAAGGGAACGATAATCTATTGCAAGAGCCACGAGACGTTGAAACGAGCTAACACTGACCTGTTTCGTTTTGAACCCTTATAGAAGCTGCACGAAGATACATCAGACAGCCCAGCGTTGTAAACCCGACGACCTGACGAGTACGAACTTCAACTTGTACGGGAGCGCCGCGTACCACGATACCACCACCAGCCCACATTTATTGAGAAAGTCGTAAAACCGATAGAGTGACAAGCTTAAGCACTTACGTAAGCCCCGATCTTCACAGAACAGCAGATGAAAGCTACCTGCTCTACTTTTCGTCGCCCCACAAGCTGGAATAGATGAAAGTGCCGAGCCATTTGTTCGAGGGGCCTAGTTAAGTAAATGTCAGTGTCTTCGAAGATGCTCCCCGTTTACATTCATTAGTACACGGACATGAGGCAGCACAGGTCCTCGCTTGCAGAGCAATACGTTGTCGAAATTGTACAACAATTGACGTGAGCAACAACATTCATTTAGTTGCTATTGGTTTTCAGGCCAACTTCGCAACTTGATCGAGTTCCGCCGCAAACCACTGCGACAGTTCTTCTGTGAACATTTCAGGCACGGCCCGTTCCGAGCGATGTACTGCCGACCAAAACGAGAGTTTGCAGTTTTCGCCCGATTGCCGTCGTTGAAGTACCTCGGCAAGCACGTCAACGTGAGCCTGGCCGCACTCTTCCACGCTCTGCATACCGGTTCCCGGAACGTTCCTGCCCAAGAAATTGAGCGAGCGCGAGAAAAAGTTGTCGCCAAACGTAGAAAACATGACTCCCGTCTCGACCAATCCCGGGAACGTGCCAATCACATCCACCGAAAGCGGACCACTCGAGCCGCTGTTTGCAGTTTGAAAAAAGGCCGCCAGCATCTGGTCGTGGGACACACCCGCGGTGGCCAGCGTTTTTGGAAACACCATGTTTTCTTTGTACGCCGCTCGCGCTTCCTCAGTTTTGTGCTGCGTCAGCACGTGCTGCTCGAGGAAGCTGCGACGAGTGGCCGCGTCCTGTCCACCGGCGCTGTGCTTCTGGCCGGAGGCCAGGACGGAAATGACCGCGACCGGCAGCTTTTTGTCGGTCGCGCTTCGTAGCAAGTTCGCCTGGGTCAGATATCGGAGGAGCAGGTATCGACTCAGCACATCCACAAAAACTACGCGATTGAAGCCGTCGGGCGTGAGGGGATTGGCGAAGTCGGGCCAAACGCCCACCGTGAAAACCACCAGATCGTAAGTGTCGGAAACCCCGGCCTTTGCTCCTGTTCTGCTCTCCGCCGGTTGTCCCCGTGCTGCAGCCGTACTACTAGCACCTCCAGCTCCAGCGGGAGGTACGGATTTATTGGCGGAGGTGCTTCTTGTGTCGGGATTATTTTTCCCTTGCAGGGTGTCAACGAAGGCACGGCAACCAGCAACCGTTGACAGATCGGCCGCCCAGTGTTCGCACAGACACGAAGCGTTTATCTGTTTCATAGCTGTCTGAATGGCAGTGCCAGCTATGCGATCCCGTCCGACTATATCCACGCGACCGCAGCCGCGCTTGGCCAGCTCCAAGGCGATGCCACTGCCGATTCCCTTCGTGCCACCGACGACCAATGCCCTTCGATTTTGGAAAAGCGGCACCGTTGTTGTCGGGTTCTCCCGAACTGATGCTGCAACGCGCGATATTTCGGGCCCTAACGCGAACGAGTCCAAAAGAAAATTCATTTTCGCAAGCTACACCTGAACTCCAACTCTCGTAAGGTCAAACTCAAATACACAGTCGTGCTATTACACGTCAAATAATCGAAGGGAAAGCGTCGTCTGATCAACAAGAGGCGTACGCGTACTATCCGGAAACGTAAATTGAATCGCGTGTGAGTGTGAAGATCCTGACGCATGGCATTTCCACAAGTGCATCATGGAAAGACAATGATCTCGATCGTCGTACGTGGAAGCCGAAGCCTTTCTTTCAGCCAAGACCCGGAACAATTACTTTTCACCGTGCAAAATTATTTCGTGTAGTTTTGGTTTGTTTGCGTGTGCGATCGTTTCATCGCGGTAATGATCGAAGTGCGCCTTATTTTATTCTGTGCATCTACGTAGATAATTATCGAGTCCTTGCGCGCTCATTTCATGTGTTCACTCCTCACTTATGCGTATTTGTCACGCCCAATCCACTTGCGTGAAGTTCAAGTTCAGTTCTCATAAACTTCTACAGTGGAGGTGACGATGTACACGACCCAGACACCAGGATCGGTTATCTATCAATCAAATTCTTCTGACAAAACCCTTCGAATGATCTCGGTCATCTCCGGTCCGCACCGCAAAACAACCGCCGTCGCGTGGCCTCCGGAGTGCCACTCCAGCAGGGCCTTGCGAGATGCGGCCTTCAACGTGGCGTACAGCGTGCGCACCGACTCCATGGGGACGAACTCGTCGTCCTTGCAGCCCACCACCAGTCCGGAGAGCCGGCTGTGGTCAATCTGACTGTGCAGGTACCCGATCCAGGTATCGATGTTCTGGTGGTGCCGCAAAAATCGCCGGAAAACCGCAGCCGCACGCATCGGAGTTTCGATCGCCGAGCTTGTAATCGGCTTGCCGCCGTAAGTGGGGACCTTAGCCTTCTTGGACGTAGTCGACGTATTCGCATTCATTTTCGCTTTATTGGTACTACTAGAAGGCGCAGACGACCCCGTTCTTGGGGACGAGGATGTAGTCGCGGCAACAGATGCGGACGACCCCTCGTCGGCTTTTTTTCCAGCAGGAGTGCCGGCCTTATTTTTGTCATCCCGACCGGAACTGTCTTCGTCACCTGCCGAACGGATCTCGCCCGGCGTGACCGGATTGCGACGTTGCGCGCGTACCTGCGACATGTCCACCTTGGCTTGGTCGGCCAGCAGGGCATCAAAGTTGATCTCCTGCCGAATCCGCCCGTCCACGAGAACCGTGGGTGCGTGAGGGCCGCAGTAGCTGCCGATGCGTACCTCCACCCAGGGGTCCACGATCAGCAACACAAAGGCCGCGGCGAGTGCGCACCCTCCACCGAGAGAGAAGCCTGTGAAAGTGACTCGAGGTGGCCGCGTGAAGCTCGGGTACAGCGAATCTACTTCGTTCAACCCGTTTGATGCTGCTTGTTCACTGTGAGAACCGTTATTTCTGATGTTTTCCGCTTCAGGCGCATCTTGTTCATCCGAGCCGCTGTTTTTCTTGGCAGTGGTCGCGAAGCTGGGGCGCCACACGTTGGAAAGGTTTCGCGGGCCCCCGCGTAGCCGGGAGGACGGCTCGAACTTCGTAGATGACTGATGTGCCGTGTTGCTTTTTTGTTTTTCCTTATTCTTTTCCCTCATCTTCATCTTCGCCTGCTGTGCTGCGTCGTCGTCTTCCTTATCTTTAGCGGCGTTGGCGGCGACGATGATTTTTTGATAGTCGTTGGGGTCGATCGTGAGAAATTTGCGAAACATTGGGGAGTTGAGAAACGTGTAGGTGAGCGAAACCGCCTCAACGGTCAGCCCGGTGGTCAAATAACACACGTGCTCCACGGTGCGGCAGTAGTGTCGCACCATCTTTGGAGTTCGCCGGATCCCGTGCATCGGCGCGAGGGTGATCATGACAATAGTGTCCTGGTTCGCGGTCTTGTACGCCGTTGCGAGCCGGTAGGACTCATTCATCGTCATCTCTCCGGTGAACGGCAAGATGACGACCAGATTTTTTAACGCAGCCACCGAACGCGCCGCAGCGGACTCATCTACTGGTCCTGCCTCCCGCGGCGGCGCTGCGGACGAAGACGAACCCCCCGCCGCGCCGCCGGGTCCTGCTCTATCTGTTCTGTTCTTAGTCGTGCCGCTGGAACCACTGGAAAGAAGAGATGGCTGCACAGCGCCGACGACGGGGTTAATTCCGTCACCGCTATCATCTTTTTGGATCCTTATGCCCTTCTCAGCCTCGCTCGACCGTTTACTCCTTCTCTCCCGTCTGTCCTTTGGTGCGATTCCCGAGAGGGTCGACATCACGGAGTCCTTAGAGCGAGCAGGATCTGCCTCCGGGCTGCTGCTGTGGTCGTCTCCCGCGCCGTCAGTCTTGGTCAGGTCCACGACCCCGGCGAAGTTCCGCCACTTTCGCGCGGTCCGTCGGTTCATCGTCTCCGACTGGATTTCGCTTTCGTGCTCCGGACTCACAGCCAGTGGCTCCTGCAACAGATCCTCATTCACGCTGTCCGTGCCGGAACTGCTGCCTCCCGGTGGCGGCCGCGGAATGTCCCGAATCCACTTCACGAGCAAGAAATACCCGCGCTGGCACTCGTCCGGCAGGAACTCCGCAATGGGACTGGTGTACTCGTACTCCGACACTTCGAATTCAGCACCGTACCTTGTTTCGAGGACCGTTTTGCTACTCTTCACTGGGCCGCCTGGAGCCGCGGCGGCCCTCGAGTTCTGCCTTGAAGTCGCGCCTTGATGTGGAAGGGGAGGCGTAGAAGTTGCGGTTCCCTCTTTGCCGGTTCTTGCACCACTAGTCTCGTTCGTTTTCGTATGACTTCCACCGACTGATTCATTGACAGACGCGCTTGCTGTCGCGCCGGCTTCGTCTCCACCTCCAGCTTCGGGCAGCGGCGAGGAAGGTTTCTGTTGCTCGGGAAATACCCACTCGATGAAGTCAGATTTTCGCCGCCGCACCTCTTTCAGCAGAAAAATATCCTCGGTCGACCACGTGCCGGGCCAGTCCGCGGAGAAATCAAAATTGAAGGGAGGCCGAAACTCCGGGTCCAGGTACACCAAAGGCTTATTCTCCGGATCGCGTTTGGCGGCGGGCACTTCTCGGTGGCATCCCCAACCAGCCCAGTAAATGGCGTCCAACGGGCAAGATTGCCACGGAGAGAATTGATACGAGCCATTGGTACTGCTCTTACTGTCACTCGTCGACGCTTCATCGTAATCCTGGAGTCTCCTCCAGGATAGCAAATCCTGGCCGAGTTGTAGAGACGTAGCAGTGCTCTCCTTACTTGATGTCCCTTTGGCCACGAATTCAGGAACCGCGACACGACCGGGTTCATCTTCATCTAGGGGATCCTTTGTGATTTCCTCGGCGCTTTCCTCTATCCTTTGCGTCGCAGTCCGTTCTTCATCCTGGAAATCTGATAAATTGCAGAAGTCGTCCATTTTCATTGTCGGTTGTTCTTCTCTGCCAGCAGTTGCTGACATTAACAGCTCTCCTTGAAGATGCCCCCTCTCGTCCTCGCCGCTCGCGTCGGTACTACCGGTAATATTTGCGAGGGCCAAGAACGCCTCGCTCCCTCGTTGGAGTCGGCGCCGCGTCTGCAAAAACAGCTCGACCTTGGCAACCTCGTTGTTGCACGCATATTGCTCTGCCCAGACCGTCCGCAACAGCAGCGCACGCTGGGCGTGAAAGTTGAGCAAAATCATCATCCTCTGCACTTTCTCCAGGTCCCCCCATCCCTCGTCGAAAAACTGGTCCCCGCGGAGAAACTGCTGCGCGTGCGCGAACAGAGCGTCCATCGCCCCTAACGTGGAACTGTCCAGCCATTTCTCGATCCAGAAATTGTCGCGCTGGATGTATGACAGCCGGTCCTCTTTGTGCCGCTCGTCCTCCCGCTCGCCCGGAGCGAGGGCCGTCACACTCCTAGTACTGAATGCCCTCCGGTCACTTGCCGTAGCCCGGTACACCGCGTCGGCATCGGACGAACCGACCGTGCGCTGCCATTGGTTCTCGTCCGCGGCCCGTTCTTTTTGGCTAAAATTGTAGTCCTTATTCAGTCTTCTGCTCAACTCGCGATGGTCCCGCGGGTGCTTGCGCCCCCCGGCCGCGACCTCCTTGCGGAGTCGCAGCAGACCCTTGGTAGTCGTGCCGGAAGAACTGCCCTTAGTACCGCCCGACGAGGGTTGCCCACTCTTGTCTCGGACTTTTGTTTCGCTTTCCTCTCCGTCGCGACTCATCTGATCGAGGATGGCAGCCTCGTTCTACCTCTATAATTGTTAGCAGAGGTGGAACTACTTAGCCCATTAGAAGTCGGACCGGGCTTCGAGTTCGATGAAAACACCAAGACTTCTATCTAATATGCGATGCTGTTCTCAGCACAGCTCGCAATTTACTTCTGCCAAAAGGTAAACGTAAAGGTTTATTGGTTGATACAAATGAGATCAAAACACTGCCTAGTATGCGAATGGGGGTGTAATGTTACTTGAGTTCCTGGAAAAACAGTGCGAAGCGATCTTTCAAGTGCAGGGACTCCTGATTCATTCTCCTAATCTGCACGACCATCAGCACATAGAAGACAGACAGAAGCCGAAAATTTCTTTAACAAAACCGAGCCGCGTATACATAGCACACGAGATACCACGCTTTGCACGACCACAACCGAATGAAATTCGTTCATCTTCTTACCGAATTCACGTTCTTTGATAAGGCATGAGCCGATCAAAGACCTTCATACGATACCGAACTATGTTTGATACCGAGAATAGTGAGATGACACCGACAGCGTCACAATGGGTGAAACACGGCGTGGTCTTGTTCAGGTGTTGTGAAGACGATTCTACGGGCGTGAAAAGAAACCGCCCCTTCGTGTCTGTGGTCGTTTTAATTGACTGTGTGTTTATCAGATTCACTTTCGCAATGCATTTTTTACCTTTCGCAGACAAGATAACCATTTTCATTTTTCCATGGGTTTCTCCCGTCATGGAGTACCTGCATGGATGGTTGGAATTCATGAGGCCTTTCTTGGATGTAGAAATTGAAATTTGTTCAACGATAAAATACAGGACTTCAGCTTGTTACTTTTCTTGGATCAAAAATTGCAACCACGCAAAGAAACGAAAGAGGACAGACATTGATTGGCTTACATACAACCTCGTCGTCCTCTCCTCAGGCTTGTCAGAGGGAAAAAAAATAGAATAAACTGATCTGCTCAACCACATGTGCATTTCTTCAAAACTGGTCCTGGATGCGGGCCACGATATACACATCGAGCACCTGAAGCCTACTTCTTGAAAATGTGACCCAGATAGTAGATTTGCAGTTTTCATTATCATTGTACAAAAAAAAGAGAACTAGACGATCACTCATAGCATTTTCTTTCGTGTGTACAGAGAGCGTAAGGGTAAGCGAAACAGTGTGGGTTTTCGTTGCTGCCGCTACGCACTCCTGATTACAATTGTGAAAATTTGCATTGTTTTTAGCCGATGAGCTGCTTCTGCAGCTGCTTTTTACCTTGCGTTTTGTGGTCGTAGTCGCAAAGGTGCGTGTTGTCATCATCCACGTCGCCACCGTACCGGTGCTTGGAGCAAAACAGCCCGCCGCAGGGACAGGAAAATCCGGTTAGTCCCACCCGTTTGTTGCACACCCGACACCGGTTTTTTTTCGGTGGGTCGGGCTTTTTTGCCTCCGGCCTTTCGACCTCCATCGGCACCGGAGGTGGTGGCAAAGGTGGAGCGACACTTGCCGCAGCCGCTGACGACGGAGCCGGCGGGCCGGTACTTGTCTCGCTAACGTCTTCCGTAGTTGGCTTTTCGGTTCTAGTTCCACCGGCTCCATTTTCCGCAGCGGTCGCACCCTCACGCTCACCGTTGGAAGAAGACGCGACTGGTTTCAAAAAGACGATTGAGTTTACTGTCTGCTCGTTGCCATCGCTGGAGCGTGTTTTGAGCTGGCAAAGAGTGGCGGTACCATTTACGGACGGAGGGCTGCTGCACAGATTTTGTCCACTGGCCGACAAACTCGATCCTGCTTGCTCTGTTGATGGTTGCTCCGCCATTGAGCTATCTTCCTGCAGTGGCTGCGTCGAAGCACCGGCTGTGGATGAAGAGGACCCACGACCCGTGCTGTCGGCACCACCCGTCACAAAAGCTGCTGGTTCCATCGGTGGTTCGAGCTGCACGGTGAAAATGACGTGAACCTGGTCCCGTGCGTACTGCCACGCGCGCTGCTCCATGTCCTGCGTCCAGACGGCGGTGGGGGAAAACAAATTGTCCATCGAGTTTTGCGGTGAGGGCTGCTGCTCCTCCACCATAATCACCGTGTGGGGATTCCAATCTACGTGCCGCATGGCGGCGAAGGGCACGTTCTTCAGCCCCCTTGTGATTTGCAGATCGCGGGGGTCGATCCCCGTAGGCGCTTTCGGTTCCTTTTTACTCTGCTTTCTCCGCTGCCGCCGGAGCGCGCGGATCGCATCCTCCTGGGCGAGGCGAATGCGCGTATCGTCGACCATCGCATCTAAATCCCCGTAGTGGTCCCTCTCCCCTTCGTTTTCTATGTCCAACATGTCGACGTCGGGAGTACTGGAAGAATTGGACTGCGTTTCCTCGTGGGCTAAATTGTCGTCTTGCGTGGCTGCCGTCGGCTTTGCTTCGTCAACAGCACCAACGGGCATCGTGCTCGAAGATGAAGATGCGGCCCCACTGTTTCGAGGAAAATCCTCAGGTAAATCAGATCGCTTCGCCGCATGCATGATGTTCTGTGTGTGGTAGCGGATGTTCATTTTTTCGTTCGCGTTTGCTTTCGCAAGAACACTCTCCTTTGCTGTTTGGGTAGTTTCCGCACCTCCAGCAGAAGACTGCAGCCCACTGTCGTTCTGATTTCCCATAATATTCCCGGTTCTGTGGTTTCCCGAGAGGCCGAACGCGTCCTTGGTGTGCCGCCGGCGGTCGTACAAAATCTGGTCAAGGGAGCCGCTCTCAGTAAGGCTTTGCTGGTCTACATCTACTTCTGCGGCGTTCTGCTCTACAGTTGAAGCCGCTGCGTCTCCGGTGCAAGGCCGCGAGTCACTAATCGTGGCTTGCGGTGGCCCCGCGTTTTCTGCGGAAAGAAGGCAAGGGAAGGCCTCGGCAGCGGATTTCATCTCCGGTGCGGAACAATCGGTATCCTCCCCTGGCGTCGGACTAGCGTCTGTACTCGATGCTGCACGCACATTTTGCATCGGGTAGTGCGGACTGGGCGGGGGGCGAATATCCTGTGCAGAAATATCGCACTCGTACCAATTGCAACTATGCATGACGAATCTTGTCCTTAAGGTAAAACAGCATGACAAAGTCCAGCTCTCATGCTGTAATGCATTTATACGAATACGATACTTTTGCACAGGATACGGAACCGGCAAGGGCAATGCAGGACACGGCGCAGGCTTCGCCGTCGGAGCCTCCGCAAGGACAGCGGCCGTCGTAGTCGTCCCGGTAATTCCTTCACCGCTGCACACCAGTGTTGTGGTGCTCTCGCTAGGCCCACTCAACGAAACGGGCGCGGGCGGGAACACCCATCGCATGCCGCCGGAGTGCTGCCAGTCAAGCCGCATCAACTGTACTTCAAAGTGCTCAATGCGAAGCATGTCGATGGCGCTTTCGATCGATGCGCTTCCAAGAGCGTCGTACTTGACCGCGCGGCTCAGTTGGATTTCAAGTTCTGGGTTGCGCATGGCCTCGTACGTTCCGTCAGAAGCCTTCAAAGCCACTGGCGCGTACAGATACTGCAAGATACCGCCGGTCAGGCCAACGACGCGACGAGGCGCAGTGGGGTCCGTGGTCTCACTAGTAGTTGCCGCGCCCCGGCCAGTTGTATCGGTGGTCGACGAACCTGGAACATCCGCATTTGGCGCCGGCGCGAGCAGTGTCGTCGGCTTGGCTAAGTCCGCTGGATTGAAAGACGCCCCGTACTTTGTGCGCAGGGTCTGAGCTAATTGCCTCCCCAAGCCCTGCCCCGCGCCTTCTGTCAGAAAGTGCAATACACGACTCTGCAGGTTGTCGAACGTCTCATGTAGCCCTAAGAGCGGCATGCGAATTAGCACCCCGGGAACCAGATCGAACAAAACTGTTACCGTTCGCCTTTCGTTTTTGGGCGCGCGAAAATTCAGCGTGATAGCCTCCCCAGGAATTTTCAACAGCTTTGGTGCCAACGAGAGGTCTAGAATGTCCATGTCGCCGAGATTCAGTTTTGACCTTTTTGCCGTCTGTGGCTTCTTCGTTTGTTCCCGAGTCGTGACAGTCTGCAGCGCGGAAGTTTCCACTGCTGCAGCATTACACGCGGAGCTCGCAGCTCCCGTGAGGCGCAGCACTTCTTCCTTCACTTCTTCGTGCCTTTTTGCGGTTTTCACCAGATCACGCTTTAAAGAGTGCAAGTTCCGCTCCACTTCTGCTTTCAGTGCGCGCAGACGGCGAATCACGTCGTCGAGCTTGTCTTCGTGTCGTTGACGTGTGTTCGGGCTCGAGTCCGCAATTTCTTTTTCTTTTTGCTGAAAGGTGTCTACCTCCGATAGCAGACACGTTATCTCCTTGTCCTGTGCGTCCAACTCATCCGATCGAAGCTTCAGGTCGGCCTTCCGCTCAGCTGCATCCCCCTCGGCGACCTCGTGCGCTTGATCGCTGTTCTGCGCTACTAGAGGAGAAGGTTGCTGCCACGGTATGCGAACGTCTTCGAGGCCCATAGACTCTCGCTCGAACTCTTCGCTCGAGGCTGCTAGCTGTTCTGCCAATTGTGCGCGTTCCTATCACAGGAAAAAACTGTTTCACTGTGACGATTTTGGAAGATCTGCATCACAAGTTTGTTACACATGACATCATGCGTGCTTCCTAAGGGAAAACACAGCTAAAAACCCAATGTATTGCATGTGTAGCAAGACAAACACATTTGCGTTCCGTTCTATGCATCACAAGTTCACAGTGAAACAGTTTTTTCTTGTGATAGTTCCTGCTGAATCAGTAGCGCCTCCGCCTCCGCTGTTTGCTCGTCGTTCTCCGCGCGGCGCACAAACTTTCCCCCTTTGCCGATCCACACCTGACAAGAGTAATGGAGAAAGTGACTGGCTTTCTTTTCAAAACTGCATGTCATCGATCCAAATCAATGTGTGTGCAGAACATCACGCTTAGGAATTCCCAATACTGATGATGATGATGTTGGCAGTGTGCCCTTGAATATTCCCAATACTCAAATGAAAACAAAATTATAATTCGGTCCTCTTACATCGATGTCCGACAACCGGTTTCGATCAGAATAGCCCAGCACACTGGTGTAGTAGTTCTGAACCCATTTTTTGATGTCAATCACACGTGCCGTGCCAGTCAGAGGGTAGATGAACTCCAAACCGTCGTAACGAACCCGGACGCCCGACACAGGAAAATGCATGTTCAATGTCATGTCGTGCGAGACTGGGATTGCATCTGTGTGTGAAAGGAAATCAACATTGGCAGTAATTTCGTGTACAAGCATCGATACGCCAATTCTTAAATCTATTTTTATGTTTGTCTTTGTAACATCAAGTGAGTACAGTGCTTCCACCTCAGTCGAAGCACAAGTGTACTTGTATGGTGCCCTGCCTTCCATAAGTAATCACACTTCTCGAAAAATTTGAACTTCCACCATTTCGACTTTTGTACTTAAAGGTATAAAGAACGCAAGCATACCAGCGGGTATCGGGCGAACCTCTTTCACTCCGGCCATGGCGTATGGACCTGTGAACTTTGTCAGCACTGCATCAACATTTGCCGGCAATGGCTTCTTGGTGACACGTTCCCAAAGCGCCAAGGCGCGCGCCCGTAGACCCTGCCACGCCTCGAAATAAGTACTGCACCCCATGAAGAAGACTTCGCCGGGACGGTCGCTGAAGTTGACCTGGACCGCGTTCTGAATTTCGATAACGCCGCCCTCTTCGTAGAAAGAGCCGAGCATTTCGTGCATGTTCAGATCTCTTCGTCCCACCATCTTTACCAGTTTTGTAGGGGCTGGTGTCGTTTCCGCCACTTCAGTCGTTTCCTCTGCTGCTTGTTCTGCTTGCACCATCGGCTCGTCCGACGCCTCGGTACTATCTGCGTTCGCGCTATCGTCATGCATGGATGAATCTGACTCGGGGTTCGGGCTGTCGTCTTCCATGGCAGCTGACTCGGCAGAGGGGCTTGTAGCGCTTTGAAGATCTTCGCTTTCTTCGACGGCACTACTGGTGGATCCGGAGAAATCCTCCGCGGGCGAGGACGCCTCTCCGCTTTCTTCCGATTCTGCCGCAGGACTACTAGCTGGTCCAATTGCAGTTTCCGTGGCGTTCTCTACTCCGGTACTCATCTTCTGCGCATCTTCCTCCTGGGTCGTCCCTGACGCCTGCGGCCGATTTGCCTCCTCCTCCCGCTGCTGTTGCGCTTTGTGGTTCCGTTCCTCCTCTTCTGTGAGCGGTTCCCACTTGTGGTACATAGTGAGAAAGTGCGTGGGATATTGCTCCTCCGTTCGCCCCGACTGGTCGATTTCGGTGTAGTAGAAGTGTCTGACCCGCGGCACCAAGTGCGCAACCTGTTCGTTCGGGTGATAGGGAACGAAAATCACCCGACCCTCGTACTGCACCTGCACGAGCGGCTGCGGCACTGCGGGGACCAAGGGCACCTCAGCGGTCGCTTCCGAACTGCCGGCAGTGCTTGCTAGTTCGCTTTTGTCGTACTTATTCGTTTCGTGCTGTCCGGCTTCTGTCCGTTGTTTGCTTTGCGCGGTGTGGAAAGCCTTGTCCACAATGGACCGCACTAGATTTTTCACGCTCGCCTTCTCAATCGCCGCGGCTACAACCTGCTTCGCGAGGGCGCGCGGATCCTCGACGATGTCGTTGCCCACTTCTTCAGCAGGTACGGGATTATCATTGCCGACCGGTTTGCCGAGGGCCTCCGGAGGTGGGGATGACGCGTCCATTTCTACTGCCTTCATCACTTTCTCCGTCGAGCTCGTATCAACCGCAGTCGGCTGCGCGAGCAAATTGCGTTCCTTCTTGTCAAGCTCCAGACCGCTGAGCTCAAACGTCAGCGCATCCATTTGCTGGTCTTGCGCTCCTACAATTCGCGTATCTGTTCCCTCAATATCTCCTTCCGCCGTATAATCGGCATCCAGAGACAAAAGGGGCGGCGTCGTCCCCGTCGGACTACCGTCTCCGTCGGGGGAAAGCGACGGGCTCTGGGCCCAAGGCGTGGCTGGACTACTGCTCAGGCCGGGGCTGCATCCCGTGGGGCTGGCCTCGGTGGACTCTTGTTCGTAAGCGTCCAAACCGTGATTTTCGAGATTTTTCATGGGTGATGTGCAGGGACGCGGGTCGCCTGGGGGCATAACTTTGTCCACGTCAAGGTTTCCCAGGTGATACAAGCGGTCGCGGCTCCGCTCGAGCGCAGTTGCCGCGCTGTCTACTCCGCGGTTCGAAGTGGACAACGGAAGCTGCAGCATTTTCTCCACACTCCTGGCACCATCTTCGAACGGATGCGATTGCGCAGAAATGGATGTTGCAGTTGTTGTGCCTCTGTCTTCATCCCCACCCTCCCGCAAAGGGGTGCCGGACCGACTCTGCGGCAAATCATCTGCGTAGTGATTGTACCGCGGCTGGCGCAGGAACGATAGTGACGCTGCTTGCTGGTCCGCCACCGAGTGCTCGCCAGTAAGTGTAGCACCAGGTTGTAGATGGTCCTTGCTAGTACTGCTCGCACCGTCAACCTCTCCTGGCTCAGTTGCCACGGCTTGTTGATCACCGCCCGCGCCGCCGGCTGTCGATGTCAGTGAGCTGGTACTTCCGTCCAGCAGCAGCTGCCGCACACGTGACTGGCGGGGGCCAGTTGACGGTGAAAAGGAGCCCTCTGTCGGCTTCGGCAACAATAGAAAGGGCTTGCAGAGCAGGCAAATGAGAGTAGCCGTCCAACGAAGCCACACCGTGTCGGGTCTCATCGCCAACATCTTCACTTTAGCTTCACTTCAATGTCATAGTCACGTAGAAGCGTCGTTGTGGGAAAAAGAACAAAAGAACCAAAAACTGTGCGATTGGCGATAAACGATGAAGTGATGCCCAGGTGTAAAATCTAGACTCTTGACGATCAACAAATATTATTTGTTGATCCACATAGTTAGTTAATTGACGGCATCTATCTATGCTTCAGACCATATACAGAACACCAAAAGAATGAACGAATTCGAATTTAAATACCGATATCCGCATGAATTGCGAAGCTGCTACAGAATGGAGTGGAACACAGCGGTCGAGCTTGCGTCGCATTGCCGCGGTCGAACAAAAACACACGATCGTGTTCAGGTTCAATCTATCATAGTTGATACATTTTTGCTCATTATCTTTATGGTGTCGTTGTTGGTTTTTAGGAAAACATGTCGTCAAGAAAATCCTCTGCAGCCCTGCCGGAAGAACTTGCTTTGTCAACACGAGCTCCTGGTATGGGCTTGGCTGCCATTCGCTCAAGTTCCAGCAGATCTGCCTCGTCAATGTCAGCGTCGGACAGAGGACCAGCTGCCGTTGGCTCAGCCCTGCTGCGCCGTTGCAGCTCCCCTTCTTCATCGTCGCTCTCTTCTTCCGAGGAGGACGAAGATCCGCGTTTTTTCCGCTTCTTCTTTTCTTTTTTTCGCTTCTCCTTTCTTGCTTTCTTCTCGGCCTTCTTCCTTTCTTTTCGCTTCTTCTTCAGATGCACATAGTTCAGCTGGAAAGCGCAGGCCACGCACAATTTTATCTTGACCAGCGCCTGCTTCTGCGCCCCTTGTTCCATGTACACAAAGTTGACCTCGTAGCTTTTCAGATGGTTGCATTTCTCGCAGTGCTTGCTGCCGCAGACAAACTGTCCCTTGCCCTGGCGCACTTCTTGCGCGGTGCGCCAGCGAAACCCAAACTGGTTCCGCTTGTAGTTGCGCAGGTCGCCCAGTACATACTCCTTAAACAACCGGTCGTAGTACTTTTGTGCCAGCTTGACTGCTGCGCCGCCGGCGCTGCTGTGCCCGCCAGGATCCTCGTCCGGAATGAACTGGTGGAATTCGCGTAGCAGGGCCAGGTCGGATTTCGGATCGGGTCGTTTCAGCACGCGCGTACTGCTACTCGCCGCAGCTGCGTGTGCTTCCGACTGGGACAGGTCTTTGTTGGCTTCCCGCCTCTGGTACTCCTCTCGGCTGTCGGCTAAATTGTACTGCAGTTGCTCCATCAGGAAGCGATGCTTGGCCAGCCGCCGGCGCTCCGCCTCGTCCTCGGCGTGAATCGTTTTCATCCCCGCCTCCGGCTTCTTGTTGTCCACCGCGCTAGTGTGCCAGGAGGCATCCTGGCCGAATGTGGTGCTCCGGGGCGGCAAAATTTTCTCCTCGCCGATTCCCTCCGGTCGCGTTCGCTGCCCCACGGCGACCGAAGCGGACGACGTGGCGTTCGGATTTTGCAGCGAGATGTGCGCCCGTCCCGAAGCTTGCCGCAGCAGGTAATTTGTGCCGTCCGTGCCGGCGGTCGGGGGCGCGAAAGCCTTCCGTCGCTTGCCCGGACGCCGGAATTCGCTGTCCGAGGAATCGTCGTCCTCGTCCGAACCGCCGTATTTGTTCATGCCGCCGCCGCCGGCTTTCTGGTGATGAGAAGACCGCATGTCGTGACTGAGAAAATGACTCAAGAAAAAAGTGTAAGTATTTATGTCTCTACGTGGTACTGCTTTTATCTCTAAGTACCGTAGCTAGTAACCTGTGGCTGTGCTACACTGAAAAACAAAAGCAATCAAAAAAATCGTTACTCGTCCCTACAAAAACAGTCTAAGTTTTTTATTCTATCTATCAATATATCGCCACTTCAATCATGCGAGGGCCTGGTTACGGTTGGATCAGAAATAGCAACCAAGATTCTTTGAGATCGTCGCACGAAGGACTTCGACCTCAGAAAAAAGTCAATTCTGTATCTGTTCTTTTTTGAGTTCATATCGGATCGCCCAATTTCCAACTCCGTTTTTGGCCGCATGCTTATGCTAGAAGCGGATGCACAATCACCGCGGAATATACTGCGTCAGCATTGAATCCCCATGACGGCAGCATGATGATCGCAGGATTTGAGACAACGAACAAGTGTCAGAGTGGTCAACGTCGTCAGTGGCATCCTTTTGCTTGTTGGCGTACTTTTTAAAACAGTTATAGTATCCTTCGAATTCTTTGCCTTTTAGCAGGTGAAGCTCCAATAATTTGGCTGAGTACGTAGGCCACGACACATCACTGATCATCGGTAACCAGAAGTTCAAGCAATAAACGTGCGGATACAACATCATACCAAAAAAAATGAGGTTTGTGACTACATCATGGTCTGTCTCTAGGAGAAGTCGATACCTACTCACAAGAAGGAGGAGTGGGGTCCTAGTGTGTGAAAGCAGAGCAGTGCTTCGTCGAGTTTGCAAGTGCAACTGAAGCGCAAGTCACTATTAATTGTGGAAATAGAAAAGCGACAATTTGGGCCTGCTAGACTTTTCCTTTTCCAATTCCAGGTTTACCAGTTCTAGGTGTCATAGCACAGCCGCTTTGCCTTTAGGTTTGCTTACCACCCTCCGGGTAGAAAACCATTCAAAAAATTTAATTCGCTTCTTCTACAAAAATAAGCATGTAGAACGATCAAAACAATGAATCAATTATAGTTAGAATTTGTAAGTACGTTATTTTTGTCCTTTTTCACTTTCGAAAAACAAAAACGAGTTGTGATTGTCTCTCAACAAAGATGATGCACAACTAGTTTGTCTTCGCAAATAGGATGGGAGACGTGGCAGACCTAAAATTTGTCGGTATCGCCGGTGACAGTGTCTAGATGCAACGACAGGTCCTCCTCCTCCCAGTAGACAATCAAAGGAAACTCCAGAGACCGACGTTGTTGTTTATTTTATCTTACGCTGCTCGTACTAGAATGATGAAACAAATGAAACGCAACTTTATCAAACGTAAACAACATCAGGCCACTCGGACAAGCAAACAAAGCGAAAGACACGACCACCTTGTGTTTTTCGATATTATTTCGGTTTGGTACACATGAAACTTCATCGGGGGAGGTTCGAACCAACTGTGGTAGAATAATCCACTGGAGATGACGATCCCGACAATAGCAAAACTCCCTGCTGCTATCTCCGCAAAATTAAAAAAGCCGCCGAAAGAAATCGTTACCGTTCCCATTCGACGGATTCATGTTTGTTCTTTGAAAGAATTTACTGTCAATCCTCTGACAAAATCTATTCAGTTCAGTACCAGTTATCTTCTATCAATCTTGCGGCTGTCACGCCTAAAGCTCTTCATCAACATCAAACCCAATATCACAACCTTGTGTCGTATCCGCACGAAGATCATGTTTAGAGTCTTGTTCATCTTGGCGGGAACATTTCCTCACCCTGACCGCCTCCGCCTGTCACAATGGATAAGAAGCTAGTGCGGAAACAGATTTGGATCGAACTTTTTCAACAAACTGGAAAGGTAGGCGGACCAATTGCTGACGTCCGCGCGGGTCCGGTTCTGGACTACCTTTTCGATCGAAGCCATGCACTCCTGGAGTTTGCCCTCTCCGCGGTTGGCGCACAGGCCGTACAGAAAGCGCATCACCCGAAAATCAAAGTCGTCCGCTTCCAAGACAGCTGAGCCCTTCGCCAACACCTCGGCCACCGCGGCGTTCACGCAGTCTTTTACAGCGCGCTTGTCTGTGATTTTTAATGCCGCACTTTTTACTTTGGACGTCTATTAAGCGGAACAAAGAACTCAAACTTCCAAAAAGTGCACTTAAAAATTCTAGTTCCATCGATCCATCTCTGCGTAGCAAAAAAAAAAAAGTCACCTGAAAACTCCTCTTCGTGACTATTCTCGGGCTTGGAGTCTTGCTCAGCCCTCAGAACCTGTTCATCCATTTCTGCACTGCTTGCAACGGCGGTCTCGGTACCTACAAATCACGAGTTGCTTTGCTCCCACTGGTTCGCGCTTCTGTGTTCGCACCGCCTTCATTTTCATTGATACCAGTGACAGCATAAATCGCATTGAAAACGATAATGAAGCGCTACCGATTTGAAGCTCGCTGAACCAGCCTCAAACTCAACGTGAAATAAGCAATAAAGGCACCAGAAAGAACTAAACACTACCCGCCGCTGCACCTGACTCGTTATCCCCGTTTCGCTCCGACGCGGCGGTCGTTACCGCAGCACGCCGGTCACCGCGCATGGGTGGACGAAAGGACCCTGGCGCGAACTGGTGCGGGTTGTAGGCGTAGTAGTTGTAGTGATACCCATGATACCATGAGTCGTAGGCAGCCGGATGGTAGTAGAAAGCATGCATCGGAAAGTAATTTTCGCTAGGCCCGTAGGCGCCTGGAGGTGGATGTCCCCACATGTCGTAGTGGTGCGAGGTGCCTACGCGTGGTCCTCGACCGTAATAGTGTTCACCGCCCACCTGTCGCTGTGCCTGCTGCAGCGCTGCGTTAGATGTTGAAGCCGACGTTCCATTCGTACTACTACCTCCCATGCGTGCCACGACCGGGCCGCGAGGGCCACTGCGATGCTGAGAGCCTGACCGCGGATGATCGGTGGCAAGAAGCGCTGGAGCTCCGGTTTGCTTCATCGTGCTCAAGTGATCTTCACCCGCGTCGCTACATTCCTCGACGTCAGTGTTTTGCTGAAGATCTTTCTCCACAACGACGACCCCGCCGGCGGCCTTTGATGCCTCAACCGCAATATTATTGTGTACGCGATCGCCCACCGCTTCGCGCCCACCCACTTTTCCGAACAGTTCCTCGTCTTCTTGCAGCGTGGGCGTATCGAGCACAAGATCTGGCGAAGATAACAGCGACGTGCTGTCGTTCAATTTCTTGATCGTTGTCACGTCCAGGGTTGTGTCCAAGTCGGCACGGGTGCTCAGCAGCTTCGACGGCGTCGTGGACAGCTCTTTTGGGCGGGGCGGTGAATCGAACCCAAAAACGTCATTCTTGCTGCACATGCGGTCGTCCTGTAGTTCATCCACCTCTTGGTCTTCTTCCACCTGCTCTTTGTCAAGAACGCGACCACGCGCCTTGTTGTGCAGGTCGACGGTAGCAGGCTGCGAATCGGCGAAAAAGGTTCTCGACGGCGCTGGAGCAGAAACTACGTCCTGTTGTAGTTCCTTCTGTGCGCCAAAATTGCTCTTCACTTTCGCTGAATACGCTGCGGCACCGGGGACTTTGCTTCGCCCCGACCAAGCGTTGGTCGGAGTAGTGGACAGCTCCTTCACTTGGACCACCTCGACAGAACCGAAGTCCAACAAACCGGCCGCCGAGGGCAGAAGCGGGTCCTGCTTAACGGCTCCCAAAGCGCTAGGTTCGTTGTCATTCAGGCTCAAGCCCGTCTCAACAGCCCCTTCATCGTCATTGTTGGGAACAATCTTCACAGCTGGAGACGGAGACGAAGCACGCCACGCCTTGCGAATCGCCTCGGAGGTGCAGGTGCGACCCGCGTGCATGATTTTTGATGTGCGCGACGAATCCGCAGGACTTATCCGTTTCACGGCTCGTCCACTCAATATGCTGATCTGCTCCTTTTCTGACGCCGCAGTCGGTTTGATGTCGCCGGTAGTACACACATCATCGTCATCCGCAGCGGCGGCCACGGCATCGGCAATGAGATTCTTGCTCATCTTTGGCGTTACGCTTCTACTTCTCAGATCCTGCTGCTGCTCCTGCTGCAGCTTCGTATCTACTACATCTCCAGTCGCGGCGGGGGTTGCGACGACCGTCTTATTGACCTCCGATCCGCCTTCCTGTGTGGACCCTGCTGCGCTTCGCTGCGTGTGCGTCGGCAGATGCTTTCCGGAAAAACTCTCCCGCGTCCGTCTCCCGCCGTAACTGAACGATGGCGGATACCGGTACGGATCGTAGTGCCCGTAATACGGGGCCCACATTCCGGCATTGTGCGGCGGTGGCCTGATGTTGGGAGGTAAACAAGTTCATGAACGATGCCACCAAGCCTAAGTATACAACTACACACGCCTTACAGCATACTCACCTGAAGCAAGAGAACAATATGGAAATGCGAAACTGGTATCACTATCAATATCAAGTTAGTAAAATGACATCCAAGCTGGTGTTGTCCGGATAGTATACTTATTTCATGTACCACCATTGGCCTCGGTTTCGGGATTGCCAGTGTTGCGTCGGATATAACTCGTTGGCACGCTGATCGAAATGTGTAGTCCGCGAGTCCGCTCGCGCCCCAGCACCCACGCAACTTTTGCTACGATCATCTGTGCCGGTTTTCATGATATTCTCAGCAGCAGTGGGGCTTGTGCCGTCTGCACTCAAAGATGCAGTCACATCCTCAGACCTTTGCTTCTCTTCCGCACCAGCCTCCTTCGCACGACTTGGACTCATCACCAGCGACATCTTGTTGGGAAGCTCGATTTCCAAAGCGGCAGATGTTGCAGGTCCACTTGCGTTCTTGTCATTTCGGTCAGCATCCGTCATAGGCGCAACTTGTGCAGCTGCGGTAGTCGACGTGCGAATGTCCTTCACGTTCACGTCCTCCTCCATGCCTCCTTGTGCTTTTGCCGTAGTTGCACTCTTTTCACCCATGGCGGTTCTTTGTAGCCTGACGAGGTCCCGTTGGAACCGCCGCTTGGCTTCCAACCGAACTCGGGCGGGAATGGGGTGGTGCGGACGAGTGGACTTGTTGGTCATTTGCGACGGCAGTGTGACAAGTTCTTTACTACCCAGCCTTGTTTTGCTCACCGTAGAGTCACGACGACGACCACGATCATACCTCATGATACCAGTTCCCGCCTGCAAGCAGCTGTCGCTTCCCGCGCGCAGCCGCGACCGACTCGGAATGATCCCAGAGGTGGCCGCTGCACCTCTGTGCGATAGACCACGATAGTGGCTGTGCTGGTACGCGGCCGCGCCTGCGTACGGCGAAATGTGTCGTGAGGCGGGGTAGTAGCCCATTGATGTTCCGAATTGCGCATAGTAGTTTCTGGCGTTGTAATTGTAGTAAGCAGCGGGATTGTAGCCGTACCTGCAAAATGCAGGGTAACCATGCACGTCAGCCCCGCCGGGGCCTGCCCGCATGATCATGGGGTTGTTGTTGCCTGCTCCATTTGATGGAGGTCCTCCAGTGTAGGGAACCAAGCCGAGTTGCTGCGGCTCCGCACCAGTTGAACCAGAAGATGAACCTTCCGGTCCAGTTGAAACTGCTGCACTGGGACCTGTAGAATTTGGAGGAGATTGCGGCGCTACCGCAGAGCCGGCGCCCTTCCCCACCACCCCAGCGAGCGGTCCGGAAACCGGTCCCACAAAGCGGCTTCGTTGCCCCGGACCGTAGCTTGGTGGCCCGGCAAAAGCACCCGGCGGCATCCAGTAGCCGTAGGGTGAAGGAGCGGCAAACGGCGGAACCATTCCAGGGTGCATCATCATCGCGCCGGGGTGCATCATCATGGCACCAGGATGGAATCTCGCCCCCTTTCCGTTTCCTTTCATCATCTGTTGCTGGTAATGTGCATACTGAGCAGCGGCCGCCCCTTTGTGATGAATCAGGGTCATGTCACCTCCAGGCCGTTTGTTCTGCTGGTACGCCAGTGCCAGGGCAAGCGTTTTCTTTGTCTCTGAGAGAGGCTTCTGCTCAACACTCGACTGGACAGCAGAGGACTCTCTCCCCTGTCGTGGTGAACCACCGAGCGTGCCTTTGTTCGCTACGACAGGGACTACCGCTGTCACCGTGCTGGCGTCTTTCTGCTCTGCCGCTTGAGTACTTTGTTCCAAGAACGCCGGGCCAGCACACAGATTAGCTTGCTCTTTTCCTTCCTTGCTTTTTGGAGTGGACGCGATTTTCGTTTTCCGCTCACGCTTCTCCGACAATGAACGTTTCATCTGTTGGTTATTTTGGTCGAGCGTTTTCTTCGCTTTAGACTTGGACTTTCCCCGCTTTGCAGAAGCCAATAGCTTGCTGGCCCCTAATTCCTCGTCCTGCACGCCGGATGCCGCTGCCGTCACCGAAACAACCGGCTTCGTGCTGCTCCCAGCCGTGACATCGGACGCCGATCCTTGCTTAGTGGTCGACTTGCTGGTCAGAGGGTGTTCCTCCTCCGGATCTTGCGATGTTGATGCGTCGCTTCTACTTGGTGGGAACCCAGCGGTTGATTTTTTCTTCTTCTTCTTTTGGTGGTCGCCGCGCGTCTCCGCAGAAGCGCCACGAACTTTCTCTTCGCCTGAATCGTCCGCGTCTTTCTCTGCGGCGTCGCGCTTTCCACCTTTTGTCCTTTTATTTGTCTTGTCTTCGGCGCTGGTCTTGACTTTACGAGATTGCTTTCGCCGCTTCTTCTCCAGGTCGTCTCCGGTTGGAATGGGTCCCGTCGGAACTGGCCTAACCACGGCCAACTCGTGGTCAGCCTCAGCGCCTTCAACATCGCCGTTGCTACGCTGAGCCGAAGCACCATGATCGTACTCCCGAATGCTCCACTTCCCATTTTCGCCTTTCCGTCCGGAAAAAGACTTCGAACGGTAACGACCTGTTTTGTTTCACTACACGACTTTGCACTACTGCGAGTTCTATCTCGAGACACATGTAGCAAGAGTGAATGTGGAAACTTCAATCATGCTCTGGATTTCACACTTCTCCCGCCACAGTATGTAGCGGTGGGTAAAACAAAGTAAGAGCAACAGATACACGTCAAGAACTACGTCATTGAACGAAATCTTCGAGTGGTATTATACCGTAACTTCCGTTCCAGACTTTACCGCCTTTACCCTTCTGCGGCTGCTTCGCTTTCCAACCGGAGTCACCAAATCGAGAGCTCCACAACGATTTGGAGTCGTAAAACGCAGGCGAGGGGCCCTTTGCGTAACAAGCGTCGGGAGAACAGTAACTGGGTGTCGTCACCACAAAAGGCCCGGCGCCCTTGCCTTTCCCTGAAGATGCGTTCTTGTGCGGCAGCAATATGTTCGGCTGCTCGTCCAATGCGGTGCTGAAAGGGCCGCTGTAATTTTTAGTATTATGACCGAACAACATCGCTGGGTCACCAGAAGGTTTCATCGCTTTACCCTTCTGACATCCCCCCAACATCTTCGCCCCTCCTTTACCGGCAGCTTTAGCTCCCTTGCGCACGGCCTTTCCGCCGGTCGTGGGCCCCCCGCCAGCGCCGACCCCACCGCCATCGTTTTCAGCAACGTCCACTTGGTCTGCATCCGGGGAGGCGACGTGTTCCCAGGGACATTTCGCTCCGCGCGGACACCAGCCTTTCTTGACAAAATCCCAGCACGTGTTCCAAGAGGCTTTGGGCCGTTTGTTGTTGGAAACGTCCTGGTGACAGATCACGTGGCTCGGAAAGAATTCATCCTCCAAAGGAGGCGGTGGCGGAGCCACTTGGTGAAGAAGTCCCGGGAGCTCTCCAGTATCGGGCACCATAGTCGAGGTAGAAGGCGCCTGTGCGGGAACTACAGGCCAATTCTACCTTCACTCCAACCAGTTCTGTAAAGTAGGTACGATATCACGAGGACGTCGACACAAGCGCTTGATGAAACAGCACTGCAGCCGGTCCCTCTTTGCCAAGAACCTGAAAGATCGTTTTCGAAATTGAAGATGCGAAAGAAAATCACCGTTCTATGCTCGTCCGGCGTCGGTTCAATATGAATAAAGTTATAGTTAATGACACAAATACTCGTGCTGTTTCTGTGAAAAAAGCAATAAAAATACGCTTGGCAGTAGCACTCCAAACCAAGTGTCCGCCTCTGGTCCGCTACTGGAGTCGCGGTGTTTTTTCGTCAGATCACACAGAACTGCAGCACAAGTCGCAGAAAACTTTGTAGGAGCGAAGCAAAGAAGAAACTCAAACTCGTAGTCGATCACGATCACATGGAACGTTTTTAGTAAATCATTTTTTTACAACATCTTCGGAACTGATATTGATTTGACACAAACAAAAAAAGCAAGCAAATATCCGCGACCCATTTGTAGTTCTATTGAAGCCAACGAGCTGCATAAAGTGTTGTGGAAAACTACTTCATCCACATCTTCCGGTACAACAAGTCAAGCAAATCGAGACAGACAGAATGGGAAAACGAGTGGACATCATCATGCTCCTGCGGTGCCATGGTTCACGCAACAGATTTGAAAACAAAGCGGGTGACGAGTGAACACGTAGATTCAGACACGAAGATGCAATCAAGTCATCGCCCCGCATTACGAAAAATATCGTGATATGCTGATGCAAATTTCCATGAGACCGAAAGCTCGTATGATGACCATGTTAAAACTTAGTTCCTGCGTTGAAGATGTGTGCGTGGGAGATGAACGTGGAAGTTGCACTACTAAATGTAGCGCGCCATCTCTTCACAAAAATGATCGAATGAGTCATGACTTTCGACATACACAGAGCCGACGCGTGGCTGCATGCTGCGCTTCACATCGTGGTACCAACGGGGCCCAACCGACGAGACATTGCTTCGTCGTCAGAGCGGACGGGTTCGCAGGAACATAAGCAGGCAATTCCCGGCCCTCCTGATTTCCGCAGCCCATTTCACAGGGGAAGTGCTGCTGAAGGACATCGCACCGGTTTGCGAGGTGCAGGTCTTGCTCGACACAGCGCTCCTGATACGCATTGCATACCGTGTAGCAGGACGTCTGCACACGGGGGGCGGCCCGAAATTCGTGGATTTTGGGATCGAATAGCATCTGCTTCTCTGGTGGCAGCAAACGCACAGCACCACTCGACCGTCGCTCGACCAGGACCACTATGGTCTTTTCCGCCCGCCAGTGCGCGCGCACCCACAAAACGCCCTGCCTAGCCCCTCGCACGTTATGGATTGCAAAAGTGTCTGGCTCTGGAAGGATGTGAACTTGTGATGCGCGTTGCGCATCTTACAAAAATCTGTGTTGCATGGCTTGCAAAAGCTGTCCATCTCTGGCCATGCTGAGAGAGCATTTCTCATGCAGAATAGGCATCAACAAGGGGCTGCAGAAGCTGTGATGCTCGGCCCTGCATTGCAGACTTGGCAAATCTCGGAATCTTCCAGACCCAGACATTTTTGCATTTGATACACGTGGTCCTTGTACAAAAGAAGCGCCTTCCGCACTTCGGGGTACTCCTCGCGACGGTAGGCTAGCATATAACCCGCTCAGGTGTTACAATTTCAAACGTTACAATAGAATTTGGAACTTGTGTTGCAAAATCCGCAACATCTGGCCTACTCCCATAGGAGCGCGCATGACAAGTTTCGGAGCCCCAAACCCCATGAGATTCTGACGAAATTTGTATTGCGAAAAGCCCAAGTCTCTGTATGATACTCATGCTGTTCATGCAAGACAAATTCCAGACTCTATTGTAACGTTTGAGATTGTAACATCTGAGCAAGCCATATAGCACCAGAAGCTTTTCTGGCTCGTCCTGCGAGGCTATGGCAGTAGATCTCGGCCGTTCGGAATCCAGCTTGTTCTGAATTCGTACCCAGTCCATCTCCACGTTCGGGCTCTGGGGCACGTGTTCGTTGATGCCGTTCGCACTCATCAACGCATTCGGCGAATCGACCACCGCAGCAGTCTGCAGAAGCTGCTTCTCCCACAATTCGTACCCCTTTGGGGTGACCAAATATCTGTAGTCATACCGATCCTGTGCCGCCGACGTCAAATCTGTAGTTCCTTGGCTCAACAATTCGATACTCGGCGGGAAGAAGGTGCGTTGCCGGAGTTCATCTTGCAGCGCTGCGCCCTCATCTTTTTCACTGTTCACTTTCATTTCTTGAGCTGGGCCAGCTGCACGTCCTCCGGGGTTGCGAGACAGAACCGTGATGGGTGACCACTGTGCACGCAGGATTTTTTGCGCAGCGTCGGGAACCGCGAGATCGAAGCGCACAGTCAGGTGCTGCGGCATCAGTGCCATATCTGCGAGTCGCTTTTTGTGCTCCGCGCGCGTCACCGTGCTCCCCTTCGCATTGCCGACGTGATGGGTCCGCGGTACTTCCGGATACACGCAGTCGCCGAGGGGAAGCAAACGTATCCAGTGGTCCCAGCCTGTCGAAGGATAGTGCTGCCACTGTGACAGCACCTTCTCCATGATGATTTTCCGGTGGCTCATCCAGCCGAGACCAGGAAAGAAATCCGTCCGCCAGATGCGGCGCGGGTCGCGCGCACTGTTTTTGAATCCGTTGTCGTTCCACCCGGAAGCGCACCAGACGTTCGTGTGCTGGTAGTTGTCAATCAAAACCTCCATACCGCGGAAAAAGTGAAACAAATCGGGCCCGATGCTGAGGTCGTCCTCGAGAAAGACACCCCAGGGCGCCACGGTAAACGCTTTGCGCAACGCGCAGTGGTAGTGGCGCTGAATCGGATCGTAGACCCGGAAAAAGTCCGTGTTTTTGTTGACACCTGATAGCACCGGACGCCCCCAATCGTGGCCCGCACAGTTAAACAGATTCGGCTCCAGTAGATCTGCGGCGGTCGCTTTTTCCTCCTCCCGTGCCGTGGCGGCAGTTGGAGGTTGCTCAAAAGCAAAAGTCGTACTGAAGTCGATAACTTCGTCCTGCCCCACCGCGGGTTTCTGGCGGGGACTGTGAAAAACGAGACGCCGCTGGCGGGAATTCGCACTGAGGTACTTTTCCCGCAAGTATTTTTTCAGGTGCGCAACAGACTGGGTCGCATCGTAGCTGATCACAATGCGAAAGCGGCTGTCGTCCACACCGGGGGCACGAACCACGCTTTCCAACAGCTCCGGCAGGCGACACTCAGTGGGTTTCACAAATACGTGCGTCAAAATCGTCACGACGACCTCCAGCCCAACGCTGGTCGTTGCGGTTTCGCGTGCCCTTTTTCTAGCGCTTCCGCGAAGTCGTGAGGAGGAAAATTCGTGGGGTGTTTCTTCGGAGCGTTGCACAATGCCCAGAGAGTCCTTGGCGAGGTCCTCTGGTGATGCAGCTTCACTCGTCTTTATTGCCGGCAACATCGGAGCCGCTGGCTCCGGGGCGAACGACTTTTTTCTGGCAACGGCCGGGCCCAGGAGAGCAGACTGGTCCTCCCGCAGCGCTGCTATAGCTGCGCTCCGGTCCTTCTCACGAACGGCACGGTAGGGATCTGGGGGAACGAAAACTGCTGCGCGTTTCCGGTCGCGAATTTTCTTGCTACAACGCAACTCTTTTACGTAGGACGCGGACCCACTTTTCGGCTGCATTAAAACTTTTTTGAGCCACGCTTCCGCCAGCGGGTCGTTCGGTGCCGCCGCACTGTGTTTCTCAAGTTCCCACTGTCGATTGATATCTATCAGCCTTTGCTTTGCCCCTTCCGGCGGCTCCTTCTCCTGTGATATTCTACGAAGTTCGCAATGATCACCCCCTCCGTCTACCTGGGCATTCGCGCGCGCACGCTCTGGCTCGCAAACAAATCCGAAGCATTCCTCTTTGTGAATGTGCTCAGATAGTTCGCATGCGATGGCGGCGCCCTGTGCGGTCGGAAACACGACCCCCGCGTACTTCTCAAGGTTTCCTAGCGACTGGACCTCCTGGCCAACAAAGGGGCCGGCGAACATGCACTGCTCTCCGACTCGCGAAGGGATATGAGCGCTCGGCACTGCATCTTCATAATCTCGAGGCCCACTTACTATGTGCGGAAACATTTCCCGAGTAATTACGTACTCTTCCACGCGTCTTCCCTGGCCGAACTGTGACTTTATTCTGCCACGCGGAGCCTCAGCGTCGTTGGAACGGTTTGGGGCATCGCAGTGGTGTTTCCACAACACTTCTCGGAAAGCGGCCATCCTATTGTGGTTGAATCCGGTCGGTAGACTTGCAGTTCCTGCGCTACTTCTTCTGTAGTTGACCCACTCATGATTGTGACGAAAGAACAGGGATCGCTTTCTATCGGATGGCAGAGAGCCCATCACAAAGCAGCGAAGACTCTCCTCGTGCGAAGGCGCGGCTGCTCCGGTAGAAGATACCGGCGCGTGCGGCTTCGGCGCGAGGAGCTGCGGATGCTCCTTTAACACGCTTTGCAGAACGCTGCGGTCGGCCGCAGCAGTTGTCACGCCAAAACCGACGACCCCTTGATGGGCAGAGGGCGTCCCTTTGTTTTCCCGCCGTAAAGTCACTGCCTCGTGAATCAAATGCAGCGGAACTTCGACAGCGGCTGCGGGCGGAAGCGCGTCCGCCAGGTCAGGCACCGTGCAGGAGACCCCAAGGCACACATTTGATGGCAACGCTCCACATTCTCCCTGCGCAGCGTGAAGGCCACCGGGGACTGCGAGCGCCGTAATGAACTCCCCCAGCGGACGGTCGCTGTGCTCTGCGGCGGTAGTGAATGTGGCTGAGGACGCGGATGATCCGTGACCCACGGTAGCGGTGAGTCGTTCGCAGTCTACGGTGTGCGATATTACCAGTGGAGATTCTATTTCTGTCCTGCCGGGCGAATTGCTTTTTGTTTCAGGAACATGAGCCCGGGGCTGCGCAGGCGCATGCTCGTCCTCTAGTGAGGGATAAGAACCAACGGCCGGGTTAAAGTCCGCGAGCGGGGCAGGGGCTGGTCGGGCTATAATACTCTCGTCCGACCTGCGGCTCTGTTCTTCGCCACGCCATGAACTCGTCGTGCGCGGGTCCGCGGGGTCGGGAACTATCGCCGTCCTTACGGACAGAACGCCGGCATTCTCAGTTTGCTTTCCGCGAAGTTGCCAGGATTCCAAGTTGTGCGTCAGATCGAGGTACGACCAGGTGTAGAGCTGGAACAAAGCGTAGCACAAACTCCCCAGGCCAAACACCAAAAAAATGTAGGTACGCCGTCGCAGTGTGGTCCCGCAAACGCAAAGCTGCGGTAATATCCTCATCATTTTACTCCAGTGCGCACTACCAGTTCAACTGGTACCCGAAGGTACTACCACAGAAACAGATTCATCGAAGGCGAAACAAAGAGAATGCCTATCCTGAGAAACAGCAAGAAACCACAAAAGAAAAATGCTTGTATACTCCGTTCGCAAAAAGTAAAATGCAAAATGAATCGAAACAAACCAAAACGGCTCCTGTATAGCATACCTAGATACTAATCAATCCATTTCTACCCTCTACACGCACGAGGCAAGAATTCAGCACAATCAATTCAGTGATCGATTATGAATCCACGCTTGAGCATGCGCACTAGAGCGGCATACAAAGCGAAATGATATAGAAGCAGCGATCATTACCTGCAAAGCAAGAGCGAAAAAGAGTGAGAAAGAGAGTAACAACTCACTACAAAGACGGAACTATGTGATTGCACTGGGGATCGCAAAACCGAGTAAGTACTTAAGTAGCGCGCCACTGTCACGAGGCGCCTGCGGTCCCCCTTGTACAACAGCTATCCTGCAGCTTTTTGTGCACTCTACGGGAACACCACCATCACTAACAAAGCATGAGCCGCATCGACTCAACCCATGTGTTTTCTTCGTGAGTAGTCGTTATTCATGTGCAAGCGAGAGGAAGATGCAGATCGATGCACTTTGCAACGTTCATATTCCGAACCCAGCCGTGCATTCAGCTCCAGTGCGCAGCAGGCTTTCTTGGTTACCAGACCATCCCACGTGTTCACGGCTGAGCAGCAGCGGTATGACATGTGACACGATCTGCACCACAGCTTCGCGGCTTCAAGCACTACTCCCAACACTCATCTCCAGGCCCACGTGCCATCACCGAAGTAGTACACACGGTCTGGCGATTGCATTTTCAGCGGACGGTTGCTGTCTTTTGGAAGTTTGTCTCATTGGTACTAATTTGAAAAACAAAAGGGAACTTGACTGAGCTAGGTGTAGTTGGTGTTGGTGTACGTCGTTCACCACAATACAACAAAGCAAATGGCCCGACGAGTTCGAGTAAACGATAAACAGCAGTAGCTATACCTTGTAGTCCCTGGTCCACGCCTTGTTGTAGAGGTGCTTCGTCTTCGCTTCCGCTCGCCGCTGGCATTCTCTGCACATACTCCGGGTCTGCAGTTTTGCTACCAGCACCGCCCTGCGTGTGGTCCGTTCCCTTACTGCTGCCGGGCGCAGCTCCCGTGGCCGCATAATTCGGAGCCGCCGCCGCAGTGTTTTTTGCAAGCGTCATGGTCATCATATTTCGCCGCAGTCTTTCCTCAAGCGCATTCAGCTTGTTCAACAGCGCATCCTTCTCTTGCAAAAACGCAGGATCCACAACGTCTGCCGCTGTCGGGTCCTGTTGCTCCGAGGGCAGAAGACGATCACTCGTCGACCACTCTGGAATAAAAGCCTTTCGTGAAGAGGAGGCTGCGCCTCCCTCGTCTGTCTTCACCTGCTGCAGTTGGCTCCGCCGGTTCAGCACGCTCGGGGGTATGAGCGCCGCGGACGGCTCGCGCGAACGTCCGCTCGGGGAGAGAACGGACTGGAGACAATTGTAGGCGTCCTCCACGCATTGTCGCGCACGCGAGAAGCCAACTTTGGGATCCGGTGAGCGAGGCAAAAAAGCAGCCATATCGCACGACAAAGGGTCACCAGTCAAGTTGATACGTGAGGGGGACATCAAGTCGCTGCTGGTGCCCGCCTCGGTCGCGGCTCTTTGTTGGCGCGCCCTGAAGCGAAGTGCCGTCTCCCCCCGCCGGCGTACTAAAGAGGGATCAGGTATGCGTCGCCGAGACGGGGAGCTGCTGGTCTCCAGCAGGTGCGAGAGCTCCTTCTCGGACCTTGTCCACTCGTCTCGCAGCGCAACCATCCTCTGCGCTATGGAATTCTCTCGCTTGTGCAAATCCCGCAGCAGCTCGCTCCGTTTAAAGTCACTCAGTCCGCTGGTGAGCACGTTTTCTGTCGCGGCCTCAGCGACGTCAGCTCGTGCGACGTTGTAGAGTGACCCGACGCGATCTCCCAGCGAGTCCGTGCGTGACTGCACGATGCTGGGCTCCCCACCCGCTGCTGCCGCCGCTTCGAGGACTGCCGGTGGTCCGTAGGGCAGCTGAAGGAGCTCTTTTTCTTCCGCCACCGCATTTATTTCGTCGACCGTTGGCAATTCCGCCGTGGGCTCCTCATCAATGGAAAGGACCTTGTTTGCTGCGCCACTGGTCGTGTCTTCTGTAGCAGCTTCTACTTCTGCGGTTGTGGTCTCTTCCGTCGCATCTGGTTTTGATTTCCGGTTCACTTTTCGTTTCGCGACGACCCGTTTTTTCTTCTTCTGCGTGCCCGGGCTGCCAGAAACGGACTCCGTATCCGCCGGGATTACGGTCTGGTCAGGGGGCGCCGCTGGTGCAGTGGATCTTTCTTCGGGAGGCGACTCCGGGGGCGCCGGATCCTCAACCTCCTTCTGCGCGGCCTTTGAAAGCGATGGAAGGTCGTATTTTAGCGGACCAAGTCGCGCGCCCAGCTTTCCTACCAGCGCATCCAGACGCTTCTCGTATTCGCGCATTCGCTTCTCGAAATCTACCGGCTCTGTCTTGTTTCGAATTTGTGGTTGAAGTAGTACGTCAAATCGTCAATGAATGGCCAAGTACTTTTGCCAGTTTATGCTTGTACGTATTGCAATATGTGTTTAGTTCCTCCTCGTCGGCACAAACAGTATCGGACAGAAGGAGCGGTAGCTAGTTGCGTCACTACACTTCTACCCCTACCTGCTGAAAAGCAAAAGCAAAACTACTAAACTTACATACCAGACGAGGTAGGCGCACAACCGTTCTCCTCATCGCAGGAACTGATCTTGGACTCGGCTTCCGGAAGTAAGCACGATGCTGGCAAGATTGCAGAGAGTGCGCTACTTTTGTCTGACGGCAGGAGCACCCCGCTAAAGCCCGGCAAGTGCCTTCTACTTCCGCCGAGAAGAGCGGGAGGAGCAGTGGAGGAACTACTTCCGCCGATTTCCACTGAGCCTCGTACACGTTGTCGGCTGTCCAGTTCCTCCGCACGAGCAACCGCCCCCGCCGCAGCGGAATTTTCATCCGATGGTCCCCGGCTTCCTTTTGAGGCCCGCTGCAGCTGCTTGCCGGACCACCACGTACCGTAGTCGCTTTTCGCCACGGTGTTCAGCAGCTTTTCCGTTACGACTGCGGCTCGGGACGACACCGTTTTCGCGAAGTTCCCGACTTCGCCCGCGATTTCCACCGGCTCCTGGTCCCAGACATCGCTTTCGACGACGGCTTTGGCAAGCCGAGCAAAGGTCCCGGCCTCGTGTTCCACCAGTTTGCTCCGCCGCGAAGAGGCCACCGCAGGGCTGGTGGTGGAGGGGAACACCTCTACCTTCTTCGAGAACAATTCCCGCGCCTGGTCGGCATCTACGCGGATCTCGACGCCCTCGCGTAGCCTGGCCACGAAGTTCTTCTCCCCACCTTGCGGGGGACGAAATCCAGCAGGGCGGTACAGCGGACGCCGAAATGGACTCTCGGTGGCCTTACTAGTCGGACTTTCGGATTCTTCCACCTCGCCAGCCAGCGTGGCGAGCTTGGAAGTGTCTCCTTGCCCTGTCGCGGTCATTTCAACAACACTTATAGTCTCATCTTTTAGTTTTATTTTCCCAATTTTTGTGCAATTGCTATTGCCGTGACTGCTGCGCCGGTGCGGTAGAAAAGTTGAAGCGACTACGCCAGCGGAGAAAAGCTGACGACTCATTCGCAATGAAGGCCTAGTTGTCGCGATTCTGTATTCCTTCACCTTCTCTCATCGGTCTCTCTCGCAACGCATACGTTGTTATTTTTCTTTATTGAAAGACCCTCCACGGAATCGAGGTTGTCGCCATCTAGAAACGATCAGAAGTCACGAGCGAAAAGGCGCTAGGAGTTTCGAGGTACTTCCGCGAAGGAGCGCGGAACGCGCCAGTACGGTCTCATCTTGTGGTGCGTGATGTATATGGACGCAGTTCGCCCGGCTGTTTCTAAGGAGCCTTCTTTCAGAAGAAAGCTGCAGAAATGAGGATGCTCATGCGTGTATGTCCGTAGGCGTTCATTGGAAAAGAAAACAGTAATCGATAAATATGTGGTCGCTCCGCGGACCACGAAACGCGCCCTGTGGCTCATTCGTCTTCGCCCTCCTCCTCTTCTTCTCCCTCCGCAGCTTCTGCCGGCGCTGCAGCGTCTCCCCCCGCAACCGGTGTTGCTATAGGCAGACTACCCGCAGCCGCAGCCACTGGCGGTGGCGCCACGGCAGCGAGTGCAGAACCTGCAGGCGCTCCCGAGGATCCCGCCGACGACCCGACAATCGGCCCTGGCGGCTCTGCAGGACCCAGGGTTAAACGATGAGCCTGGATGGCGTGGGCCACGCCCGTGCAGAAGGTGCTCACGTCGAAGTTCTCCTCGTTCCACATCTCAGCGCGCGAATGATGATGAAAGGTATTCGCGTGCTCGGGCTCCAACTGCCGCACGAAGCTCTGCTGCACGGCCTCGCACAGGCTGCGTTCCCGGGGCAGTTCTGCAGTCGAGCACACGGACTTCATCCGAGCCCCAACGAGACTAGGGTCGCCGTCAACCGAAAGAATCACCGAGACGACCATCTCCTGGCATACCGCGAAAAAGTCGGGGTCGGTATGCTGTGGAAATAGTCAAACACATTGTGATTGCAGATTTTGATATAGCATGATGTACACCGTTATGAAACAAAAACATGCTACCGAAGAAAAGAAAGAAAAGAAAGATAACAAGCTGCTTCAACATCTTCTAGCAAAAAGCGGCGGCTCTGTTGACACCTGTATATCGCTATCGTCAACAGAAATCTGTGTGCGCAACATCGGTGGGTGTGCGAAGGGAATCGCACCGCACTGCATGTTGCCGTCACGCTCCCCCCATTCACACATTTCCGTGTCCGGAGCGTGTGGCAGACGGTACTGGACGCAGTTCTCCTTGCTTGCAAACTCAGCACAGAACCCCGTACGCGTGACACAGGAAGTGCCATTCACGTCAACTGCACAGGCCACTTCAGCAGCGCACTGTCCAGGCGCCAGCGCGGCGCAAGCGTCCGTCACGCACGCCCTTTCGTGCTTCCACACGCACATCTTCTGCGGGTCTGGCAAGGTGCTTCCGGCCGCCGTCGCGTTGGATGTACTAGCAGTAGAGAAACCTGGAGTGCTGGCGCCACTGAATACCAGAGACCCACCCGCACCGCACGTCGCCTTGGTAGTGTGCGTCGCACAGGCGTCGAAAAGACAGCGGTTGTTGCGCCACGCGCAGCCGTCGCGTAGACCGTGAGCGGAGCATGCAAATGAGTCGGAAAACTGCTGACACAGGTCCGTGTCGCACTTCTGGGTCCCCGCCGACCACTTGCACCACGGTTTGTGGGTGTCACAGGACTCTTTTTGGTCGTAGTGGGGGCAGGCGTTCACGAAGCAGACATTGGTTTCCGCGTTCCACAAACAGGATGAACCTTGTGGTCCACCTCCGGTAGAAGTGAGCTGACAGTCTGCGCGTGTCCGCGCGCGAGCGCACCCGGACTGGTCGCGGTGACATTGCGCGTCGCCCACACGCCATACACACCCGTGCGTCGGCCCGTGGTCGTTGCAATCGCTGACGGACTCCTTGAACGGGCACACATCGGTCGTACACAGATTCCCGGATGTCCACACGCACTGACTTCGATCATGGCGGTCCGGCATGTTGATAGCAGCACGAGTGTCTTTGACCAAGAACCCTTTTCTCTCAAGCACGCGAGTGCTCTTCGACGCCATCTTGTGGGCAAGAAACGCAAGTGCCCCTCCTGCTCCGCGAGTATCCCCCGGACTGCTCGCCGGTCCGGTAGCGTTCGGTTTGATGTTCATGCCCCCACCTTCGTCCGCGTCACCGCCCTCACACTCCGTCAGGCTGGTGTGCAGACCGCAGGGGTCCGGACGACAGACTTCCAGGTCCCGGCTCCAGTGGCAGTGCGCTTCGTCGTCGCAGCTGGCCCGGTATTCGTGGCGCGAGCAGCTGTCCATCACACACAGGTTGCCGGTCCAGTGGCACCCGGCGCGACGCGTGCACGGGTAGGGCGCGGTTTCCGTCATGCACCCGTCCATCACGCACTGCCCCCCGGCGACTACTCCGGGCGCGAAGTGGTTTCGGAACGTGACCACCGGTTCGACCGCAGTCGCGATCCAGGTGCAGTGGTGGGCCATGTCGGCCTATTAAGAGGAAAAATCCCCCCTCCCCATATCGAAAAGGTATGTTTCCGCAAATTTGTGTTGCTGATTTGAGACCTCAAATCACGTCTGTCTTGCAAGAAGGCAACTCCACAAGCTCCGCAGCATTGTGCAGGCGGTTTGTGATGCTGATGGGTCTAAAGCGCGGACGTTTCTCATGCTAGACGCCTAGGCCAGAACCTCGCTACTTAGGCTTACTTAGTATGGGGCTGCATTCCTCTCCAGCAAGACAGATCTTATTTGTGTACGCAAATCCTGCATCAGAAACTTCGTTTTGATATGGGGAGGGGGGATTTTTCCTCTCAATACGGCCTCGCACCCAGACACGGTTGTGTGCGTGTCGCAGACGGAGTGATGCTGCACCAGGCGGTATCCTGAGTAAAAACGTCCCCACCCCAGAGTTGTCATGCAAATCCGCACGCCAAGAAAGTTTCTCATGCGGAGCCCCATGAGAAGCGTTTCCTAGTCGTGTTTTGAAATTTGTGATGCTAGAATACGCATGATATGCTAGATCTGTGATGCTGCTTAAATAGCAAAACAGGACTACACTACGACAGCAAACTTGTCATGCAAAACAGCCGAAGCAGGTTGATTTGTCTAGCAGATTTCCCATCTTGACTCTGGTGTGGGGACGTTTTTACTCAGGATAGGCGGCTGGCCGCGCGGTCGTGAAGATCAGGGGACATTACGACTCCAGCCCGGTCGTACACCGGCGCCACCGCTGGGTCGTCGCGCAGCCCGTGCTGGTACGCCGCGGTCCCGGGCACAAAGTCGTCGAGCGTGTCCGCGGTCGAGTCGGCCAAGGCGGCGGTTCTCGCGGCCACGTGCTGCGCGACGTCCTCCGCCATGTTGGCTGCCTCGTGCACGCGAGCACGAACCTGGTCCGACACGACGGCCCCAGACGCATCCTCCACGGCCCGGTCCGTCAGCTGCGACAGCGGCGACTCCACCTGGTCAAACGGATCCTCGTGCTGCAGCATGCGCAGCGAAAGTCCCTGGTCCATAAGTAGGACGACCCAGCTGCAGCAAATAACCGGTGCTACCAAACACCATCGCGAGCGCGCGGACGGACTTGCTGCACACCCGCCCATGCTCGCTCTGTTTCAAGTCGAACCAGGCAAGTTCATAGTGGCGGGGGCGATACAAGCGATACTACTTGTATCACACTCGTCCTGCCTGGTACAGCTTTTGCTGTGAAACGATGTTGAATTCTCTTTCTGTTCCACTCATGAACATTTTGGGCCTTTTTCGGCACGGAAAAAATCACAGGCGTATGTGTACTAACTCGCTTTCGCACTCGCAGGCCAGGCAGCACAAACATGGCACAAGAACATGAAGCATGTGTGCCTCAGTCACATTCTCATCAAACTCCGTTTGCCCTCATAAGTGACCTGTTTATATATCGGGCCCTTCCAGCACTCCGTGCTCTATGTGTTTATGAAAAGTCCACCAGGTTGGCCGCACTGTTTCTGTCTGAGCAACAAAGAACTGTGAGATCTACCCGGAAGGAAAATCTGCGTGAGCTGCTCCGCAAATGCTCGCTTTGTCCTTCGTTTTTCCTGAGCCTGAAGAGACTTACTTTGCGTCGATATTAAACGCTTCTGTATTCTCAGGGTTCGTGTCAGCCTGCATCTGAATGTAATTCCGCGCACATGTTCACTTTATATCGCGGCGAGCTGTTGTTTTTGCAACGGCAGCTCTAATTATTCAGTTCTTTGTTTGTGGTTTTGGCACTGTCTATGGCACTCGCACTCTTGACTTCTGCATTTGACAATTTAAAGAAAAAGAAACTACAACTACTGGCAGTCATGTACGAAACAATTGAAACGATTTCTATTCTCACACAGGTGAAGGGATAATTCTCGTACGGCAGCGAGCATGAAACAAGTTAGACTTAGAGAGTAGAGCAACAGCGAGTAGAAGCTCCGCGATCCCTGCCCAAGGGGGCACATACCGAGAGCGCGCTCAGTACTGCCTTGGCGCTTGGTTTCGCATTTGAACGTGAATCCGCTCGACCAATTCCAAGATCCGTGTATTTTGGTCTTCGAGCTGCGCGACCTGGTCCTCTACACGCCGCAGCCGGCGCCAATCCGCACTGCGGTCTGGGGATCCGCGCCCGTGATCGGCGCGAACGCGCTCCTGCACCTCCGTGAGTTGCTGTATCGCGCGGAGGATATTGTTCACTTTCGCCTCCACCCGGTCACTCGCTTGGTACCGCTCGGCAAACCGGCTGTCCAGCCAGCGAAACCGGTCCTGCAGAAAGTCGCTCATCTGCCGTACACCCTTTTCGAGGCCCGCTGAATCGAAGCCCTTCGACTGCACCAGCTCGCCCGACTTTTCCAACAGGGTTGGCGCCAGCGCCATTTGTAACATCTCCGCCGACTGCGCGATCTGGTTCACATCGCTTTGCGGCGGGCCGGAAACTCCCCCACCGAACAACGGCGCACCGCCGGGACCGCGGAGGTGCGGTGGTCCGCCTGCTCTTGCGGGACTACTCCCTCCCCCGGCGTTGAACTTGAAACCGGTGCGACTCGGGATCATGTAGTCCAGCAGAGTCTCCATGTTCTCGGAAGCCCGTTTGGAGTAGGCCAGGGTCTTCGTGATCATGCGGCAGGCCATAGTCAGTGTGACTTCCTCCTCCTTCTCGTTTTCCGAAGCGTCGTGGGCGATGGCCATCGAGACCAAATACTCCGAGTTGTACTTACTCATGCGGGGGAAGGCGCGGCGCAAGGAGCGCGCGGAGACAAACTTGTCCGGGTGCGCTGGGTCGTCGTCGTCCTCGAACTCGCAAAGCAGGTACCTAAAGAATCGATGCTGACCAGCATTGGGGGTTCCACCACAAGCTTGTTCCATGAACAGACACTCTACTCCGAGACAAGGATCGATACGCGACCGAGGGGGGGTGTCCGAGATAAAATTGCAATGACTGAGAGAAAATATAAGGAGCCGAGCGCCAAGCACAGGCGCGAGATGAAACATATCGACCATACCAGATGTCCAAATGGCCCTTGGTTTCGTTCATTTGCCGGTAAGTAGAGAAAGTCTGCTCGATGATCGTTTCTGCTCCCACCTGCTTTGCGTCTGCCTTCGCGAACTGGTTCATGACAATGGCGAGCAGGATGTTGAACATGATAATGGTGACCGACCACTGGAAAAGCCAAAACCACAGCGTGCCGCAGGCGAAGTCCAGCGCAGTGGCGCCATCTTGTCCAATCAATTCTTGAAAATCAAAATCTCCGAGCAAAATGGCGAACCCGGTGTTCAGCGAAGACGCCAGATCACTGAAGGCACGAATCCGGGACCCGAACAACGTCTGTGCTGTTGCCATGAACGCCAGAAAAATCGTCATGAACACCACGAAAAAGTGCGCGATATCCGAACTGCCATCCACGATGGTGCGCGTCACCACCTCAAGTCGCGGGTTCGCACGAAAACCCTTGAAGAACCGCAACATGATGATTAGCAGGTAGATGCCTGTGGTCGTCGTGTGGGGGGAAAATGATGAATGGCTTTCCGGTAAGGAGGGGAAAGGAAAATTTGATATTGACTTTCCGGTACTTAGCAGAGCTGCGATAGACATAGATACGTTTTCTTCAGCAGCGAAACGAGTCGCAAGTCAAAGTCATCTTTTATACCGATAAAGACGCGGAGCAGCTCGCAGGTGGCCGCAATGCCGTCCGCGGTTTCGTGGAGGTCGTCGAGCTGCTGGTAAAGCTGCTCGTACGTGTCCACGTCCGGGGCGTTGTCCACAATCTCGGTTGGCGTCAAATACGTTTGCTTCACGGAACTGTGAATCATCTGGTCCGCGGTCCCACTAACTTGCGGGAGCTTGTTGATGTGATCTCGAAGCGGGCCGCTCACCGAGAGCGCCATCTGCCAGAATATTCCGGACAAGACAAAGCCGAAAAGGATTGACAGCCAATCTACCTGTGGTTCCAGTTTCGCCGTGCATCACGAGTACTAGCAGGTAAGAAAAGCCGAAACGAATTTGAAAATCCTGCATATCATTTTTCCTCCTCCCATCCAAGCAAAAGTCGCAACATGACAACTTTTGCGGTACTTACCATGTTCCAAAACTCCCAATAGTCGAAGAAACCGTCAACGCCATTTTTGATTGCGGGAATCAGCTCCTTGGATTCCGATATCATCATCTTGACGAGCAACTATCAAGTGCAAAAATGTCTGGGTCTGGAAGAGTGCATGTTTGTCATGCTTGTCTGGCATGACTCTTAAATATGTCATGCACGCTACCCAAGAGCTCCATTTTTCTGTGATGCAGAAACGCAGCTTGTCATGCAGAATAGGCAACACCTAGAGGCTCAGAAACTTGTCATGCTGAGCCAGCATTTGTGGCCTCATCATGAGACGCCACCCAGCATCACAAGTTTCCAGACCCAGACATTTTTACATTTGATAGCAACAGCACGTAGACCAAGTCCAGCAGGTACATGGTCCAGTGATGGTAGGGGTCTGCTAGAAAACTCGTCAGGCGATACCGTATCACGAAGAGGCCCTGCCGCCGCCACAGCAGTTCGAGATGCATTACCGTGAACATACCGTAGTGGGCGTTGTAGAACAGCGTTCGTATACGAATTTTCGTCGTCATACGGTTCAACCATACCTGCAGGAATAGCATATGCGAATGGGTCACTGTCATGTGCATGACAGACGTAAAACAAAGATTGATCTATGTCTATGTGCAACTGAAATCTTATTTGAATGAGAAACGAACTTTTCTCGCCGTCATCATTCAGAAACGAAGCGAGAATTGTCAAAATCAATGCAATTCATTACCGACTTCGACAAGTCGTCCGCCTTTGCGCGCATGTCTGATATTCTTTCTTGGTAGAGAAACCATTGCGTGAGTCTGCCTGTCTTTCCGAAGTCTTCTTCCACTTCTGCACCGTCCATGGGTTGACACTCCCCGTCCAGCTTGCCCGCGAACACCGCCTCCGGGTTGTCGACAAAGGCCGTAATCAAAGAACCGCGGTTGTCGTAATAGGGGATCAGCTCGCCGGCCTGCATGCAGTCTTCACTCGCGACTGCGAATTTCTGCAGTCCGACGCCGCCTATTACTTGGTTGAAGGACGCCAGACGGCCGGGGACCGGAAAGTCGCGCACCAGCTCAGAATTCGTGCCCTGGCGAAACATCGCGTTGACGAAGCTGGTACTGAACCAGTCCCAGAACGTTGGCACGTCGTGGACGTCCCGCATCAAAAACGGGCCTTCGTGGTTGGAAATCCCGCCCTCGCCCGAGATTTCGTTTTGAATCGCCGCGTGGAGCTCGTAGGTTTGCCGGATCTCCAGGTGTGACCCCATCCAAGCGAGAAAGCACGTGAAGAAAACGAACGTGAAGGGCAGCGAGAAACAGGCATCGTTTTTGGTGAACTGGAATCTGAGATACGTGACCAGTTGGGGTCGCGTGCACTCCTCCTGCGTTCTAACGTCCTTTGCATTCCGGTCCCCGCGGACCTCCTTCAGCACAATGTTGAAGACTAGGGATCCCTGCGTAATCGCTTTGAACAGCTCGTCGACGGATATGACGCCGTTCCCGTCCCTGTCGCAGTCCTCCGCCATTTGCCGTACATTCTCTTCGGTCAGTTTGCTCCCGGGCATCGCACAGAGCACTAAGAGGTCGTCAACCGTGATCTCCAACGGCTCCGGCTCCCCGGTGAGAGGATTTTTCCTGCCCACCTTCTTCGGACACAGACACTCGAACAGCTCTTGCACCTCGGGACGCGTAACGGTGTGGAGTGTATCCGGCGACTGCAGCTTCTTGTACACCGGGAGGCGCCCCAGCTGCTTGATGATGCGGTCAAACGTCGCCTCTGCCATCGTCGTTTTGTCTGTAGTGAAATTACATTTTGCACTGCAGGCTGTGCGCTGGCTACACAAAAACAGAAATTCTCTTGCGGAAGGCCGAAAAACCGCAGTCATCAGGCCGTACTACTAGCGTTCCCGGTTTAGGTCCAAAATGTCACTTAAAGCCTACGGCATACAAAGATTCTCGTCCTATTGGACCCGAAAGATGTGCTTAAACACTACCCAGCCTCCCGGGTTCGATGCCCATCGGTCTGGAAGACGACGACGTGGAACTCCCATACTGCAAATAGGCTGATCCGTTCGACGACGCGAGGCTGTTGGCTTGCTGCATTTCCACATGCTACGTTTTCGCGCCAAGCCGTCCACCCGACCAACAGCCGCCCTACGAAAAGACAATGGAGATACAGATACTATCTTTGAAAGAGCAGAACTGGGGGAGCATGTTTTAGCTGCAGATTTTGTGAAACGTCTAGGAACATGAAAAACATATACGGTCTCTTCAATTCAAAGTTGTTTAGCAGAGCTTGTCGTGCAGAAGGATTGATACAGAGCTTGCAACGCCATGAGGGTTTCGTCTACAAGGGACCAGAGAAATGCTGCATTTCAGTCTATTTAGCACTCTTTACCTAGAACTCTCTCGAAATATTTGCCACACCATCACGCGAAGGCATTGCGGCTTAGGCAACAAGTAAATGCTGAAAAACGCCCCATATAGTGAAACTTGCTGGGCGACAAGCCACCCATGCATTCCAAAAATTAAGCGAGCCTGTCGAAACTGAACAACGAGAGCCACCCAGAAACGGAAGACATCCTCATTTAATTGGCATCGCTCCTCCATGAGCTTGCTCACTGTCACACCATGCACGGTGTCTGTTCAAGTTCAACATCATAGACGATCAACAAAGCAGTCGCCAATCAATCGACTTAGTGCTTGAAACGGAGCTGCCAGTCCCTCCGGATGGAAAAAAAAGATAAATATACACTGACACGCTGAATCAATCAAAGCCGCCTGAGCACTCAGCCGAATTCTCTGCGTCACTTTTTGTCATAGCTTTGATGTTATGCGCACCGCCGCACGCGTTGACGATATCCTGCTTTCTTCCGCACTGTTGTCCTGCTTCACTCCGCTGCTTTCCTTCACCCACCACCGTCGACTTGAATCCGTCGAAGCGCTTACCGTTGCAACAGCACACCATCGCCTTTGTCGGTTTTTCTATTTCCCCGTGGATTTCGTGGACTTTCAGCATGACAGCATTTCGTGTGCTGGCACAGCACTCCGCGCAAACGACATCGCAGTTTTTTTCTGCTTCATTGTGGAGTGTGCCAATTTCCGTGTCCGAAAGTTTATCATAGTTGTTTCTCGACGGGAAGGCTGATGTGGTCCCATCAACGCACTCGCAGACAAAGTGGAATCCTCCCTTTTTCTCCTGATTGGTTGCAACTATGTTCCTTGCCAGGTTTGCCCCAGTAACGAACAGGGCAGTACCAAGTGGTTTCTGTTTATCTAAAATAGCGACAGCTGGATCTTCGGCATCACTTCCGACGACTGCCTGTCGTTCGTCTGTGGACTTGACCTCGTCCGCAAACTCGGTCTCGGCCACCGGGGGAGGCACTATCCCATGCACCGTGCCCACAGCGAAAGCCACGGTAGCTGCAAACAACAGCTTCGTGGCAACCGCGAGGGCCATTCTCGCATCCAGCTGTGGGCTGGCTCACATACTGTGGGCTTAAGTCTACAGCTTTGTTTCCGCGGGAGTGAGTGCCATCTTCTTGACTATCCACAATACCATCTGCGCAGCTGGCTTTAGAATTCTCCACTACGCGGGGAAAATTGAAATGCCAGTGCACTGTACTTCACGTGGCTCTCCACTAGCCGTCCTACAAATACATTCGGTCTCTCTCGTCAATAGTATCATCGCGCTCACGCTCTCAATAGCATCCTCGCCCTCTTTTTCTCAGTACCATTTTCGCGTTCTCCAGGTGCACGTCGAGCTCGAGCCCGTAAGAACACCTCCTATCAACAAATGTTCATTTCTGTGAATTTTTCGTTTGATGCATCGCTACGACTTGTGCATTTGCTATCAGCACATACAGAGAAACGAGTGCGCGTCCCGAAATTTCACTGGCAAGCATCACATCCTGTGTTTCCGAAAGCGTAATCCAGTAATCCTGTGAACTAAGTAATCCTAAATCGGGTGCGTAATATGAATAAACAAACTAAGATGGGGTGATCCAAAAGTAATCCAAATAATGTTGTTCGCCAAAAGTAATCCAAGTAATCTAAATAAACACGCCCTAAACGGTGATGTGCTTGCGTGAAACAAAACGGCGGGTGAGACAAACAGACTCAACTTCTTTGTACATACTGCAACATCTCGGCAATCGCTCACTTCGTATCGTGCATTTTTTACCGCCTTTCACATGGATTTTCGTTTTGTATTTCTCCTTCTTTCCGCGAATCCCGTTTTTTGTCTCCTTCTCCTTGAAGATCACCACCTAAAAATCTTACAAAATTCGAAATCGGTGGCGCCGTTTCCGCGCAAAAGAAACATCCAGCGCCTCACTTGTAGTGCGCCAAGGTCAGATCGACGTCGTCCGAGGCGTCCACGAGCGACACATTTTTGTCTGTGTCCGCGGAGATAGTTTGCAAAAATTGAATGACCTCCTCGATCGCATCGATGTCGGTTTGCTTGGCCAGCATTGCGTTGTTGTACACATCGATTTTTTGCGCGCAGTTCCCGTAGTCTTCCAGCTCCTGTTGCGCGTCGTCCTCCGCAGTCTCGGCGTTTTCCAGGGCCGTCTTCTCGGTGGCGAGCTCCTTCGCGAGCTCGACCTTTTCGTCGGTTTTGCCGTTCTTCAGGTCGGTGAGCTCCTTGTGAGCCTCCGTCAGCTCCTCCTTCTCCTTGTCGCACTTCTCTTTGGACTCCGCGGCTTCGGCGATGGTGTCATCGAGGTTCTTGGCCAGGTTATCTTTGATCATCAGCAACATGGTCACCACCTTTGCGCCCCCAGACCGGCGGGCGGCCTGGTCCGTGAAGTCAGTGCTCTGCTGTATCAAATGCAAAAGTGTCTGGGTCTGGAATTATGCGGGTTTTCTATGACTCATGAGGTCTGGAATGCAGCGCCATGACAAACTCTGTGAGATCTCTACCTCTAGCATGCTGATCCTGCATGAGAAATTCCCTCTCAACTCGGTAAAAAACGACGGCTGTTGGTAATCACGCAACACAGATCTCTTGCATGATTCAGATTTAGCATGACAAGTTCCATCCTCCCAGACCCAGAAATTTTTACATTTGATATGCTGCTTCTTGCTCTGATCACTTTCCATGCTGTTGTACTTGTCGTTGTAGTCGGCCTGTTATGGGATTTGCAATTACAGATTTGAAGACAAAAGTACTTAAGTGAAGACAGAGAGTGAGAAAAAGGTGGAAGAAGCGGTTCCTAAAAAAAACATGCGGTTGTAAGTTTTAAACACATAAGACACCTTGCGGTGCATACAATTCAAACCTTCTCACGAGGCAACTCACAGTTCGCGTCAGTGAGTGTTTCAACACGGACACTTTCACACAACGCTATTCACTACCTGGAAGTGTTCGTGCTCCTTTAAAGCGGCCAGGGCATCGTCGCCGTAGGCCTCAGCCAACTTCTCCGTGGCGGCTTCCACGGCAGCCTTCTCTGCTTCGATCTCCTCCTTTTGGGTCTTGAGCGTGCTCGCGGTCTGGGCGCAGTTGGAGTCCAGATCGGCCTTGGTCTTCTCATTCACGGCCAAGTCGCCAATCACCTTCTTGATTTCGTCGTCGACGAAGCGAATGTCTTGCGTCGTCGCGGTGACGGCGTCCTCCGCGGCAACGCGGGCCTGCGTCGCTTCCTCCTTGGCCATCTCAAGCTTGTGCGTCGTCTCCACGCAGGTGTTCTTGGCGTCGTCGGTTTCCTTGATCTCCGTCTTCAGCGTTTCGATCATCTCTTCGCACTTCTCGACGATCTTCTCCGTGGCGGTCAGGCCGGCGGCGGACGTTTGGGACAAAAAGGCCATGACCGCGCGCTTCGTTTCGGACGGAAGGCGGTGGATCTGGCGGGCGATGCGATCCACGCGGCTGGTCAGCGACATGCGGACCTTCGTCTTCATGCCCTGCTGGAGGAAGTTCGGGCTCGCGTTGTTGTCGCCGGCGACAATGGACTCCAAGATCGGGAGCGTCGCGTCAATGGCAGTCAGCTCCGCCTCGGCGTCCGCGACCTGCTTGCCGTAGAAACTGGAGCGTGCATCGCAGTCCGCCTGCATGTTGTCGAAGAACTCCACGTCGACGTCCATCTTCTGCTTCACGGCATTGTATTCCTGGAGTGGGATTCGTTCACATTGGAACTTCGCACCATCTGCACAGATTCCATTACGCCGAGACAGTTTGTAGTGGCAACACTAGCATAGCAGCTTGGGCACAAAAAAATGAAGCTCGTCTCTTGTTTATATTCTTGAAATAACAATCGAAAGCGCAAGTTTAAATTCGTACCTCGACATACTCGCCCTTCAACTTCATGTTTTCTGCTAAGATGCCTTCTTGTGTGCGCTTAATGAACTCGTGCTCGGAGATTGCCTGTTCTGCCAGAAGCATCTCTTTCGTGTACACCTTTCGGGCATTCACGTTCTCGATAGTGTCCTGCTGCAGGTCTACTGCGGTTTGCTTTTTTAGGTCGATCAAGTACCCTGCTGCCTGGCCCATCGTGCCCTCGCCCACAGCCTTGCCTGTGAGTTGCTGCACCAATGCCAGGGTTTGCTTCATCTCTTCGGCTTCCGCCTGCAAAAACATGCTTTTTGGCTTGGACAGCACGCCGATCGCTTTGGACAACACGTTCAGGGTCTCGATGTTTTCGCCTTTCCTCTTGGAAAACTCCGCGTCATCCGTCTCCATGCGCTGTTTTAGAGTTTCAGCGAATCACTGCAGCAGCGAAAAAATGCATTTAAATGCGAAAGGTGTTGTCTCGTCAAACTAAACTCAGATTTAGAAAGAATCTCTGTCTGCAAACCTCCGAAATTCTCAGTTTTTAAAATTTCGTGACATTATTGCTCGACACATTAAAACCGCGCTACGTATTGTATCCGCGCTACCTTGGTGAGTTGTCCCTGCTTTTTCTTCTGCCCTGCGATGTTCTTCGTTTCGAAGGCGATCTGGAGCTCGGCCTCTGTGATCAGACTGGAACTAGTGCCGATCAATTTCGTGAGCTCGGTTAAGCGCGTCTTTGCGTCCTCGATGGCCTTTCCTCGTGCGGCTCCCTCTTCCTTGCAAAAGCACGCAAATTGGTCATACATACGCTTGTCGCGGTCGTTATCGGAGGCGATGTCCTTCTTCATGTCAAGCAGCAACTTGATTACTTTTCCAATCGCGCCCTCGGTCCCGTACTTTCCGGTCTTTACAGCCACCGGTGGCGCGCTACCGAGTGCGTCTGCGGCCTGTTTAGCTTCCGCCTCCAATGCGGCTTGGCGTGCCTTTTCATCCGCCTCCGGCTGGCCGAGGCGATCATGACGGCTGGCCGAGGCGGCCGCCGTGGTAGCAACGAGCAGCGACCGCAACCGCATTGACACACCTACCAAACCTAAATCTCCTACCAAGATCCTAAAAATCAACGGATCTTTTTTGCGAACGAAGGGAAAGTGCAAAAATAGAACAACGGGGAAAAAATTTGGGATCGAAAGAAATCTAACTTGCGAGCGTCAGAGCCACAAAAGCAACACTAAGCGATCGAGCGCGAATTTTTCCGTCGGCACACTGTGCTTCCCACGGTGCCTTTGCGAATTTTTTTTTCGCATAAGCGTAGCAGCTGCTCTGGCAAAATCTTTCTACCTGGAAACCAAGCTCTGTCACAATTCGTTCGGGAGAATGGGGACTTCTCCGGGTTTTGTTCGTAAACGTGTTACACTCGTACAAGGTAAATTAGTGGTGGGAAATTGGTACATTTGGGGTTTACTACGAATTTCGTTTGTAATTTCAGCTCTCTAGCAGCGTTCAAGCACCGCTTTTGTTGCATTCCTGAGTCATAAATTTTCCAAAGTCTTACGTTTCATACACCGCCCTCAGATGAGCAGCGGTGACTTCTGTTGCTTCTTGATTCTAAAACTAGTAAATTGGCTTTTTAGTTTTACATTAATTTTGAATTGTTGCAATCGGTGGCGATGTTCACACCGAGTGTACACTGGCGGTCATCTAAAGGAGCATGAGAATCTCTCTTCTACTACCATTCTAAATCAGCTCCTGCAGCAAGCGTAGCGCTCCCGCGCTCAACATACCACCTATGTTTTTTTCTCCACCTACTTGAGCAAAGGCGGGACTTTAGGTTTTCCGAGGAGGCTTGCCCGCCACGGATCTATGAGGTAGCGAAAATGGTCGGCTTTCCTCCTCTGATCCAGCGCCGAGAAGTCCAGAGACGCGGTGCCATATACGCGATCCCGATTTCGGTGCGGAACTTCAGCGGGTGTTGGTGCTGGATACCACGAGTAGCCCGCTTCGGGATGAATTCCTTTTCGTGGATTGCATATTGCAGGCGGTTTCGTGGGCGGGGCGTAGCTGTGCTCCTTCGGACCTCGCCAGATACTGTGTTTGATGTTTGTGTTCGGTTGCAGTTTCAAAAATTTAAAAACTGCTCGATACTCTAAAACATCAACCACTTCTTTCAAATTTTCTCTGGTCAATCCCTCAGCAAATTTTGAAATTGCTAAAAAGTCAGTACGTCTTCTTCCGCAGGTCGCGCTGCTTTTTTCTTTCCGTGTAGTGACCCGACGCGTGGTTCTGCACTGGCTTCTTCGTTATTTCTGCAAATTTCTTCATGTATCTCGCTTTGATCTCGTCACTCACCTGAATGTTCTCTATCCACGCCGGAGCTCCCTTCGAAAGCTTTTGCACTGTAGTTTTTTTGGTGAGCAGAATCTTTAGATGCGACTTTACTTTTGATCCACCGCACGACAAGCAGGCGTAATGAGACAGCCAAGCAATCTCGAGATCAACACCAACTCAAAACTGTTCGACGCCGCCTACACATGACATGCTGTTCCTTGTCGTGCGCACAATCCCGGAATAAAATTCAACAATCTTAAAATACTTGGTGGATCTTTTGCCAGTGGTATTTTCTCATCTTCTCGGGGCTCGGGCTGCAGCCGTGTCCTTCCGACATTTTCTTCATCTCCCGGAACGTACCCAGTCCAACCTGTTTTTTTGTTCGACTTCATCAAGAAAGCTCGCAGGCTGGCTCCTCCCAGAAAAACATAATGGGATGCGGAAAAAAACCCCGCGTATTTTGTTCCATTCGCATTCGAGGGCACGAATTATTAGTACTCACCTGGTGCTTGTTCGACCCTCGCGTTTATCGTGATTATTGAAGTCGAAGCCCGCCGATCGCCGTGACTCGGGGCGGTCTGGGGCCGTTGCACCCATCTCTTCTTCTTCGTCGCCGGGTCTGTTTCTCGAATCGGCGGCTCTCTTTTGTGCACCGCCGGTGCTGCAATTGCCGTCTTCGGGCGCGCTTGTCTATTTGGTTTCGGGGTCTCTTTCGGAATTGTTAGGACTTCTTCCGGCTGGGGTGGCAACTTTCCGGTGTAGTACATTACCGCTGTGGCAGATTCTGGCCGACACAAGTGTCCCACCTGTTATTGAAATAGTGATAAAGCCATCACGCGGCTAAACTACGCGTTTCCCCAGGAGGGGCGCCCCGGCGAAAACTTTGCGCAAGTCTTCGCCTCTCAAGATATCCTTTCGTTTTCGCTCTGTTCTTACTACGCCATTAAAAGAAGCGCTTACCTTTTCCCCGCGGTCGTATTCGTTGTAGTAGTCAGGACGCGGAAACTGCATCCAAGGCGGGCTGGGCTGGTAGTTGTGTGGGCGCCTTCGGTAGGAGGGCCCTGCCGATTTTGGTCGCACAGCGGCCGCCCAGAGAACGTCGCTTGCATTTTCCGCTCCCATTCTTCTACTGGCCGTGTTTTTGAAATTCTTTTCGTAATTACTGTAGCCCCCTAGCCGCACGTACGCCTCGACAAGCTCCGACGGTTCGTTTGCTTTGCACAAGTGTGGTCCTCCGTCGGGTCGTTGTGATCGCTGTGAACCTTGTAATCCCTCAGCAGGACATCACCAGAGCGTTGGGTATTGTTTTCATCTGGCGTATTTCGCGATAATCGAAATAACGCTGAGACGCCTACGGAGAAAAGCGCCGCGGACGTGAGACGAAAGTAAGAATCGTACTGGGATCTTCCAATTTCGTTCGTTAAAATGCGATATTCTACTTCCTGACACCTTCCTTTTTGAGACAAACAACTTGCATCTCTCGACCTCTTTGCTCTCCCTCTCCGATGGCGAAAAAACAAAAAAGAAAAACTCTCGATCTCACTCAAATCGCAGCAAGAACGGCTTTTGTTTCATAAAAATTCGAATCGCTAATACATGACAAGGGACCATCTCGAGAATAATGAGGCCTGATTCGTTCTCCTCGCGATACTCCTCTGTTCTTGACAACTAAGTAGGATCAAACACACCAGGCCAAGCACTCTAACAGAAGAATCTATGGAAACGAAGAAAAGCGGGCGCGCGCTTCCGCCTCCCCTTCCGGCCATCGCGGTGCTGCATGGCAACATGGCGTCGACAAGAATCTTCAACAAAATCCTGATAGATAGGAATGGTGAAACATGGTTACTTAGCATTGCATCTTCCAAATTGCGAGACATTATGTACATTGGAATTAGAAATTTATCTGTGGTGCTGAAAGTGGTAGAAGTATGGAGAAACAGCTCGAAAGCATGTGATGTGTTGAACAGCAGTCGGAGAAAGACCAACAACGTACATAAAACAAAACCTAGTATACACGACACTCACAGCTGAAATAATAAATGTCAACTACCGTACACTTTCGAGGCATGCCTGAGCTTGCTCGAATTCCTCGTCTCGCAGGAAAAAACTTGCCGCCGCTGCGGTAAAGTTTTCCGCGTGTAAAACTGGATCCAGCGCTGTGGGCACTCGGTAGAGGGCGGTCTGGTCCCCAGTGTGCACAAAATGCAGGATGTCCTCCTCCGGATCCGCGACAGCGAGCGACGAACTGCTTTCCGAAGCCGTCGGAGAAACGCCTGCACTTGTGGTACACGACGTCGTGGTGGAACTCGCTGCACTCCCTGCAATGCAATTTAAATTTCATTTTATGACACTTCACCACCTAGGCTCCTCGAATGTCTATGTCGTGTGCCATCGTGATCCTCGTCCATTTTTTCCTACTGTTTCTGATAAAAAAAAATGAAAGAAATGCAAAAAGACGGAGAGGAAGCAAAACAGCTGCTTGCAGCGCCCGCTTTTATTTCAGAATCGGACTGCAGTTCGAAAAATAGCATTCACAAGAAACAGCGGTACGTTTCTCTGCGTGCCACTTGACTCTTGCCGTCCCCACCAAAGGTGGCAGCTTGTCCTGAACCCTTTTCGAATACGCCGCATCGCTCAAGGGAGACGACAGGGACCTCGGCTTCCGTCGCTTCTTGTTGGTTTTGGCAGCCGGATAAAATCCCACCTGCTGCAGGTACTTGGATTTGTCGCGGACAGTTACGGAGCGAGCTCGCGTGGTCACTTCACGTTCACCTCTACCGAGCATCGCAGCGCTGGACATAACACCTCCCGGTCCTCTTCGGCCGGTTGGCACTTCTGGGAGCGACGTGATTCCGCATCGTAGCTGCGCCTTCGACCAGCCAGTATCGCCTTGTTCTGCTGTTGCGAGGACAGGTGGCAAATGCAGCCGCTTCCTCTCACGCTGGTACATGTGGTCTAGTCTTTGTGCGCGCATGTCCATCACGTGCGAGCTCACGCTGCGCAGTTTCGTTCGTAGCTCGGTGGTCAGAGACTCAAGCGGCTCCGGACCCGCGACGAGGGACACGCTTTTCAAGGCCATCTATACGAATTTCTGATGCGTCGACCCAGAAGTGAAATTGACCTCCTTTTTCCAAGCAGGAAGCGAAGTCCAATTATGCAAAGAAAGTAGTCGGCTTGAACCTCTTCTACACGTTGATCTGCGTTTAGATTCACGTTCACCGGAGTATCCAGCGCACGCGTGAAGGCCTGCAACCGTCCTCGATGTAGAAACGCTGCTTTATTCAAACAAAGAAACAGCAGTAACATACGAATAGCATTTGCGACAACGACATCGACATTGCGATTTGCACAGAAGAGCCTGCAGAACGACCTCGACGTAACGCGCCGTCTCTCATGTCAAACAAACGATCAGCTGGAAGAAGCTAAACCCACCACAACGACAGCAGGCGCCACCAAAAGAAAACAAATTTTTGGAGGCAGTAGCCACGAGTTGCCTTGGGCTTTTCGATGCGCAAAATCGTATGTGTGCGATTTTGTCGGTCGAGTCCGTGGCAGTATGTCGTTTCGTGTCCGATAGCTTTTTTTTTCAGCGATACCGATACCAAATATAGCCGCCGAGGCGGAGGTAGTGAGGTCGTGGGCGTTTTCTTGCCGGCCGTCGCCTTGGCCGCGGCTTTGATTTTTCTGGGCCCGCCATACCGGCGTGAGTAACGTTAGGCCCCACGGTATGGCGGCCGCGTGATAAGCGTCGCAAATTTTGGCAAATTTTCGAAATTCCTTTCCGAAAGCCAGCCCCCATGCTATGAGGCCGATCCGGGCACCACGGGGGGCGCCCAAAAAGCGAGGAAAAATCGGGCCCATAGAATGCGGATTGGCTTAGCGCGTCTGGCGCGCTTTTTCTTTGTTGCGTTTTTATATTTCTCGCCAGCGCTTTTTGCAAAGCTTCCCAGGCTCTGAAACCGGCGAAAAGGCGGCCGCTTTCGCGGCCGCCCAAAATGCTCCGAAATCGCGGCCGTGCCATGCTGTTTCGCTGTTCTGATTTTGGGCGCGTTTTTTGCGCGCCCCTTTTTGGGCGCCCCAAATCGCCAGAAACCAAGGCGGTGGGCGCCTCAGAAGGGCGCCCCTTTTGCCGGCTCCCCTGCGTCGTTTTATCAAGTGCGAGTCGATAGTTTTCGACCGGGCTTGTTTGACAACAAAGCCCCGGCCGCTTGATAAGTGCAAATTTTTTTCGTCAAAAAACACTTTCGCCCGCTTGAAAACTGCCGGTCGTATTGCTGTCTGGGTGTCAAAAAAAACTCCCCGGTTAGAACCGTTCGGTGACCTCACTACATACCACTGGCATACGCGAGCAGTCAACATGATTGCTTTAAAAACATACGAAGTACATTGTACACGATCATTTTTCAAATGCCAAATCTTCGACCAAGGTGATCACACTCATAGCGATATATCGTGCGACTTCTTCCTCTTCGTCGGGGACAATAAATTACAAGCGGATCCGCCCCCTGCACTTCTACACAGACATCCACTTTGCTACAGATCATCCCTCACAACTTCGTCGTAGTGTACCCTGTCGCTGGTTACGTCATCGTCATTCACTTTGTGGTCGTTCACTTACATCACATACACTTGGTCGTCGTTCACTTTGTAGTCGTTAACTTTGTCATCGTTCACTTTTCTGTAGTTTCCTTTATTTTGTCGTCGTTCACTTTGTCGTCGTTTACATTTTTTGTCGTCGTTTACTTTGATGCGGTCGTTCACTTTATAGTCGTCGTTTTCCTCGTCGTTATTTACCTGCTCGTCGATTCCTTCGACTTTGTCGTCATCGTCATTCATTTTAGCGTCCATTGCAAAACTTGTTCATACCGTGTGGCAAACTCCTCGGGCGAATCGGTGGTATGCACCAGATTATTTTTCCCGTCGAACTCTTTTCTGATCACGCCCTTCAGCCCGTCGACGTTGTCGTTTATCCTTCCTTTTCCAAAAATACGCCGCGATTCGCCGATTACCGGCGACGGGTCGAAGAGAAGGAATAGCAATGTTTTGTAGGAGAAAAAAGGAGCAGCAGGGGGTGAAGGAGAAGCGCCAGCAGGAGGGGCGCTATCATTTTTACTAAGTCCACTTGTTGACATACTTACTTCAGGAGCAGTTTCTTTGCTTTGCTTTTTCGCCTCACTCATTTCCGCTTCCTCTTCTTGTTGCTCGCAAAAAGAGGAAAGCGGTGCGGGAACCTGGTGAAGATCATCATGGGGGCGGAGCTGCACATTCGTTTCTCTACTACTTCTTCTCGCTTCAACCCAGTCCGCGATCGCGTTGCCTTTGTGGTTGATGTGTCGCCACTCGTGAAACCGCTCGTCGTCGTTGCGCGGGAGCATGTGATTGTGGTAGATCGTCTGCATGAACTCCAGAATGCCGGCCCGAGCTCTGCTGGCACAAGCGGTGGGCAATAACACATCTTCGTCGTGCTCCTGGTCCTGGTCGTGTTCCTGCTTATTATTGGTTCCATGTTTGAAGAACTGGACCCTCCGCATGCCCAGAATGCGGAGATCTCCTGTTGAGGCGATGATCTCCCGGACCCTCTCCAGATGCTCCATTCCTTGCGGCCGCAGTATAAAAGATTCCAAAAGATCCAAATGTTCTTCTCAGGAGTCCACAAGTTTGCAAAAAAAGGCCGCGCGAAGAGCTCTTCTGCTACGGAGCAGGACATGCAGACCCTGGTCCTGATTGAAGACTGAGTCGGAGAAAAGTCTGCTGCAAATCGAGACTTTTTCGCAGTGAGTCTGATGCAATGCAATCAATGACTTGTGGGCCTGACAGGAATAACACTACCAAGAACTGCCGCTTGCATATAGAGCACCAAAAAGTGATACCACCCGCCTGATGCAGGATCGATTCCGGACGGAGGAATTTTCAGATTTCTTGTTGACCAGCTTGCGTCAACAGTTTTCTTGTCGTCACCGCTTGCTCCTCCACCATCTTCTTGCACTGTGGCCGCGAGGTATTTCCATTTCTGGTCCAGTTCTCGTGGCGAGTCCGTTACGTGAAACAGATTTCGTCCATACGCAATGCGGAGTAGGGCCTTGAAGTCAAGGACGCGCTGATTCTTCGTATCGTCCTTCATGCTGTCGTTTGTGGAAGAGGAGGAGGACGAGATGGCCCGCTCTACATACCGGTCCCGCACCAGAATCAACCCCACACGATCGCAGGTTGTCCTCGTCCCCAGAACCGCGCCGGGCTCTATTCCAGTCTCTTCCTTTTTTTCGTCCCCATGCAAGCCTGCGGCCAGTCGTGTACTTTTATTTGCTTCTAAAAAGTCGAGGTCCTTCTTGCAGTGGTTTTTGATCTTTTCAATTTTCCGGGCAATGTGCTTTTTTTCCGAGGTTTTGTCGTTCATATGGTCACGATACACTTCATTCACAAACGCGGTGAGATCCCCGTCTGTTTCTGCCTCATCAGTGTTTCCTACGGCATCACTTGGTTTGTAGAAATCTTCTTGGAAGCGGCGCAAAATCTTCACCCCAACAATCTCCATCGGAGGATTTCTTCTTATGGCGAGGTTGGACAGTATGCTAGCGCCAGGTGGAAAGGGGACAAAATGGAACCAACGGCTTCCTTTGTAATGAATTTTTTCACTGACACTGCACGCAAATCTGTCTGCCAGGACTGAGCAAGCCAAAGGCACACCTTTCGGGACCCTGGCTCGTCATCGTCTCCGAACTGTTTACTGTTTTACGCATTCCTACACAAACAGGGCAAGCTGCTTGCAATTCATTCAGAGTGGCAACCATGCAAAACAACCTTCCGTCGTTCCGAGTTGCCGATCTCCTTCAAGCTTTGTAGATACACAGCGCGTACAGAATATCTCCGAAGTTCTGGACCATACCATGCGGCCACACAATTACGGCGTGCAGCCACGGGGAGGAGGTTGTTGTAGCAGCTCGTGACGCAAAAACATTTTCCTGTGAGGTCAACGGTGAAGACGACATCACCGCCGGGTCGTGATCAATTGCCCACGGGGGTGCGGCGACGTAGAAAGGTACGCGAGGACGAGTTGCGCTTCCAGATGCGGTGGCAGTACTCTCGAGCATCGCTCTTAACTCCACACTTGAAGTTACCGAATTTGGTCTCGAAGCCGACGAGAGGTCGAGCAAGCCTGAGTCCACAACCACGTTGCGAACGAGGTGGGCCGAGCGAGCGTCGCTGTTCTTGTTGGTGTCCTTTTCCGCAGCGGAACGCTCGTCTTTAGTCGCCCCTGGGGGGCGAATTCGGAAAAGTCGCTGCGCCCGGAAGAGTTGCGCTGGGTCGTTCAGCTTGTCTAATGTTTGCCTCATCGCGTTCAGCATTTGGACCCTCCGAGCTTCCAGCAACTCTTCCTCCTGACGTGCTTCCCTGGCGTGATCGAGGTCGTCGATAGTGTCGAACAAAGCCTGTGCCGCTCTGCCGAGCGGCGCCATCACGTCAAACAGGTCCCCCGCAGCGTGCACCGCGAGCGCAAACTGCAAACGTTTATTTCCACCAGCAGAGTTTGCAGCAGAGCCAACACTTTTGCCTTCTTCTTGGTCCTCGCGCAGATCGATTCTCGGCCTGATTCCGAAGTCGTACAGAGCCAAGCCAGGAATGATGGGCATGCGACTCAAGAACGCGATGTCGAATTGCGGCATTTTGGTGCGCGTCTTTTCGGTCTGGGTCGGATCTCTTCCATCAGGGTAAAAGTCGCCCAAGCTCCGGGACATGAAGAATCTGAACGGCGCACTCAAACGCGGCAGTTCAAGATGGGGGTGCTCGCTGACGCCGCCTGGTGTGATTGTGATGCCGATCGAGGCAGCCCTGCTCTCGGCGCCGCGGTCCCTCTGCTTCATCTTCCTCCTCCTCCTCGCCTTCAAGCGTATTAAAGTTCTATCCGCTTTGTAACGCGGCAGGACCGGCGGAGAGAAGACCGAGCTTCTTGCTGAAAGGAGTTTCGGGTGGTTCAACAGCGGCGCAAGGAGCTTGTGAAACAGGAAGAAGAAGATTTTGCTCGCCCGGTGAATGTCTCTCACTGCCTGCTTGCGATTGTAGAAACTACACGCTGCCATGCGGTCAAGGTCAATCAAATGCACTGCGAGTCGTGGAAAGTGCTGCTTAATCACCTCTGAAGCAGATTGCCCCGCACCTCCGGATGGCGCCTCTGCAGGAGCCACAGGTGGTGTAGAAGAAAGTCGGTCGCTCGGGCTTTCGAGACATGGCACGACCTGGCTCGATTGGAGGTCGTCTCCAGAATCTGCACTATCGCCTGCCCGTCTCCTGCCTGGTAGCCTACACCATGCCCACGCTCCTGCGTCGACGTGGTCTCCTAAAGGTTCATTAGCATTCAGGACGAGGCTTCCATCTAATATTCTTGCCGACACGTGGGACGCTGCTGCTTCCAAATTGGAACCACCTCGAAGACCAGCATTTTCGCCTATAATTACGTGATCCTGCCCGTCGCCTTCGGAATCGTCTTCGCTCGACATTGCAACTTCCACCAAAACGTTTCCCATGGAAACATCGCAATGCGCCCGATTGTGGTCGGCAAGAAATTGCAGCGCGGACAGCACTTGCGCCATCAGCCGAGCAAGAAAGTTCACCACACGGAAAAGAATCACCGCCGCGCTTTTCGTTTTTCCGGCCACCTCGGCGTCAATCTGTGTGGCTTGCTCGTCGGTCTCTTCCCGAAACACAATGTTGCTTATCCCGTCCGCAAGTTCCGCGACGAGGTCCCGCAAAGGCACAGCACGCTTGTACTGTCGCATCAGGACGTAAGCGCGAACTGTTGGTCTTGAGAGTGGCGGCGTCGGAGAACTTCTTGTTGATGGATACTCAGTTGTATCTATCGGCAAAGATTCTTGACTCGAAGAATCATCGAAAATGAACTGCCCGACGCCGCATCCGAGAACGCGCATGACGGTGAAAATGTCGCGACCAGATGACGCCCCTCCTCCTTCCGTTCTTGGAAGTACAATAAAGGCTGAGTTTCCACCATGGTGCCGCTGTTCCCCGCAGTCTTCGTACGTCCTACTGCGGTGACAAGAGCCATACCCGGCAGCAAGGAACTGGGCGGGATGCAGAAGTTGTGTGCGACAGAAGTGGAGACTGTCTTCCAGAGAAGCAGCCAAAGCTGGCGCTCGCTCAATCGGAAACGTTTTCAGCAGCACGGGGCCATCGGCAGAACCTCCGCCCAGCTCGATCATGTGGGAAGATCTGGGAGATTGTTCGTCATCCAGCAGCGTGTGGAAAAAAGCTGTATTCTCGTCTTCTCGCCCAGTTTCTCCGAAAGTTATCGGATGATCTTCGGCACATTGCTGATACGAAAATTTTCCGTCGGGCGATACCCGCGCCGTGCAGTGCCCGTGCTTGACTACCCGGAGCGCGCCGGCCTGTGTCGTGTCATTCATAAACACAGTGGAAGCCCCCGCCGCGTGTGCTCTAGTGCCGATGTGGAAAGTAGTAGTCGCGAGTGCGGTCGGCATGGGATCGCCTTTCTGGAGAATTTTTGCCGTCTTCTCATTTTGCTTCTCGGCGTTTATTTCCCCGTCAATTTCCGGCTTCCGCGTGGTCATTCCTTTCAAAAATGCGGCACGCTCTGCGGCACGTGTGAAAACGGTGTGGCGGGGCCACTTTTTCGGTCGTAGGTCCGTTGCTTTAGATGACTTCCAATCGATTTCGTATGGCACGCGCCAATCGTAAAACGACGAGCTCCGGCGCAAGTCTTGACTTGTGGACATCGTCGCAGCTCCAAACAGCCCTTGAAGATGTCCTTTTGTTGCGTTGAGATCAAATCCGGGGAGAAGGGATAAGGAAAAGCCCGACTCAACGTCTTCTTCGTCCAATTGCATGGTCAAGCAGCTGTGGGCAATAGGAAAACTAGTACGCGGGTCATTATACAGAATGCCAGACTCTGATCCAGCGAGATTCCCTGCTGAAATATCCAGACTCTGCTCTTTCTTGACTTTTTTCTTCTTGCTTCTCCGCCTCTCCTTTTCAAGTTTTTTCAGAAGGCCTTCGATTTTTGTTCGTAGTGATTTTATCGTCGCCCCTGCACGATCGCGACGTCGCTCGATTTGCATCCTCCACGCGTACTCGCGGCTCTCGTCAGAATCGTCCTCTTCCGGGCCTTCTGCCACCGAGGTCAAAGCTTCCTCCCAAAGATTTAGCGCCGCGCGGGCAAAAGTGGTCGTCGATTCTGCAAACTCCTGCGAAAAAACTTCGAAAGGAGAAAAGTCATCCTTGTTTTCATAATCGCTCCCAGCCGATGACTCACTCCCTTCATGGTCGTGATCCTGGAGAAAGGCGCGAAGTGAGAGTTTGCTAGTCAACCAGTGCAAATCCATCAAAAATCCAGCCGTTATGTCGATCCAAATATCATGTGCAAACTTGTCACAATCACAGCTTCTTTTGCATCATCAACATGTGATTCGTCATCACGCCTGTACCACGACTTGACAGAACAACTAACTTCGTGGCTTCTTCGTTTTCGAAATGGGGTCTGTCTTGCACACCAAAAAAACTACTGTCGAAATCATGGGAGTATGGCCCACTTACCCATGCCTATAATCGAAATATTGGTCCTGCAAAAGATGCACGTCGGGGGCGGCGACTTTGTTGCAAGCTTTATTTTGCTGTTGCATCCGCTGCGACTATAACACAGTTGCAATGCGTACCCGAGCTCCGCTTTGGGTTTCGCGAATTCCGATGCTAGCAAGGCAGACCAGGATGTCCCAGTCGATCTGTACACCAGAGATTTAAGGAGAAACACCATTATCTGCGCCACCCGCCAGAGATCTTTTGCAATCTGGTTACGATTGAAAAAACTGCAGGCCGCCATCTGCTCCGTGTCGATGACATGAAGCAGGAAAGGTTGCGAAAGCAGGTCCAGGCCGTTTGTCCTTGCTGGTGATAGAAACGCTTGTTGGCCTCTATCTCTCGCGGACGATGGGGCAGATGTTGACGAAGACGACGGCGAGGGGGGTGATGCTGTTGTAGATCGTTTTGTCTCGATCATGAAATTCGCCATCATGACGTCACAGTGTCCTCGGTATCGCTTGAAAAAACTGCACCAGAACCAACGTGTATGCTAGCGGACCACCGACGTTGATAACTCGTATTTTTATGTTTCGACAGACCATGCAAGAGCTTGATACCGGTACAGTTTTTTCTCAGCTTACTCGATTATGGTCAAACAAAAACTCCAGCGCCTTCAAAAGCTGCAACGCAACGCGGAGGGCGAAAGAAAGCAGCAGCAGAGCCGGGGCCTCCGGTGCCTCGCAGCCGGTCGTGAACGACGTGGTGCAAGTACGCGAAAAATCATCGCTCCACGCAGCGATCTGCAAAACCGCATCTTGCAGAGTTGCTGCCCTGTCGTAATTTCGAATGATCAAAAAGCCATGCTCCTTCTGTCCAATTCTGAGGTGCGACGGAATCGGTTTAAATTCAAACTCCCCAACGCCACAAGCATACACTCGCATGATCGTAAATGCGTCCTGGTCCTCTACGAGAACACTTTCTTCATGGTTGTCGTTGTCGTCGCTCCCCGCTGCTGTTGCAGGATCACCATCCTGTTTGTCGTGTCGGCCTTGCTGATCATCTCGTGGCGGGCGGGATTGGGAAGAAGTGCTGCTGGTCGATGAGAACCTAGCAGTCTGTCTCTGTTGACCACGTTCCTCATTGCCATTACTTTGCCACTGGCTTTCCCGGCAGTCCGTGTAGTCTGCGTCCACACATGCTCCGTAGCTGAAGAGAAACTGCGACGGGTATCCTGAGTAAAAACGTACCCACACCAGAGTCAGGATGGGGATTTTGCAACACAAACCTAGGAGCTTTGTGAGTCACGCATGACAAGCTGTGCTCTGCAGTGTAGTGCAGGTTAGCAAGTGCAGCCGCGTCACAGATTCATCTGCTCATCCTGCTCACAGCATCACAAATTCCAAAACACGACTGGAAATGGCTCTCATGGGGATGCGCATTACAAGTCTTCCTGTCTTTGCAAATCTGCATTACAACTCTGGTGTGGGTACGTTTTTACTCAGGATAACGGGTACTTCCAGTTCATTTCGCATCTGGAGTAGAGGTATCAAATGTCAAAATGTCTGGGTCTGGAAGAATGCAACTTGTCATGCTGATTTTGGATTCTAAAAAAATCTGTATTGCATGAGCAGTAAAGAGAGTCCGCGTTGTGCTACACGGAAAGAGCATTTGTCATGCGGTATAGGCATCAGGAAGCCCTCACAAAATCTGTGATGCTAGGGCATGCATCACAGACATCAGGAGTCATGCAAAATGTGCATGACAAACCTAGCAATCTTCCAGACCCAGACATTTTTACATTTGATAAGAGGCCCTGGAGCTGTTCCGTTTGCTTGGCTTTATCTCCCCCAAATCCGTCGACCTGCCACGTTTTCAAGAGAAACTCCCCCGACAATCTCACCACGTAGCGCTTCCCCCCCTCTTCCACGGTTGGGGATAGCAGTAATTCTTTTTCCAACGTTTCCTCTATTCCACCGTAGAGTCTCGCGCCAATCTTCAAATGCGTAGCAGCAGAGAAACTCCCTCGCTGTTCCACAACGAAGTCTTCATCTGTGGCATGCGTGCCTCCTACTACGGGAAACCTGAAGACCGAAAGCCTCTTGCTTTTCTGAATAGCTTCCGCGCACGCATCCTCAACCTTCGCCAGAGATCCAGTAAAAAAAGGGTTAGAGTCAGGGATGACAATAAAGTAGCTCGGTCTGTCATGCATCTTCATGCAAAAGACTGTGGCACCGAACCAGCGGCGGGTTCTTCTGCAAAGCGGGGCTTGCCGCAAAGAAAATCTCGGAGAATCCCTTAGGCTCAAAGAGATTCTCCGGAATCTCAAGAAATTCTCCTGAAAAGGTGCTCGATTCTGCTGAAAAGGCACGTCGGTTGAGCAGGGCACGTCGGTTTTTGGCTTTTATTTGTTAACTTGTGCAGGCACGTCGGTTGAGCAAGGAGCGTCGGTTTTTTGCTTTTATTTGTTAACTTGTGCAAGCACGAGATGGCCGCGGGCTTCACGCGCGCGCACCGCCCCGCCTGACATGCGATCGGTACGGCAGCAATGCTGGCCCCGGCCTTGAGAAAAACTAACCCACCACGCGCACGGCGCGCGGGCGACGAAAAATTTCCGTAAAGCGAAAAAGAGCACGCAGCGCCAAACAGTGTGGCCGGGCGAAGTAAAGGGTCCCTGCGCGCGAAAAAAGCTTCGCACTCCCGGCGCAGTAGCTCCAAGCGCGTTTCATCTGTGCAGCCGGCACAAGAACGTCGAGCGCGATGCCGCGACCTCGTCCGGGTCCGCCCCTAATCGCGCGCGTGCGCAAAAAGATCGCTTTTGCGAAACCGCTACAAAGGCCCGCGCGCGCAGCGCGAAAAAATTTTTTGCCCGGCCGGCACAAGCAACAACGCCGAACACGGTAGGCCCCGACCCTGAGTGAACCAGCGGCGGACCAGCGGCGGCTTCTTCTGCAAAGCGGTGCAGATGCAAATGGAAATCTCTACAATGACTAGCGAAAGGTGAGAAAACCCATTATTTAATAGTATTCCGCAATAGAAACAAAGAATAGAAACGAAAAACAAAAACAAAGAATGGAAACGAAAAACGACAACAAACAATGGAAACGAAAAACGAAAACAAAGAATAGAAACGAAAAACGAAAACAACGAAACAAATGCTGACAAAGTGCCCAGGCTTCTAAGCGGCGAAGCCTCGAAACGAAGGGGCGTCGAAGCGCCGAAGCAGCGAAGCGCCGAAGCAGCGAAGCCTTGAAGCAGCGAGGCCTCGAACGAAGCAGCGAAGCCTCAAAGCAGCGAAGCCTCGAAGCAGCGAAGCAAGCCTCGAAGCAGCGAAGCAAGCCTCGAAGCAGCGAAGCAAGCCTCGAAGCAGCGAAGCAAGCCTCGAAGCAGCGAAGCCTCGAAGCAGCGAAGCCTCGAAGCACGCAGCGAAGCCTCGAAGCATGCAGCGAAGCCTCGAAGCAGCGAAGCCTCGAAGCAGCGCCTGAGGCCTCGAAGCAGCGCCTGAGGCCTCGAAGCAGCGCCTGAGGCCTCGAAGCAGCGCCTGAAGCCTCGAAGCAGCAGCGCCTGAAGCCTCGAAGCACCGTCTGAAGCCTCGAAACAACGTCTAAAGCCCCGAGGCAGCACCGTGCGAGGCCCCGGGGCAGCAGCGTGCGAGGCCTCGAAGCAGCAGCGCGCGAAGCCTCGAAGCAACAACGTACGAAGCCACGAAGCAACAACGTACGAAGCACCGTGCGAAGCCCCGAAGCCGCGGGGCCTCGGAGCAGCGGAGCCTCGACGAAGCCGCGCCGGTGCCGGACCATGCCCAAGCCGAGCCGGTGCCAGCCGGACCATGGCCGAGCAAGGCGAGCTGGTGCCGGGCCATGGGCAGACCGAGCCGGTGCATTCCGGACCATGGGTGGCCAGACCGGGCCGGTGCGTGTCGGACCCCGGCAAGGCCGAGCCGGTGCCGGACCATGGCAGAGCCAAGCCGGTGCCGGACTATGCATGGCCAAGCCGAACCAGCGGCGGCTTCTTCTGCAAAGCGGTGCAGATGCAAATGGAAATTTTTTCTATGAGAGGACCATGACTTGTCTAGACGTGAACCACACAGCACCGCACAAGCTGCATGTAGCTCCCTGGCCTTGACACACTTGCAGTGGATACTAATGCGCGCACATAGGCGGACTGTTCCAAAGTCCGAGTCCATCGGGAGTGCAACGCAAGGGTATGAAATTGAAAGCCTCAGGGTGATAAAAATGTTCCGAGTGGGAATCAGCTTCAGCACATTGGCAGCACGGCTGCGGGGTGGCATTCCAGAACTTTGGAGCCTTGCTTTATGTCAAGTACGGTACAAACAGGGTCAGTACCAAAACCAATGCTGCGAGCCTAGAAAATGACCACACCCACTCCATACTCTCGATCTAGTCTGATCATGCCACCTACTGCGCAATTATGCAAACCTTGGTTTGATAGCGAGCGTCGTGCTAATCCTCTTCATCTTGGTTGAGGATTTTCGTTTTGAGGCCTTCATAAATGCGTGATCGAACGTGGTAGGGCGGATTCCAACCGGTGGTTACTATTTCCCTGGAGGAAGCATCAAGAGCCCACTGCTGTACGTCTTCGTGGGTCTCGCTAATTTTCGTAGCCGCCTTGCGTAACTCCTGGTCAAGCGGCACTCTCCTCGTAACGTTTTTCCATGCAGGAAGGTACTGAAACTGTTCGTCTTCGTCCACCCGCCTAGTCTCTATCTCTAAAAATTCCTGTCCAACCGCGTGTCGCTCAGACAGCCAAGTTTCCAAATCGCCCAAGTAGCGTCTAGCGGACGCATCCAGGTTCCGCAATCGCGCTTCCGCCGGGTCGAGTCCTAGGACATCATCATCTCCATCGACAAGTACACCGCTGGGAGGCTCGCGTTGCTCGAGTTTGACAATAACGTCTTGCCCGAAGACCGCCCACAATCGAAAGAATTTCGCAACTGCCGGGGCCACAAATTGCGGAACGCTGAGGGGTACGGGAAGACGGTGGTCACATGCGTCGCCGTCGAGGAATGCTGCGTCGTCATGCTCTTTCGTAAAAATCCGGCGGAGAATGTCCTTCACGTTGAGTGCTTTCAACCTTTTGTCCACAGCGAAGCCTCCTTGGACGCGCTTCTTGAAAAAAGCGGCAACCACATACTCAGGCTCATCATGATCTTCTGGGAAGAAGTTATCTTCTTCGGAAGTTGTGGATGGAGTGGTCGCAGTCGCGCCAGTGGTTCCACTCCCAGTCGGATTTTTATCCCTAGCAGCAGGCGGAGCGCTGCGACCACGTTCTGGTGATGTCAGACTCTTCACAAACATTTCACGCACTATGTCGCTTTTGCCACTGAGGCACAAAAGTTGCTGGCTTTCGACAAACTTTTCCTCGCCGACGCCTTGGAGCAATCGCCGCAGGATGGGACTGGCCAGGCGATGCAACACGTAGAAGAAAATCTTCACCAATTGTAAGTAGTCGTTTTTTGCGTGGCTCTTGTTCACGAAGCTGCAGACGCTGATGTATTCGAGGTCGATCACATGAAGCGAAAACGGCGACGTCATCCATCCACTTGGGTTTTCAAGTGTACGCTCTATCTGCGAGTCTTGGTTTTCTCCAGCTTCCTGTTCTACTAGAAATGCTCCTAGCGTCAACTGACAATGCGACCGATTCTCGGTTCGGAGAAACAACACGGCGCGAAGTATCTGCACCATGATTCGCGCGATGAGAGTGCACAGACGCCGTAGCAACAGCAGCAGCTGACTCTGGATCTTTCCCCTGAGCGGTTGGTCTTGGCCGCTTTCTCGCCCTCCAGCTTCATTTGATGGCAATAGCGTTCGAACATGCCTGCGCACTTTTTCAGCCAGCTCCTCCACGAACGTTTTTAGATTCTTTGACGTGCTTTCTGTTCGTTCTTGTGTCGCGCCAGATACTATCTTGTCGTAGTTTGTGGTTACGACGAAGATGCGGGGGGTCGCGCGTGGACTTCTTGCGGTCTCCACCGGGTCGTCGTCCGGCCATGCCGCACGCGCCGCGACCTCTCCTGATCCTTCCTGCACTAATTCGAAGCTTCCGACGCTGCACCCGTAGGTGCGCATAATCGTAAAGCGATCCTTCTCCTTCTTCGCGACATTGCGGTCTTCGAGGCAGTCCTGGTAATCGCGGCGCAGACAAGGGCCAAACCGGAAGAGAAAGGCCGTTGGCAAAACCCACCGCGAAATACAATCAGCCTGTCCCATTTTTATCGCTCTATCCCGGTGGAGCTGCAAGTCCTCCATTTCTTGTTCTCCTACACTTTCGGCAGCTGGTTCCTCAGCGACGGCTCCTTCGGGTGATGCCGTATCGAGCATGCGCTCCGTGGTCTGTAGGAGGTACGGGGACTGTAAAGCAGGAACTTCAGAGTCTGTTGGTTTTCCGCTTTGGCTTCCTTTTTTGTCAGTCTCCCTCGTCCCGCTCTCGTCTGGAAGTTGCATGAAGTACCTCTCCGCGCAGCGAACACCGACGCAGCGGCGCAGGAAATCAAGATTTCGGGAACCCCATTCGTGTCTCGGCTTTTCCCAGGGGCGGAAGGTCTCGTGCCCTTGCTTCACGCGGATCAATTGTAAAAACTCTTGGGAGGATTTTGTCTCGTTTTCGTTGCCACGACCTGCGCCTGGAACAACGACGTTATAGACCACGGACGAGCCCGAGATTGATGTGCGTGCGTCCGACGTTCCACCAGAGGCTGCGGCGGCTTGTTGCTTTGCTTTCATGGTAATAGCCGCCGATGCAGCGAGAAAGTGCTCCAGAGTCTCGAGTTTCCGCGGTCGCAGCGCAACGTCATTTAACCCATCTGCCTCTGCTCGATCGCATTCCGCGCCGGTCCTTCTAAGGGCTAACTTTTCCGATATGCCGCGCCAGTGCGAACGCGCGTAGGTGAGCGCCACCGTTGCATTGACTAGAAGAGGCGCCACCTCGACACGACCTTGCAACTTTGCAGTACTAGCACCATCCAAGTTCATACTTTCCGGATTTACGTCCGAAACTGAGTCTGGGCGGGATCGGGATGAGACACTGGTAGTTTCCATAATTATCCAACTGAGGCCTGTAGGATCACCTGTTGAGCGCTCATTCCGATAGCCTTCGCTTCCCCTTTTTACGCCGAGGGGTTGCGAAATAGCGGTCATTCGTGGCGCAGTGAGAAACCCCTCGCACATGCAGACAACAAGAACGACACACCGGACCAGACCGATGCATCGTCTTGAGGGGGTGCGCCTCATTGTGTACAAGGAAGCGAATCACAACTACATGCGAGCTCACATCGCTTATTCGAAACAAACGACTAGCAAAAAAAACGGCAGCCCCACGACCCATGTCTATTCGAAAAAAACAAGTTTTTGATGTCGCTCGAGCGGACACGCCAAAGTGCACCGAAATTTAATTTCATTACCACACACAGACACACAAAAAGAACAATTTCAATTACAAGAGCGGGACCGTGGCGACTTCTTTTGTAAACAACTTTTCGATGGATCTGCTGTGGCGCTCGTCTTGATCGTCTTGTCTGACCGAGCAGGTTAAACGAAGGTCCCCATACCTCCTTTAGTGACTCGTCCGAAAACACAAAGCCTTGTCTTCGGGACAAAAAAACAGGCGAAATGATCGCACAAGTGATAGACCTATCTACTTCAATCGATCAGTCACACAAATATGAAAATGCTGAAATGAAGCCAATTACGTTGTTTCTCATTCTCGCATCTGGGTTTCATATGGAGTCGATCCACGCCTGCGCACTAGGGTCACCGAAAGCCCCTTCGTAAAGCATCATGCTTTACACTGACACTGTGCATTCATCTTACAACTACCTATGCTCGCTTCGAGCTCCACAAAATGGTGCACTACACAAAAGGGCTGGAATGTTTCTGTGTCGTCGAGTGTCGAGAACTACCCTACGTCTGAGACTCGCCACGACTAGAGCCGTGCAAAACAGTACGCAACCAGTGTGTGAGTTTTTAAAACGTCTTCCGATTTAGGTACTTCTATGTCAACCGCACAAGATCAGATATCAGTTCCGGCGGCACGGTGTCCATGTGGCGCTGCAAGACTTGTAGAATCTGTTGCCGCTTCCGGTACTCATTGGGGGAAAAAACACCCGCAACGTCAACGTCCCGGTGCGGTTCATACGATGGCGCGGCCGTGCTTATTTCCGTGCTGAAATAGTCCGCGTGGGTGATTGAGGCAGAACTGGCGGGTACCAGTGTGTACGCCCCGGCACCAGTTCTGGACGGATACTGCCGGCTGGGGTCGAACGTTGTGACTGCATGCGGCCCTCCGAAACTACTCGTAGAGTGTTGCTGCGCCATCGCTCCGGCTGGTAATGTTACGCCATGCTGTGCTATTTCTGGCGAGCTGGGGGTGCTGTGCTGTTGGTGGAACGTGGCGCCTTCGCGCTGCAGCTTCTGTTTGTGTTTGTAGGCGTGGTAGAGCACCTTCTTCGGGATACTAGTCGTGAGCCCGCTGCTGGAAGAAACTGGTCGTCGAGTCAGCATTGTCGGATCCGTCTCGGACACGACCGGGAGCGCGACCGAGCGGAAAACTTTTGGGCTAGCGCCTGCCCCTGCGTTTGTTGCGACAAAATTCATTCCGCTGCCGACCGAAGACGATCCTGCGCTCAGGTTGTAGTGATGCTGGTGGTCAGCTACACCAGAGGCGATCAAATTTGTTCCGGCGATTGTAGTTGAGCCTGGAGGACCTCCGCCATACATTCGTCGACCTGGTGGCAGTTGGCTACTAAGATTCTGTTCCTGCTCTGATATGATCTGGCGGCGAAAAGCCCCGTCGAGGGTTAGTGAGCAGTTGAGTAACTCCGAGGACGCGACGCTAATAGCAGGGGAGCTCGCCACGTCCGAGGCTGTAGGACTCGACACCATCGACGCCGCATGGAGCGGCGCACGAGACGGTATCTCGGGCTTGTTATTCGTGTTGTTGATCACACTGCGCTGCACAAGATCGAGGTCTTGGTCCACTGCGAGGACAACGAGGTCTTTCTTGTGCAAGTCTGGGTTAATCGTGTTCGGTCCGGTTGCGTTGTTGCGGTTGTAACTCGACGGGCCTGCCCTGCCGGTCAAACTCCCAGAGGATGGAGCTGCGGTCACATCAGCGCTCCCTGCTGTGACAAACTTCGTCTTTCCGGTGGTCGAGGCCGAGGCTGCAGTCCGGTGCGCCAGGCCGCTCCCAGCAGAAGGCTCGTTGTAGCTGCGGCTCCCGTCATAGACTTGAATGTCTTCCTCGTGCGCAAGAACGACCTGTTGCGGACTAGAAGCTGAGCCGTCCGGCACACTCCTGCTGCCGTCGGCGGAAAATAAACTTGGAAACGGCGTCGCGCCGCTCAGAGACTTCATTATGATCTGTCTTAATTCGGGATGATATTGATACGTGTGGTGGTTTACAAGAGGTAGATAAAAATGCTGAAAAATATAAGGCCGAGGATGTCCCACTCACGCGAAAGGGGTAGAGACACAAGCTGCAAAAATCGAGATCAAAGTCGGTGTCCGGGCTTGTATTAACCTACAACTTGCGCGAAGGAAAAAGCCACAGACTAATAAACATTACGATTACCATAGGTGCAGATCAACTTGCGATGAATACGCAAGGGAGGGGTAAGGGTGCAACTCTGTCAATTTGGTTTTCGAAGTGGAAATTATGGTGCCGACGGTGCGTGTTCTCAAAATTTCACTGTGTTGCCTAGCGTCGCCACCGAGGTGTAAGTTCAGCTTCAGGAGGTGGAAAAAAATTTACCGACACCTTTAGCACGAAAAACCGATGCTGCTCGAATTCATTTCAACTGCACAGTGTTGTGCGATGCAATTGAAACAGATTGCTACATGTCGAAGGCAGAAGGTCTATGAACGTACACGGCGTAGATCGTAGCGCTCAGACTCACATTCTGTGCTACCAGAGAAAATCATCTTTCTATGTTGTACTAGCACTTCTGCATTTTGTCAAGATGGTACTGTAAGCCAAAAAATTTTCTACAGTCCAATATTTTTTGTCGCACGGTAAGATGCTGAATTCGACTTTCGCTCCGCTCTCAGGAATTTCCATGCGTCGAGAATCAGTATCCTTAAACTATTATTTCCTTCTTTTGCTAAAATCAAAGCCAAGCTCCGACAGGTGCAGGCACAGTGCGAATACACAACAGTGATAGCACGGCGTATTGATAGCTGTAATAGACAATTAGAAACGTAGATTTATTTTTTTTTGGTATTCTATTATGCACGAGTAACGATGAAACAGGAAAGAAAAGATCACATTTGGTATTGTATTTGCTTAAATGGTAACGGTACAAGATACATGAAAGTTGCAGTCGTCTCGTGGTGCGACCACGAGAAACAACTGGCCTGGATTCAGTGTACAAGGAGCAAAGGTTGTTACACATACAAGGTTAGATACAGTTGCAGCTTTCCTTCTCGATGACAAAATTATACACCGATACAGCTACTAAAACCCATCCAGCGCCTTTCCGAGGAGGTCGCCTGCACTTCTTGGCCCTGCTGGACGAGTTGCTGTCGGGGAAGGTTTCTTTTGCACGGGAGCCTGCTTCGGTTCTGGTATTGCAGGCTCCTCCGGGACCACGGCCGGTTGACTGGGCTTGCGTTCGTTGCTTGGCTGGCTTCCACCGCCGCCCCCTCCACCAAAGATTCCACCCAGAAAACCCTTCACTTCTTGTGCCTGAAAAAACACCAATTTGCGAGTTTTTGTTTTGCATCCTCTTGCTAACCGTTTAACATACAACAAATAGGCTTAGGATTGAGGATGCAAGAAAAATCGAAGACCCACATACAACTTTCAAACATAACACACTGGAAATCGGCACAAAATTCCAAAAATGACGACAACTAGATAGTAGAGAGCTATACCGCGAGCAAGTCTTCCCCCGTTGCCCGCTTCATGTCGGCGATGACCTCTTTCAGCTCGTCCCGGTCCTTGGCCTTCTTGGGGACAAACTTGATTTTGTCTTTTCCGGCGACCTTCATGGCGTATTTGGAGTAAAGCAGCTGGTTCTCGTAGGTGTGCGCCATGCCCAGATTCTCTTCGAAGAGCCGCTCGAGCAGCGATAAGTCCTTCAGGTGATCCACCCTCGCGTCGAGGTTCTCGGCAGGGAGGTAAGACAACCCTAATCGATCGGCGGCCTGCTGCCGTGCTACCGCCGCCTTTTGGCCCGTGGCCGGTACGAGAGATCCGACCTATTCGTTGTGGGAAAAATAGGGTGAGGAAGGAAAAAAAACAGGAACGTAGTTTCAACATCGCATAACCATCTCCAACGCCAAGAACGGACAAACGCAGAGAGAAACAAAACAAACCGTATCTGTACCTGCTCGAACATGCGATGGTGTTTCTTCTTCTTTCTCTTTTTCCGGCGCATGGAAAGGTCTGCTGCAGTGAGCAATGCCTCCGGCGACAGGCCTCGGCGGTCTTTTCGCAGGCGCCCTCGACTGGAGAGCAGTGGGCTGCCGCCCTCTTCCCCTTCGCCAGCAGAGCTGCTCGGGCTCGGACTCCGCGTCGACAGTGCGGGCAGTTTCTGCTTCCTTCGCTTCGCGCGCTCCTCGTAAAACTTTGCGAGCACGTGCTTGTTGAGCAAGATCTCCTGCTTGTCGTAGTCGTCTGATTTCATTTTCGCGATTGAGAGTAAGTAAGTGCTACAACTTAACACCTCGAAAGTTATGTCGCACAACAGCTTCAGATCACGGACTCAGAAGTCATCTTTCGTGGAAATGGAAATGCAAACTCAGTTCTTCTACTGTTGCAGCAACAAATTAATACCTTCGAGCCGGATCTTCTCCATTAAGCTGAGACAGTGCATCGATGTGTGTTCCATGGTGTCCTGCAGGCCCTCCTCCAAGGCGTTCTCCTTTGCCAAATCCGCCTCTACTTTTTCTTTCAATTTCAGAAGCTTTTCTTTTCGCCTCTGTCCCTCGGCCATATGCCGGCTCATGTTGAATTCCGTCTGCCGCAGTTGCGAAAGCGTTTGCACCTACGGGATGAAACAATGAGAAAGTTCTTGCTTGTATCAACACGGAATAAAAAACTAGGCATCGATTTTTCATCTTTGCCTCAGCCTGCCTTTAGTTTTGTATTTGTTGCACGAAAGAAAAGTTGATACTTGCACGCGATCTTAGTACTTCACTACCGTTGTGTTTGGTTTCGGGATCAACACTCCGCCTTCTTCGTGCTCTTTCAGTCCCTCTTCGCGGTCGGCCATGTATCGATGCGCCACCACGCGGTCGAACTCGTCGCTGCAGAGGTCCAAGAAGTCCGGGGGTACGAAGGATTGCAGGTATTTTTCCTTGCTGATCGCGTCGTACTCGGTCAAACCGGTTTCGTCCATCAGTTGCCTGCAATACGTTTCGTCCACGAGCTGGTGCAGAATCAGGTCGCCAATGCAGAGCTTCGAGTGCTTCTGCCGATCGTCCAGCGGAATGGAGTCGGGGGTTCCGAAAGTCAGCATTTTGCGGCAGTGCAGGGGGACACCGTTCAAAACTTGGTTGCTCTCGACCTCATCGATTTGGTCGGTGGTTTATTTTTTGCGAAAAGTAGGAAAACGCACACATCACAGCGATCAGGATCAGACCATGTACGGTTTTGAAAACCGATTAGAAATTGTTGAAATTATATTTCTACCGTTGAGTGTTCGGCCAAATACACGATCTGATCAGCCAAATCGTCCGAGCAGTCCCTCCCCACAACACCCAAGACAACGTCTTTCAGTGTCAGCCTGGGTTCGGCTTTCGCTTTTTTGGGTAAATTGAAGACCGCCTGAAAGATGCGCACGATCCAGGCCTGGAAGGGGGTGCCGGCCTTTTGCAGCATGAGCGTCAGGTTTTCCATGTGCTCCTTGAAGGCGAGTGGCAGCTGGAAGCGCACCATCTCGCACAAACTCCGCAGGTTGGCGACGCACCGGCGGATCATGAAGGCTAGCTTCGCACGCACATACCGCTTTCGCTTCTTTCTCCACTGGTCCTTGGATTCGTTTACGCTGAGCACGTCCGCTGGCATGGGCGAGTTCGTGATGGCGTGCACCTGCCCGACGTACTGGTTCAAAATCCGCTGAATCACATTCAGAAAGCAGATCTCGCACACCGACAGCTTCACGCCAAGGCGGTCGGTTAAGGGGACCTTCTTCTTGAAATAAATGGTCTTTGGAATGATTTCTGCAATTTTCTCCGGTTTGGTCCAGTCCGCGTCGAGCGCGAAGTCTAGGGGTCCCACATAGGGTGCAGGAAGGCGGTAGGCGGTCAGTTTCAGTGCTTTCAGCTGCGGCTTCAGCAATGTGGCTGTCGTGGGAGGTGGTAGTGTATTTGCATTTTGGATGATTATGATTTGTCGTCAGCTACGGAAGGACATTACTTGCAAGAAAAAAAGGAAGTGGTTGTCAATGCGGTGCAAGAACGAAGATGATAGTACATAGCTCTACAGGATCGAAAAACGTGTTTCATCCGTGAGGCGAAGAAGAAACAGGAATAAAAATGAGATAATTCGTACTGAAAAGCCGGCATATGGCGTTGTAGGTCTGGTCTTCTTTGATGATCGTTACTGCTTGTTCCAACTTGATGGGAAAAATCTGGAACTCGCTGCGTTGCACCAGGGTGCCAATGTGTTTTTTCGTCAACGCGGTGGTTTCGGCGTCAAACAGCCTCGATAGCATGCCCAGTGTCTCGAACAACAGGTCCTCCACTGCATCCTTGTCCATCAGCAACTTGCGTGAGTCCACCGTGGGCGGTGGTTGGAGTTTGGCCAGAGCAGTCGTTTTCTTTCCCTTTTTGTCTTCGCCGGGCGGGGAAAACGTCGCGGTGGCTCTTTTGTTACCTCCGACGTTCCCTCGCGGTGGCCCGCTCCCGGGCTTGAGGCGCTTGTACTTGCGATACCCGACATTGAAGAGCAGCCACAGTTTCGTGCTCCGCTCTAGAATCGGCGTCGCGATCACGCACGCCACCCAGGCCGCCCAGAAGTGCGACTTGGGAATATCGGCAAAGAAGGACTCCAGGTCCTTGTCGCGGAATGCCGCAAGGTCCTGGCCCATGTCCAGCTCCCACCGCTTGTAAATGCTGGTCAGGAAGGGCACGTCCGCGAGTTTCTTCCCGAGCAGCTTGACCAACTCCTTGGCGCGCCGCATCTGGTAGATCGGCTCCGGCTCGCCTATGGGTACCCGCTCGATCTGGTCTTGCGTCGGCTCCTCCTCCCGAGACAGCACGCTGTAGTAGTACGGCGACAGCAAGAACTGATCCGACAAAGCCGCCCCCATTTTCGCTAGTAAGATAAGAAAAAGTGATACAGAAAGAGGGAATCCAAATGTGAATCCAGTGTTCCACCGCGTCCACTGCGGGTGTAATAATCTACTTAAACGCGCTTCTCCGCACCTTCGTCTCGACCATACCCCTGTTTCCACCACTAGCGCACGTTTCCTTGAAAAAAAAGCACTACGTAAAGGACCGTACAAATAGAGGCGACGGAAAGGTACTTATCGTATGAAAAATAATGGTGATCAATTTACCACTTCAATGTTTCACTGCTGTTAAGTAATCATAAATCATTGCCACCGCTTGCAGCATCGCCCAAAATAATCTTCACCGGCACGAGATTAAACACAAAACACATTGATTGCCACTGCACACATAAGTACACGTTAAGGAGCCAAACGACACTGTGGGCCGTGTTTATTTGTTGCACACCAGAAGGACCGTGTCGTGTGTTCACGACACAGAAACAAAGCCATAGACACACGTCTTGACCTTGACACACGATTGAGAACCGTTCCCCGGAGAAATTATTCACGATGCGAAATACCACGACGAGCAAAAAAAGCGAAAAGATAGAGACACACAGAATCAATCTTCGATCCTGAAACTTTTTGCTTCCATCCCACGAAACAAGATCCTCCAATTCAGAATCCAATGTTTAGGTGCCTGGTAAGTACTTCTTTCTTTGCACCGAGCCAGACGACGACGAACGAAGAAATCCTAAAAACTACCCACGATCTCATCAATGACCACCGGCTCCTTGTCTACTTCAGACGACATGCTACAACATATCCCCCGCCAATACCGAGTAGCCCATGGACACTTTTCCATGCCATCTTGCCAACAGCACCTGCGGCGGCTTTTGCGGAAGAGCACCACTGGTTGTCAGACTTAGTGTACTCAAGTTCTTCACAGCCCACAGAGTTCATTTGGATTTCTTTCTTTTAGAACTCAATGTTCTTTCGAGCGCGCATTGATTTTCAGTTCTCTGCCACTGGCGGCGCATCGTAGTATCGCAGAGGTGGCGGCGCGGGCCACAGGAGTTCGGACAGTAAAAAATCATCGTTTGCAAACCCGCCGACGCAGTAGAACTGCAGAAAATCCTCGAGCGCAAACGCGTCGGGGTTCAGCGCTGGATCCATCAATTTCGAAATGTCGTCGAGGTGGGGAAAGGCGTCGCTGGCACCTTTGTAGTACTCCGTGTCTTGGTCGCTCGGCGCATTTTTGTGCAAGTCGATGAATTTTCGGTACCTTTTTTGTCCGTTGTGAAGTTGGAAATCCAGACAATTTCTTTTCCTTACGATAGAGGGTTTCAAGTTTGGAAACGGAAAAGCGTAATCGTGAATCAAGTGGACAAAGCAAATAAGTACACGCCAAATATTCTCTGCACGGTCGTCGGTTCCCCGGATACGACGGCACCGTTTTTGGTTCCACCTGCAAAACACTGCCAGTTTTTCGTGTACCGCTGTCCATGGCACTCCGTTATGTACCTGCAGAGTCGAGGTAGGCCTCTAAACACTTTTTCTTCTTTTTCATGATGCAAGAATGAGCATTCCGTCTCAGACGAGGCCCTCGGTAACACATCAAATAACTCAAATCAACATCACAACCTGAATCTATTATTGGATCTAATGAAGCTACTGAGGCTTACATGATTTTCGTGTTGGTGACGCCCGGGTGCAAGTTTTGCAATACGAAGAAGAGCGACTCCGATGGTGCCTCGAGAAAGTGCACCATGTAGGGTCCGACGACGTACAGCAACCCCGTTATCAAGAGATCCTCCACACTGAAGTTCGTCACCTCTGCCAATATCGCCTGCAAAAGGAGAAACGATTTTTCATTTTCAACGTAAAAAACTAAAAGCATACATAACTCCGCTGAGGGAGTCTTGAACCAATCGGCGCTAGACGTTTTTTATTCTGTGAGCATGAACGGCAAATTAATATCGAAATGTCAGTTACAAATCATATCGAAGAACGAATACTTACCGTAGCAGCTGGATTTGCGCCATGCTTGTTGAAATTTGTTATCTTTGCTCGGAAATCTTCCTCTACATCCTGCAACTTGACGCCCTCTTGTACCTGCGTGTGGTCGTCGAAGAGGAAATTATAATTATCGAGCGCAAAAATTGACATGCAGACGTGCGTCCCTGAGTTTTCTTATGCGAATGCGTCTACTTAACCGATCGATATGCTAGATAATGCTATGTCTGTGTAACTAGGGGACAAGTGCAAGTGAACTTTACCTGAGAAACCACCAGGAGCCGCGAAATGGGCTTTACACCTTTCTTCAGCCTGTCCATGACATCGAGGACGCTGTACCTTTTCTGCTCTACCGCAAGTTCATCGTAAACACGCTTTGCCGGGGACCCGTCCGGCGATTCTGCCGTTGGCTCCGCCATGGTTGCGATACCCGGATGCCGATTCCGTCCTAGCTGCCCGATAGGTTGGTCCCGCGTTACGATTAGCGTTTGCCTGTCCCGGTACTATGAGACTCCCCCCGCTTTTGCCAGACGATAAGTTCCTTGTGCGAAGCTGCGAAGAAAACTGTTTGGGGAAAATGCTGTAAACTTTCACAAGGACTTCGCACACGTGCTTCGCTATCGCTGCCTCGGTTGGCTAGGTTGCGGACATTCTTTGATAGATTGTACTTGTAGTCTTCTTTCACAAGCTACACTGTAATCAATTGCTCTTCTAGTCAGTGCTTTCTGCGAGAAAAACGAAATCCAGACGGGACTCATTCACATACATCATCGATCGAAAGGCAAAGACAACACACGAAGGGAAACGAAACAAATTGACAAGACTCAAAGCTGAAAATCGACATAGTACGACCCGCTCTTCTTACGTTTATTACGATCCGGAACGAAGATCTTGCTCGCTCTACGATCTCTCGAGTCACTCCGACGATGTGATTGCGGTCCCGGGATTGAACATAATTTTGTATACTATTCGGTGTGGTGGAAATCGACGGGTAAAGCCGCTAAACAAATGTCTCGCCGAGCGGACGCGGAGAATACTTGATTACTACAACATGATTTGGGAACTGTTTTCGGATTTTTGGCTCGCTTAATTTTTCTCCTGGCTCTTGCGGGGAATGCGGCGCATCACTACCAGAAGCCGTCCTAGTCCTCCCGATAAAATCTGAACCGTTGCGGACTCCTTCTTCATGCCTTCCATCGTCGGAATGCGATAATTGCGCTCGTCCAAAACGATTGGGTCCCGCGTGCAGTTCGTGAACCAATCTACATTTTTCTGTTTTTTGGTTTTCTTATCCTTTTTCCCCGGCAGAGCTTTCTCCCGAATGGATTTCAAGGAATCGACGACAGTTTCGGCTTCTACGACTGCAGGCTCTACTTCTCGGTCACCGACACCAGCAGTCGCACTCTTTGCCGCAACGAGGCCCTGGAGATCGATGGGCAAGAGAAACACCAGCTTCCCATCGTCCACAAGACTGGTTTTGGCAAAGGAAAGAAGGTCCTGCAAAATTTCGTCCTCCTCGTAGATATCCTTGCGCGGTATGTAGTTAGACCGGTCGTAGATCCGCGGGTCGTCACCGCCTTCCGCGGTTTGGTTCAGCTGCACTTTCCGCGACGCGGCTCGGATCCCGTAGGGCGGGTCGGTCACGATCGCGTCCAGCCAGCCGCACGAACGCGTGCGCCACGGCTTGCGCGCGTTATCGGTGACGACGATCTCGGGGCGCTTCAGGTGGTACTGGTAGAAATTCATGAACACGTCCTTCATTGGTTGCAGCTTCGATCGTAGCGGCTTCTGCTCATCGTGCTCCTGGTCGCGACTCCCTTTCGTAGTTGTTTGTGGTGGAGCACGCGCGCTGGCAACCGCGGCGGTGGTCACGGCAGGGCTGCGGGTAGAAGTGGTCACCGTGCTAGATGAACCGGCTGCTGTCGCTGGATCGCAAGCGGGCAATGTTGAGCTATGTTGCTTTTGCTGCTCAGTAGCCGCTCCCGTTCCCGGAACGGCTGGGTTATTCTTAACACAGTGGCCGCGTCGCAACTCAATTTCTTTGCACATGGCGACGTTTTTCTGGTAGGCGATGCGCCAGCCCTTCAGAACGCGAATATCGAGATCTGTGCCCATGGTGAGACAACCGAAGTGCGCCATCGGAATGAGAAGTCCGCCGGTGCCGCAAAAGGGGTCGAGGGCAACGCTCGTTTTGGTCACTTGGCCGCAATTTGCCATCAAGAACGCCAGTTCATTCTCCATGGTCGTGGGCCCTAAAATGCACCGCCTACCCAGAGCGTACTTCTCGTAGAACGCGAGGGTTTTGTTCTTCTGCGTCTTAGTCAGGGTCGCTTGTGGTGCAGTTCTGATGGCTGCATTTGCGGGCGCACGGGAGCTGGAGGAGGAGGAAGAGCCCGCGGCCACACACGAACCGGCTCCGCCGACGAAGGTGCGGCCCGACCCGATGTGCCGACCGAAGAAAACGCGGCGAAGCGTTTTGTCGAGCTTGTGTGAGTCGTCGACACCATAGTCCTCCAACAGCATGAGCATGCACTCCGGGTCCTCAAGATCAATTTTGTGTGGTCGCTTGAAAAAAGGCACAGAATTTCTTGTTTCGACTCGCTGCAACTTCCGGGGAGGCTGCTCGTGATCTTCTGCACCTGGTGCTTGCAGAGCTTTTGTGCTACTCACTAGCTCTGCCGCCGTTGGCGATGTCACATCACTCTCTGCAGACTTACAGGAGGACAGCACCGGCCCGAATAGAAAATCGCCCATCTCGATGATTTTTGCCTGTTTGTATTCGTAGCTCAGCGTTTTCCCGAACGCCACACAGCGAAAGCAGAAGGACACATCTGCATTGACGTAATCCTGGTGGCGCACGCCGGACCGGTCCTGTAAACTTTTCATCACGTCGCTGCTCTCCGTGGTGGCTGTGCCGTGCTTCCCCGTGTCGCCAACCTTGGGAATTTTTTCGCTTGCTACCTGTTTGACGATGCCATAATCGGCACCTTCTGCCCAGACTTCGACGACAACTTTGATCAGTACCGCTCGAGAGAGCAAAAATTTCACGATTTCGTCAACGCGATCAACCGGCAGCCACACGTACACGTAGGGTTCTTCGGTGAGCGCGGAGGGCATTTCGTCCGAACCATTACTATCACCGCACCTGTAGAGCTGCGCCCGCGAGATGCCGCACATTTCGGCCAAGGCTTCCAGCTCCTGAAACCGCATGTTGTAGTACAGGTTGTGGTGCGCAAACCACACCAGGTACCGGCGCCAAGAAGCATCTGCAGACCCGACCATCATTTTTATGTCGTTCCAGAGTAGAGTCGTGAGGAAAACTAGAAATCTGACAACCACATAAATCTCACCATTACTATCGCCTACTAACTTCTATTTTTCCTTTCTGTCGCCTGGGCCTGAGAGGATAACCAAAACAAAAAGAACTGATCGTGACGCACGAAATGTCGATAGGGATTTCAGATGACAAGAAAGACCATCACCATTTTTCAATTTGAAGAACCATTGATCCGCAACTGCTGTCTCGATCTGCGGCATTTACGCTGTCACTTAGTAGCAAAACGAAAAAATAAAAAATATGATCAGCTGAGCAACGGGACATCGGAATTCTATGATCAGGATCCTTTTGTTTCAAAACGACTGCATCTGGATCTGTCTGTGCGGGTCCTCAAAGTCTCGGCTTGCAACCTTTCTTTCAGGTTGATGCAGTCTCGTGACATGTCTAAGATGAAACACGAACAATTTCGGCTTTCCTTGCCTCGGGAGATTCGACTTCCGCATCACTTATAAAAGGTGATAGATGCTTTTTTCATTTCTTCGAGCCAATCGAGGGTCGTCACGAGAAGACTCCGCTGTACATTTAGGGATGTGCTCGTCGTTGATCTCAAGCGAATGAAGTACATGCATTTGAGTCCTACGGCTACGTCAAGTCAATCTTAGTACAGTCAAGTGTGTAACCTGCTTTTGCCATTGATTTCCAACGATTACATGTTGTTGAGAGCTTCGACAGAGGAAGAAAATCTTACCTACGTTTATTGTACGCTACAGCGGCTGCTGGAACAGACTACTGCAGAAAAAAAGCATTTACCGTGCCCGTGCGCCAAACTGTTCAAACAACGCCATGACATCGCGATTACTTGTGAGTCGCGCCCAGTCAGCTGCGGTTCGTCCTAGACTGTCGGTCAATTGCAAAAGCCTTTCTGCTTCCTTCGTTCCGCCGGCAGACTCGAGCAACCGGCCGCAAAGGTATCGGTGTCCCCACTGTGCGGCCACCATTAAGGCAGTCTGCCCAGTCGATTCCGTCTGCACGAACACGTCTTCCGGCTTCACCTGGCAAAAAATGCAGTCCGCTAGCCCGGACTCGCCGGGTGCACTGCTGCACTGGTCTTCGACCGGGGACTCTGCACCATAGTCCGTCGACGCAGGATTGGATTTCAGTTTCCACGCGGCCCGCACCCGCAACGGCGACGCCAGTTTCGCGCGCGTAAGTCGCAGAAATCCAAAAAACACCTTGTTACCGCGCCAAAAGAAACGCAGAATTCGTGCTGGTCTCCACTTGGACGAAGTGCTTCTTGTCTTTTTCGATGTTGCCCTGCTACTTCCCCGACCAGACACAACCGTTGTTGGGGAACTCGTTTGCGATAGTGCCGCGCCGCCCGCCTGTTTCGCGGTCGCACTGGCAGTCGCGGACGTCTCCGACTCTTCGTCCGACTCTGGAGGTGGTGTTTCGGTCTTGCTAGCCGCGCGGCTGTGCTCCTGTTCCCGCGGTTCGGAAACGAAATTTCCTTTGGCGACTAGCTTTTCGTACCGCGAAGACGCATTCGAGGAGGCACAAGAACTGGTATTGGAACTCTTGCTCGAAGAGCTGGACGAGGATCCTGGGCGGTTGAAGCACGTTGTGCTGCTGGCAGAAGACGAACAGGAGCGATCGCCGTCCACAATTCGACTCGGTTTACTCGACTGGTTGGCGCACAGTGTGGTCGGTGTCGAGGTCGAACCGCTGCTGTTGCGCTTGTGAACAACCTCCGGCCCCAACCCGTTATAATTTGTCGCGTTCAGAAAGGTATGGTCGCTGTGATGGAGGTGCCCAGTCCCCCCGTGGCACAACTTAATCAAGGCAGTTTCGAACGGCCACTGACGCTGGGGCTGGGACAACAGGTCCGACGGGCAGTCTGGGTGCGCGAGGATAAACTGCACCAGGGCCTTGTTGTTAGTCTGGATCGCCATCATCAGACTGTTTTCTTTCAGGATCTTTGTCTGCTGGCTAAAGTTTTTCGGACCGTTGAAAGCCGGGTGCTCCGCAATCAGTTTCGCCAACTCCGTGTGCCGGTGCGCGACCGCTTTCATGAAGGCGGTCTCGTGCGTGTTGCAGGTGTGGTCATTCAGAAACGTTGGTGCGAGATCAGTAGCGAGCAGCCCACGCAGCACCTCCTGGTTACCGAATTCTGCGGCGACGATTAGTGCGGTTTCTGCTTCCACAGTCTTGAGCACGCCCTTGCCTCCTCCGGGCTGCGCAAGCGTACTTGCGATGTCCACGTCCTGAGCGCGCGCGATCTTTTCGAGCGACGGGTGCTTCAAAAACCGGCTCTTGTCTGGGCGGCTTGCTTGGTTACACGCACCCAGCAGATGGACCGGATGAAACGGGGTGCGTGCGCCGTTTGAGCTTGCTTTTGTCATGATGATCGTCCTGAGCAGCTGCCCCTCGGAAAAAAAACCCTGAATAGCCGCTCTCCCCGATTCTACAGGTAGTCATGGCCAGTTGCAAGCGGGAAATCGAAGACGGCAGTGCACATCGGGCTCAATCGACGCCGAAGCACCGCCACTGCCACACAAAGTCGACCCAAATGCATTATGACGTACGATTATCGATTACGAGCGCGATCTAAAGATTCGAAGACGACAGTGACACTCCCTCCCGCTGGTAGCCGACACACCTCTCGAAAAAAACACCAATTGGCCAGGCTCAAGGATGTGCATCTTCCGCATCATCGACCTCTTCTACATTACGCGCTGCATCGCACACACGGAAGCGATGAAGGAGCTTCCCTTCGTGAGATTCACCACCCTTCCAGCGGTGCAGCCAGTCGTAAAAAGCCAACGCACAAAGCTTGTAGCACACGAGATAGGGCTCGCAAAATTGTGCAACCTGCGCGGGGGACAACATGTTGCGCTTGGCAGCCGCTGCGGCCTTTTCCTCCGCCTCTGTGCGCCACTTCACGACCCACTGAAGAATGCTTTCGTTCTCTGCAGCAGCTTCGGGCTGGTTTCCGTCGCGTCTCAGGGGGAGCTCCACCACGATCCACCCGTCGATATACTCGTCCCAAACTTTTTCAAGCTCGGTCAACACAGGACCCGGGCCTTCCAGGAAGTATGTCCAGCTCTCGAGATCGACATCCTGCTTTCGCTCTTTACCAGGAGATCGGAATCCGACGCACCATCCATCGAGAAGCACGACTCGGACTTGCGACAAGTCGCGCCTGTCTGATCCACCCGACACGCGATCGCCGAAGCCTGCATTCAAGGTCTTATCAAAGCGGGGAAGTTCGACAACTTTGGACGCGCTTTCCTGTCCAGTTTCTGTGTCAGCAAGAGCATGCACGGTGCCAGCCCGGCCACATCGTCGTATCTTAGCCAGCACGTCGCGGAGCAGGCCGACGTCGTGCGTTCCAGGAAGTCCGCGATTCCTCCAAAGCGGATTGCGCGTAGCGAGTTGTCGCAGGTCACCTGCTGGTAGGTAGAAATCATCGAGCGAAAGGGTGAGGAGCGTCTCTCGTCCGAAATGCTTCTCCAGACGCTGAACCAAAAATGTCTTCCCGAAACCCTGCGGTGCCTGGAGGCCCAGGACGTGCGGGCTGGTAGGCCGCACCTCGAGCAACGCAGTGATTTCGCGTGCAACATGTGTAAAGAGTTGATCCCGATCCATTTTGCTCGGTTTCGACTCAGCCCCCGTGACGGGTCACGAAACTCAGATAGGCAAAAATGTGTATCGACTCAGCAGGACCAGGAAATGTACATGACAGTAGATTCTCGCTCTACATCACACAGCACGAAAATGATTGAATTCCGATTCAAAGCGAGCATGTTATTTACGAACAATGAGCCCGGTGACCAAGACGAGTACGACCAGTTTGTGATTCAGTTTTCCTGTCGGAACGTCAACTTTGGAGGATCACACAAAAAGATGAACTACCAAATGGGGACTTCCAATTAGTGTACCACAAGTTTCCCGCGTTATCTTGCACAAAATGGAGCAAGGAACGTAGTTTGCAAGTGGGAATCCGACAAAATCTCAGGACGTACAGTATGACGGACCGTGTAAGCGCGACGTGACCCTCGTAGTTCAGGTTGTCCAGAAAAGGATGGCCGGATACAGCGTGGACTGTACAAACAAGGATGCTGTCCGCACGGATACTTTGGAGCGTGGCACTCAAATCCCACGCACCAAATGGGTCCTGCAGGCTTAGTATACCGCACGTTTCCCGCGCTCACCTGGTACGCGTAACGCAGGGACGTAGTTTTCGTGCGGAAAGCTGGTTTGCATAAAAGAGGTGCTCAATATCGATGCGATAATCCATCTAAAGACCGAATCATAAGCATCGCTGCGTTTTTCGAAGCGAAACAACCGACTTCATGAGCCAATTCTATGACAGACGCTTTGCCGAACACTGTTTGACACTCTCTGTGCAACACAAACGCACTCGCATTGCGAGGACCACAGCAAGACTCGTTTTTTTTTGTTGTTGTGGCGCTACTCCAAAGTTACATTAGAAAAGTCCATGTCTTGAGAGTTGTTGTCACGCGTCGTAAGCTGCAGTGGTCTTAACCGTTTGCTTACTCTCCCTTGATGGCACGAGTGTAGATCATCAAGGCGTGGTGCTGGTCACCGACCGGAGTGATCAATCCCTCTCCCTCCAAGTGGCGGATGGCCTGTTTTTTGTGCATTTTATGAGCAATAACGATCAAATGGTTTTCTGCAAATACATCTGAGCCGAAATGCACATCATCGCAACCCCGAAAACTAAAGCAAGCGTACAGTAAGAATCCATGAGCAAAAACCGCAGCGGAAGCAAGCAAAGTATATGTCCAATAATCAAATTTTAGCATTTTACCTGGCGAGCCAAAGATCCATTGATCTTGCAACGCTCGGACACAACAGCCTGGGTGATGAGCTTGGTCTTGGGGATTTCCTTCATCATCTTGTCGTAAGTCGGCTTGTCGAAGAGGACGGCGTTCATGGCCTTCTCCTTGACCTTACCCTTGCTCCACTTCTTCTTGCGGCCCTTACCACCGGAAAGGGCAGCTTTGAGCTTCTGTTCCTTGGTTTTCTGTTGCACCTTCGGCGGCATCTTGACTTTTTTTTGTAACTTCTATGGAGAGGAGCAATAAGCCTACACTTCCTCGTGGGTCCCTGTGGTGATGAAAAGAAATTGCACGGGTTAAGAGAAATTTTCTACGGATTTAGGTGCGGATAGGAGCCAGATTTTCCTTTCTGGATTGTCAAATTTCGAACTGTAGGATCCTTTTTCCAGCACATGCGTCACTCTGATCGAGTCTTTTGAGGCGATCTAGACCTTGTTGCATTCATCTTATTATTTGGGGGATCACGTCATTCTCTCACAAATCATATCATTCGTGAACTTACAGATATTGATCAGGCAGCACGACCGATTGATTAGTATTTCCTTTTCCGTTTTGGTTTTCATTTCCAACGAATTCAGCTGCATTTCAAGTTTCTTTTGTCATGGATCACATGCTTCAAATGCCATGATACGGTTTCCAATTGCAAACCACCGTACAGATCGCCAGTAAACAGATGGTTTAGATCATTTAGGTTTCGAACTAGAGCTGCAGATTTCTGATTTTCCAGTGCGATCGCAAAGCTGAACATTTTTAGGCGGCTTAGTCAATCTTTGCTTTCGCTTGGGCGTGCTTGCGCGGAGACATGTGGATCAGGCACATGTGCCTTTAGTATATTGTTCCTTTTGCACGCTTGTGGTGCTTTAGTCGAAACTTGGGAGATTTCCGCCTGCGAACATTCAACTTTAGTTCAAGTGCACTAATTGCTGATACGCAACCGCAAGGTGAGAGTGTCTCCCTTCTTCTTGGCTTTTCGAACCGCCAGACACTTCCCCGTCGCGTGTGTTGACACGGACAGGTACCGGCTCCAGGTTTTTGTGAAGTTTAACTTGGCTTCAACGCTTTCATCGGCGGCGAGATCCCATTCCACGTCACCGCGGAAGTGGAGTTCGACCTCCGCAATGCCGCTCTTCGGCTCCGTGCAGGAACACGTGCAAGCGACGTCGCCGAGACCGCACTCTTGCGGCAACATCACTTCTTTCTGCTCGCCGTCGATGGTTTTCGTGATCGGAAACAGGAGTTCCTGCTTCACAATCCGCGATTTTGCAAGCTCGGCCGTCTTTCCCGCTTCCAAGACCTTGGCCGACGTTGCAGGACTCAATTTCGTGATCATGCTGACAGACGCAACGGCCTCAGGCTCGGACTTCTCTGTTGTGGTGCGATTCAATGCTGGCGCAGTCTTGGGCTTTGCTTGTTTTTCTTTCGCTGAATCTTCTGGAACAGTGCTTTTCGTTTTGTCTGCCGTACTCGGAAGAACGGTAACCACCTTCTGCTGTTCTTTGTTCTGCTTCGGCTCTTCGACTGTCGAAGAGACGACGGTTATCAGCGGTTGCTCGCTTGCGGACTCATCTGCACTTTTGCCTACTTCCGTGCTTGCCTCTTTCTTCCGTTTAGCCGCCAAGCGCTTCCGCTGCCCCTTGGAGAGTCCCCCGGAGCCGGACTCCTCGGTAGTCTCAACGGTGACAGCCTCATTTTTTTCATTTTTCGACTCTGGAGCAGACGTGGCCTTTTCAGGCGCAGCTACGCCAGACTTTTTTGTCTGCAGCTCCTGCTTGCAGACATCTGCGACACTTTCCACAGGCGGTGCTGTGGCGTTCTTTTTCTTTTTTTTCTTGTTTCCCGCCTTGGACACTTCAGCCGCAGCATGGGATGAAGCTTCGGAAGTACTGCCTGCTGTCGATGTCGTTTGCTTAGCTTCCGACACTACATCTGGTTCTTCCTGCATCGGTTTCGCCGGCACGGTGTCCCCTGTATTTCCATCGGATTTGGAATCACCGACGGCCACCTCGTTCATTGCGACATTTGATTCCCTGACGACCGTCTGTGCGGAAGCAACACCCTTCTTCTTTTTCTTTTTGCTCTTCGACGAGGCTGCGGATGCACTCGACGTCTTGTCCGCAGGAGAAGCTGGAGCTTCGTCAGGATTCGTGGCTTGTGACAACATCTTTTCGGATTTTTCCGGCGCTTTCGGCGGCGGTGATGCAGTTATCGTGGTGGTTGCAGCAGGAAAGTGCACCGTCGACGGTGAGGCAAGACCCGGTAGGTGTGCCATGTTATCCACGTCCTTCCCACAGAGCACATGCTCGTCGACGAGTTTATACACCTTTTGCAGGTCCGCCAAGCTTGTGATAGTGCTGGAAGCCTCGAGTTCCCTGGTCAGTGAGTGTTCTTTTGATCGTCAAAATCCAATCAGAAAAAACAGGACTAGCGCTGCAATCAAAGTGGGCACGTCGCGTACTACGCCTTAATTCCAGTAGAATGCAAGGGCTTGCGAGACAGCCAGACAGGGAAACAATATGAGCAAGCAATGCGTGATCAAGTGCGCCACCGACCCCAACTAAGTTGTAACAAGTGCTTATCACGACCGCAGTCGAAAAGTACCATTTGGCGTCTGCAGAACTCAGCTCGCGCTTACCCTGCACCATGTAGATGAAGCTGTTGCCACAGTACTGCGCTGACGCCGTGTCCCCCACGAAGGTAGACGCACAGTGATACGGGTTTTCCATCGGCAGTAACAGATACCTTGATCGTAAAACCGTGGAATGCAAGATGGTTTCCCCGATCAAGTCGTTTGCTGCGTCGGCACAGGTGAACCCGCACACAAAATTTTTTCGCTGGAGATATTGCAGGTCGGGCAGCCAGGTGTGCAGCAACGGCTGCTTCAGTTGCTTGGCGATTCCGCTCCGGTTCAGCCGGTTCCCGAAACCACCGTTGAAAACAAACACCAGCGTGTTCTCCGCTGTCAGCTGCTGGCCGCATTGGTCCTTCTTGTACGTGAAGAACTTTTCTGCGACGTTGGGCAGTGGAACCTTGAAGAACGGCCGGTCCAGGATCTTCGTCACAAACCTGAACAACCGTTGACATGGATTCGTGTCAGCAGCGCTATTTTGGAATTACAGAAAAGAATCAACAACACATATAGGGGGGCTCTCCATTTGCATCGCTAGTGCTACCGCTACACAGCAATTACTTTGCTTGAGTTTTTACTTAGACTTTGGCGCGGTGGTGTCTGGTTTCCCTTTCAGTTCCGGCCCCACGAATGACAGGCGCACATTGTATTTGGACACAAGGAGGTCGAAGTAATTCGTTTTCTCCATCACTTTGGTCTCTGACACCGCTGCACCGAAGACTACGACGTGCTTGTACTCGTTTTCCTTTCCCTGCCCCTTCAACTGCGCAATCACATGGTCCAATGTGAACATGATGCTAGCCATAAAGCTCAGCCCGTCCACGATGCTGGCATTCTGGAGCGCCTCCTGCATGATTTTCTCCCCCTGGTCGAGCATGGAAAAAAGTTTGCGCCACCCCAGCGGCATTTTCTCCGCCGCCGCGGTGCCCTGCTTGCTCCAGGCGACGCGCGGACGGGTGAATTTCTCCACCCGGAGGGTCCCCGGCGAGGAGAATCCATTGATCTCTTTGCACGCAGCGTCCAACGTTACGGTCGACATCTTGTGTGTGCTCCTGGGCGGAAAATAAGTATTAGTACTTATCTAATGCGTCTTTGGACTTCCAGTTGGGCCGACGTGCAATCTTGTTCTTTGTCCGTGAGTGCCCTCTTTCTAGGCGCTTCCTGAAGATCAAGGGAAGATGCTAGCACATCTGCACACTCTCTGGTAGTTGTGCTCTTCGTTCCACACTCCGCAGATGAACCAATTGATCTTCTTCTGGGGCTCCTGTACTTCCCGAATCAAAATCATGCATCAAGGCCACGTACATTCATCATAGAAACACACTGTCGCTGCGACTTTTCAACACTGGCGGGCTCAAGGCCGTGCCATTGGCTACTTCATGGAAGTGCTATGCCCCCCTGGCTGCGCCGCATCAACTGGCGAAACCAAGTTGGCGGCAGATTGTACTCGGTTTCTAGGTTTCCCGCAGCGAAAAACTCTTTCATTAACGCACTAGAATCCCGGCCGGCGACATCTTTCAAAAACGACGAGCTTCCCACCGCGTCGAGTCGCTGCTCCATTTCGAAATAGCGATTTTGCATTTCGTCTTTGAGTTCGCGCGTGACGGCCAGTTCCTCGCGTGCCTTCTCGAGTCGTTCCGCCAACTCCCCGTTACGGGCGCTTGCCGCTTCGAGTTCCGCATGCACGTTTTGCAGCTCGTAAAGTTCCTTTCGCTCGTTCGCGAGCAGTTCCGCGGTGTCGTTTTGCAATGCCTTCGCGACTTCAAGCTCGTGTTCCAGCCGAGCCTTCTCGTTCTCCAACAGCGCCTTGTCTTCGCCCAGAGCGTAGGTCTGTTCGCGCTCCACGTCCAGGAGCGTCTGGAATTCGGTCACAGACTTCCTGAGCTCGTCCACGATCGCCAAGTGCCTCTGTTCCTGCATGCGGAGCTCGTCCCGGAGTTCCTCCCGTTCACCCCGCGCCGCCCGGAGCGCGTCCTGCTGGAGCTGCAGCTTGTCGCTGAATTGCTTCTCCAGCAGCATTTCGTTGGTTTTCGTGCCGTCCTTCACACGCTCCTCCACGGAGTGCGCCGCTGTTGCGTCCAGTTTCTGCACGGACTGCTGCAACGCCTCCAGCTCCTTGGCGTGTTGGCCCACGGTCGCGGACAGTTTCAGTTCCAGTTCGCTCGCACGCAGCGCTTCCCGAGCCGCTTCGTTCGCGGCGAGCGCCTTTTCCCGGCGTGCCTTGTCCAGCTCGCGATCTGCGGCTCGTGCAGTCTTTTGCGCGGCGTCGGCGACCGTCGTGAACGTCTTCAGTCCCTCGGAAAAGCGCCGCCCACTTCGCGCCTAGGAAATTTGGTAATATCGAGAAAAACTTCCTGTTTGGAAAAAATGGCGATCCCGGTGGATGAGTCACATTTTTATTGAATTCAGTGGATTACGTAATAGGTAACTTCGGTACTTACCATAAGTTCTTCGGTATCCTCGACGCAGTCTCGAAGCAGATCCCGCTGTTGCTGTGCGAGTGGGGAAGGGACCACCGGCGGCGTCATGCTGTTGGAAGACTGCATCACACGCGCTGGCTCCAGTCCGACGACGTGGAGCTCCTGCACCAGGAAGCGGCGAACGCTTTCCTGCAGCACGTGGTCTGGGGGGTGGGGCCCGCGGAAAACTAGCCGGCTCAGGCTCGATTCTAACGGCGCAATTGCAAGGGCGCCACTTCCCTCGACGTCCTCTGCCTCGTTCTCAACTTTTTTGATTGCTTTATCCACTCGGCTTTCGCTGCCCACAACGAAAACGCGGTCAATTTTACCCGTCAGCTGCAGTGCGATGTGGCGCGTGTACCCAAGCAGTGAGTTGAAGGCGGTCTGGAGATCGAGGTAATCGCTCTGCAGCTGTTTTTTCTGCCGCGTCTCGTGGTCAAGGAGCTGGGCGGCAGACGCCCCGGCGAGGAATTGTTCGTGCGGTAGAATGACTGGCGGCAAGTTCTGCGGCGTGACAGGGGTCGCGCTGGCAGATGGCGCGTTCCGATCTTCGGACTCTTGCAAGACCTCCTCACTCTGCCTCAAGTTCTCGTAGTTCGGCCCCCGGCCTTGTGGTTCATCTTCGGTTGTACTGAGCATCTGGGCCGGCACGTCGGTTATTGGCCCCGCAGAGCCCCCTCGCGGCGCTGGTTCGTATTCCTCCGGTGCAACAGGTGGATCTCCTCCAGTCAATGTTCCAGACTGTCCGTGCACGATTGTATCTCGCGGATCTTCCTCTTCTGGCGTGCTGGCGTTGGATACGACTCCTCCCGCCTCGACCGCGTCGGTGTCATTGCTCGTAGCTTGCTGCGCCCGATTCATCATCGCTAACTCCTCGCTAGAGCTGCTGCCGCTCGGCGCCGGCAGCGCTAACGTTTCGTTTTCTTGTGAGTGCAAATCAGCGTGCGTTGCGGTGGACTCTGCACCGCGAGGAGGTTCGTATAGCGAAAGACTTTCCGCACGTGCGACACCGGAGCCCCGGGGTGCTTGTTCCGCGGCGGAAAGACGGGCGGTGTCACTAAGACCGAGAATCGCAGCTCTCTCATTTTCTGCCTCGGCTGCTTCGGTTGCTGAATCTTTACTGGGCGGGACAGCCTCCGCAGCCTTGTCCTGTTCTGCGTCTGGCACCGGTAGAAACGACTCGTCATGCTCCTCGGACCCATCTATGAAGCCGCCATCACTGCTCGATGCAACAGAAATCGCGTCCAGCACGGAGTACGTATCTTCTTGGTGAATGGTTTGGAGCACGCGCAAGAAAAATGGGAAATCCAACCCACCATCCCCCTTCTGCGACGCGACGACCTGAAGAAAGAAAGACCCAGTAGCAGCTAAGCTTAAACACAAGAAGCACATCACACTGACTACGTCGAGTTCGAAGCTTAAAGTAGCAAATTCATCAGGCGGGTCATCCTTGAAGTATCGACCAAAGAAAACATCAGACCCTACTACAACCACGTACTTTGTCGTGCAGTCGAGCGCAGGCTTCCACGGTTGGCGCATTCGGCACACCCTCTAGGTGGATGTCGGTGAGGGCCTTGTGGAACTCGGCCGCTGTCAAGTACCCCTTGGAACTGCGGTCGGCATCCGTGTAAAGAGTGCGCAGACCGTCCAGCTCCTCAGGATCGAAAAATTCCAAAAACTCCTTCGCCTCTTCCTCGGACAAGCCATGAGCCGCCATTTTGATTCACTGTGGAGGTGGGTCAGACACAATTCTTGCACTTTTTCGCTCCAACGGACGAGCGAGAAAAAGCCGCGTCCCTCCAAAGACGAGCAGGACAACGTTGAATTTTACGGAATAAATTGGCTTTCAGCCACACAAATTCCTCTCAAGATTCAAACATACTCCCGGCGAACAAAAAGGATGCAGCATCAGCAGTACCAGGATGGAGAGTCCACTGCTTGAGATAAGTAGCTTCTCAGCTGCTCGTGCAGCCCCAGTGGCTCTTTATAACTTTCGTGAAGATAGAGATGGAAGATTGATTGATATTACTATCATTGATCTACTTGCTGTCGAATGAGCTCTCCCAGTGCAGCATCGTGCTTTGAACTCGCAGATGGGAGAAGATAGTCTGTCACTTGCAGAATCTCCGGGTGGTCGTGAAGCTCCTTCGCGGTTGCAACCATCATAACAGGCAAGTTTGCTCGGTGCAGTGCCTTCGCGAACAAAATTGGGTCGAGACACAGAATCAGGGAGAAGTCCTTGGTCGCGGTTGCGATCGTTTGCTCGTCCACGCGTGGACAGTGCTTGTACGACGGTGCGAGAGTCTTTGAGCTGTTACTCGTACCGGCTGCTGGTGACCCAGCAAACCAGTTCACGCCAAAATGGTTGCGGTTGCCTAACACCAGTATGCGCCCCGCGTTATCCCTGACCAGCTTCAGCAGTTTAAATGCTCGCTTGTAGTGGATCAGCAGCGAATAGGGGTCCGTTATGTACGAAGTGCGCAGGCTGCTACGCACTTGGTGGAAGTTCATATTTTGCCAGTGTTGGCGGTCCGCTTTTCCGTGTTCTAGACAAAATGTGGAGCACTCGATAGTAGCAGGCTCACATATCTAAATTGCCAGATCCCGCCCTCGCAGGGCGAAGACGCGACACGAAGATACTTAGATGGAAAACAGGTACTAGAGTGATAAATATCAGTAAACAAGAAGCGACCGAGTAGCATGGAACACGACGGAGTCCGATACGCTCGCCCTCGCGCAAGAGCACTGAGCGCCGCTCCAATGAATGCGATCTTGTTTTGGCACTAGTATCACTAGTGTTGACAACGTGTGATAATTTTACACCTTGTTTCGTGTCAGAATCACAGCGAAATTTCAGTCGTCCACTAGTTCCCAATGAGCCGTGCTTGTTCTGTGAAGAAGGTCTGGAATTGAAGCAAATCGGCTTCCACAATCCCGAGGCTCTGCAAGTGCAGCAGGGCTTCTAGGATCTTCTCATCCCGTGTGCTCTTCTTGAAACGGTTGAAGTACGTGGAAAACTCTTTGACGTATTCCTCAGCCAGAAAGCGTCGGACCGAGTGTGTGTCCAGGTATTTGTTGATTTGGTCCATGGCTGTGAGCAGGTCCTTGACAAATTGAATCGCCTCGCCCATGGCTGTACTCACCGCATTGACGTTGTCCGCACTTTCCACCAGCGCGAGGCGGCTAGCCATGCTGCCGCGCACGACGAGAATCCTTTCCCGCAGGCGATCCTCCGCGCTCTGGCGCAGCTGCAGGGCGAGGCGCAACAGTGTGGTCGCCGCGGCTGCGGACGTTCTACGCATCCCGAAAGTAGTCAGGTACTCCGACAGCACGTTGCAACTGTGGAAAAAACTCAGGCAGGCCGGGGTGTCGCGGCTGAGATCACCTCGCTGCGTACTCCTGACCAGGAGGAAGAGACTAACAAGGTCTTCCGCCGCCGCCAAACTCTCCGATCCGGACGCAGTTGTTGCCTCCTCATTCAGCGGGCCCCCGGCCTCGAGAACGGCTCGCAGAAGGCGCCAGAATTCCGCTGTTTCTTGCTCGTCTTTATTGCCGTCGGCGCGATCACTATTGGTTGCCCCCAGTGGCTGCAGCTTGGAAGATTGCGGGCTCGCTGCGAACAACAACCGCCGGCCCTGCTCGAGCAGGGTGCCAATCCGTTGCTGCGTTTGCTCGTGCTGGTGCCGCAGAAGCAAATCGCCCACGACCGCGAGCGAGTGCAACCCGGCGTCCCGCGTGCGCGTTTCCAGAGTCTCGACCGTCGCACTGGAAAATGAGCTTGTCGTGTCTTCTTGCAGTGAAAAACCGTCATCCGCCTCGAACATCCTATCATGGTCGACGTCTTCGTCTTTCGACCGCCCTCGCCGGAGATCCAGACTGCGACGGGGGGAGGCGGCCGAGCCCATGAGTCCCTGGGCGGTCGCAGACCAAATCCGGTTACCCCCGATGTCCGGACTGAGTGACAGCTTTCGGTGCAGAAACAGCAAACAGGCGACCAGCGCGCCACCGGCGTCCAAAAATTCGACTGGCTTCGTCCCCTCGACGCCGGCGTCGCCTGGTCTCGCCTCAGCCACCTGCCATACACAATAACGCATTTGGGCCCCTGTTTCTGGGTCAATGTGCTGCTCTGTACGTGTCGACACCGAATGGCTGGTGGATTTGTTGCTGGCGGGAAAGTTGTGCCGCAAAAAGGAAATAATTCTTCTGGAAATGCTCTCGACTCGGCGCTCCAAGAGGTCCGGAAAACGGTCGAGCGACGCCCAGAATCTTCGCATGCAGACAGAGTGCGCGCCACCGGCGGGATTGGTTTCATCGTCTCCGTCGACGTACCGCACACGTAGCTCCGAGTTGCTTGTCAACAGCAAGGAGGAGAACCACCGCTCCATGTGCGCCAGCTCGGCAACCGCGCACTGCTCGATCTTGGCCGCGATGCGAGACGGCAATGCTAACTTTCTGCAACTCGAAGGGACCAGGGCGCCGGACGAAACGGCCTGGAGACTCTCCATCAGAAAGACGAGGAACCTGCAAGTACTAGCATTACGTGAAGAGAAGACTCGTCTAAGAACAAGCTAAAACTACTCTACTTCCGTTCTGTGAAGATTATCGCCTTATTCTGACAAGAAAAACCTCAGTGTCGTGAGAGTGCGTCGGAAAGGGGAAAAAGATATTACCAACGTAGCACTTAGCGTATAGGTATACAAAAAGATTCAATAAAAGTATGAACCCTACCCGTAATCCGTAGCTTTTTCGGTCTGTCGCGTAGACACAAGATGCTCCAACCGCGTTAATTTCGAGAGCGTCTCGCGTGCGTGCTTCTGGAGGGCGACTCGTTCCCGCAATCGCACACAGGCCTGATTAGCGGTCTCCGCCTGCTGGATTTGAGCGAGCAGCAGCTCCGACGCACCGCCATTCCCTCGGGCGAGCACGTCTCTGCAGAATGCCAACTCTGTGGTTGCAATGCGTTCCAACGCTGGCTGGTTGCGCTCCCACTTCTGGTTTAGCGCGTTTCGGGCAACGGTTTCACGCCGATCCAATTCCTTGATCCGTCGTTCCAAAACTTCCTCGTCGACGATCCGCGAGGAGGACGACGAAGCGGAAGTAGACGTAGGCGGCCCACCGGGTGCAGACAACATACCTTCACGACCTCGCGCAGACGTCTAAAAAGTTACGAAGGTTAAGTACATGTTCATGTAGAATATGATAAAGATTTTTTATGAGATAAAGGCAAAAAAATCAGTCGCGGATTTGTTTTTACGCGGAATGTGGACACAAGCGATGCGAAACAAGAAAGATCGCTGTTGAAGAGGGTCGGATACTTCTTATCCTCATTTTAGGACTAGCACTAGAGGCAAGATGAGACGCATTTAAGGGGAATTACATATTACATAGATCGAATTTTTTTATCAATCAGCCACCGGTCACAGTGGCTTGCGAATCGTAGGATCCTTTCAGCCTGAGTGATGTGTAAGTATAGTCTCACTGAGCTTTCCGAGATGAATGGTAGGTACACATAGTCAGTGAGAACAATTGCTTCACCGATCTGCGCGTTCTCACGCAAACTGTAACTCGATCGGTATCGGTTGTCGCGCTTTCCCGCATGATGATTTGTTTCTTTTATCCCATATCATGCACAGGAAATTTTCTAGTACAAGAGCCGGCGCCTGTTTTATTCTAGGAATCCACGCCTGCGGCAGTTCGAGAGCTGCCCTGTTGGTAGGACCGGACGCGAAAGCGAAACCAAAAACCATAAAAACATAAGCCTGAAGGGCAGAAGTCTATATTTGCAAAATGAAACCTGGTTGTGAAGAAGATGCGATGAAAGTGAAACCCAAATCGACACGCGATGTGCCATAATTCAAAAAAATCTCCAATCAAAGGTGCTATTAAACGACTGGCGTACTTACAAACGCAATAGCACAGGGTGGAAACGCGCGTCGAAACCGCTGACAATCAGATGCCTTCCACAACCAAAACGCTCAGCGTTTCCGGGAGGTAGTACCCGGACGCGACCCACGCGGCGTGTGCTTTGGCGGTCGACGGGCCGTTTTCCGGCAGGCAGTCCTCACGAGCGGCGGATTGCAGTTTTATCTCGTGAGTGCCTTCCTCATTCTGCCTCATGCGGATCGCCGACCTGCGCAACCGATTGGATGTGGCATCCGTTGCAAAAACTCGAGGTTTCTGCAGGTCCAAGGTCGGAATGCGTACCCAATTTGTCTCGTCCACAACGAGCTTGCCGGCCCAGAACCGGCGGCCGTTCGGAAACGTTCCCAGAAGTGCGGTGGCGTCTGCAGGCTCGTAGAGGGCACTGTCCGTCTCCTTGTCGTACACGGTAGTATCCGTGCACGGTGTCGCCAAGTACGCGATCTGCTGTGGCCAGGAGAGCAAAGGAGGACCATTTTCGGAAGCCTCTTCGCCAACGCCTGCTCTTTGTTTGTGGCCGGTTTTGTCCGCACCGGTTTCTCCGATCAACTCTCTGACTGCCGCGAGCGCAGCAGCGGTCGCATTTGTACTGTTCATATCTGCGGTCGAGTTGTTCGCGCTCCCGGTTGTATTAGCAGTTGTAGCGTTGTCGGCCATGGTGACATTGAAATTCAACTGCTCGTCGAATTCCGCAGGCGTGTCCAGCACTTTGAAGTTCCACTTGTCTTTGACGCCGTCCCACCACTCCAAAAGGTTTTCTTCCAGCGCCGCAGGGTTGATATACGCTCCCTGCTCTATTGTTGCCTGGAATCCCGCGCTGGTTATTTCGCGGAGCCTCGGGCGTCGCCATCGCGGCACGTCCCAGGCAAAGTCCAGGACGGTTGTCACGACCACTACGCACTGTGCGCCCTCAAACGGACGAGAAAACTCAACGTCCGCAAAGGGCTCGGCAGCGGAAAGAATCAGGTCTGCGTAGCCGACCAGAAACGGGGACGCACCCGCCGCGCCAGTCTCCAGTGACTGCGTACTGTCAGTGTCATCTAGCATGAAATAGTTTTGGAAGAGCGTCAAGCCCGCACTTTCTGCGTTTTTGCCTTTCCCAAAATTATTGCTCAGGCTCGCGGCAGCCCCGTAGTACTCTCCGCCTTCGTATCGCGTTTGCAACAATGTTGTCGCCGAGGGTGGTGTTATGCTCGTACCGGCTTTTGTCTTCCACTGCATTGCTAGAAAAGGCACTTCCTCTGCCGCGTGGACTCCGTCCGCGCCGCAGCGCTGCAATTCGAGCAGACGAATGGTAAAGTTTGTCGTTCCGTCCGGCGCGCTGATGCTGGGGACCACTGGCGCGTCGCCGTTGAAGCTCGGCACGCCCGGTAGCACGAACACTTTCCCGCTGGCGGGTTCAAAATCTATGCCGCCGTAGCGCTGCAACTTGAGGTCGATTTCATACCCGGGGTTTTCGTCTGGACCGGGGATGTCAAGAGTCACCTGGCTCGCTGCTGGAAACAGGTTTGCCGGCGCCTTGTGCGGGGGGTTCCGCCCTCCCGGGAACACCGCAAAGGCCAGTTGCGCCACGCCCTTCTCTGTGCCCGTACATCCGTGAATTTTCACTTGGACGTCGTGCTGCCCGACCCGCCGCATTCGCACAGACGCGGGTGCCACGGTGGAGCTGAGAATTTGCACCAGCGGGGTCGGGTTGCGGAGTGCAGGATCGAAGGGCAGCGAAATCCAGGTGTTGAAGTGCTCCTCGTCGATGCCGATTAGACCTGACGAGAATGGCCCCAGGACCCTGTCGTAGTTCTTTTCGCCAATTCGCAGCACAAGCAGAGCGAGCCGTGACACCTTGCTGGCGTCCCCCCCGTCCGAAAACGCCGCCACCTCCAAAAACCGGGCTCTCCGCCTGCCGAAGCGAACTGCGTAGAACGCGTCGTCCGAAGCCTCCTGGATACTTGCGAAGATGACGTATTCCGGAGTTGCGGACGACGTGGATCCCCTGGGTTCGGGAATCAGTCCTTCGGGCAGGCTTATTCGATCCCAAGAGGGGGAGCCAGAAAACTGTGAACATAGATATTTTTGTATGAGTTAGTACGTTCGAAATTTTCTGATTGATTACGGACTCGGACCATTTCGTGATCATCTACAGGAGCAAGACATATAAAAAAGCAGTCGTACCGGCGACACGGACGACAGGTCTGTTTCGACGACGTAAGAGAGCCGCGTCCTCCCAGCCAGGACCGTCACCCAAGGTGCAATCTCGGAGCCGTGCAAATCCGCATACCCTTTGCATGTCTTCGGTTCTGCCAGCCGCACCACCGGATCGGGTCCCGCGATCCCGGGAGCCTTCACAATCTTGGCTTGGGCCACCTCTGCCGAATTTTGCGTGAGCGGTCCAAAAAACAGAAGTTTCTTGCTGGACACCACGTGCCCCCGCATGGGTCGGGCTTTAAACCCTAAATCCGCCTCGAAGTCCATGTGCGGGAACATCGGCGTGGTGCTCGCCGCGGACTTGACGCACGCCGCAATGTCCCTGCAGGCAAAGGTCATGGAGCGGTCGTCGGACGTCGATAGCTGGAGCGCCGCGTCGTCGACTTTTCGCATGATCCACGCCACCAACCCGCCCAGGGTGTACACCTTCGCTTGGTCCTGAATCAGAAACTGCGCCGTTGGCTCCAACACGGTGTTGTTCACCAGCCAGCCCCTTAGCGTCACGGGCGCGTTGTTGCCGTGGTACAGGAGGTCGGCAAACTCGGTGAGCATGATGCCGCACACCTGATCCAGCGACCCGGCCACCTCGAACACCACCAGCCGCTCCTGCACCGCCTTCTCGAGGGCGCCGGCGTACGGTGCCTGCTGCCGCAAGTACTCGACAACGTCGCGCTCCGTGGGCTCGAAGGTCAGCACGTTCGGCAAGGCCAGTTTTTCGGTGGCGGGCATCTTGAACGCTTTGCGTAGATCATCGAGAACGTCGTCGGTCGAGCGGCTGGCATCCTCGAAAAGGGGGGCGATTTCTGTTTCGAACGTGACGTTCCGCACATCCAGGAGTTCTCGGCCGGAACCCGTGCGGTTGTTCGCGTAGAACGCCGTGGCCAGGTGCTCCCGCACCCGGGTGCGAAACTTGATGGGCGCACCGGACTCGTCGACACCCTCGTGGAGAAAGACGCCGACCTTTTCCATGCGGTGCGGCTCCATCCACCCGCACTTTTCGACGTTCTGAATCTTCAGGTAGACGCCGTCGGGTAGGACGCGGTAGCGCAGTACTGCGGGTGTCGCGTCGTGTTGGGACTGGATGGTGGCAAAGACTTTCAGGAAAGGCAACAGGCTCATGTCGACTGAGTCGATCCGCGCCCACCGATCGTCGACGTCCATTATCAGTGACGCGTAAAAGAAGCCTCGCTCGACGGGAGGAACGAGCACTAAACGATCTTGCATCGCAGTGACGTTCGGGCTCAGCAAGCCAGCGGCTTCGTCAATCCACTCACGAACCTGAAAAAAGTATCATAAGAACTGTGAGAGGTAGTCGCTGCATCGAATCAATCATGCCGCTTCAAGAGAAGCGACCTCAAAATTTGCGCGCACATGATCAGACGTGCGACGCGAGCAATGAATGGTGTCTGACATGGTAGTTGAAGTTGTGCCAAAAATTGTCTGCGGAAATAAGCGTAAACAACGAGACTTACCTGTCCTTTCGTGTCCGCGACCGCGAAGTACGACGCTTTGATCGTTTTGTTGTTGAATCCGTTAAAACGCGCGGGCTCGCCGGTCTGCGCGACACCAGGCTTTGCCTCCGCCGGAAACGGCTTCGTCAACCGCACAGAGAAACCCTGCGGTAAGACCCGTGTCACCCGCGCGACCCGCTCCCGCGCACTGTATTTTGGGCCCAGGCTGATGATGACGATAACACTTGCGTCGGGCGCAAAGGGCGTGCGAAACGGGACGTCGTTTACTTGCGAACTGATGTACCAATAATAGCCGCGTCCGCGGAGGTAGTGAGGTCATGGCGGTCTTTTTGCCTTTACGCCAAAAAAGACGCAACTTCTCTGCCCACCATGCCATCGTGAGTAATGTTATGCACGACGGTACGGCGGTCGCGAAAAATCTCATTCCAGGGCTGGCCTCCGTTTGGTTTCGAATCGAAAAACCTTCCCCGCATGCTATGGCCCCGCCAGGGCCCGCGCCAAGGACAGGCCCTTGGGAGCCCCAAATCGGGCCCATAGCATGCGGATTGGCTTTTTGCTTTTGGCGGACTTTGTTTTTTTGTTTTTTTTTTTTGCAAGATGCCGCATCTTCTGGCCTTCAGTCCGCCTCTGAAATGGCGGATTTTGGTGGCGTCTTTTCCGAGGCCCGAATGTGGGCCAAAATTAGGCCCATACTATGCGGATTCGCTGTTTTTTACGGAGTGCTGCTTTTTGGGCGCCCCTTTTTGGGCGCCCCAAATCGCCAGAAACCAAGGCGGTGGGCGCCTCAGAAGGGCGCCCCTTTTGGCGGCTCCCTTGCGTCGTTTTATCAAGCGTGAATCGATAGAATCCGCTCGCGCTTGTTTGACAGCAAGGCCCCGGCCGCTTGATAAATGGAAATCTTTTACTTTTATGTCCAAAAACACTTCCGCACGCTTGAAAACTGCCGGTCGTTTTGCGTAATGCATGGCAAAAAAACCGCTAGATTAGAACGTTCGTGACCTCACTACATACGACAGCTGTGCGAAACCGGCCTCCGCGTCCTCGTGCGGTGTTTGGATGTCCCAAACGGAATACGAGACTTCCTCGGACCCGTGCCCACCGGTCAGGTACCCCGGCACGCAAGATTCCAGGTTGTACTCGCGCACCCGGGCCGAGAACGTCTCTCCCTCCATCGCGTCCATCGCAGCGAAGGCCGCGTCCGGTTCGTTTTTCGCGACTGGCCCAAGAAGCACTACCAGGCGCTCCTTGTCCGCTGCATCCCCGTGCGCCCCCGTTTTTATCTGTCGGGTTTCAGAGGAAAGACTCACACTGCGGATCGTCAGCGGATTTGGTCCTGCCGGGGGCGGTGGCTCCTCGGGTTCCTCGTCGTCGCGCCGATGTTGAAATGCAGTATCTGAAGTGCCGTCGGCACCTATTTCTGTAAGTGCTAGCTCCTGCAAATGTACATTAGAGTGCGATGCTTCATCGATTGCACTTGGTTTTGAAAGCGTCGTTCGTATTGGAGTCGGATAATGCTCCTCAGTTTCCGAGCCGCCGTTCATTCCACGAGGGGTCCGACCTTCTTCCAACACTACGAAGCCAAGCCGTTCGCGCTTGGACGCTCTACCCCAAACGCAGGAGCCTTGTCCGCGAATGCGCTGCGCACGGACGGTTATTTCCCCGGTAGAAGCGACTTCTGTGCGAAGCAAGAGAGGTGCGCGGTTTTCCGCCGTTTGCAGCGCCGCAAACACCCGCGGTGGAGTGGACCCACGTCTCCTCAAATCGGTTGCCTTGATGGGCAGTTCGGCAGGCTCATCCTCTGCAATCGAGACTACACCTGAGTGATACAGCAAAGGCGTTCCCGGCAGCACCGTGGTCCGCAATGCAGAACTCCGTTCCTCCACTCTTTTGCTTTTCTCCCGGACCACCGCATACCCCAGACGCACAGCCTTGCTGCCGTCAAACAGCCCTGCGGGCACGTCGTGCGCAATGGGACGAAACTGTACCTGAAATCCGGCAGGCGTCACGTGACGTATCCGTGCGATCACTGCCTTGGTCGCGCCGGAGGATAATCTTTCACGGGCTGTCGAATCATCGGCACGTGGAAAAATTTCCTGAATGGTGGGCAGGACAACGAACGACGAAGAGGCAACTGCAGGCTCGATTCGCGATGATTCGGCCCAAGTGACGCTATGCCACCTCTTCGTGAGCGGCAGCTGCACCGAGTCGCTGCGAAAAAATGACCCAGCAGACGTCCTCGACGCTAGCCAAGGCAAATATGGAGATTGGCGGTTTGTCGCATCAAGTAGTGGCTCGGCTTCGCAGTCCGGGTGATGTGCAAACGCTAGCTCTTTCGACCCAGGGCTAAAAAACGGCCCGCTACGGACGTGCACCCCTGGTTCTCCCGCTATCACGACGTGCTCCGACGACGATGCTGGTACGCGGAGGGGCACCCCTGCGCCGACCTTTGCACGCCCGATCTTCTGCGATGCAGACGATCCTTCTTCGCCCTCGAGTCGCTGTTGTACCAGGCTGACTGCACTCGTTGATACAGTTCGTTTGCTCGTCCGCGGGTCAGGTTCGACCTCGATGTGCACCACGCCGCGTTGTTGTTCTTCTGGTGTGTCTGCGGAGGAAAGGCTCGAAGCGGCAGAATCTGGATCACGAATTTGGGGCTCGATAAAGTGCAGCAAACTAGTACCCTCGGCACGTTCGGGTACCGACGCCGTTCTGCTGGCGTGAAATCGCTGTCCGGATGCGAGGTGGCCGGTTCCGCACTTCAAAGCTGTCCACCAAACTTTTTCGGCTGACCGTTCAGGACTCGCAGCACCGTCAGTGCCCGTATGCAAAGTGAATCCGGTTCTGGACACGTCGGATACAGCGACCACCTGCAGCTCCTTTGTACCAACACTTACTGGTGGTCCTGGGGCACAAATGACTTTCCGCGAGGTGCGAAGCAGAGCTGCGTGTCCAGTGCGATGGCACTTACCTGCGACGCCGTTCACGCAAGCAAGCGACGCGCAGTCGTCTTGGTTATCTCCAACCGCAAATTTCGATCCGTCCGCGCACGCGCATATCCCTCCGAAGGTCCCAACATTGGGCTGGTTCGCCAGAATGACGTTGCGTTTCGCGGGGCAGCCTCCCTTGAGTGCAAGGCGATGTGCATCTTCGGCGCAATGAAACCTTTCGCCTGCTTCTTGCGCAAAATGTGGTGCAGCTTCACGGGTCTGAGCAAAGCTTGCAAAAGGCCGCCCAGAAAGATGTCTGCCATTTTTAACCGAGTCAGCGTTTCTGAAGGCGGCGCTAGACGAAGTGCTTCTTGCTGGTGCAACTTGACACGACACACTGCGTGTGGAACCTACGAAACTCTTGTGAGCGGGCGCGCAACTTTCATGATCTAGGTCCCCACCGTAGCAACCCAGTGATTGACAGATCGGTACCTTTCCGGTGACCACATACACGCTCCCGTCCGCGCACTTGCACTCTGCCATCCAGTCTGTCCGTTCCTGTCTGTGAATGCTCTTTCCGACTTCCACTTCTCGGCCGCCTTGCTGCCTTTTTACAAGGTCAACTCGATTCAGCCGACTGCTCCCGCAGGAAAACCAACCATCACTAACTTTTTCGTTGCACGCTCCAACAGAAATGTCTTTGCGGACCCAACTTGGGGCAGGCGGTCTCCTGACCTGTCCCTCGTTATTGCGAGCTCGGTCAGACGCCTGCTTGGACAGTGACTCACCACTTTCACCCGCGCTACGCGAATCTGATCCTGTTCGCAGCTCGCTCGACTTACCCAACGAACTTCCGGGAGCTTCGTTTCGATTCCAGGCCTGGCGGCGAAGATCTCCAGCGAGCATCCGAATGGCCTGGCGAGACGCCTGCTCGACACTTAGAAGCTCTACTTGAGCAGCGCTCGGCTTGCGCGCACTCGGCGAGTGCTCTGCACCGCTCGTTCCGCGTCTGTGGCCGGGCTCGAGCGGACTATCCTCCAGGGAAGTTGCACTCGTCTCGGCCTCGGGCTCCGAAGTATAACTCAACTTATTTTGCTCGGAAAGTGACACGGCATCACCCGGCTCGTGGTCCTGCTCGTTTTGATCATGGTGAAAAAAATTCTGCAACCACGAAAGTGAGTTGTCCTGCTGGCTGGCTTCCTGCAAGAAAACTGGCGGAAGTTCTTGTTCTCCAACGCTCCCGAACTGTTTCGTTTCTGTGCGAGAATGCATTTCAGTCGCAGCCGCGTTGTCGGCGAGCGCGCATACGACCTTCCGACCTACAAGCAGAAGAGCGCGTTGAGGGGACGCAAGCGCAGACGTGAGTTCTCCTTGACCGCACGACAGAGCTTGACCATTGTCGCACGCCAAGCTGAGGCAAGTGTCATCTTGTGCACCCACAGCAAAGGCAGTGCCGTCGGGACACAAGCAGTGCCCGCCGTAGCCATCGACGCCGATACCGGGTTGGTTCGTGAACACCTGATTCGGGCCCGTCGGACACGGTGCGCCAAGATCCTCATCCCCGCGCAGGTCCAGCGGCTCCAGACAGCGCACCTTGCTTTCAACAAGAGCACGGTATTGATGGTCTTCTGTCGCACTACTTTGCCTCGCAGCCATTTGCAATGCGCCGAAAAACATGGTGTTTACCTCATGCTCGTTATTCTGCCCAGGTGGAGCGGGAATAGCAGCACCAGTGGACGTGGACGAGGATCTCTTATACAACTCTGATTCGGAGATAACTGGAGACGTTGCACGTCCTTCAGCCGCGCAGACGACCCGCCGGCTGGCACGTAGCGCGTGCGGGCGCTCAATAGGCTCGCAATACCCGATCGATAGCGCATTTTCGCACGCAAGTGAGGCGCAACTGTCCAAATTGTCACCAACCATGTACGCAGAGCCGTCCGGGCAGCGGCAAAGCCCGCCGAAGCTACCAACTCCTTGCACATTTGTCTGCACGGTATTTTTAGCAGCCGGACATGGGTTATGCCCGAGGTTATCCGGATCCTCCGCGCACGCCGACGGCGAGCGCACCGGTACGCTCTCTAACTCAGACAGGACCGCGTGCCGTTGATCCGGGCGGTGCCGCTCTTGCTTGTCTGGGTTCGCAGAGAATGTTGACCGAGCTGCTGCTGGTGCAAGCGCGTCACAGTAAACCGCTCGTCCTTGCCGCCAGGGTCGATCCACGCGCTCGCACTCCCCGATCGCGAGGCCGCCGTAGCAGGCCAAAGACGCGCACTGGTCCCCTACGCTCCCCACGTTGTAGATCGTTCCGTCTGGACACTGGCACTGACCGCCGTATCCGCTCGATTGTTCCTCGCGCACTGTACCGTCTCCTGTCTGCCCGTTTTCCGCACCTTGATCCGATTGTTCTAGCTGTAACAGCACGACCCGATTGCGATTCTGGTGGCCGCATCGCGGAAACGCCTTGTCGACTTCCTCCGCACACGTGGGCTCAGCCTCGCTGCCTTCACGACCAATAGCAGCAGCGCGTTTGTAAGCGGCGTTCCCTGGGTGACCTGGAGGTTTGGCTGCGCCACAGAAAACGCGCCTGCCCTCGGACAAGAGCGCCCTTTGCAGCGCGGGATTGGCGAACGTGGCCTCCGTCTCGATGACTGAGTGGGAAACGCCTCCGTCACAGGCGAGCCCCAATTTTTCGTCCCCGCTCACGGAGTAGGTGTTTCCGTCGGGACACATGCAGAGACCCTGGAGGGCATTTCGCACGCTCGCGTCATTCGTGTACACGCGATTTTGGCCGGCGCCGCAGGGCCGCCGCACGTCTCCCGTCGCCAACTGGGCAACCTCCTCTATGCACGTCGGCTGGGCAGGTGCGAAAAAACGGAGTTGTTGTGGGTCGGTCAGCATCGGCGGGTGAGCAGCAGCCAGGACGACGACGCAATCGCTGCCGAACGGCTTCTGAAACGTGACACGCTGCACAGATGTTGAAGCTGCCTCAACGTCAACATCGTTTCCCGCTTTGATTGACGACGAAAGCAACACAAGTCCCGCCTGATGGTGCGCCGTGGTCTGGGGGGAAGATAGTAGACTGGCTGCTGTCGTGGCTTCATCTTCTGTGTCTTTTGCAAACGACGATCCTGCGCACTCATAGTCAAATAAACCGTCCTCGTCCAGCGGTTCAGCAGGAGCAGCTTCGGGATCCGATAGAAAAAAGCGCCGGCAAGAATGCGGGGCTTTTGCTGTTGACGTGCGTATTTTGTCATTGCTTGGACCACGAGTCTCCTGTGCAAAGAATCCGAGATTGCCGACCAGTCCTTGAATTGTATCGCCTTGATGGTCGGGTAAGTACAGAGCTCCACCGCCTCCGTCGCGCGCAATGTATTCTGCTAAATCTGTTCGTACATCAGGTTGAGGTTCTTGACCGAATGCAGTGGGGCAGTCGCGTGTAGGAGACAGAGAGTGCCCTAGTTCAAGCGCCACCGTTGGTTCTGTTTGCATTGCGTTTGCTTCGGCTTCTTGCGCGACTCGTTTCCGCTTGGTCGCATAAAACTGCGCCACACTTGGAGGCCCGGCTTCGTGCTGGTTCGCCGTTTTACTTTTGTCATCACCGTTTTCCTGCCGCGACGAAGAATCCACAAAGCCACGCGTGTTGCTGGCATCGTCGTGCGGATCGCCCGTTGTAGTACTCCCCGCATTTGCATCGTTGGAATAGACATGGCCGCCCGACTCTGGTTCCAAACCCAAGTGCTGCGAGACGGTGGTTTCGTCGGTGCTGTGCCTGGTCTTCACGTCGTGGTGTCGCACGAGCTCCACATACGAAGCTGCCGCCTCACGTACCTGCTGCCGCTGCTGAAGCAGGGCCAACCTGCGTTGACGTATGGCATAGGCTTCAACATCAGCAACCGTGCTCGAGGTAAGAGCTCGGCCGTTGACGAGAACTTCCTGAGCGAGGCTGCAAAATGCCAAAAGCTGTGACCAGGACCGGTTGCCTATGCGCGTTGTACTCGAGACTTGTCGGGACGGGACGAGCAGAACTGAGGTGTGGGTGCCCGTCATGCTGGTGCACTTCTACCACCTCCGCACCGGCGTTTTTTCTGAGGATCCCGATGGGAATGGGAACCCGGTCGCATCCACACCGGCCTCATTCTGCTGGTGCGGCGGCGCATGTCAGCATTTTCGAATGTGTTCGTGACGCCCTGAACACAGGGGCCTGCTGTGCCCCCTGTGGACTCGGGATGGCACGCCCTACCTGTGTCTCACACACTTCTTCTTCCTCCATTTCGAAATTCCGTTCAAGAAAAAAACAGCAACTCTCTCGTTCACGAAGGAGCCGGCACGACACTGTCTCTCAGCACAAAAACAAAACTACGTACTGCAGGAAGATGCTTCCGCCCACTTCACACTTATTTCCGCAACAGTTAGAGGTGGTCGCGAACACTTTCCTGTGCTTGCAGCCTGAGGTGCCGTGCGTTTTCGCGACTTTTCATTATTAATTCGGATCATTCACTTATGTACGTCCAATTCAACGCCCAGTTGGCGCTGCAATCATACATTCATATCTAATGTCGAACGGAGCGCATTGCAGTTGCTGTGCGCTGAAGTTCAAACAGTCTTCAGCTGTACACATCAGCGAGAAATCGCAAAATCTCGGTCTCATTGAATTGCGCCTTGAAGAGAGCAGCGTTCACATGGTCGTCGGCGTTCGCCGCACCACCCACTGACTTTCCATCACACAGCCCCTTAGCCCAGCAGCTTGGGCACATATCGCAGCTGGGCCAGCGTTTGTCGGTTGAAAAAAACTCCACCAGTGGCGCACCTGTTCGATCAAGTAGAAATGTCGATGAAATCTCTGCAGTGCCATTGGCATCAAAAGCTAGGATCTTCACTGCTTTGTTTACAGAAACACAAGCACACCGACAAATCAACATGAGACGACAACTAACGGCACCTGCACTTTTGGCGAAATTTTTCATGCCGGATTGGATTCTCATGTTGGCGTCATTATGGTGGAGCCAGATCCCAATGCGAACGTCGTCCATGGTTTCGATGCGGCCGAAGAGTGCGGGGCCATCGTCCCGCCAGTGCGCTCGGCAGATTGGGCAAGGGTGGTTGTATTCGACATACGAATCGAGGTAACTGATCAAGTCGTGCGGATGCTGAAACAATGCGTCCTTTGCGCTGTACTCCGCAAGGGTGCGACATCCCACGGAAAAACTAGTTCTATCAAGTCCACCTTCTTTCTTCACCAAATTTCCCTAAATGCAGTTTCTTTTCTGTATCGCTCGAAACGGACGAGCCGGGTTTTAAATACGTGTTTTTTCCTTCTCCTGACGCATCAGCATCTTCCATCAGAGCATTTTTTTCCTCCTACTCTATTTTGCGATCGAATTTATGGTGCTGGAAAATGTCCGGGAAGATGGAAGGCTTTTTTGAGAAGAACGAGGGAGTTTTTTCTTGGATCATACGTGAATGTAATTCCACATGGCTTGGCGAAACCCCATCACGTCGTTGTAGAAGCGCGCATCGGCGTCCCAAACGGAGTACGGGTCGAACAAGTTCATGACTTCGGTGGTGTACAGCTTCAACACTTCGAGAACACCGCCGTGCATTTCGGGAATTTCCTCTAGGGAAACGCCAAGTGTGCGCTTCCCTGCTTCTTCGAAAGCGTTCTCGTCCACCTCGACAAAACGACGCTCGCTGAAGAGCCGCCGCAGGTGAGCGCCAGACCCCGTGACTGCGAACACGTGAACGTGCGCGAATTCCGTCGCCTCTGCGAGCAGGTCCGCGGATTTCTCTTGCATGTTCATCAGGTGCGTGCGCATGGAACTGGCCCCGGAGCCGCAAATTAGCTTCTGTCGCATCAATGCGAAGTTGTCTTCACTTTGTGTAGTGGGCGGTGCTGTAGTTCCTCCAGCAGCGCAAATCAGGTTGAGAAGCCGGATGGTGATTCGCAACGAGACCGGAACGAACCGGAAAAAGTTGCCGATGTTCTGGGCGGTAGGCCACTTCTTCGCGTCGGGATTCGAGCTCGGCTGCAGTATGTCACTGGCGCGTCGCCAGATAAGGTACAGCACGCTGTAGAACGTGTCGTAGAGCCTAGCGGTTTTGTCACCGGTACTGAAACTGTTCGGCGTGTTGCCTGCGGAAGCCGGTGCCCAGTATGTCTTGTACGGTGCCAAATACGCACTCTCATAGGCGGCTGGAACGTGATTGATGCCCTTCAGGGTCGATACTCCGTATTGCGACCACTGCGTCTTAAGCGGGACACCCCACTGATGCACCGGACTCACGTACGGCTGCACTGCTACGTCTAGCGAAAGGGTCCCGTCCGTGGCTTTCTGCGGCACCTCAGAAAATTTCAACAGGTCAACTTCATCAAGCACGATAGGAAACGCTTCTATTGAAACAACATATACTCTTGTCGTGGGAAAAATTGTATGGCAAAATCTGTTTCAGAGGTGAAAGCGTGAGTGTCCTCTTCGTCTATGATTCAAAGCATATGAAGATTTTTGCAAAGATAAAATTGATATCAAAGACTACGGTATCTTTCTCTAATCCTGCTCCTAGCAGTGTGTCGACGACCAGATCACCGTCGTTGCTGCAAGTGGGCGAAGTCGTTTCGCGCAAGAGTAGTACTGTAATGCTCGAGCTCACTATCGCAGAAATCACCGCGACTAGTGCATGTTTCGCAAACGACGCTGTTTTCGGTTTCGCTGCCGTCTCCTGCTGCTCCGCGCCGCCCTCATTCGCGGTGTCTTTCGACGGTTTTGGTGTGCGCTTGCTCATTTTGGTACGAATGATAGAAGGCGAATGAAACAATCATTGAATAAAAGTTCGATTCTGTTTCCTTAACCGCAATGGCTTCAATTTCGCGGAACAAGAAGAAAACACTTCGTGGCGAATGGCATGACTACGAGTAAGAGCAAACTGCCAAGCGGATCCGATGAATAAGTTCAAATATTGCGTGTGCTTTTCGCATGTTTGGTCGGCTGGATAAGTGTTTACGGAGGGGGCGAAGTTTTAGATTCTTTCAGACGAGGAACGAATATCGACGATGCCCACGAATCTTCTGGCGTTTTTCAGGTTTGCGCCGGGTATCAAATCCAAACGAAACTTCCTTGTTACAGCCCTTTTTTTTCCTTCCGCGGATCCACAACGTAATGGACACAGAACAAAGAAACACAGAGTCAAAGCAGGAAAATCCAAATTAGCGTACAATTACAAATGAAGACTTCTATAATGCCGACAATGGTCGTGAGTCTGGATGATCGTAGCTTGTACTTAGTAGAGCATATAGAAAGTAACTAGAAACTTTTCGTCGCCATCAACCATGGGAGGTGCCATGTGTAGTGTTCAGGTTTCATTGGAAGCCACGGAAAAATATTTACAGCCTGGAGCGACAACTCGACAGCCTGAAAATTTACTACGTTGGTACGCGGTACGTCGGCTACGCTTATACTATTCAAAACGAAAACTTCATCATGGTAGTCTCCATCCAGGTAAAGGTAATGCTCGTCAAAACGTCAATGTATGATATTCATATTCTGTGCCCGTTCTATTTCTACAGTCGTCCTCCCAAAGATTAAGAAACAAATGAGATGTACGCACTACACAGACTCTATGTGGTGCTTTTGCACAAGCCCAAGACGATAGGAAGAAGGTGCTTTTTCAATCAAACTTATCCAAAACTGCAACTTTCGAAAAACTGTTTATGTGATCAAATCGACGACCTCGCGACGTTATCTATCAACAAGTATTCGGAAAATTTTCTATCGGTAGTGTAGGAGGAAAATTATGTATGGACTCGGACTTCCGATTTGTGCAGGCAGTAAAACCAGACAAAGGAAAGGAAAGGTGATACTCATACTGTAGAGAAAGGAAAGGTGATACTGTAGATACGCCAACCTGCGACCTCCTTTAATGGTGGCCGAGAAAGAAGCGTTTGCTGTTCTTACCTCTGTCCTAGAAGCAACAGATTGTCATTGTGTTTTGTCAATTTCGTGGCAACAAGCAACAGACAAAGATGGGGAAAATGAAGTTGAAGGCAGACGCAGACCTGCATGATGACCTTGTGAAAATACAACTTCAGCACGTCTTCCTGTTCTTCGTTTGAAAATAAATTTTCAATTTCGATTGTGTAGGACCGTCGCCCGAAAATTTATGAAACTCAACGTACGAGAGATCCAAAACCGTGACTACGCCAAAAACGGATAAAGAGGTGCGCAAATGATGAGACTCATGCTGCGATGGACTACAGGCCACATCGATTTTTCTGCGTTTTGCGTTTTCCTTCTCTTGCTAGTCCAGAAAACGGTACATATCTAGCGGTGGGTTGAGGTTTTACTGCGTAATAAATTGAATTTACGTCTTTTTTCGTAGAAAAAATTTTCAGCACAATAATTCTCATCGGCCAGTCCGACCCGCGGAAGCCTTGTTGATTGTCATGAGGCGATTCGCGTAGGACAGCAGCATCTGATCGGTGCCGGACTTACCGCAAAGCGTGACGCCAAACGGAATTTTCGCACCGTCCTCCAACTGCAAAAATCCCATAGGAAGGGCAACCCCGGCCAGGTCCAGCAGGTTCATGAAGTTGGTGTAGTACCCGTTTTGTGTGTTGGTTTCCACCGGGTTCGCATCAACTTCAGCGATGGTCCAGCAAGTAGGCACGGTGGGCAGGAGGAGAAAATCGACGTCCTCCAACTGCGCCATACACTTCGCTTTCAGTTCTTCCAGCCGGTAGAACGCCTTGAAGCAGTCCACAGCCGAGTGCTTCTCCGCGGTACTCAACACTTTCGCCGTGACCGGTAGCATCGCGTTCAGGCAGCCCGCTTCTTCCACCGCCACTGCGCGCTCCGCGACCCACGGCCCCTGGTACAAGAGTTCCGCCGTTTCCACGAAAGGCTGGAGACTTACCTGCTTCCTCTTTCCCTGCATCAACTCCGACTGCAACAGCGTTCCCGCGAGATCAAACAATCCTTGCATCTGAGTTCTTGCGTCGCCCTTTTCGCAGAAAAACTTCACCACATCCGGAACCGCGAAACAAAACGGCTTTTTATGTTCATCGGCCAGATCCAGCAGCAAGGGGCCAGCGGGACGACCGATGTCCTTTTTTGGGGACGACGCGGCACCAATAGCTTTCGGCGATTTCACTTCTCCCTCCGGCACGTTCACGCGGACCGGCGGCACGAAGGGAAACACACCGTCGCTGCGAGCGGCATTGGTAGCGCCATTGATGAACGGCGACACGGTGGTGCTCGGCGTAGCCCCCGGGTCGGTTTCCGAGGGGGTTTTGCCAGCAGACTTTTTCGCTTTCAAGGTCTCCAGCACGGTGAGCGCATCCTGGCAGCACAGAGCGAAGACCGACACGCAGTCCAGCGTCTTGCACGCGGGGACCATGCCGTGGTTGGAGATCAGGTTTCGGGACGGTTTCAGCCCCACGATGTTGCAGTAGCTGGCGGGCACGCGACCACTTCCGGCCGTGTCCGTCCCCAGCGAGAACGTTGCAAACCGCAGGGCGACCGCCGCCGCCGACCCAGAGCTAGACCCCCCGCTGATGAACCGCGAATCGAACGGATTCGCGCAGGCGCCGAAGGGAGACCGCGTCCCGACTAAACCCGTAGCGAACTGATCCAAGTTTGTCTTCCCCAACAAAATGGCCCCGGCGTCCAGCAGTTGCTGAATGCATTCCGCGGTTTCGGTGGCGCGCCGCCGGTACTCGACGCAGGCGCACGTCGTGTCCCAGTCCTCCACGTCGTAGTTGTCTTTCACAACAAACGGAATACCGTACAAGGGCGGAAACTCCTCGAATTTCGGCAGCACGTCCGAGCGCACCGTCTGCAGCACTTGGTCTCGTGTGCCCTTCGAGATCCAAATGTTGCCGGAATTCTCCACTTCCTCTTCGTACGCGGTCATGGTACTGTCAAACAGATGCGCAACGACGTCGACGGGCGTCAGTAATTTCTTCCGGTAGGCCTCGTGCAGGTCGGCAATTTCCATGCTCGCGAGGGCTTTCGCGACCAGAACCTCGTCCGCATGTTGCCCGTCCTCCACGACGCGGAAGGCACTGCTGGAGTCCACGGTTTTGAAGGAGCCGGAAGATTCCACCACTTTGAAGGTGCCCGAGGAGGATGTTGTTGCCGTGGTGGCAAGACTGCTACTACTGGTCGGCACGACGATCGCCACAAGCGGGTCGCCCTGTTCTTTCATTTGCCCCGTGGTCACGAAGATTTTCGCGACCTTCCCGGCGACCGTCGCCGTCACTGGAATCTCCATCTTCATGGCTTCCAGGACCACGAGCGTGTCTCCGGCCTTCACCTCGTCCCCAACTTGGACCGGAATCGCCCACACGCTCCCGCTCACGTACGCATCGACCAATTGCACGTTTTTCTCGCCCGCCAATCCGAGATGCGCGTCCATGTCGGAGGTCGCGCCGCCGACGTGGTCCTCCTTATGGTCAACAACATCTGCTCCTGCAGAAGTTGTACCCTTCGCACTGAGGCGGATCTGGCTGAGTCTCTCCTCCTCGTTCTGTTCCGCCATCGCGATCCTCTGCTGGGCCTGGTAGGCGGCAATTTCTTCCTTGTGTTCCCGCAAGAACTCCTGGTGCTGTGCGAGGTTGAAGTCCTCGGTCTCGACCTTGGGCACAAAAGAGCCGGCCCGGAAGTCCTCGCGGAGCTGGTCCAACTCGGGCTCCGAGACCTCGTAGAACCGGATCTGGTGGAACATTTCCAGCAGCCAGGGCTTCTCCGGCGTGAACATCTCCGTCGCGCCGAGGGCGTACGAGTTCCAGATGGGCAGTGTGCGGCCCACCAGCTGGTACCCGCCCGGGGAGTACATCGGGTAGATGCACATGTACGCGCCACCCAGCCCGACCGTGCCCTCCTCCGTCCAGGTCCGCGCCGGGTTCATTTTCGTCGTGATCATCCGGTCCAGCGGATTCACCGGCACCGCGCAGCACGCCCCCAGGTACACGTCGCCCAGGCCCAGGCACATGTAGGAGGCGCGAAAGATACGCTTGTGTACCTCCTGCTGGTCAGGGACCTTCGAACCGTCGGCGTTTGTCTTGTACAGCCCGTTGTTCTTCGCCACGTAGTCCAGATTGGAGGGCAGGTACGGCGCGTCGTCGCGGATTGACCGCGAGTACTTGTCCATCGCCTTCGCGCACCCGCTGGAGTCGTAGGCCATGGGCAGGTAGAACACCCGGGTCTTCACAGCCTTGTCTCGCAGGTCGTCGCCGATCTGCTGGTCGCAAAACAGAATGACCTGCAGCAATTTTGCGAGCGGGATCTTCAGGGGGGAATAGCGAATCTGCAGTGACCGCACACCCGGCGCGGTCTCCTCCAGCCCGTCCACCTTTGCGGCCAGCAGGTTCTGTTCCAGGAAGTGGACGCGCACCCGGATCCGCAGGTCCAGCAGCATGGGGCCGTACTCGACTAGGACATGACGGTCGCCCTGCATGCGCACGGCGATCCCCGGATGCTGGTGCCCGTCGGCGGCACCGCCCGCATTCCCAGCATCGTTCTCTACTGTTTTGCTCTTGTACAAAACGGCGGTGTTCTCCAGCGCAAAGGTCTCCTCGTCGAACGCCGGGAACAGCAGCTCGCTGAGCTTCGGTCGGGGAACAATCGACGCGTCGAACCCCGTGAAGGGGCGCAGGTGCTTCACCAGGAAGTCCTGACTGATCCGTTCCCGCATCGCTTTCTCCAGGTCCCACAGATGAAATTGCACCGAGTCGCCGGCTTTCACCTGCCCGATCTTCCACAGCTCGCTCTGGCAGATGGTGATGGGGCAAACAAACCCCCCGAGACTCGGGCCGTCGTGCGCAATGATGATGGGCATGTCGCCGGTGAAGTTGATGGTCCCCACCGCGTACTCTTCGTCGTGGATGTTCGAAGGATGGGACCCGCCCTCGCCGCCGTCCGGCCGGGCCCAGGTGGGTTTCGGCCCGTTCAACCGGATTCCGAGCCGGTTGCTGTTGTGGTGGACTTTCCATTCCGTGGCGTGCAGCATCTCAATGTCCTCCTTCAGCATGAAGTCTGGGCTGGCGCGCGGCCCCGGCAGCACACCAATCTTCCAACTGCTGCTATACTTCGGCCAGTTCTCCTCGGGGAGGTATTTCGCTAGTGCCAGCGGTTGATGTTCCGTTTCCAATCCGGCCGATGTTCTTGTCGCAGCAGAAGTACTAGTCGGGGAGGTCGTGCAAAGAACCGTCTTTTCGGCCTCGTCCGCGAGCGGCACCATGTCGCCCTTTTTCAGACTGCGGCCACGAAAGCCCCCAAATTCGCCGTTCACGAACGTCGACCGGCTTCCCAAGTAGAGCGGCACTTGGATACCTCCGGAAAACGCAATGTACCCTCTGGCGCCGTCAAACTGGGGCGGCTTTGCGGAGCTGTAGCGCGAAATGTTCAGGACATCGCCCTTGTTAAGGCGAAACTGAGAGAATTGCGGGTAGTACGTCGCGTCCGCACCGGCCTCCGTTACTTTCACTACGCAGTCCGGCCCCGTGACGGCGCAGAGTACGTTGTCGCGCCACATTTTCAGAGTAGGGCCACGGACCGTGAGGAACTCGAGCACGCCGTCTTCTTCCGCGTTGCCCACGAGCGAATTCGCCAGCCGCGACGACAGGTGATCAAAACTTCCCGAGGGCGGCACCCCAATGCGCCACAGGCCCGCGCCACAACGTCCAGGAAAGTCCTGCACCGCGACGTCCACACCGGGATCGAGCACTTCAAAGTACGCTGCCTTGTACGCCTCTCGGATGAACTTCGGAAAGGTCGTCTGACAGAAAGTCAAACCTTTCACAAAATCCGGCGACAGAAGAAACTGGCGCAAAACATGGAGGTTGTGCGTGACGCCCGCAATGTTGCAGCCATCTAAGGCACTTCGCAACTGGCGGATGCACTCGAAGCGCGTCGGTGCGTGCTGCAGAACCTTCACCAAGAGCGGGTCGTAGCTAGAAGGCACCGTGGCTCCCCGCTGAAAGCTCGTTTCGAAACGCAAATGCCCACTGTGCGCATTCAGCAGATCGACCGGTCCTAGCGAGAAATCCTGTAAAACCCCGGAGCTCGGCTTGTAATCGTGCAGGCAGTCTTCCGCGTACACGCGCACCTGGATCGCGTGGCCGGTCGGCGCGGAGAAGAAATTTTGCAAGACAGTGCTTTGAAAAAGCGCGGACCGTTCGGTCCCGCCGTGCTCCGCTTGCAGAATCATCCACTCCACGAGGTCCAAATTACCGTGCACCATCTCCGACACCCCGTGCTCCACTTGCAAACGGGTGTTCACTTCCAGGAAAAAGTACTTCTTCGTCTGCTCGTCGAAAATGAATTCCACTGTGCCGGCGGACTCGTATGCCACGGAGGCCCCGAGCCGCACCGCGTGGGCGAGGTATCCACAGCAAATTTCCTGTACACGTACAAATGCGGTCGCTGCATGGCAAAACTTGGCTTCGATCCTAGTTTAGCACGACAAGTTTCACACTCCAAATTGGGGAAATTTGTGATGCGTCTTGTACATGTACGGGAAATTTGTATTGCATACGAGGAGTTCCGTGCGCACCGAATGGGGTAGACTAGGGCTGGGGGTTTCCTCCACCACCTTCTGGTTGCGCCGTTGCACGGAGCACTCGCGCTCGCCCAAATGGGCCACCTTCTCCTTCCCGTCCCCAAAAATTTGCACTTCAATGTGGCGCCCCTGCTCGACGTACTTCTCCAGCAGCAGGTTCTTCTCGCCGAAAAACTTCCCCGCCAGCGTCTGTGCGGCTTCGAACGCGGGGCGCATCTCGCTCTCCGACCGAACCACGGTCATTCCGATACCGCCACCGCCGCCCGTCGGCTTCAGAATTACCGGATAGCCGCCAACTTTCTCGGCGTACGCGCACGCCTCGTCCACGCTGGCCAGCAGTGGAGACCCCTCGCTAACGGGCACACCACAGGCAACCGCAGCCTAAAAGGTCAACGATTTTTGCGAGAATTAATGCGTGAACAAGAAGAGTTTACAAAGAAACAGCAGTTGAAAAATTGAAAACCGAATGAAATGTTGTAGGTTTAGACCAGGTGGCAATTTTTAGTCTGTTTGTCATCGTCTGCCGTTGGTGAAAAATGCAGCGATGGTGGTGCTGTTTTATTTCCCGGAAACATTTTTATGCCGGAATAAACTACTTATTTCTGCACGTTCATGAAAAACTCGACTTAGCGATAATACCTCCCGCGCCTTATCTTTCAACCCGAAAGTCTCCATGGATCGGACATCGGGGCCAACCCAAAGGAGCCCACTATTTAGCACCTGTTTCGCGAAAGTTGGGTTCTCAGACAGAATATCAAATGCAAAAATGTCTGGGTCTGGAAGATTCGGGGAGTTTGTCATGCACAATTGTACATGACCCATGATGCCTGTGATGCATGCCGTAGCATCACAGTTCTCGCAAAGCCTTGGCAATGCCTATTCTGCATGAGAAATGCCCTCTCCGGGTGGCAAAAATTCAAGCAGCTTTTGCTGCTCATGCAATACAGATTTTTCTATCGTCGACAGGTAGCATCACAAATCCCATTCTTTCCAGACCCAGACATTTTTGCAATCCATACAGAAACCCATACCCCGGGTGGATGGCGTCGGCACCGGCTTTTTTGGCCACCCCCAGAATGGCCTCCGCATCGGTGTAGCTCGGCACCTCATGGCATTCATCTAGCTGTTCGCGATGCAGACTCTGTGCATCGGGCGATGCGTAAATGCCCACCGCTTTGATGCCCAACTTTCGGCAGGTCCGCGCGATGCGCAGAGCGCACTCCGACCGATTGGCGATCAGCAGCGTACTAATCTTTGCGTCGGACATGATTTTCGCTTTTATGCTACTGCCAGTGTGGTCAACTACCGACACTTACTACAGGTACAAGTAGTCAGCCTCGTTTGATAAAAGTCGAGGCTTGGGAGATAAAAATCCAGAGATTTTTGCCACTAGGCGACCCGTATTTCTAACGTCTACAGGGACTTACAGCGAACAAAAACCCAAAGTAGGCCCTACAACATTTTATGGTGGTACTACATGATCGCATCATGATGATGAAAACTCCAAATCGAATTCCCAAATCGTTGCTTTGTACCGGCGCTTATGAAGATCGATTGAGAAACGTAGACCTCTCGAGGTAGAGCATCGATGGCCATTGATCACCTTGCTAAAAGGGCGCTTTCAAGCACGCTAGAGACGCGTAGATCGCGAAAAGGTGGTATCCGTCTCCGTCAAAAGTATACGAAGCTTGCGAAGATGGTCGACGAGGAAAATGTAACTACTACTTTGGAAGATTTTTGCTGCAAAAAAGTAAAAGATCTCTTACTTGACGCGTTTTTTGCTGCAATAAATCGCCGGTGGGCATCCATCAAGAGCCGACCGTGAAGTAGAGGTAGACGCACCCTTACTCTCGAACCGACACTTCAATTTCTTCGCTGGCTGTACAACTTAAACTGAAGCCTATTCAATGATGAAAATCACCCAACGTGATCGCAGACCGTCGAGCCCTTTTCTGTTTTCGCCCCGATTCTTTTTTGCTGTTTATTCAGGACAAAACCGTCTACCTGGAAGTTGTGACGTGTTGGGAAACCCGACCATGACAACATGGACTCGAGGCTGAACGCACCAGCATCGATGAAGAAGCTCATCCCTCCCGTACAGACCGATTGCCAACGTTGATTCAGGCGCGACTCGATACACTACAATCCCACGGTTACAATAAGCAGATGCATTGCTGTTTCATGAGCGAGGATCAAGATGACTAGCATCATCTATCACCATCAGTTTCGATAGCCTGCAACAACAGATGAAAACATACGATCCATCATGCCCTTTGTCTGCATGCAATTTGCCTCCACTACGACGGACTATTTATCTTCGCAGCGCAAGTTCAGTTGGACATATCCGAGAAATCGATGTTGAATACCTTACAGATCCGCAACTTACTAAACTAGACTCTTCAAGTAATTCCGCCAGCCGCCGAAGTGAGAGATGTGGCGAGCCTTTTTTGCGATCACGTTGTACTCGTCGGTGCGAAACCCATGAAGAATTTCTCCGGTCTCGAGCTCGATGCATCATACAGAAAAAAGCTAGCAGACCACACCGGTACGGCAAAAAAAGTCGACCGAAAAATCTGCCACGGGCGGTGCGCCTATAGTGTGCTTGTTCATATACGCACTGCCTTTGCAGAAGCAGATTTTCATTTTTTTGCGTGTTTATTTTTGCATCTTCACAAATGTGACCTGCTAGGGGCTTTCTCCTGTGGGATATGATGTGACCAATACTAAGCGGCGGCGGGACCATGGCGAGGAACCGACCCGCTTCTGCGACGGGAACATTCCAGACCTCGACGGTTAGCTGCGCGGCCTCCTTCTCGGACGGATTCACCTGGATCAGACCTGGCTTCTTCTCACTTTCAAACGCATACAGCTGATACTTTTTGGCCGTCTGTGCCTCTTTCACAAACACCGCCCTGCGGTCTTGTAGTTGCCAATTCAACGGAAGGCCGCGCATGTGTGCACCCACCGCAACCATGGGTAGGTACTCTGGATCCTTTGCTTTCGGCGAGGCCTGAAAGAAACTGGCTACTCCGTCAAAACACCTCGCGCAAGTACCTTCCATGATTTTTCTATAGCGTCCCTTTCTCAAAAGCTTAAACTGCGTACCAGTCTGCTTAAAACATCGATTCGTCGTATCTACAGATGGGATTCATGGCGTAAATCTGAATACGAAGATGAACAGTACACCTACACAGGAACCATAAAATAAAGCGCAACAGTTCACACGTCGAATCGTTACGATAGCATGACCTTGTGACAACATTCTTGTCAGTCAGAGCAAATTCTCGAGCTAGATCTTCCAGATCTTCATTGCAATCAGGCCACAAACCGATCATGTTCTCATCGAAAAAGTACTCGTTGCCGTGTTTGAGACTTTTTGCCGTGAACCCGAACTCTGTCCTGGTGGCTCTGCGTCTCTCCAAGACGCAGTGCGTTCCAACTTTTCGCCGCTTGCTACACGATCAGTGAATGTTGATCTAAACCAGACCAGTAGGCTGATTAAACGGAGAAAAATACTTTCTTTTTCTTTTCGTTTTCCATGACTCACGTGCTCACAACTACGGTCACAGTCATCAGATTCGGAGGGAGTACTCCATTGCCCTCATCACCATCATCATCATCATCATCATCCATCCTGCGTGGGGGCTTAAATCGATACTGCGTCAGCCAGAGCACTCGAGGTTTGTCGTATTTCGATTTTTTCGGCTTCATCACCAGTACCGCTAAACAAAATGCTCATCCAAATCCAAGCTCCTTCAGCATAGCTTCAACGTTCTGCCTCCAGTCTTCGACGTTGCCTCCAGGTTCGACATCAGTATCAACCGGAAAAGCACTAAACCCCTACTCCATTATACTAAGATTAGAGTGATCTCGCGTCTTTTTTTCATCATTTCACAGGGGATGCATATGCTCAGGCCGGCAGCATAGCAACTGTTCTGGTCATCATACAATCCTTAGAGCATCGCCTTGTTCACGTTGTGATGCAAATCACGCCTAGACGCGTTGACAAAGCGCAGCCGAAGGTAGCACAGCCAACCACATCCGCAGCCCCCGTAATTGTGAAATAGTACCATCGAAATCGAGTGCGAGTAGTACTACAGATAATTCACATATAATGAGGGAGCAGAGTCAGGCGCTTCGTGATAATTCGCGAACCCTGCAGCACCAAGGCCACCATCGTCGTGGTGGCGAAGCGACGGGGCAGCAGGCTGCAAGCCTACCCGCACGGTCTCCTTTTTTTTGTTGCTCCGCCTTCCCGGTTCGTTTCGCGGGAGATTTAAAAACGAAAAGTCTTGCCGCCCTCTGATTTCTCTTTATATCAATTTATGGAACAACGACGCAAAGCATCATCGAGTGTACTGCGTAAGTACCTGCGAGACGCCCCGGCAGTTTTATTGTCCATCCAGAAAATGCAAATCAATGCTGCTCCACAATCACAACTATGATTCCGCCAAGCATGCAAGAGGATGCGCCGCGATTCGAATTACTGTATATGAGGCTTGGGAAATCCGAGGCGGGCGAGCGAAAATTCGACTGCCTTGCATAACGGTTGTAAAGTCAAAACGTATTTGTCCGTCAGCATTCCCCTGCGGGAACCTTTCTCAATTTGAAAACACCTCGAGCCCAACAAGAAAACAGCAAAACACTGGGAGGTAAGCATATACTTACGCTTCTGTTCTTATGGTTCTTTCACAGATCATTATCATCCCATGCCACGCACGTGCACCAAGTTACAGGTACTGTGCCAGGCCCAGGCATTGGCCTACGCCTAGCTTGGCGTGTGCGCCTGCATTAAATTAAGACCTTCTGCTTGTACCGCATCTCTTTGAGTTGAATTTTCGTATGCAAGGAGTGGCCGCTGATACGTATGCGCGCATTCTCTCCGTTTAGGGCCTGAACAACTGAGTATGCGCGCGCGACGAGCATCATCCAGACACAACGCGCGGAACCATACTGTTTTCTTGGAAGTGTTTGAGAGTGTTTCAAATATCATAATTTAGGGGCACGCCCTCCCCGCCAGGATTGGGAGGCTCTGTGGTTTTCGACGCGATAGCAGGATTCACGATAACACCACGGCCACCAACGGAAGCGCCTACACCCGGCACTGCTTCCTGATTTGTTGCTACATTCTCTTCGTTTGTCCGGGGCGGGGCCTGCGCAGGTGCAGTTTCTTTTCCTTGTTTTTTGAGAATTGCCTGCAGCCTCTTCGCGCGTCCGGTCCTCCTCTCGAGTTCGGCGCGAGCCCTCCTGGCCCTCTCCCGATTATAAAACAGGTCTCGCCTCTCCATCTTCCGTTTGATCGCTGCAGCGCGGCGCGCACGCTCCGTGTCCCTGCACATGGCGATCAGAAGTCCTGCAACCACAACCGCCGCGACGCTGAGAACTCTATCACGGAGAAAAATGCACGAACCCAAACGTTTCAGCGCAGCATTTCTGATTTTACAAGACGTTCATGATGTACTCTTGCTTTAGCCTTCGCTACAATTGCACGCGACTGAGTAAGTACTAGAATGATTGCGGGACAAGCCACAGTTCGTATGCAGATACACTCTGAGGCGTTCTCACATGTGTAGTTGCTCGCCTTGCATGTCATTCTCTTTCTCAATCTATCAATCCAATACAAAAAATGCCGGCAGCTTGACACGACAGCAAAATCATCTTGGTTTGAGCGTACAAGGCTACGCACCGAGGGCGTGACTTTCATTCTTTCATCTTCTCGGATAAATCGCGACCAAGACGATAGACGCCAGCTTCTGCGGTTCGCGGTTATCTTCTGTGCAGCATCCCTTGTCTACTTGGTCGCTGGAAAGCCGGCCGGAGAAGACAGGCGGTAGTCGAGCAGTCCTCTCACCGGCGTCACGCGCAGCGGACGAGTCCTGTGCTGCTACTGGTTTGGGAACAACGGCTGCGCTACCGGGATGTGCTTGTCTCACGGCCAGTGATTCATGCGTTGGCAACGCATGATCTGTCTTTTCCTGGCGTTTTTTTCCGGTTGCCGCATGATCTGTCTTTTCTCCGGTTGCCGCTGTCTTTTCCTGGCGACCCATCCTGATCCACCCGACCTCTTCGGGTGGCGGGAACGCGTCCAGAAAGTAAGACACCACCGCACGGATCGTGTGCCACCCGCGTGACAGCGTGACTTCAACTTGAGCTCGGCGAAGGTGCGGATTATTGCAGCTTAAATGACTGAGAATCTCCTCCATTATTGCTCCAAGCGAGTGGCCGTCTGCCTGTTTCGTGTCTAGTTCCCGATCGTAATAAAACCCTGCTGCGCTAGGTCCGATGCGAAAAGAAAACCACGTTTCACGTGCGTGTGCGGGGCCTTGGTCGCTTTCATGTATTCCTACCTCTCGCATCTCTTTGTCAGCAATGCCCTGCAGTTTCTCGAGAAACTTTGCCATCTCCCAAAGCAACGTCCCGTGCAAAGACCCTCCCATCCCAAAAAAGAAACCCGGATGTTGGTCCCCGGCTTGCGTACATCCAGCTTACTTGATGCACATGCTAGGGCGAAAGACCTTTGATTCTCAGCCAAATGCGTAGTGTTCCAATCCGGGATCATGTCTGAGTGGGAATTTAACGCGAAGCCAACCGCTGGATGCAAGGACAAATTGAGTACGCGCAGAAATTTCCTCTCAAAAAAGAAGTGTAGTACGTTAGAAACTTTCTAGGTGACGGGAATCATTTTCTGAGTGGGCTTGCTTACGCGGAATATTCAACAGAGACTCCTGGTGCAGCTCGTCGACGCCATGGTGTGGCAGGAGCGCCCTATCTTGCAGCGACAGAGCGAGATATCGACGGTAGTAGTCATGATTGAGAGAGACAAACGTAGAGTCAGAGGACTGAATCGGATCACGCCCACCTCTGGGACTCACTGCCCCTGGCAGTCCGGAATCCAGTTCGCGATGGTACTTTCGGAGAAAATTTTGTTCGCCGCTTGCAGCAAATCCATTTCCATCCAATGTAGCCAGTTGCACATGAATACGATCAAGCGGCGGTTCGCAGTGCAGACCTGGAAAGTCACCCACACGATATTCGGCGATATCTGTAGATAGCGGAGCCCACGGGCCGTACTTTTCTTCCAGTCTATCGACTTTCGCTTGAACTGCGTCCGCGTCTAAAGGAGACAACAAGCACCGACGCATGGGACCGCGTCCTTCTATCAGCGGATGCGTCGTGCGCGAACCTGGTGTGACGATGCTCAGTCGGTAGGCAGCGACGGCCATGAAATCAAGAAACCGGCGGCGACCATGCATGAAATACGCACCCGCTAGCGCCGCACGTAAGGCAATCCCAGTCAGGGCGTCAGGAGTGTGTTGTGGCTGCACACCATCGGAACAAAACCACACGGTCCAATTCTTGATAAAGGATGCCCGGACTTTATCGGAGTTGCCTTTCCTTGGCATGAAGGTGGACGACAAGATCCGTAAGAAAACAAGCACATCCTGCCGCATCGAGGGTTCGACCGTCAAGGCTGCACTATTAGCATCTTTCCTTTCTTTTTGATGAGTTTCAAACATTGCGTTTTCGCTGCGAAGAAAGTGAAGATGAAGAATGTAATGGTAATCGACAGAGCTTGCAGCAAATTCAAAAAGAGCAGGATTTCTCCGCATAAAAAGCCACAAAAATCCCGTTTTCGGGATCCATTGGTCAGTTAATGGCATCAGGCACAGCAGCAAGGTCTCCAGAATCGCCTTGGTACTCATACCCCAACGCACTGCCGCAAAGTCGTGCAGTTGAGAAATCTCGCGATCTACTGCACTCCACGAAAAATCGTGCTGAGCAAGGCTCTGAAGGTTCGCATAAAGGATTGATTCGGCGGGTTCGAATTCGAAAGTCGTGAATGCGCGTTTCCGTGTATCAGAATGAAAGACGTGTCCTCCCCACTAAAAGGCATCGCGGGCGAAGCTTTTTGTCGCGTTCAATATCGCGGAACTCATTTTGCAGATTAGCGTGCTTGCGGGGAATCGCCGACCCAGAAGATCCGTGAAGATCTGAAACAAGAACGAATCCCCCTTTTACTTGCCAAGAAAGATCTTTGAGGTACTGACTATGCTATTACTTGGTTACTACGTCCCTAATGGCATCATGCCTTCCGAGTTCATCTTCTCTGGATGCAGTGATTGGGACCAAGCGAATCCCTGGCTGTGCCACGGGGCACAAAATTAGTTTTCCTGAATGGTCATGGACCTAAAGGGAGACTTGGAGTTGTTGACAAAGGAAGGAAGGAATTCAATTCCGGCGGCGTTGTCTCTCACCAGGAACCTCGCTAGACAGACGTGGAATATCAGCGAATCACGAACTGGCATCCGACTAGTGCAAGGCAGTGCGGACGTCCCCAGGCATGAGAACAAGGACAAGGCTGGTGCCCCATGGCCTAAATGACAAACTGAACGGAACGGAAACTAGGCCGGGCGGCGTACTAGTTGCCTCTTACCTACTAATCTTCACATCTGACAAAAGTGATAGCACCACTTTGACACCGGCGAGCGCGCGCCTTTATGTGGAAATACGCCGAAAGGATTTTGCATCGATACAGGTCTTGCCAGACGAGATGCTCGCGGCGGGCATCAGGCCGTACTACTTGCAAAGAAGAGGGCACAGTGTCACGGGTCTCCTTTTCTTCTCCCGTTACGCTTTGGACCTCCAGCGACCTGACTGCAAGCTGGCGCGCGCGTAGTCGCGACCCACGAAAAAGGAGCAAGTCGAATGAGGTTCTCCCATCGAAGGTTAGCAGCTGCGCGCGCCGGTAGAAGATACGTCCTTGCTCTTCTTTTTCCACTTCCTTTTCAACAGTTTCAAACGCAGTATCGTACTCGAACGAGATCGAGAGCTTTACCAACACCAGGTTAGGTTCTTCAGATGTCAGACTTGTCGCCCCGTGATGCCTCTCCCAGACTTCGTCTGGAACTTCGTCCAGCAGTTTAGCCAAGGTAAGCTCGCCGAAAGGAGAGCCCGTCTTCCCTGCTGCTCTACTAAATCCTTCTAAAGAAGGAAGGCTGCTGGCTTGTTCCTCGTCCCACTTTTTCTCTAACAACGTTATTGTAGTATCCATTTCTGGTTTTGCGCCAGAAGTGGTACTGAAGTTTGAAGACGTAAACTCGCTTTCGTCTACGGTGCCATCCCGCGAGCTCGTGCGGAGCCACAAACGACAATCATGAAAGCCTTCGCCACGAGGCCGGCTATTCGACTTGATTCCGCCTGGCCTTTCCTGTGGGGGCACGCCCGTTCGTTCGAGTGGAGGAACACCAGCGTGCGTGTATCTCCAACTGCGTACATCCCCGCCTGCGCGCAAGCTCCCCGCGAACCAAGAGTCCTCGTTTGCAAGAAAACTCTCGTCACCTCCACGCACAAGCGATCCTATGGCTCGTAGGTATTCGAGCGGATAATCATGAGCAATCCACTGCGCAGCGCGTTCGAAGAAGCTGGATATCTTCACGTCTTCGCTCGTTGTGTTCGATACTCTTCTAGGAAGCGGCACTGGAAAAAGTTTGTCTCTTTCAGTGCCCGGGCCTCCGCCAGAAGAGTTATTTGCCTCGCTTATTTTGTGAGGGACAGCAAAATCTAGCTGCTCCAGGGTCGTTCGAACAGCGACACGTGGCTCTAGACGCATGGATCTCCACCTCCCCCAATCCGGATCCGGATCCCAGTAGTGAGCAACGCGATCCGCGAAGCCCCACCGCAATGCGCTTGTACCAAGTGGCAGTGCAACTAACGGTAGGCTGGCCGGTTCGAAATGAGGTTTCAGCTGCAATTGTAAGAGACTCATGAAATTCCCCTGCACCCGTTCAATTTTCATGTCATGCTCGGCTTCGTAGGTCGTCCCCCAAGGTATAACGCTGCTCGGGTCGAACCCCGAACGCAATAAGACATCAATGTCCGTGATTCGTTCAAGCTCTTCCGCAAACAGCGACGCTGGGTGTTGCGTAGACGTCGCGTCGACCCCGCCGGTGCTGGTGGCAGTGCCGACGTACTGCGTTGGAGCACCCTGCTGCTGGTCGTAAGCGTCACTGTTCTCATACTCTTCATCCTGCGGACCACCTTGCACTTCTGCGATTGATGTCTTCTGCGTCCCGCTCTCTTTATATCGGAGTGATATGGCTCGTGCGGCTTGCAGCAAGGAGTCGGTCGCACTCGTGGTGCAGAAGAAAAGCCAGATCATCCGCGCGGTCATTTCTTCGGATCGGTCAAAGATAGCCGCGGAGAAACATCATGAACAAACTGGCACCTGGTGTAGTGACGCGGACAGGGCTGCTGCCGAGAGGCAAACCGTTCGTCTCCGCACAGGTTTGCCTCGGCGGTGTCGAACCCCTCGACGGGGTTCGACACCGCTCTGCTAACACGGAGGCTCGGCCCGTGCCGATTCCCGTAGGAACTTGTTGGACTAAAGCCTCGCAAGCATGATGTATAGCCGAGTTTCCGTGCGGTCCAGTTTCATCTTTCTATACTAAGCATAAAAGACACAGTCTGTCATGGATGATAAACTAAAAAAAAGAAGAAAGATCATATCGATCCCGGCAATAATTTGCAAAATGCCGATGTTGCAACAAAAATGAAGATAAACATAAATTTATGGGATGTTGGTTGGATGTTCCTGGAAAATTTCTTGATGCAATGGTACAGCACGCGTCCATGAAATATTAACAAAGCTCTGTAAAAGCCGCATCGCATTCGGAAGCCGACATCCATGTGAATCAAATTAGGCAAGAGCATGAGTATCACAACCCGATGAAAGCCGCACCGGCAAGAGGAACCGAGAAAAAAGGCATCAATCCGCATGTATCATGATATTCGAATGTATAACGATTTAGATTTTCTTGATGTTGCATTGAGCCGTACAAAAAACACCGATGGAATACGAGATCTGCAGCAGCTGGAATCCGGCAGATGCCGATTCATCAGATGCACCAGACCGCGACCGATTGATACACACTTTGACTGTCTGCAGGCACTTCTCCTGAAACGAACCTGTATCTGGTGGACCGATTGAATATTTTCTGAGATTCACAGGCAAAAAAGCAGAATCTTCACTGGGTCGTGCCGACAATTTCACTGCCTTCCGCGATGGGCAGATGGATTGCTTTGGAGCATCCCCCAAAGACAAACCGATTCTTGTTGGTTGGCCAATTTTCAACCGAATAATTCATACATTCCAGGACACTATCTGATGTCGCTCGGCGCACACGAGACCATGAACAAAGACCGACAAGAACGAAAGAGAACAGAATAATGGAACAAACACCATGTAAAATCGAAGGTACGATCACTGTCACGTAGCTGCGCTGGCCGAAAATTCAGAAACCCGGCTCGGTCATGTCAACATCATTTTGAACTGGATATGAGAGAAGTTGTGGAGAGAGCCCTGTGATTTTCCTTCGTATTTTGTTCATTATCATTTTCTGGCATCATCTTCTCTCTAAAGATTGAGTATCGAAACTTTCACAAACTCGAATACACATTCACATTAGGTAACAAGGAAGCACGCACTAGTACTAACTACTTAATACGACGATTCAAATCATCGCGTAAACAATGCGACGACAAAGTGACACGTTGGTAAAAAATCGTTCGCCGGAAGCATGGACGGTGCATGCATTTGGAATCGCACCGAGTACCACGGACTCCGCTCCGTAAACCAGAACCACGAGAAAAATGTGCAACTTGACCAATCACCACAGCCGCTGAAGATGCGGTTGCAGAGAGGAGGACCAGTCCGTGGAGCGCAGATCGCGCAAGGCGCCGGCAATGGACACCGGCTCAATTGGAGTGGGCTGTCGCACCCGGTAGTTGCCTCTGTGCGGGTCTAGGTCAAAGACCGCACCGGCAGTGTAAACACGATCGTCAACCCGGCGGTTCAGATTTCCCATGTACCGCTCGTACCCCGTTTGCAGTGCCCGGCTGGAGGACTCGAAGCCCCCCAAGCGAGATTGCGAGTTGGCCACCTCACCGAACGAACGACCGCTTCCTTCTTCCCCTTCCAGCGCGCTGCGAGACGTCGAACCTGAAAAAGTGACCGGATTTCGATTTGCAAATGATTGAAACAAATACTCATCGCATCAAAGTGTCTATAAACTTGCGCGATGATCGTCGGCAGGCGTGAGAACCTTTTTCTTTGTATTTGAAGACTATATGCTCGACGCGATGGCAATTTATCACCACTCCACTCACTTGTTCTCAGCACCACATCACAAGCTACCGAGCCTTGAGCGGACGGCAGGGAAAAACGTCGCCGGGACGCGATAGTGGAGGCACGTGCTCGACTTCGCGCGGCGCAGACCGGTACGGGGGGCGCTGTGGTACCTCGCGCCTGACAGGTAATTGGTGCTCTGGAACGCGGACATCACGGCCTCCGTGGCTGACCGGGTTGGCTCGAGGACGGGGATGCGCTGCCGCTCCTCCTCCCGCAGCGACGCCCGGGCGGCTTCCGCTATACGCACCGCCTGATCCGCAGACCGTGTCACTTTGTACAGTGGCTGCTGCTGCAGAGGAGACGGGGGCAGGAGTTGAAAGATGAGGGAATTTTTACTCGAAGGCGGCACCGAAGAGGACACGGTAGCAGGTGGTGGACCATTCATCATCATCGCTCCGTTATTTGTGCTGAAATAATTTCTTCTAGGGTCGCTAGTAGTTGTAAAACCGTCAGCCTGTAATTTCGCTGGTGTACGGCCTCGAGTTGCTAATCGATCCGGTCCAGCAGTTGGTACGGGCATAGCATCCGCTGTACTACCCGATGCCGTGTCTTTGCTGTCCATCGTCGGATCATCCCCGGCATCAGATCTGTTTCGTCGAAAGAGAAGATGTCCCCCGTTCGATCGGTGCTCATCGAGAAAGGACCGGACCTCGGGAAAGAGCTTCTTCTTCACTTCACGTACGGTGTCCCGCAGCAGAAGAATGGGTTCCAAGGCGGGCGTGGGAAGCTCGGGATCCTGCTCCTTCGTGAACACCGACGGCGCGGCTGTACTGGCTCGAATGTGCTTCCACGACTCACGCGGCGCGGTGGCCTCCCAAAAGTCGCCCAGCAGCGCCGTGACGGGCGTTTCCACGTAGTCGTACCTAGAATAGGATCGATCGAGCGCTCGTGAGGACACCGGGAGGAAAGAAGAACTACTCCCGTTCTGTTCCAGCAGCGATCGCGGTTCCGACGAAGACAGGGCCGCAAACTCCTCGGGTCGAGGTGAGGACAAGCAACTCGTCACACCGTTGTTCTCGCCATCAGCAAGCTGAAGTAATTGCACCGGTCCGCGAAGGCAACCCGCACTTGCTTCCGCTGGCGGCAGACTGTCAACGCTGTCCACAGCAGTCGCGTGACGGTGGTGGCTGTATCCTTTGGCGTAAAAGGCTCGGTCTAGGTCATCTGCCAAGGCCTCTGCTCTTTCGAGCGCCTCCAACGCTCGAGACGGAGCTGAGGGCATTTCTCTTTTCAATTTTTCACGGCTTTTCGTTTTGGAAGCTGAGGATTACGATCTTACAGCTACTTTGGAATTCGATGACTAACGTGATGAAATAGCCTTCTTTCTTCCGGTGGCTACAAACTGATTTCAGCTGGACCCTTGTGATTATCTGCGTTCTTGTCTTTGCTAGGGCATCAGACTGCCAAGCATGTAGTCTGCGCACCTTGCTCCTGAATAAAAAACGTTGCTCTTCCTTTTGTATTTTTGAATATTGCATGTATTAAACCAAAACCCCGTGTGTCAGTCTCTCGCTTTTGTTTTTCTCGCGTGGTGCAACGACAAAGACTAGAAAACACATCCAATAGTGATAAATCTCGAAAGAGACTTAACTGCACTGTGGGTTCCGCCGTGCTTATCTTTTCTAGATGAACACAAAGAGACACATCTGTACACGGAGGTGCATTTTTGCCCAGTCAGACCTCTGCGAAGTCCGTCGTTGATCTTGTTTCTCGTATGTGATTTTGATTTTGCTCAAGCAGATTTACTCCGCTCGTTGAAAATCGAATGACGACATACTTTCAAATTCGGTCATGCAGGTTGACGATACAGTCGTGCGACGACCGCATGGTCGGCACTGTTGATGTCAGCAGATGCAGTCGCGGATCACTGAGTCCCTAAAAGCGTGTATTTGATAAGAGTGAAAAGGACAAAGTAAAAGGCAACCTCATTCAGAATACGAACATACGCAAAGCAAAAGCAGGCATCCGTTGCCCCATCGCAAGCTTCGGCTTCTACCTCGTCTACTTCCCAATTTATGTAGCATGAGGGGTGTAGTTCTGCCGCCTCCCCGGCTACTGGCCTCGGTAGTAGAAGTGTCACCAACAGGACGAAAAAGCCCTCCGACATAAAATGCCGCGGAGACCAACAGGACGACTTTCTTGCGGCTCTAGCGGCGGCGAGTCCAGCGACAAATGCGCGCGTGTCATTCGCTTGCTCTCCGTTGTGCGTGCGCCGCTTCGCAAGCACGACGCTGTTCGATGAAGTACCCTCCCCTTCTCCTCCTGTTCGCCGTCTGCTTCTTGCTTGTTCCCTACTTACACCGCTTTCGGCGCCCCAGCAATCACCCGAACGATACTCCTGATCGTGGTCAGTGGCGGCCGTGGCCATCATCTCTTGCGGCAGCGCCATACTTTTCCGACGAGCGCTCGCACCAGCACAGATCCTGGCTACGAGTGAGTGGCTCTCGCCCTCGTGGCGCCACACTTGCTCTTCTTAAATGGCCTAGGAAGTAGTTCCCATGATCACAAGTACGCAATGGGTGAAAGTAGCTACGGGTCCTGGAAATAGTAACTAGCAGTAAGTAGTAGTTTTACTCATTTACCCAGCCGAGGTGTAAATATTTGCCAAAACAAGGTGTTCAACTCTCTCGTGGTCCCCATTCCACACACGACGGGAAAAAAGTGAAGACAAGTGCGAAAGCCCTTCCGATTTCGATAAAGTCGTGGATATCTACTCTTTTCGTTTTCCCCATACAATCAAAGCCCAAGCATGAGTATGCTTCCTTTCGCACGGTGGCGGTGCTGTGGTCTATTTCTTCTGATGTAATACTCTGACTGCTTACTGGACCCGAGCAAGCTGCAGGAAATAAAGCAACGTCAGGTGCGACTACATCTAAATTTTCTACTTACTTGCGCTTCTCTCTAAGGACGATCCTGCTAAGGTCTGGGATCAAACCTGACAGTAGCGTCACCCTGACGTCGTGTCTTTGGGGTTGAGCTATAGCGGACCGAAAAAGTATAGTTTACGTTTGTGGAAAAGACGCAAGACTCTTTTCGCAACTCTTCATGAGAGCAAAGCGAAAATCTTCCCTCAAACGACCGCCTGTGGGAAACAGACCCGACGATAACTCTCTCGCGTTCTGCAACCGAGTCTTCCGAAAAAGAACAAACATCATAGCATTTGTTTCCTCTACAAGTGCTGCAGTGCTGTAGTAAATTGCCTTCTTATATATTTTTCGTTGGCTTTTTCTGTTCTTCTCGAGCCCGAAGGATGCGCGGTGTCGCATCGAGCACACATTGCTGAAAAAACACATCTTCACGCAATGACTGTGAACATCTTGGTCGCTTCTGTCTTTCTTTGTGCTCGACGCGTTGGGGAAAGGACTCCGGTAGTCGGGCAAGTGAATCACTCTCGCTTCTTCCGGCTGGGTACCTTTTTTGTCGTTGCGCTCCTGTCCCGAGCGTCCGCTTGTTTTTCACGTGGGGATTTGGTCGTCTTGTTTTCCCGGAGCGTCTTTGCCCGGCTCTTCGTGCTTGTTGCTCGCGAGTCGCTAATGTCGTTTTTAGCTGCTTTGTTCACCGCTGCCGGGTGGCAACCGGCGGAGTGACTCGACGGTTTTGGTGATACGACGGGCGGCACACTTGCACTACCCGCTTTCCCAGCATGAGCGACCACCGCGGGGGAATTTGTGCCGGAGGTGTTGTTTTCAACATGATCTTGACTTGTTTTGCTGCTCCTGGAACCAGGCTTCTGCTCGTTCCTCGCAGCGCTGCTGCCACTCACGAGACGGCGCTGTCTCGCTCTCTTCTTGTCGCTGTCGGCTATTTCAGGGCTTAGCGTGGTCCCGGCGTGGTCCACCTTTTTCGCACCCTTCCGCGTACTGGACCGTCCTACCGCCGTGGCACTCCTGGGACTGGGAGTCGTCGCGCTGCGACTCGAGCTCGATGTGCTACACGCCTTCAGCTTCGTTGATTTTGCCTTGGTACTATCGCATTTCGCTGCGGCCTTAGAGTTCTTGATGTCCTCGCCTGCCATCGTTCTCCTGTCTTTTTGCTCTGCAGGCACATCATCAGCTTCCTGCCTTTGCAGTTGAGTCTCAGCTGGCGTCGCTGGTCGTGCGGTTGTCTCCTGCCTGCGGTTTTGACAAGTTTCTTTTCCTTCGTCTTCCCGGACGCGCTTCAGCCGCGTCAATTCTGTCGAGTGGTCGAGCAAGTCCAGCTTTGCGCGGGTGCTAGCCGACGGCCCTTTCGGATTACTCGCAATTTTCCTCTTCTTGGCCGGGTGTTGCTGGTGAGAAGCGTGCGGGTTTTGTTCTGCTTCTTTTTTCTGTCGCGCCGAGGAAGCGCCCCCGTTCGTATCATTCTTACTTTCCTTGTCTATCTCAGTCGCTGTAACTTTGTCAACGACCGGAGATGGCTTTAGTCTTTCATCTTCTCCGCTGAGTTTCTCATTGACGAGCTTGTCAAGCACGGCTAGCTCCTCCGAAAGCTGCGCTTTTTCTTGAGTCTCCCCATGGAGCTGATGGCGCGTCCTCGGCAAAGAGGACGCGTTGCCGGTGGCGGGGGTCCCTACTTCTGCGGTCTCTGCTCGCTTGGCTTCCGTGACAGACCTCGGCGCGGCCGCCGGAGGTCGGTCTTTCGCAGAGGCAAGACCGCTTCCTAGGGGATCTACTCTCACCGCGGGCCGCTTTCCGCTCCTGCTCACATCCGCAAACCCGGCGTTCTCTGGAACGCGTTGCCCTTGCCCGCCGTCATGTACTGTAGTCAGACGCACAGTAATATCTCCTCCCTCTCCGTTAGGACAAAGGAGCTGCGGTTTACAAACAGAGGAGCTACTTGAAGATGCGCTTGCGCCACCGTTCTGCGTGGACAGTGTGCTCGAGGCCGTTCTCGACCTAGCGCCGCACGAGGGAACAACATCGCAGCCAGCGTCTCGTATCGGGGATGGCAGTGCCTCCCAAGAACTAGACCTGTCGACTGTTATTTTCGGCGAACCCGTTTGTTTCGCCGGTTCTGCGCTTGCTGCCTGCTCCCCCGTCCTTGCGGAGGCGGCTGCACCGCCGTCCAGAGGGTTTTTGTGAGAAGGAGCTGGCTCGATCCTGCTGCAATCTGCAAGTACGAGCGACTGACGGGCACCTTCTCTACGCACGTTGTTGTGGTTCGATCCTTTCTCTGGCGGACCTCCCCCTGTTCGCCCGCCCGTTGTTGAGGTGTTGAACGCGTTTCCCTTGCTTTCAGACACTGTTTTGGCCCGACGCGGTGGCGGTTCGCCATCCTCATCTTCGTCGGAGGAAAAGGGGGAGTGCATCTTCTGGTGTCCGCGCAGCGATAAGCCTTTGTGAACATCGATCTCGGAGTCGCTCTCTTCGTCGTCGTAAAACGTCTCTTTCTGCATACGCGAAAGGCGAAAATTGTATTTCGTGAGCTTGGGAATGTCTATCTTCAACATCTTTGCGGCAATGCTATCAACCTCGTCGTGCAGGTGCTGCTTTGGTGTGCTTGTGACAATCCTTTGTCGAAAGGCCTCTTGAATCTCGAGTTGACCTGAGATTTGCAATTGGAACAGTTATTTTTCTGCATCTATAAAGATGACCTCAACCTCTTCGCGAAATCAAATACTCAAAAAAGACGGGCGACAATGTAGATTGCGCTTCACATTTTACGGCTTGCTCTGTTGAGAAACGCAACATCAGCTCGAGACGACAACGACGGGGTGCCACCAGAGAGATGGCCCGACGCTTTTCATCTTATTCTTATACACTGCAGCCAGCAACGACCACGCACGATAATTGTAATAAAAAAATTGTTCTTTTGTTGTCGCATGAAAAGGTGAAAAAAAATGAGTGCAAGTCAAAACTGTTTACGGTAGATTCTGTCGGCGAGGCGCCAGTACTCCACGTAGCGGCGCGTCTTGTTGACACCAATATGCTCGTGGACCGCCTCTTCCAACCTTTTGCCCGGGCGGTCGGGACTTAGGACGGCAAGCTTCGGCTGCCGCTCGCGGTCGTCGGCTGTCATCTCGCTCTCCCGCTGTTCCCACTTCCGCAAAATGTCTTCTGCCTTCTCGCGCACTTCAGCGGGTAGAGGAACCTCGGCGTTTGCTATCTCGGCGAGTCGCCGCTTCAGCCCTGTGGGCTCCCCCGCCCGAACACACTTCAGCTTGTTCAACACAGACGGCTCGATCTCCAGGCTATCCAACTGTCGCAAGAGCAAGAAAAGCGTGCGGGCCTCGCGCGTTACCAAGACAAGCTCGGTGAACAGATTCTTCTCCTTGATCTCTTTGTGAAACGTGTCTAAGTTGAAACCCGTTTCGTACAAAATCCGGGACGAACCTGGTACTCGCTTAGCATCCTGCTTCTTCTGTTTCGTCGCTGCAAAGAGAAACCTGTATTGCAAGGCACAAAATCCATGGATACACGACCTTTCACTTGTTTCAGAGTGTGACTCTTGTACTAAGGAGGTAATAAGGGTTGACGCTGCTCTAAGAAAACACGGAGCTTCAAGCTGTGTTGTGCGAGCTACCGCCAGCAACAGAATTTAAAAAGCAACGACCTACTAATTTGGCGTCAGGAGTAGATAGAAGTTGTACCATTTCTCATCCGCCGTCATGATCGTGTGCGAGTCATGAGGCCAAAGGCGAAGATCTGCTTCCCACGTCGTGTGCGCGCCGAGCTCCTGGTCTGCGTCATCTTCTGCGGGCGATCGGGCGTTCATCCTTCGTCCACGGTCCTTTGCTTGCTTACCCGAATCTTCGAAGGTTTCGTAGGTGATTGTTACCTGTATATGAATAAAAAGTTCCGAAGGATCGATGAGAAAAGTTTGCGGATCAAAGAAATCAGTTGCGTATCCGCCTTTGCGTTTTGATGAAAATACTTAAACAACCACGATAAGTCGTCGTAACAACGAACTGCAGCCGATAAATAAATATTCAGCCGGGGAAAGAAGAAAAGGTACTTTATCCTCACAACAGGTCAGATCTGTTGAGCGTGATAAATGTCAAGAAGTCATCCTTCTGTATGGCCGCAATCTGCACATTCATTCTTTCTTGCTCCTCGCAAGGGAAGTTGATACGAATAAAATTTGTCTCTCCGACCTATACCGGATCTCCACTGAGTGTTGTGACTTTGTCACAGAGGAAACGCGGCTCAAACTGGGTAGAATTTCCTTTAGCGCCAGCTAGAAAAGGAAGGCAATCAGCTACATCAAATCAAGCCAGAATGCCCGCTGGAATGACGCGTGGTACTATGAGCGAGTGTCACAGAGAAGCAAGTTGACGCGAACAACCTTACACATACAACGACGTCAAGAAAAAACTAATCTAAATTTGCAAAAGAGAGCAGGAAAAAGTGTAAGTGAGTAAGTAGGGAGCACCTCGTAGGTGTGCCAAGGGTCTTTGCTGGGGAGGCAATGCTCCTTCGTATCTGGCCCGGTGGAGACCTGGAGCTTGGAAATTTTCCGGATGACCTTAATCGGCTTGGCCGTGCATTTCTGCAAGTCTACTTTTCCCAACTCTTCGAGCAACCGGGTGAGCCACTTCGAGTGACAGGACAAGTCGCGACGCTGGAGCAAGGGATTCCCCAGGTTCAGGATCCAGTCAAACTTCGCCGTCACTATAGCGCGATCCTGTGACGGAATATTTTTGTCGCGGTCGTCGGTCCGTAGGTGGAAAATTCTGTGGCCAGCAGAAGACGATGAAGAAGACGATGGTCCGCCAGTGCCTCCGGTCGACGCTGAGGACGCGTTGGACATGATCCGCTTCCACCGCTCTCTAGCAGCTATAGAGCCGGCGAGTGCTTGATGTGCTTCTTCTCGATTCGTGTATCTTTCTTCCTTATAATCCCTCTAGCTTTATTTTCTGAAAATTATCCGCACGTTGCTTTGTCTCCTTGTTCCACGGCGCCACAATTTCTCGCCGATTACCTCCTTCTTTCCAGCACCCACCCGGGTCTCCGACGCACACAGCGGCTTCGGTTTTTCAGATATTGCGCTCCTCCGTACTGTGCGTTTCTTGAATTCAGGTGCTCACTTTGACTTTCTCAACGAGCTACTGGTAATAATTTGTCTGGATGGAACTTGGCATATGTAAAGGGCTCCTCGTTCGAGTCAAGATTTAGGCGTGAGCACGGGAACGACTGCGTGAGTTTTCTGGTGGCCGCAAAAGCCTCTCGCCCTGCTTTGGTTCTGCTGCGGTACTGCCGCGGAAGCAGCGCTAGTTGAAGCGCCGCGTAAATCGAGAATTCTGGATTACCGGACATTATTTTTCACGCTATCTTGTTCTGGCGATACCAGCAGCTGAGCATCAAATATGCTCCCTGGAGTGTTGCAGATGAAAACGAACTGTTGCCTGGTGTAGCAAATTGATTCAAAGTGTCGTGGTAAGATTTTGTGGGTTAGGGTTAATGCGTCAGGCGTCTCTTCATGGACTGAGTGACTTTCTCGCTTACGTGTCCTATGGGGATGAATGAAGAAAGATTTTGTTCGTCTGTTGAGGGTATCCTTTTGGTCGACTTTCAACTACAAGTTCAAACTGGAAGAGGCTGCGACGCACTCTCCTATGAATTACAGATTAGTCACGGGGTGGTACGGGTAAAACTAAAACCTCGATGTAAATCGTCTTCGCTGTGTCTTAACGCTGCTCGGGTATGATTAGCTCCATCTGATTCTGTATTTCTTACTGCGCTTCACGACGTCGTCCTATTCGCTGTATAGTTACTGTTACCTCGCTATGTGGTGAAAATTGATTAAGCTTCAAAAAAATTTTAGTAGTACTCACTTCTGAGCGAATTACGTTACAAGAGGGGATTCTGATCTCTGCTGTCCTGGAGCTAGAATGTAGAAATCGTGATCACTGGTGACATCTGGGCGAACAGCGCGTGCGCAGATCCATCCACACTACTTCGTTGCTGAATCCTTTCATGGCATGAAGCGATAGCGAGGAATACGAATAATCTGCCAACTACTTTTTTCTCTGCGACAGCGGCCAATGGAAAAAGCCTTTGCCTTGGGTCTTTGTGCTATAGTGCGGCTACTCCCATCATAGCTAGTAGCGTGTTCTGATGCGAGGATCTTCAAGGAGCAAGTAGCACAAAGATATCGCATCTGCGTCTGCAATTAGGTGGCAGAGCGGAGCCACTTACTTCAACCCTCGATAGACCACAGGAGCGGAGTATCTACGGGTCGCAGCCTGGCAAACGACTAGGTGTTTTAAGCTTGTGTGGTAAGACTGACAGCGCAGGACTTTTTTAGTGGGATCGATTTTTCCTATTGGGTTTCATCGAATTGGAAGGGCGGGAAGTCTTGCCGAAAAAGAGCTTGCCTCGGGTGGTTACCGGCAGCTCTATTTTCACCGCGGCCGCCTTATGGCACGCCAGAGTTTCCATGGGACAGGCACGGCGTCTTGATGCCCGTCCGCGCCACGCCGAATCAAAATTTCCGCCAACTTGCGGTCCATCTTCCGAAGAGCCCGACCGAGTTGATCTCCATCGCTTACGCCGTCTTCTTGGAACCACGAGGGAGCGCTGGCAGGCACTGATGTGAATGAGCGAAGACAAGATTCCTATATGGACATAAGGAAGCAAGGGACCCAGTTCAGTACTTAATACGTTCGAGATACTTACGTTACAACATCTTTAGAGTTGCATGTGAAGAAAATCGAGCAGAAAAATGAGATATCATTACAGATTCCTTGTCATGCACTCTTCCTTCTAAACGCTGTCCTATGGCTGTTACCTGCAGGAATATCCTGTTCTTCGGTAGACTCCGCAGATGATTTGTCGCCCTGACCGACCTGAGTCGCGCCTGCTCCAGCATTTATTTCTTGCGCTCCATCAAGAACGGTTCTGTGCCCGCCTCCCAGCTGTTGTCGAATCGCTCCTCTCTTCCGTGGGTCGAAAACGACGTAGCTGTAGTCGGCTTGTGGAACCAGGCTCTGCAACAAATGCCGCGAGGACATGGCGTGCCGGCGCTCCGCCGCGAAGAGCGCTGTTAGTGTCTCGCTTTCCGCGTGCAACGCATCTACTTCCCGCTGCAGCAGTTCCAGCGTGCGTGTCAGCGATTCGTTCTCATTCGTGATGTTATCCAGGGACTCCATGCTGCTCTTCAGCGACTCGTCCAAGCTGGCCTTTAACCGTCGGTCCCGATTCACCTGCCCAAACAGCGCTTCCCACTCCACTTCAGTAGTCGTTGTGGACGTCGCGAGCGCTCCCGCTTCTCCCCCAGCCTGATCATGCCCTGATGCGCGGTTTCGTTCCGGTACGACAGCCTGGTGCTTCAGCTCCTGCACCTCATCCCGGTATAGCAAAAGCAGGTCGTCTACGGTTGTAGTGGTCGCCCGCTTGCGCTGCTGGTACAACCGGAGCAGATACCATGGATCCGTGAGCAAGGTCGGATCCACTTCCACTTCCGACACACGGAAGGTCATTTTTATTTCCCAATCCAGGAAGTACTTACTGTCGGGGGCTCAGACATTGACAGCAAAAGTGAACCAAGTTGAGGCAGTGGCTACGAGTCCCTTGAATTAGCAGGTGGACTACAACGTAGTAGAGACAGCGGACACAAAAAATGTTCGTTTCCGACCCTCCGCTGTTGAAGATGAACACTTACCAGTGTCACAGTAGGTACGCAACGTGATGGTTTCTAGGCTTTATCCTATTTTTCATTTTCACATCAACTTCAGCAACTACAATTGAAGCATACCGATTTTTTCTTTTGGCGCTGTCAAATCCTTCAGTTTCTGCTGATGTGTGCGCTGTATTCTTAGAATGAGGCTGCTCCTGCGTGTAAGAAGAATAGACAAGTAATAAAACTCAGTTGTCAAAGATCGGCACTCGGATCGTCGGCATTTGAGATCTGAGATCCGTCTTCGGCGTAAAAAGTAGTTCTCTGTTGTCGCAGTTACCAGATTCGGCGAAACAAACGTCGCGGCAAGCTCCTTAGCTGCTCAGGCTTCCGGGGTGACCGGCTCGGTGTCGCTGTTTTCTTCCTCCTCGTCCGGTACGACGCCCTGCAGCCTTGTCGCTGCGTCGGTTGCCAGCGACTGAATGCAGGACCGCAGAAGCAGCTCCTTGTGGTAGGAGAACCGCATCACTTTTGCGGAGGCCTCCATGTAGTTTTCGTGCTCCCGTAACCGGCGACTCAACTTTGCCACCAAATTGTTCATCCGGCTGTCCATAAACACCATTCGATCGCTGTTATGATGATTTTTTTGCATGAAGATGAATAAAACTCGTGCGCTCATGGCGGTCATTTTCAACATCAACCAGTCTTGAATTAAGTTTAACGATCATCAGATCTTCATCCTTTCTGCCTTCGCAATGTGGTCAACGAGGTTCATAAGTCGCCTATGAAAGAAACAGGAAAAAACAGGCAAAAAGCGTATTAGTAAAGTGATGTACAAGAGCTGCGGCAAGTCCTGGTCCCCCCATCCCTGTAGCTTTTCTGCTTTGGGCATCCGGGCCATGTACTTTTTCCAACGGAAAGACGAGTCGGGCTCTCGCTTCACCGCCAGCGAGTCTTGCTCGCCCCGAATGTATCGCCTTCTGCTCGCTCGTTGCTCCGCCACGGGGTCCCGTCGATTCTTCTCGTTAAAAGACTCCTGGTCGTACGCCTCAGCGAGGTTGCGCGCGACGATCGCCAACGGCACGGCAATGATCAGCACCCCCGCCAACGAGGCAAAAATCCCCGCGATGCGACCCATCGGCGTGAAGGGATACTGATCACCATAACCGACACTTGTCAACGTTACCAGTCCCCACCACAGCGCTGTGGTGATACCTGCAAAGAGAAATAACGGTCGTTATTGAACAAGAACCGTGCAAGCCGAGCTTGCGTTTGTCTTTGCGGTCTCTGCCGACGAGTAAGAAAAATAAGTAATTTCCTACGTACTTATTAGCTTTCGGCACCTCTGGTTCTTCCAGAATGGGTAAGTGCAGACGGCAGAAGCAGCATTTTGCAGACTATCTAAGCTGAAGTTAGAAGAAAGTGACGAAGGTCAGGAATCAAAGCCATGTACTGGTAAATGTGTGCGGATGAAATCCATCATGTTGAAGGTCGCAGCACAAAAACTTGTTCTCGGTCTCGTATCCCGGGGAGACTCGGTCGTAGGTCTTGTCGTCAATTTTGCGGAAAATCGGTCGACTCTCGCACTCTGCATAGTAAGCATCCAGTTCTGCCGACGGGCCTCGCGCGAAGTCGATCTGCAGCGATAAAGTTTGGACACGGCTTGCACTTGCTTGTAGTCAGAAAGTTTACAGGAGTTCGTCCTTCTCGAACGTGATGCTCACCTTCAACGAAGAAGCAGACAAAAAGCAGGGAGTGCTTCACATCACTCAGAAAAAAGCATCGACACAAAGAATCAATACGTTGACTTGCGGACAGGAAAGCTGCTCGAAGAAGAAGCCACAGGCGGCGAAGAAAATGACTCCCATAAGGAGGAACATGAGCAGAACCAGGAGGATACTGCTAGACTTTGCGATGGCCGTGACCATCAATCGAAGGCCGTTTGCGTACTTGGACACCTTGAAAAGCCGGCCGAGCCGAACCAGACGGACGATACGGAGCAGCTTGAGCATTTTGGTTTTTCCGCCCGCAAAGGCCATTTCCAGAAAAAACGGACTGATCGCGAGCGCGTCCGCGATGTTCCCGGGCTTCAAGAGAAAATCGAGCTTGGACAGACGGTTGTGGAAACAGGACACAAAGCGGAGGAGGAACTCGACGATGAAGACCAGCGTGCAGATGAGTTCGAGTCCATACCAGAAGTTGCCCGCGTCGCGAAGCACAGGCTCCGTTTCGAGGATGAAGCCCAGGATGGACAGAATGATGAATACGTGCATCGTCATGTTGATCGTCTTCGCAAACCGGCTCTGGTCTTTCATCTCGAAGATGTTGTTCTGTTGTTGTGTATGTACACTTGATTTTCCCTATCCATGCAAATTTTCCTGTTTTGCATGAGTATCTTCACGTGTGGCTTATGCAAGTACAGTAGTGCCTGTTCTTCACGACGCCCCTACCAGCAGCTACACATCTCTCCTAAACAGAATCATGTGCCTAATAGATTTAGAAAGTAAGTTGAGTGCTATAGCACTTCTTACCAGAAGCCATGTGTACTTGTAGTAAGCGGACGCTTGCTGCATGGCCCGTTCATACTCTTGTCGCCACTTGAGCCAGACAAGCCACACCTTCTGGATCGCCATGGCGGCCTGGGAAGAGCAGCAGGAGATTGATTCTTTTATTGATGTTCAGGGCATCAGCATCACCAGCATCTGGAAAACAAACAGATGCAAGGGTACTTACTTCTTATCACCAGTACACAAACACAACTCTTTCGAAGAAGACATGCGCAACTAACTTTAGGGAAGTAGATTTTCTCCTCGCGTGAAGCTCTTAATACCTCCTCCTCTTTTATCCGCCTTGCACTTTTTGCACCGGGCTTGCCATCTATCTTGCCTTCCTGTTTGGGTTTCTCTCCCTCTTCGGCGTCATCGGCACCATACAGGTCACGCAAGTCTTGCTCGGTCTTCGGTTCAGCGTCGATATCGAGCTCGTCCTGGCGATTCGACCGCCCGACAGCACCGGCACCCAACATTGTGCCGCCACTCCCTCAAGCTTATTTCCACCAACACTCGAGTTGACGTCAATTACGAGAGTCAAGTGCGATGAATCTAAAAGATTGCAGCTTCCTGAAGATTTGGTCCTCGAGCACTACCGCTACAGGGGTTCTGCTGCCCGTAGAAGCAGGTGTTGAAACACTACTAACTTACAGTGTTGCGAAATGACCGAATAAAGAGTGCTGTTGTACCTTTTGCTAAACCATTTCAAGAGTTCGAGATGGATAAATCGATGTGTCAACAAGACATTCGGAATTTATGCATCATGTCGAACGAAATTAATGTCATAGTGCCCACGCTCATGAATTCCTATCACCCGCTCGCACGTTTCCCTGTTTGCGTCGTAGGCGAGTCAGGTAATGCGCTTCTCTCGAAAATTGCCACGAAAAATGCTGACTGTCCCTCTCCGCCGAAACACGAAAAAAATGCGAAATCGATATGGCTTTTTCTGTACGAATACGACGCCGGCAAGAACACGTGGCCATGCTGATTAGATTCCCAGACGAGTGTTCATCAAGTTTAGTGATGTGAAAGGGTCAAGTCAAGGCATTTAAAAATGTTTGTCCAGTGCGTACATTAAACAGAAACTGCGATGAGCAAAATTTGTTCATGGTCCCGCCCACTCGGATTAAGTACTGATGTGCGTTTTCCGGGTGAAAAAATCAGTACAACTTCCTAAACATGTTGAATCTGCACACGACGACTCGACATCTCTCAAAGAAATACGGTAAGATCGCCAGTAGGCGCGCATGGCGGTCTCGTATTCCAAGAGCAAACCCCGTGTCGAGTTCGCCCTTTTGACATTTTGTGTCCGGCTTTAGTACAGCTGGTGACATCATACATAGGCCAATACTAGTCTACAACTACACAGATTTATTTTCACATATCCGATAAACAAACAAAACGAAAACAAGGCGATGGGTATCCACCTTAACAGCAGCTACACACTAGCTAAACCTAAATCGTGACAGGGTCATAGTCGTCGTCGCGTCAATTATCACCATAGCGTGCGCTCCTTGATGTCGTGCATTCAGGCCTACATAGACATAAGCTAAATCCTTCTGCTGTGCCAGGATACTCGAATTGAATCTCCTTTCTAGCAGCATCTCCCAATCGCAATCCTACAACCACAGCGAGACGAAATACATGACCCAGAGCACCTTGAACTGCACGCCGTAAAGATCATGCGCATCGATCTTTGCAAGGTAGGCCAAGTAGAATCGGTACAGCGCGTAGAAGAGAAAGTTCCACAGGGGAGGCGTCGTCGCAACCGCATGTGCTCGCTCCGGCGTGTATCTCGGCCCGGCGAACGCCAACGAAAGAGATGAAGAAGGTGCTGGGCCAGTCGTTGCCGCAGCGGACGACAAACCGCTTTTACCCGGAACAAGCTGTAATGAACAACAACTATCGACCAGTCGATACAGCCCTGGTTCTGCCGTGTCCCACCCGTAGAGCTCGGTCGTTCTCGAAAAAATTTCCCGCGCAAAAGTGACGGGCGAGAATAGAAACGTGGCGAAGTAGGCACCGGTGGGGACAGCTTCTGCATCGTCTCCTGTGTGAAGCTTTATTCTCGACACTGGAGGATAGTGGTCTAACGCGAATTCTTTCGCTGGCTGCACCACATTGACGTGGTACCACACCAGGTAGAGGTATCCTGAGTAAAAACGTACCCACACCAGAGTCAGGATGGGGATTTTGCAACACAAACCTAGGAGTTTTGTGAGTCACGCATGACAAGTTGCGCTCTGCAGTGTAGTGCAGGTTAGCAAGTGCAGCCGCATCACAAATCCAGCTGCTCATCCTGTTCACAGCATCACAAATTCCAAAACACGATTGGAAATGGCTCTCATGGGGAGGCGCATTACAAGTCTTCCTGTCTTTGCAAATCTGCATCACAACTCTGGTGTGGGTACGTTTTTACTCAGGATAAGAGGGCGCAGGGAAGATGGTGTGCCAGCAAGTCGAAGAATCTGAAGGGATTTCCCCGGAGTCGGATGCGGTTGTCCACGAGCAAACACCTTGGGTGGATATCAAATGCAAATATCAATATGTCTGGGTCTGGAAGAATGCAAGTTTGTCATGCTTGTCTGGCATGGCTCTATAAATCTGTGATGCAGGAGCAGGAAAAGGGCCTTTTGCCTGTCATGCAAAAACGCAGTTTGTCATGCGAAAAACGAAACACACAGCAGCGCAAAAACTTGTCATGCTGGGCTCCATATTGCACTGCGCCCAATAATCGGAAATTTGCATCACAAGTTTCCAGACCCAGACATATTTGCAATGCATAGTGGACCCACACAAACAAAAACGCAATCAGCGCCACGTGAATGATGGTCGCCCGGATCGCCCGTGCGTAGTCGTCTAGAAAGGACCCCGGCAAGAAAACGTGGACCGCAAGCGCCAGCAGTGTCCAAGACGTGAAATACCGGCAGTTGACACTCAAGGCGAAATGATAGAAAAGGAGCGAGTAGGAACACAATTGCTCCTCTTCTCCTGCTGGAAAGGCACTTGATGTACTGCTGACACCACTACACGAGGCCGCTTTGTTGTTTGCACCAGCAGGCATGCAGTTCTTCAACGCCGCCGCCGACAGGACAATACTCGTCCGCTTCCTTGGCGTTGTAAGCCCACTGGGAGTGCTGTCGAGAACGACGCACCCATCGACGAAAGGCGACAGGGTACCACTTCTACTCTCCGCCTTGCAAGAACCCTTGCCGTGATGTTCCTTCCCGGGACTGCTTTGCTCGGAATCCGTTTCCGTGCTTGGCGTTCGCGACACTGATATGGATGTGTCAGAGTTGAAATCGACAAAGTTGAAATAATTTGTCATGCATAAAATGGACGCCAGTTGGAACCCAGTTAGTAAGTGGCGCATGACAAATTTCGGTGGTCCCTAAATCCAGTTTGTCATGCTGTTTAGGCAAAGAAGAGTGATTTTCTCATGCTACTTTAGCAGCTCGAGCTGTAGCCCCCAACAGGCTTACAATCGGCCTCACTTGCCTGCTCTGCAACGCACGTGCCTCTGGTCATGCATTTTATGCATTACAAATTATTTCAACTTTGACGATTTCAAACCTGACGCTTCCATAACTGAAATAGACGGCGTATCGTCGCTGTCGCCTGTCCAGTTCGGCACCAATTGGGATTTTCGCCGGGTAAGGGACACATGCCGGCGAAGCGCTGCGAGATCAAGAAAGACCTCGGCGCCAACTTCCTCCGTAGTCATTTTTGAGATAGATCTTCGAGCGCGGATAATGCTGAATTCAGGCGAAGTAAGTAATTTAAAGAATCATACAACTGCACAAAAAACTCCCTACCGGACTGTGATCGCATTGTATAGTGTACTTGTTTTCATGGGCTACGAGTACGGGTAATCTCACGCCTCCGGGGCGGGGACCTGCTGTTGCAGCGATGTAGTGTGCACCAAACTTTTTTTCAAAACGACACGACTACTTGGCATCGCTGTTATATCGACCCGAGAGAGTAGCTCGCTGATAGGCTTCCATGTAATTAGTAGACTCGATAGAAATTGTGAATTTTAATTGTTCTCACAAGCCTCGCTCACAGTCACTCTCTCCCATAGCAACTTGGGGCCAAAAAAAAAAACCGATTCGACTGAATTTTCAAAGTACTTACTTCTGTATCTCTATCTGCAAAAGGACAGAGAACGGCATTTGCCGACACGCCCGCAACGTAACATGCAACGCTTGCGCAAGAATAATACTGGTGAGTTTTCTGTTGGCTCATCATTTTTTCTGCATCAAAGCTTTGTAGACATCGTTACACTGTTCTTAACTTTTAGTTCATCAAATTTCGTCCTCCTCTTCGAGGAAAGCAAACGGGTCCAAAGCTGGAAAGTCTCCGACCACGACGTTTTCACAGCGCGAAAAGCAACCGTATTTTTCGCCGCGACAGTCGAAATAGCGTTCCCCGTCTTTTGTGCCATCATTCATGCCTTGGGGCTCATCTAGCTCCACACCAATCCAGGTCCCGGGCGCACCTTTCACTGGGCCGACAAACCTTATTGGTAGTTATGGTTTTTGACACTGAAAAATAAATGCACATAATTGTTGAGAGCTCGACACTGTGAAAATACATCAGAATGACTGAAACGTCGTAAATGCAGCAACCATGTAAAACTAGCTACTTACTTGATTGTTCCTCGCCTCCCTCCGGGGTTGCACTCGCACCGCTTGCCGACGCCGTAGGCAACGTGCACGTCCTCGGGCGTTTTTGGGCGCTCCGCCGCCGGCTCCCCCTCGCCTCCCTCTCCGGGTTTCTTGGCAAACATGCGGAAGTTCGGGTTTTTCTCCCGTTCCGCTTTTACGTGCGCGCGTAGGGTCTTCTCTCTCTTGTCGTAGTCATCGTCCGTCATTTTGTATTTCTCCACCAAGTTTACGTTTTCCAATCCTCCGCCCGCGGCCAGCGAGTACGGATCCGTGTCTTTGATGAATAATTCCATGTCGTTCCCAGCCCCGTAGGTGCGCAGCGTCTTGTAGTCATCATAGAGAAAAATGGTGTCCGAGTTCCCCGACCTGAAAGTAGAAGAACAAAAAGCCGAGATGGCCAGAAGAAAGGATATGCTGCTCATCTTCACGTTCATCGACACCTTCCTAAAGCTATGGTGTATATGTCCATCGAGAGACAGACGCCTCACGGCAAAACATCGACCTAGTAGAGCAACCCATCGTTTGTAGACATGACGTCCCGCACGCGCCCGCGCGCCCCTTTCACGCATGAGCCCGCGTTGTAAATGCTACATTACAGCAATTCCCTACTAGTGGACCTGTACCTTCTCAGATAGAGCTCCATGTGTGCAACGGATCCTGCGCCGTGCTTGTGGAGCTTCTCCTTCACACCAAAAATGGTGGAGTCGAGGTCAAAGCGAAGATCGTGCCAACGTTGCTCCAAGTGATTGTGTCGGATGTCCATGCGGATAAAGCCCTCCGCTTGATTTTGGTGCCGGTTTTCGTCATTGGCAGTCACCCAGCTGCGCATTGCATCGCGCATTTCGCCCGCAAACACCGTCCCTTTCTCCGGCATCTTGTGCAACCAGAGCGACTCTCCGTCAGTACTTCTAAAAAAAAGCACTTATAAACGAGCACTCTACTTGAGCTAAAGCTTGAATGCGATTCACTGTTCAGCAAGCTAAATTTCAGAGGTTGAATTGCATATACACTTTTTTCATTGACTGCTGTCTCTTGATGTAGTAGGCGAATAAATATTTTTAAACCATTACAGTTACAGTTTCGCGCGTGCGCCTCCTTCTCGTGCACCAGACAAGCTTCCTCTATTGTTATTCGACTTCACACAGCAACAAGTCAACCACGCCACTCGCTGCACACGTGGTGCTACATTTTGCACAACGTCAATCTCAATTTTTTCGATCACCTACATTTTCTCTGTAACTGGACGTCCATTGATTGTCGAGAAGCGGCACCAAACGCAACTACATGGAACACATTTTTTTACGACCAGACATATATTCGAAACGTCAATTGTCCACAAAGTTCACCCGATATTCTTATCGTTTTCGGTTGGAATGGCGAATGAAAGGACCGGACTCAATAAACGTCGATGGTTTTTACTTCCGTGCTGTAGTACTTTTTTCTATGCACAGTATGTGGGTCGTCTTAACGTCAATATGCTCATGAATGAATATTACATCTTCATCCTCTGTCGAAACATGTGTATGTGATTGTGCGTTTTAGTTCTTTTCGTGCCCATTCTACACGTACAAAGTAGCTAAGTAAGTGCGTATCTATCATGAAGAAAAAAAGGTGGGATCGTGTCGCATACGGGTCTCGTCTTGCTCCTATTTCCTATTTTTCTCTAACTTTTCCCGCGTACGCCGTTCGTTCCCTTCGACGAGCATTAAGGGTGTATCATCGCCTTCTTCCTTACAGATCGCCCGCATCTTGGCACACACCTGCAGAAGCTCTTTCCACTGCTTCGCTTTGCGCAGCTTTGGCAACTCGTCGTCTAGCCAGTCGTACTGCCTTCGCCGGGCGTCACTTTCCGCCAGCTCCGCGGGGCCCAAACTGCAAACTGGGCACTTGCAGACGAAACCGTAGTCGCGCTGGAACACCTGCTGCCGGAAGCCGTGGTCGTGCCAGAACCCGATGTAGGAAAATGTGAGCTCTTCTCCTTTCTCCACGTTCCTGGCAGCAAAAACCGTGACCTTTCCAGCCTGAACACGTCGAGTGCAATTCGGACTGCAGGAGTGGTTCAGCCTCGCAGTCAGCAAAAACAGCATGTCGCTGGACACACTTCCTCTAGTGCTTCCGCCAGCCACGTCCGCCATGCGTGTGGTCTCCTCGGGCTGAAAAGCGTTTGTGGCGAAAGTTTGGACGAGCTGGTGGGGGGATAATTCTGCAAAACGACTGTTGTTGCTCTTGTTCGCCAGCGACCGCACTCTGCTCTTATCGCTCTCGGCTAAGGCGGAGAACTGGCCCCAGAGCATGGAGATCTCCTCTGGATGGAAAGAGTGGCTTGTGGCAAATTGTACCGGTCTGCAGTGGGAGAGCACCGGCGTTTCGACCCACAGCAGCTCTCCCTTCTGCACCGCCTCCAAGGCAATAACGCCCTTCCCGCGTCCATCTACTTCCATCACGCGGAAGGCATTTGCGCGCTCACTTGTAACACGAGTGGTTTGCAGCTCCCCGTCCGCGGTGTCTTCGAACTGCAGGTTCGTCGCCTTCACGCTTAAACAGGCCTCGTCGCTCGCGAGGCGGATTTGGAAACGATTTTTGTCGGGAAGGTACTTCAAAACTTTGGCTCGTGCCCCATTCAACTCTGGTCGGCTCTGAAGTCCCGCGATTTTGGCCTGGAGACCGGCCTGCGACGCCGCGCACAGTTGTGTCATGCTCAAAGGTCGTGGGATTGTCTAGATCGATGACATAGAGTTCCGATTCAAGGCTGCTCGAGGAGCAGTCTACAATGAAATTATTTGGATTTGCGTTCTTCAAAATAAAGCACATAAGCCCAGACCGGCAGTTGGTGGAGATATTACCGCTAAAACCTCAGATGCCCCTGTGTCACTGAAAAAAAAAAACCCAAATCGTGGGAGAATGTCTTAGATTCACTCTGGGCGCTCATTGCGTGACCCGAAGGAACACGGACCCGAGCTCGAAGGAACACGGTCCCGAACTCGATTTTTTTTGTAAACATATTGCGTTTGGCGCTTCGTGATTTTTTCTGCGCGCCCAGAAGTGGGTCGGGGATCTGCATGTGCCTCGGCGTAAATTGTTATTTTTCGTAGTTCTTGTAATTTTTGCAGTGGATTGAGTTGCGTCAACATGATTTCTCACCGTTTTTCTCTGTGCCAGTTCTTGCACACAGGATCCACGAGCACGATACTGCTACGTCGACATTCTGATCTGCTGCGGCGCAACCTCCGCTGGCACATCCCTTGACCGGAAGAGGCGCCGTCTCGCTAGAAGCAGGGAAGCGGTGCTGCCTACAAGGCAACAGCAAATTTCGTTGGCGCTACGTTGTAGGAAAAACTGCTCCAAAGGCGTGGGTGCGGGTAATAGGAGCGCGCCCCTTCCAAAAGCCTCGGAACCGCACGCACATCGCAGCACTCGCAGACCTGCGTCAGCCGCCATCTGTATTGCCTCAGGCCCTGCGGAGGCCAACGCTTGTGCAACATACTGCGCCCCGTCGGTCGTGACAAATACGAACAGGTCGCGCACAGCGGCGGTACCCTGCGCAAGGGCGTTGAAACCGTCGGCGATGAGGCGCGAAGACCCGTCCACTAGCAGGTACTTTGCGAACGCTTTTCCGTAGGAACAGCTCCAGCAGACCCAGTATGCCGCCTCCACGGAAAGGCCTTCGCGCTGCAAGAATTCGTGCCAGCGTGTGCGGTGTCTTTGGACCACGGGGTTCGAAAAAAAATTCTCGGTCGTTACGTCGAGCCGGCCGCACAGCCCGATGCCCTGGCGCAAGGCACACCTCGCGGCTTCGTCTGTAATGGCACAGCAGGTTCCCGCGGGGAGGTGACAACGACTCGGCAGGACGCCACAGCAGCTGTCCGCCAGTCCGCAGCAGGGGCAGCAACAAGCACAAGTGACTGCGCTGGGTGTGGTCAGGACGGGACAACAACTATGCACGCAGCCGGGACAGCCCACGTGCTGTGCGAAGCAACAACAGACATGAGCAGCGGCGAGCCATGCACACACGGACGCAGCCTCACAGACCGGTAAACTGGATGAGTCTCCTTCTTCTGCCACCGTGCCGTAAGTACAAGGGCACGTCTCCTCTTGGTCTTGCAACATCCTGCTTCGGCTTAGAAGCGTCGCTGGCGCACTGCTACTGGCCGCCCTGGCTGTTTCACACAATGCTGCAGCAAGGAAAACACCTACTTGCAATCGCCAGCGCCACATTTTAGCCGGGCACAGATTCGCTCTAGTACTACTCATAGTTCCTTTCAGGACGGTTCGAAGTTAGTAGCCGCCTCGGGCAATAGCGGTAGGAAAATAAAGTGAGTTGTAGGACACCTAGTTATTCTTTTACTGTGCCGGTGCACATCTACGAAAAACAGAAGTCGTAGAAGCGACAGATTGTGATCGTGCAGAGTGCTCGTGTAGTCAGCGTGCGTACACAAAAACGCGTATGGGACCATCAAAAAAACACACACGTATAATGGCCATCTACAGTGACAGTTCATCAGCACTATGGGATCACGATTTCTCAGGATCGCGTGCTTCGCAAGGAAGTCGGATCTTGTGTGTCGGTACTGTGTTTGTTTCGCCGGACCTGCGCCCCGCTCCTTCGCGTAAGTACTCACAAGTTGAACCAGGGATCTCGGCTGCAAAAATCATCGTCGCTCGCTTGATACCTGAACCCGGAAAAGTGAGATGCAGATCGCTACGGTTGAAACCTGAACCCAGCAAAGGTGCAGATCGACTTCATCCAACGCCTCCAGCATGATGTTCCACCGATCTTCTACACACAGACAGCAGCTAAAGTGATCGCCAAACTGATCCGTTGCAGTCTTCATCCAAATCAAGGCTAGAACTCGCTTTGCAGCTCGTGCTGGTATCGTTCTGTGTCTGCGTGTAGAGGTTATCATTATTTAAGGTGAGTTTACACGGAGACATACCGTTTAAAGTCGACGCGGCTATTTTTACAAGTGCTGAACTGAATATTCTAAATTCTGTATTCTCGGTTCTGTTTACTGCTGTGAGGATTGCGCACTAGGTATATTACGAAAGATTTTCCTTTTTTCAATTCTCCGCTAGGCAAGGAAAGCGGCTGCGGAAAAAACGCGCCAGACCCCTGCATCGATGCCGTGCCGGTGGAAGCGTCATGTTTCTGTGGCACCGTGGAGGAATGACACAGTTCGCCGTGGAGACGTGGCGCGAGCCCTTGGGTTTTCTCTGACTCCCGCGGATCTGATGGATTCGTCCGCTACTCGCGGAAAAACTACGTGAGCATCAGGGGGTCGCAGACTACTCCGTTGATCAGCGCTGAACGGCGCTCGGTGCTGCGCTGCCGAGACGGACGGAAAAAAATGCGAGATGACGGAGAACAACTGCGAACCTTGCTCGCGATCCGAGTTTGACGTTGGACGCGATTCCGCTGCCGTGGCTCCGCGTCCTCCATTTCGTCCGCGGTGGTGTTCTTGTCTGCGGGATGCAAACGCGGGCGCAGCGAGGATTTCTCGCACTTGCTGGTCGTTCCACCGCAGGTATTCCTCCTCCGACACTGGATTATATCCATCGGCCTCCGGTCGTCCCTCTTCCAAACCGCGCCGCCGCTCGTGTTCAGCGACGCAGGCCACGGACCATGCCGTGGCGCACAGCAACGTACCCACTCCCATACTCATCTGCGCAGGGGGCGGAAGAGCATTCACAATTTGTATTGATTTCTGTACGCCTGGAATCACCACTCGTCCCGCCCAATACGCGCACTCGATCGCGGGCAACGAATTTAGCATGCCCTCGGTCAGCTGTAGTGGAGCGTAAAATGATGGATCTCATCCGTGGACCTAAACCACTCCAGACCAACACGTCGAGCAAAGCATTTTTTAGATAAAATGAGAATGACAGGTCACGCCTACAAATGTCAACAAACCGAAGTAGCACACGACGCCAGCACTGAGGGGCTGCAGGTGTAGATATTCGATAGTTATGAAGATCGATGTGCAAAAAACAACAGAAGTGTCTGTGCTTCTACTTACGGCCAGATTTACTTCGTCGGCGATGATGGAATCCTGGGTTTCTGTCACGCGAAAGTTGGCGACTCGCATGCACGACGAAGCGACGAGAAAGCAACGCAGGCAACCGCGGCATGTCTCGTCAACCAGGCAGCAATAACCCGGCCACTGGGGAGCAGCGACGGAACACACATCTTCCACACACTGCGGAGTGCAGCAGCCGTTGTCGGTGGGGCAACAGATCTCCGCCCCAGACGTACCACAGCTCTTCGCGACCTCCACCGCGACGTCAACTGCACTCCCATAGCACAGATCGCAACACGCCCAGCACTGGGGGTCCAAAGTTACCGCCGTCGGTTGAAAACAGCAGTATGTAGCGGCGTGCACAGGACAAACGACCTGCGCCACAGCACAGGGCACGTGCGCCGCAGCCGCGTAGCTGCAACAAATCGCCCAGTTTGAAGGTCTCTCGAGCGCCTGTTTCACGGCGGACAAGTGCGGAGCGCGGAAAGACGCTGCTCTGACCTGCGCGATGTTGGAGTAGAGACCGCAATACGCAACGGCTTGAAGCGCAAAAAGGAGCTTTTGCAGCTGCATTTGAAGCGCGACGCGAGGTTACTAGAGCGCTGTTGACGTTCTGTCGCTTCAAGTTGCGAAACCCCGGCCTTCGTAAATTCGTGGGTTCCATTCCTTGATCCAGTTCTTGGAAGCCAGCCTGCTGCCGACTCAATTCTCGCAAACCATGAACCGTCGTCGAAGAAAGAACCTACGCAAAGAACGTCGCGATGTCAGTGGGACGACAAGCTGAGAGGTCACACCTGAACAGCAATGGAACACTGACAGCAAAAGAGGCACTATCTTCTGCCGCATTCGATCGATACCCCAACCCGCGGCGGCGATGCTGCGTGACTCCTTTGAACGTTATTGCGTCTGTTTCGTTTCAGCCGAGTATTCTCTTGGTCTGGCCTTCGGATTTCATTACACGATGACGAAACGTCGAAGCAGGACCATTGATAGTGCGCGTGCCACGCGCACCGAGCAAAAATGAGAGACTCTTACGCGCAAGGACGCTGTGGTGCAATCATTCGTTGACGTAAGCGGAGAATGTAAAAGAAGGCGCACATAAGGACGGCGATGCCCATGCGTCATCTAGATTGATACTTAGTGGCAGGACATCACTGGCCGCAAAGAACTTCGATGCTCGCAGCTGCTTGGCTGCACAACGAACGTCGATCAGCGTTCACTAGTCACGCCTCCGCTTGTAGTTTAACTGGATTGATTCAGTGGAATGACGATCGATCGGACCTCGCGACCCACATCGATGGAAGAAGTGGCCGCCTCGACGGAAGTCCTGTGTGTGAAATCTTCACGCACCGGCGCGGGACGATGATGTTCTTAAACTTTCGCTCGAGCACGACCTTTTCTTCTTGCCGCTCTTCTTCTCTTGTCGTCTTCCCGCAGCGCTTTCGACATTGCCACTTTTGTTCTCTGGCGCGCTGGTTCTTCTTTCCTTTTTTGACTTTTTGTCCTTCTTCCCATCGGCGTGCCGCGTCTCCGCGGTCGTGTCACGATTGTCCTGACTATCGTCTTCTTTCTTGCTTTTCGCCTTCTTCTCTTTCGGCCGAAGTTCCACGCGCGGCGGTTCATCGGAAGTTGCATCTGCGTCGTTTGGCAGAAGCGTCTCCTTCTTACCGCAATTATCTGTCGTGGCGGCACTCTGAAACGGAACGTGTCCTCCACCAGCTTCCGACCCCGCCACATTCCCGCCGGCGCTTTCGTCCCGCTGCTTTTCAGCTAGCATAAACTCGATAGCTGCGGCGTCCGCTTCTTCCTCGGAGTCTACGTCCGTCATCTTGTCGGATTCCGGGACGTACTTCTTCCATTCGTCCGCCTTTCTGCCAAAAGCGATCTCCTTGTAAATGTTGTACATGACGGCCAGGTCGACTTCCGTGTATTCGAATTGCTGGAGTTGTACCTCTTCCCGGGTGTATGTGCCGGCCTCGATGTACTGTTTCAGCCTCTCCCACCCATGCATCAGGGCCATGCGTACAGCAAATTGCTCCTCTGGCCAGAGAGTACAGTAGACGGAAAACAGCCCCCTTTTCCTTTGCTCCGCAATTTTGTCGGTGCTCCATCCAGGCTGCCAGTACTTCGGGCTGTACTTCCGGATGATTTCCCAGCGCCGCTGCCGCACCTCCTCCCGGTGTGCCCTGTAGTTGTCGAGCAGCTGTCTGTGGTTCTTGGGTCCGTCGCATGTGTGGTTCACCCCTTCGCTGACGGCGTCCCGCGGGGTCATGTTGCACAGGAGGCAGTGAAGCGTCAGTCCGTCCTCACATTTTTTGCTATCTTTCGAGGGTTTCAAGATTACCCACTCGTAGGGAAGCTGACGCCCCGGAATGCCGGCAGAGTAGCACCAGAATGCGTACTTGGGGTGGCTATACGTCCTCGGCTGCCGCTCGGCAAGGTGCGCGATCGCCTGGTGGTCCTGCCACGTCTTGCTGACGTTCCCTGCTTTATTCAGGATGCTGTTATTGCTCGTGGATACTCTGGAGTAGATGGACATCCGATCCTCCAGCACCTGCTTCTCCCACGGCCCGGCATGATTGCCCTGGCTGCTGCGACTGGCGGCCACCTGCGACTCCCGCGCGGCCCCGAGGCGTGACAGGTTCGAGGGCGTGATCCGGTACGTTTTGGCAGACGCGTAGCTGCTTGCTCCGGAAGAATGCCGCCCGCGTGCGGTCATCGGGAGACCTGCGAAACACAAAATTTGCGGTGCATGCCTGCCCAATCGATCCAGTTGGCACTCCTCGTCCTTCAATTGGTACTCCTCCTCGTCGAGGTCGCCTGGGTAGTTGCAGTCGATTTTATCTTCGCCTCTTTCAGCACATTTTTAGTGGGGCCTCTTCTAATTCGTGACCTAGCTTCTCAATGGTGAAACGAGTATGAGTTCTGCAAAGCCGAGAACTACGCCAGGCAGTGCGGGGCCGCTGGTTCCTATTAATGTATCGAGGTCGCAAAGGCAAATAAAAATGTCAAAAAGTATAAACTTACGTCCCAAAACGGCGGAGGCTTTCAGGTTGTAGGTGCGTTTTCGGAAGTTGTACGGCGAAAACATATTAAGCTTGTCCAGCTCTGTCTTTGCGCGTGAGTACTCATCTAAACCCTTGGGTACCGGGTCCATGGTTGCGAAGTCTGGGTCCCATTCGAGTTGCTCCGTGCGGCTCTGTTGCGTTGCCCTCCCGCCTGACGACGCAGACTCAGTGGCCTGGTGCTCGCGCGCAGTAGTGCCGTCGACGCTGCCGGCACTTTCCAGCGCAGTGGCTTCCTCGGAACGGAGTCTTCGTCTCAAGGCGGAACGCTGCTCGGCGGTTAGGTTGGAAGCTACAGTGTCCGGCACTTCGTCAAACGGTGGCGGTGGAGCTGGCTTGCATATAAGGGAGGTCCCTTGCCGGGCTATCTGCGAGTTTGGAAAGAAGAACCAGACGTGGGCTTGCACGTGTAAAAACGACCACACACACACGCTAACTTTGAAGACACGGAGGTTAGAAATTGCGAAGCAAGAAACTGTGGCAGCAATAGATACGTCGATGTTCCGCAGCGGTCTATCCTGTGCCTCCTTTCGAAAACTCCAGTGTGCGTATCGCTTGCGGTGGATGGCGGATGACAAATGCTCTTCATCCGGCCAGCAGTTTTTATTGTGGCACAAATGGCATTTGACTTCGAAGTACTTTGCACCGTGGTTGTCCACAAACAGAACCTTGAAGACGTCGGGCTCCTTGAAAAATTTTCCCGGTACCTTGTCCGGAATGTCCAAGGAGTGGCCCTCGATGATGTTGTCCATATGCTGCGAACTTGTTACGTCGATCGTCTTTTTCATTCCTGGCTTGTCGCTTTGAGACACTGTTGGTGCTGCCGCCCTCGCGTTTATTCCCGCCCCGCTAGCGGATGCGACGTCGTCAAGGTGGCTGATCGATGAAAGTTCGGCGTACGACTGGAGCATAGAAGTACTCTGCGCCGGTCTGCCAGATGAAGAAAGATCTAGCGACGCACCAACCGTTGCGGCGGTGGGGAAGTCAAAGCTGACACTTGGCTCCTGTAAGTCGCCATCTTCTGGCACCGGTGCGAGTCGCGCGGGCGTGAGGGCATCAAGCGGGTAGAGCACCATCTGGCTGGCGCCGAAAGTCTTGTACTGATCCCATTTTTTCAGGTGCTTCTCAGACTCGCGGTGCTCCTCACCTGGGTGCGCTTGTTTGTTGCACATCTTGCAGTGCACATACAAGTAGCTGTACTTGCCCGAGCCGCGAACTGCGTAGTCGTAAATATCCGGGTCGTCCGTCATCCAGGCATGCGTCTTCTCATTCTCCAGCCCGTGGCTTTTCAGGAGCTTTCGCAACTTCGCCTTGGCAGCGCGCGCCTTCTCCGCTTTCCGCGTCGCCTGAAAGTTAGCATCGAGCTGGCAGTGGTATTCTAAGCCTCCACGCAGGAAAGTTTCAGATTTCACCTGGCTAGACCTGCTGGACGTAGAGGAGAAGTGCCGCTCGCCGTCCGTGGCAAAGAACGACTGCTGCTCTTCTTGCACGTGCTGGATCGAGGAAGCTACGCTGGCGTCAAGTAGTGCCGTGTGCGTCGCACGCGCAGAGAAACTGGCATTTTCAACACCTGATCCTCCAGCCCCATCGCCGTTTGGGCTTGCGTCGGATTCTGGACTCCCCTCCCCTCTTCTGCGCGCTTTATCTTCCTCGTCAGGTTCTTCGTCCGGCGACGGGTCGTGCTGGTTGCACTTCTTACTAGATTTATTCTTTTTCTCCTTCTTATTTTTTTTCTTTTTTACGATCTCTCCGCGGTCGTCGTCGGAAAGGTCCAGGTTCGTGTCTCCAAACAAAGCAGCGCCCGCGGCTGGGGTTCGGCTTCGCTTCTTTTCTACTTTCCCGGTCTTTTTCTTACGGCTTTGCCTTTCGGGCGAAGTAGAACACGAGGACATCTTGGCCAGCAACAACAAGTTAACGAGTATGCAATGCAAAAGCAAAAAAGCAGAACGTACACTGAAGAATTCTGCCTTGTTTCGCTTCAGTAGCTCACGCCCTGAGACATTCTTGTACACGTATACAAAAAAAACGCAGCAAGCACAGGCGACAAAGTACAAATGAAGATCCCTTTTCTTTTTGGTGGATCTTACCGCAACCTAGACGACAACTGGCAGGATGACAAAGAGTACGACGTAGGATCCAGGCTGATGAACAGCACAGCATTATCCATCTGTACTTGCAGGATATCCACAATCCGTTGGGTCACGAAGAAAAAAAATCGAACAGCCTGGCGCCGGCTCCGTGACGCATACGATACCACCCTAGATAGGTAATAGGCTAGCCTACGCGTCAATCGCAAGTGAACCGCCTGAAAGTTCCACAAACCCGCTTCCCGCACTCTTGTTCACGTCCAAAGATTTGGATTTCATTTCCACTGATTTTCGGGACACACTATATCGGAGGAGCAGCAGCTCTGATGTGATATGAAGTTGAGTTTACGTCGAGCTGAACTTCAGTGTTGTTCGATTTTGATTCCCGCATATTTGAAAGTACGGTGTACTATGTCGCCACATATTGTAGTTTACGTCTCCTCGCTGCATATATTCGGAGGAAAATTCAATCACCGTGACGAGCACCGCTGACTGACAGGTCGCTGCAAAAAACGCAAAAAAGGTCTTGTAGACGAGAACACGGCTCGGGTTTATTCTCTTCTACGATTTTAAAGTGCTCTTTGTATTTGTGCTAGTCTATCTTGTAGTTGTTTGAAGTGCTCTTTGTATTTGCTTTTGTTGCAAAAAGCTGCTAAATGGATAACGACTCCCCCTCGTCCAGGCCCTGTCTTTACTAGCCCACACCTTCCCTGCTCCGACATTCTACGGACGGTAAAAGCTCCTCCGGCTCCGCGATGACGACGTTTGATCTGCCTTGACCTCCGCAGACCCTGATCCCGTGGAACCCGAACTTGACGCCGAGGACGCGGACCGGCTCTTCGAGGCCCGATTTTTAGAATAAGTACGCCTACTTCGCGAGGAGTTCCTACCTCTCGAACTTGTCCTTCGTCTTTTCGTTGTCCGCTCTGGTGATTTAGATTTAGTCGTGTTGCCTTTCGAGTAAACGCCCTGGTCGTTCGTGTATAGTAGATCTTCCTTCGCTACTGCCAGTGAAAATTTCGGAATTGGATATTGCCGGAGCAACGTGGAAAATCCTTCCGCGGTCCTGCGTGGCTTGTACATTTGCGGACGACCCGGAAGTACTGTCTCGGAAGCTCCTGCAACCGATGAGGTTTGTTCCTTTCCCGGTTCTGGCGACGATTGTGTTTTTGAGACAGTTGTTTTTTCATCGCCGCGATAATCACCGTTTTCATCGGAAGCACCTGCTGATGCGCTGCGGTTGGCGACATCCTCGGCGGATGAAGAACTGTCCCGTCCTTGCTGCTTTCCCCCTTCTACTTCCGGCTGGTCCTGACCTTTCTGCTCGCATTGGTTCGTGACCTGAGTCGTGATGCTTTCTCCGAAAAAGTCGAAATCTCGACCGAGACGCGGCCGGGTTCCTCCGTCCGAGGAAGAGCAGGTGGAGGTCTCGTCACTATCCGAATCATAACCAAGCGGGTCGTCCCCACCAAACTCCTCATCCGCGTCTTCCGGTAGTTCCTCTGCGCGACTCATCTCCTTCCCGTCTGCACCTGCCGACCTCGCGGTTACGTGATTTTCCGGCTTGTCCAGGTCTTGATAACAGGCCCACATGAACCACTCCTCCTCCTCCGCGAGCGTCATTGGTCTATCCGCGTCCGCCCCCTCTTCCGATTCATCGTCTGGTGCTGGTGCATGACCCTCCTGCATGTGGATATTTTCCTCGTTCTTCATCTCGTCGGCAAGAATGTCGTCCTGCTCGTCTAGTACTTCCGCGTGGTCCACGGTCTCCTCCTCGTGTCCCCGACCTTCTTCGGCCTCCATGATTTTTTCTGGCTTCAATTTTTCCGCCAAAACCTCGTCGTCACTGGAAGCTGCATCCGTGACCACCTCTTCTTCGTCTTCGCTGGTCACGTAATCAGAGCTCCCGGAACTCGCTTCCCAAGCCGCGTCCCACAACGACCGCGCGCCCGGTCGCTGCGAACTTTTTGCACCAGCAAGAGCGGGGTCGTGTTTCTTTGCGCCATCCGAGTGGTCGGTAGGAGAGTCGTGAGAGGGACAAGGGGAAGATCCAGAGGTGGGTGAGGGAGTTCCTGTCGTCGCCGACGACAGCGGGCTCAAACGCGCGCCGTGGTCCGCTCCTTGTGGCTGCTCAAGAACATCCATCTGTGGAGGCTGTGGAAAAGAAGTAGAAGGGCAACCGGTGATGGTGGTACTGCCTCCCGTGAAAGAGGAGGAAGAGGAGGAGGAGGCCATGTAATCAGGACAGAAAGACGCTTGTTTAGAGGCTCGATGCTCACACAGTCATAGATTAAAAAGATGAAGATGTTCGTCTTTGGCAGGAAAGACAAGTAGCGAGTCCACAATTCAAATAATGTAAATGTAGGTGTACCGATGGATAATAAAACGCGAACGCACAGTAAGAACAAGTGCCATGATGATAAAAATAGAACGTACTTCCACGCATTTTCTCCGTTAAAATGTTTGAGTGTCGCGTTCGAAAACGCAGTTTCCGACGCGCAACCTTCTGCCCTAAACAACCTATTGCTACATATCGACCACCTTCGTCCGAAAAATCATCTTCATGCCTGCGATTAGACTTAATTCGGCAACTTTCGAATTCCGAAGCGGCATAAACAAACTTCATCATGTTGTGCTCCGTGAATAAAACGAAAAAAATGTGTGATCAAGCGACACTCGAAGAATAAGATGCAACTTATCCGCGTCGTGCAGATAATGATGATCATCACCAAGTCAGCGGCACGTGCGGGTTTTCAAAGAGCCGCAACCCGTAGCCGCCGTCTTCTGCATACAAGATATCAGATCTTTCTGAAGAAAGCAGTTGAAAAGTAAGAGTGTCACGGTGCCCTACCATCAAAGGGCGAGCCTCGCGCCGTTACATCTTTGACTTTTTCTGCCTGTATATGAGCACGGTCTTCCGAAAGCTGCTGCAAGATCACCGGCTTACTTGATGAGCGCTATCGACGCCTTTGCTTCTGCACTAGAGGCTGTTGCGTCACACTCAAGTTTCAAAATTCCAAAACTAACACAGACTCTTGCGAGTTAAGCGAGACCAGTTTCCGGACCCTTTGCTTGTGACGTGAAGACATTGTAGGGCTTCGCGGCGTTCCACACCGCTCCCGTGGGGTCTAGAGCCATACAAAATTGCATGTCCCGTTGAAACTTCGCCCCAAGCCGCTGCCTCCACTCCTCTGAGAAACCGTTGGAGCTCTGTCGAGACTCCAGATCCGCGAGTGCCCGTAGCCACTTTTCGCATTTCTCTGGGTGCTCTTTCGCCGCGACTCTTATCGCCGCCACTTGCACGTCCTGAAGCTCCATCAGTTTGCAATTCTCGTAATCGACCGAACCTATTGCAGACAATAAATTTTTGCCATGTATTTGTGGTCGAAGCTTGCATCATCAAAAAGTAAAGCTAAAAAGTCATATGTTGTCTGAGGTAGCAGTATCCCTGCTGGTACCGTCTTCGTTGTAGGCTATATCCCAGGTTGGGTAGGTGCGGAAGTTGTCAGTTCTCCTGGACCTGTGCCACAGAACCTGCGCCGGATGCAAGAAGGGCGCGTCTGTTGGGGCATCGTCGACATTGTGCATGAGCTGGTACTTTCCGGTCGGAGAGTGCATCAGTTGCTCCACTGTGATTTGCCCACCCTGACCCACCTCCGCCGGATATTTCGCCAACCGTTCCTCGTAGAATTTTCGCGGGTTCAGTGCGTACCGAGTGCAAGACCGGCGCGTTCCGCATACATCCTCGGGGTCAATGTACTCGCGGACAATCTTCAACTGTGGATCCGTTCCCATTTCCTCCAAAATCTGCAGTTCCTCCACCATATTCGGTGCAATTTGCAGTGATTGGCTCGGGCAACCAATCCGTTCCGCCTCGTAGCCGCGCCAGGAAGCTTCGTGGTCCGCGGCGGTCGAGTCTAAAGCAAAGACTTTCACGCCCTCGCCCATCGGATTCTGCTGCGGTGGGTTCGCTGGTCCTGGTGGGATAGGGATTGGCGTCGCGGAACCCGAAGATAGCACCTAAAAAGACATGAATCAATTTGGAGGAGGTCAACTCGTCGTGGGCGCGGATGCGGCAATCATGGTAAGTAAAACGCCTCATTGTGAACATCCTCTGACTGTTAATTATGAATTATGTGCTGGAGCACTGCGTCCATGTTTGTAAAAAAGAGCGATCGTTTGTACTTACTGAGCTACTTCTTGCAAAATATTTTTCATGGGCAGTACGTAAAAATAGACCTGCTGATTTGGGCCAAAGCTTCCGTAGTTGGGTTGCTGTCCATAATTCGGGGCCCCCATGGGAGGGGGTTGCTGTCCATAATTGGGGTACTGTGGCGAGCCTCCGTGGCCATAGCCTGTAGGGAAACCGCCCGGTGCTCCGTAATTCACGCCTCCGCCGTACGCCTGATGATCCACGTACGCATTTTCCCTCTCCCGCTTCTTCTGCGCTAGACACCGCACGAGGGAGATGATGCCCAGGACGATCAGAATTATGGCATAAACCGCCAACTGAACCAGTTGCGGAGTGATGTTAACCATCTTTCGAGCGGTGGTATTGTCGAGGTCGAGGTCGCGTGGAACAAATACAAAATAAACTTTCAGGGTACAAGAAAGTAAAGAACGCTTTTCGATTGCGAGTTCAAAACCGGACCAACGAAAACTCAGCTGTACATTATTGCGTACATGTCGAACTGAAATGCAACTTTTTGGCTTTGCTCGCACCCAGGCCTGTTGCGCGACTAAATGCGAATGGAATCATGATCGCATGGCTCACTGTTTTGATCAAGATCCACCTGCTTTTCAGTCACAAGGCAATCAGGATCAGAACGAGAGGGAGGATCGTCTCCAACACAGGATGTTGACCTTTGCTACAGACTAAATTTCTCGCCGCCGCAGCAGAATCCATCATTACGCTGTTTCATTCCGCCTCGCAGGAACAAAAAGCCACAAAGAAAACGAAAGCTAGCAAAAGAGCATCATCAAATCACTAGCAAAGTACGGAGGAAAAAGAGCCATAGCTTTGCTCGGTAAGTAACGATCTCCGAAAAGAACACTGACATGGACATACACAGCGACAGCATAACTTTGCTCGGACTAAATGCCGACGAAAATCAGGATCGGGAAGTCTTGCTCATTCGTTAGATGTAAAAACGGCATGTGGGTCAAACAAAAGGAAAAGGGAGATCAGAAGGTTGTCGCGGGGATACGCCTGGCGGTTCGCCAGGAACGAGGGGGAGGATTGTACAAGCACAAAAAAATGGCTGCAGGACCGCCACTCATGTAAACAAAGGTGCTTATCACTACGCGGGTGCAACAAGAACCACAAAAAAGCACAGACGCCTACGCCGCGTCGCTGTTTAAGCGGTCGATGGTGTCACCGAGGAGCAGGCTGTAAGTCCGCGTCCGCTGCGGGTCCGTGAGGTCTTCCCAGGAGGTCGTGAGAAACTCCTCGTCCAAGCCGTCCAGGGCCTGGAGTTGGAGAATCAAGCCCCGGCGCACGCTAACGTCCAAACACCCGTCCTTTTCGATGATGCCGTCCGCCCAGGTGCCGAGCACCTGCCGTGTGCGCGGGCGGACCTTGGTCCGACTGTCCTGGAGCCGCTGCAGCACGGACTTGTGCTCGAGCAAGACGTGTGCCGCACTCTGGATGTCGTTCTCCAGGATGCGCACGACCAAGGCCGCGATCAGAATGTCCACGTTCAGCGAGGATGCGAGGGGTCGTGCGCGGGAAAGCAGACCTTGGTTGTCCTCTAAGGTGTGAACCGCCTCCTGCACCTCCTGCGCCTCGATGTACGCAAGACAGTCTGTCGTCTTCCCCTGGTCCGTGTACGCGGGTCGCCGGCACATCGGGCAGAGACAACTACTCCCCTGCGAACGTGCCCATCGCTCTAGGCACCTGTTGTATAATCGAGACATTATGTCGAGTAGTTCCGATTCTACATCTAGTTGTACTTTTAGCTGTAGTTTCAAACGGAAAATGCTATCCTGAGCTCTCACAAAAGCATCGGTCTCAGCCTCATCCTCTTGATGAGTAGTCCAGAGTAATCATCTTTCTACGACCAGTTTCAATTTCTACTTGACTCAATAAACTCACAACTACATTCCCAAAAAAACAATGCGCAAATTATCAATACGCAGCGTGGTAGATGTGGTCGCACTCCGGCATAGTCCGCACCAGCTCCCCTTCCTCGAACTCCGTGAGACAGATCGTACAGCTAGGGGCACTGTCGCTGCCGCTGAGACTGGTGGCACTACTTTGCCTTTCCGCGCTCCTGGTTCCCAAGAGCGGCTCCTTCCTCGGATCTGTTGCTTTATTGCTGGGCGACGGCGAAGCAGAAACTACTCGTGCGGCTCCACCTGCGTTGGGCCGCGCACTGGCTTGTTCCTCGCCTTCTCCAACCTCGACGCCGAGGAGCAAGCGCTGCCGCCTCGCGTTGGGCGACACGTTCGACTCTGCTTGCTCTCCCTCAGCACGACCCCGTCTTCGTCCGCGATTCCGCCGTGTTGACGCGGTTGCTGCTTCCGCCTCGTCCTGGTGGGAGAACTGAAACGTGCGCTCGAACGTACTGGTGAGATAATCCATGATCGACCCCGGCGGTGCAGCGCCGGCCGCTCCCGTCTCGCCCTCCTCCGTCTGCGGTCGATCGGACACGCCGGTCTCTGCTGGTCTCGCCCCCCGGGCAGACGACGGGGACCGCCGCGCCGTTGACGAGGAACTGCTGGAGGTGCCTGTCAGAGGTCGTTGTACGTGGACCGGTTGAGAAGAAGATTGATCCATGTTTACTGTTACCACGAGATCGCTTGGCGCTCGTGTACTCACCGTAGAGGTAGTTGCCTCGGAGAGTATAGACGCGTTGTCATCTTCCATACAACCGCCCACAGGATCATCTAGCTCGCGAGCCTCGTCCCCGCCACTGCGACCACCGGAGCGGGGTGGTCCTACGACGTCGGTGGCGCCGTCGTCGTCCTCCGATGAAGCCGCGGGAGCCGCGACATCGAGTGCAACATCATCGGCGTCCTCTTCAGGATGGACCTCTGCTGGTTTTTTCCTGTTGGCCGCGCCACCAAGCTTCTTTTGCTCCTCTTTCTTCTTCCGCCGCGCGTCCAAGTTGTGCAACTCGCGCGAGAACGGTTCCGGCGTCAACAAAAACTGGGTATTCGGGTCCGGCCGCTCTTCCGGTCCATCCATCCCCGGGTTCCAGCCGCGCCCGCGTCCGCGCATGCCAATCAGGGCGGCCAAAAATTGCGGAAATTTCCGCCCCGTGGCCGTGGTCGACAAAAGCAGAAGGTCGCACCCTGTGGTCGAATCATGTATGACAAAATTGTGGACAGTAATCAGTATCAGTTTCAGTAGTTGGTCATTACGATCTTCTAAAAAATGAAACGCAAGATATGCTCGACATTCAGCCGAACATCAAAACATGTTTGTAATGGAGTCTCATGCTTGTTCTACTTACATTGTCGAAGCACATAGGCTAGAACTATATCTACACTAAAACTTACTTACCCATGAGGAAGCTGAGAATCACGAGCGTTATCCTGCGGACGTCGTATGTGCCCGGATCGACGTTGTTGTGGTCGTGGTCGTCCTCCTCCTTCTTGATTAGGACGGTGAGGCACACCCAGTCTGCCGAGAGGAGGATGACGAAGAACGCAATGCGACCGGCCCGGAACACGGAGCAGGGCTGCTCGATGCCGTGGCCCATGGCAAACACCATGGCCACGAACTTGGTGAGGATCAGCGAGGAGAGAAACAGTCCGAGCCCGTTCATCTTCTGCAGGACGAACCACTCCTTCGGCGCATCGGCCGCGGCACCGTAGAGTGCGATCTGGATATTCAGGATGACCAGCGGCACGACAAAGAACACGATCCGCGTCAGCACGCAGAGTCCCACCTGGTTGGGGTTGTTCACCCCCCGTGCCTGCAACCGGTATCGTCGTGTGCAGTCGAAAAGCTTGCGGCTAGAGCACGCGATAATCAGCAGCACCAGGAACGGCACGCAACACATCTCCTTCAGAAACTGGTGGCCGGTTACCGCGCCGACGCCCAGAATCGCCACTGGGTTCGCGAGCCACACCATCGGAACTAGCAGCCCCATTTTGCGTCGAAAGCAGGCCGGCCCAGACTCCATCTAAAAATTTGAATAAGTCTTCCTCTTCGATTGCCAAACAAACAACCAGGAAAGGGTATATTCAGGGTTTAAAAGTAAAACCAAAGAACCCACTTGTGCAGAACTCGGGAAGCATTTTTCACCTAACTAATATCTCATCTTGGTGAACACCTACTTACTACTGCAAACTGAGATGCCTGTCTCAACATTTTCATCTTGTTTTGAGAGCAGCAGCGGTGGCACATCAAAACAATGGGCTGTAGTGCAATACCAGTCGTCTGAGCACGAGCATGCTGAAGGTGCCAATCGCGAGAACGCCGATGGCGTAGGCACAAACGGTGCAGATGTACCAGCTCGCGGCGTCCAGCTCGCCCTTGCTTTGCGACCAGTGCGTCCAGAGGAGCGCGCCGGGAAACAGCCAAAATAAACCCACGCCGCAAAACCGCATCACGCCAGCCTCCAGGTCTTCGATCGACAGGCGGGGCCACGGCATAGTGCCCGTTGCTGCTGCCCTCCTTCTTGCGCCGCGACGTAGCTTCTTCTATCCGAATTCTTGTCGGTATGGATCAATATTTTGTTCTCACGCACAAGGCCGTAGGTACTATGCGTGCCATTTTTCTTTTCGGCGAGCGGCGAGGAGCCGAATGCTGCCTAAAAGTTCCGCGTCGCTTCTGCCACGTCTTGCGATTCTTACATCTTCGATCTGGGCGGAGATAGAATGGAAGCACGAGTAAGTCTCGAAAACGCGACGATGCGAAGTATGGGGGCGAGAACGAAAAAGGGGATGCCTTTCACTTTTACAATACTTTGTTCGACGACACATTTCTGTTCGCTTTCGAGAGACCTGTTTCCACGTTTTTGTCCGCGAGGCCGTCGGGTCACTTTGCTAAAAGATTGTGATTCTCTCAGTCCAAATAGAAAAGAGAAAAAATGAAACCGACCGCCATCGACAAGTTCAAACCACGTACAACTGAACACCCTCGTCTCTGTTTTTCCACGGAAGGTTCTCCCGTGTCAGCTATTGTTCTTGGTCGTGCAAACAAAAACCTAAACTTCGCATAGACAACTTTTAGTTTTGACTGGTTCGTTCTCAAAGACGTGTTTTTTCGAACTTTGACGGACACAGTACAACGAAGTGTGAAAATTGTAGCCGTCACAGACATTTATGCGAATTGACCAGGTGAGAAGTGGCAAAAACATCACAATCCGAATCCTTGCTAAAGCTGCATGAGCATGATTGCTTTTGCACGCTCGGTGCCTATTGTACACATAATATTCGTAAGTACATCGTCAGCCAGCTTGATTATAATTCTGAGGTTCCTTCCTGTCCGCTTTCGCCGCCTGATCTTTCTGCGTTTTCTGGAAGGGCAAATCCCAAAACCCAGCTGGTGTGTAGCTCACCGGCCAGTTCTCCCATTGGGTGCGGATCTTCTTCCGCAGCGGTTCCCGCTCATATGGGTTCTGTCGCTCGTAAGAAATTTTTTCCCAGACGTTCAATTTCTTCTCGGCGTCCCCTTCTCCCGCGTTAGAAGACCCACTCTCTGCCGCCTTTCTCGGACGCTTTTGCTGGAGGTACTGCTGCATTTTGGCATTGCGAGTATTGCCGCGCGTCGTACTCGAGGACGCAGCGCCGACGTGGTGCGGAATCGGAGCTCCTACTTCTACATTTGGCTGTATTTTCGTAGATGAAACAGCACTTGCTGGTGCTCCACCACTGCCAAGAAGTATGTCGCTTCGTGTGATGTGTCCCTTCTTGTTCGAAGAGCTAGCGTTATTGGTCCAGAATTCGCTATCTAGCGGGGGCACTCGAGAAATCGCAGAAGGAACACCCACCGCAGCTGGATCCTGTTGCACGTTCGCATTCGATGAAGCGCTTGAACTTGTAACTGCAGCTACAGATGCACCTTCATCTGGACCTGTCTTCATCGTTGGCCGAGAATTCTTGTGGCGGCCTTTTTTGTTTTTCTCGCCCGTGACTAGCAGAGAGAAGTCCGACGGATTGTCTGCGAAGGCGTTCCGGTTGGCGCGAGTCTCATTTTTGCCACGAGGACCCGTAGTATCATTTCCTGCCTCTGCGACAATCTCGTCTGGAGGTCTCGAGCAATTTCCTGCAGCCTTTGTCCCGGCAAACGCCAAATTCGAGGATGAACTGCTGTCGCAAAACTCTTTATTCGGTTCCACGATTACATCAGTGCGCGGTCTCTTGTCTGGCCTTTCAGAGGACCCACAAACCGTGCTGCCGGCTTGTCCACGCAAAACTCTCTGCTTCTTGAAGCCTTTCCGTCCCGACGCAGGACCATCGCCGTAAAAGACAACCTAGAAGCAATAAAGCAAGCACTATGACAACCTCGCGTAGACAAGAATGGTAAGAGCACTATGACGTGACGACCTCGCGCAGACAAGCAAAGGGCACACACAGGTCCACCTCCCCTACATACTTATATGGAAGCAGCGAAAACCAAAACATCACCAATAGTAAGTCCATACCTTCTCCTGCTCGTCGTCACGTGTGCTTTCCTGCAGTTCAGGTTCAGGTAGGGCAGCATTGCCACCAGTGCGAGCGGTAGTTCGTTCTGGTTTTCTCATTGCGTCTGCGCTGCCGAGCTCGCCCTCCCCATTTTCACGCAATTTGACTGCCTCGCGCCCCTCCGGGGTCCTCTCGGCTGCATGCCCTACCTGCCGGTCGCGTTCCTTATCAGCAGGCTGGATAATTGCTTTCGTCTCTATTGCGTGATTCGGTTCACGTCCGGTAGCAGGAGCGGTAGCCGCCGCAGAAGTACTAGATGAACTAGCTGCTGCCTTTCCCTTCGCAACCGCAACCGAAACGGCCAGCTGCCCCTCCAAGAACGTGATCCGCTTTTGGAACTGCAAGATCTCTTGTGCATGGGCTTTTTTCATCCGCGTGACTTTGCTCGTCAAATCCTCCACCTTGCGCCGTAGCTGCTGTATCTTCTCCGCGTCTGTCGCCATCCTTTCTTGATTCTTTCGGTGCGGCAGGCTCAAACGAACAAAAACAACACTAGACCAAAAGTCACATTTGGAATTCAAAACGAAAACCGTGCGAACGAGGACTTGAAGAGTGGTATTCAGCCGACGCTCTTCGAGCAAACACGGTGATAGAGTACAGATCAATCAGAATCCAGAACGGCACGACGCAAAAGTCTCACCAAGCAATGGCTCTCCCTCTTTCAAACACGACAAAACTCACAGGCAGACAACGCGATCTCCTGAAGACAAAGCATCACACACGAGCACGATGATGAACACGAGTATTCCTCTTCCTCACCTACAGCGTTAGAATACGTATGCCGTGCCCCTCTTTGCCTTTATTCACTTGCTTCAGAGGACACAGGTACATTCGGACACATACGGAATTCATTGCGATGTTGTAGATGAGCGAGGATCGCCCAAGTAAGAGGCACTTGACAAAATAAATCAGTGCTATTTTTCAAATGGAATGAGAATTGCTCTACCGCGATGACGATGAGAATGTGCATGCGCTTACTCTTTCACGCACTTTCATCTTACGGCGTCTTTTTGTACCAGGCGGAATCGTCAGCCAATCCTTCTCGTATTTTCGAACTGGATCAGAGGACACTCTGCAATCGCGCCACATACTTCGACTCTGCCCGACTCTGACACATTATCCTTGAAGAGAACGCGGTCTCCTTTTTCGAACACCGTCCCTGCCAGGCCGTACTCGCAACCGCGAAAGTAGGAATTGAGACACCTGATATCCAGTCGGTGAGGAGCAGCCGCGCTGGTCAAAAATCCCCCTTTACGGCTCCCTTGTAAAATGTGGACGGCACGCCTGACATTCTCGAACGCCGTGCAGTTCGCCTCGTCCACGACTGCGCCGGATTGATAAGTCTCTGAGTCGATGTGTATCCAGCTACCGCTTAGAATTTGGTCGACTTCAATCGCCGCAGATAAGTTGTGAAAATTGCAACCCAAAACGCACACGGAGCCACTGACTGACTGAATTCCAATGGTACTGCCAGTACTCGGAGGCACGAGGCCGCGATCGCTATAAAATTTGCAGCGAAGAAAGACCGCTGGCGCTATCGAGGGCCCACAGGCAACGCCTGCGACCGAGGGGCGACAAAGGTTGAAGCGGCAGTCTGTGAAATAAGGCCCCGGCTGTTCGAAACCCACCTCCGTGCAGCATGCTTTGGCTCTTGGTGCAAATAGCGCGTGAGTCGTGTTTTTGCTCCCAAGATTGTCGCTCAGTAAAGCCTTGAGGCCAGCCTGCGCCGCTTCAATAGTTGTGATTGCGTTCTCGCCGTTCTCCGCGCCCCACGATGTACCAGCTGGCGCAATCGCTACGGCCTTGACTTTTCGCGCATCGTGTGCGTCCCGGCGGGACATAGGAGGTAGCCATCGCTTCTCTACAATCCTGCTCCCACAAACAATGCCCGCACGTTCAGCCCAAAGCGGATTCGCCTCGTCGCTAGGTAATTTACGGACGCACAGGGACGCATTCGGGACCAGCTTCAGGGCGAGAAGCTCTTCCGCTGTGGGGGCGATAGCATCAGCAGCACCTGTCTTGGGCCCACCGGCTTTGTACAATACGCCTACCCGTCCAGATCGTGCCTGCACACCCTCAACAACCATCATTGCGGTTGCAGTCTGGCCTGCCATCGTGCTGCCGCTCCATTTTGTTACTGCTTCGCTAGGCGGTCGGAACAGGATTCTGCGGAATTGGCATTGCCGATTGTAGACGCGGAGTGGCTATCCACGGAAAACAAGTTTGTGTCTAAGTGGTTGCAAAGCTTGCACCTGTATCTGCATACCGCTCGGGTGGCGTCAACAGGCCTCATGTCTTCAAGATCCGCATGCAGAAAGGCGCAACGCGTTGGCTATGCGACGAAGCCACTTCTAGCGCGCGCTAATTATGAAACACATTCAAACTTATGACTCATTGACCTATTGGAAGCCCTTACGTGCAAAGCAACCCTCCAGACCCAGACCTTGTTGCAAGGCATAGACAGCCAGGGCCTACCTCCAAAACCGCCGCGCCGTGCAGTTGGTCCTCACGCTGGAAGCACTGCTTCGGATTGCGCGCCTGCATTCGCCTACGATAGCGCCGCGCCTCTTTTCCCAAGGGCCGGCCTTCGATCAGCAGGGAGCCCCGGATCTCCAGCGGCTTCAAAATTGCTTTCCCCGTCTTGACAGTTTGGTCTTCAAGCAGCACGATTCGGAAGTACCGGTCGTCCGCCGGCGCCTGTGCAATCGCCTCTGCAAGCGTTTCGCAGTGATCGGGCACCAGAATGCAGTACGGATCGTTGAAGGGACTTCGCATAGCATCCAGGGAAAACATGTCTGGGTCTGGGACATTACAACTTGCGGCCCTGGCGCTGCCTTTGGATTCTACAGAGCTATGCATTGCGTGGGCAGGCACGGGAGTCCAGTTTTTGCCACGACGAGAGGCCATTTCTCATGCGGCATATATAAGGAGCCATCAGGAAGCCCTCACGAAGTCTGTAAAAATTTTGCGGCACCCATTAAGAACATCTTCATGGGTCATGCAAAATTGGGATGACTATGCGCGAAATCTGCCTGACGCAAACATATTTTCAGTCAGTACATCGCGACCGGATGCGACAACGCCCACGACGGCAGGGCGTCAGAATCCTGCGCCGAGAGGCTGCTTCCGCGGTGTGTTTCGTGGTACAGCTCGAGCGCCTCGCGACTCAGCCGGCTCGAGATTGGGTCGAGAAAGAGACGGAAAATGCAAAACGCGATCCGCTGGTATGCCCCGGCCACCCCCAGCTCCAGGATTCCCGTTTTTGTGTCCAGCTCCAGGCGCACGGTGGTCGCCTTGCCGCGTAGGCGGGACACCTGGCGGCGGCTGCGTGCCTGCTCGGACATCGCTTCACATGCCTCCCCGTCTGCGGGCCTTCCCGTTGGCGGCCGCGTGAGTTTCTCCAAGTGCAGAACGTACTCGCAGCGGTAATGTCGGTCGCCGATAGGTCTCCATCTCGGAGGCTGCAAAAGGTCTGCAAGACATTCACACTCATCGTCACGCGCGAGCATCAAGGCCACGAGCGGGCGTCCGGGCGGTTGAAAGCGAGCCGCGTCCGTGTCGGTCGACCCCGCTCCGTTCAAAAAAAGATCGATAAAACCCCGCCGCATTTCCTTGCCCATGCCGGGCGGGCGGAACTTCCCGCGCAGTCGGTGCTTTTCCGGAAGGTCTCGCAAGAGCCTCTGTGCTATGCTGGCAGAGAGCTCGCTCGTCAGAAACTCCGCGCTGCTGCAGTGGATGACGCGAAACCGCGGATGAGCCTTGAGTGTCCTGTGTGGCAAGCGGTCGGCATAGGTTCCAGCCGCGTCGAAACAGGGGCGGCCCGCTTGCTGCTTGTATCGTGTTGGTAGCTGGAAAAGGCTCGAAGTTTCTTGCGCTTCTGTGTACCAGCAGCGCCCGCTTTCTGCCCATCGATTCAAGTCGCGATACATGTCGAACGCTTCGCCCTCCTGCTTCAACAACTCGGGCAGAAAAACGCCTCGAACGAATTCCCCTGGAGGTGTTGGCTTTGCGGCGACCCCTGATCGCTTACTGCGCAGAGCCTGTTCCTCCTTCTTTAGCAGCTCCTGCAATAGGGCCTCTTCGGTTGAGATCAGACGCGAAACGAGAGCAGCTCCGGAATCTACTTGCGAAAATCCGTCCACTTCTTCTCCCTCTTCCTCTGTGGCAGGAGCGGCTACTGCTTTCCTAGCCTTCCCCTTCTGGTACGCCGACAGCTTGGGCTTGACGCTCTCCAGAACGCGCAGAGGGGTCATGCCGCGAACCCACTCCAGCTTCGGCCAGTTGCGCCGGTCGTAAAAATCATCGCTATTCACGTTCACATCCCTTGTTCGATCGAACTCTACGTCCACAACCGCGAAAGGCGTCACCGGGCGGCCTTCGTGCTCGACCTCGATCATGTTTCTGTGCCGCGGCTGCATTTTATCCTTGTCGAGCTTTCGCCTGTCCCTCTCTTCCTTTTGCTTGTCGTTGTCGTGCTTCTGTGCCTGGTTTTTCGAGAAGAGGGAATACGTGGCCGGGTCGCGGCGGTGCCGATCGCGATACTCCTCGAGCGAGACCGTCTGCCCTTGGTTTGGTTCGTGGGGGTCGGAAAACTCCGGGCACCACATCCGCTCCCGCTTGTCGTTGAAGCAGGCGCGCAGCGATGGCGATGGCTTCGTAAGCAGGTCGTCGAACACATCCTCCCAGAACTCCGCCTCGAATTCGACGACGCAGCGCGGTGCAGGTGCTTGCTTGGAGCTGCTGCTACTTAACGAACGAAGAACCTGGACCAGCTGCTGTCTGTCAACGCCCGAGTCTGTGCTCCGGTACAACCATCGCGCGTCCTTGTTTGCCAATCGCACCAACCGGAGCCGCCACCCCTTTTCGACCCTGCAGCCTGCTTCATGCTCATGCTTCGCCGGCTTCTTCGCTCCAGCGCTGCGCGTCCACGGGTCGACCTCAAGTGCGCCGGATCCGGCGACCTGTCCTGTCTCGGTGCGGTTGTCCACTGTTTCTCTGACGTGCCCCGTCTCCAGCTCGATGTAGTTCTGCAGAAGTGTCAGCGTTTCGAGGTGAGACAGCTCGAAAGCCCGCCGCTGAGAGTTCACCTTGTCGGAGCAGTAGAAGTCTTTCATCCTTGGCAGGTTTGCCTTAAAAGCGGTCAGAGTCTCCTTGCGAATGACGCGGACAGAGTCTTGATCTACAAGCAGGGGGCGCTCGACCATCTCCGCGCTAGAGGGTTTTTCCGAATCACCTAGCGCCGTGCCTTTCTCTTGTCGCGCCTGTTCTTCGCCGCTGGCGTCGGAAGTCGCGGCGGCTACATCGGCGGAAGTTTCTTTGCCTGGCGGAGCTCCTAATGCCTTCCAGTCTAGGTGAAGAGAGATTTTTACTTTCTCCTTGTTTCTGGACCATCCGGTTGACGAGAAAATGTAGCAGCGGAGCCCTTATCAAATGCAAACATGTCTGGGTCAGGGTAAGAGCTGCACGCGACTTCGCTTGTCGTAATAAATGAGTATCTATTGCGTAACTACACCGCGCCGCTTTGCACGGCGTAAACGCATCACAAATTTTTCGGGTGGGGTGGCATTGCGAGGTTTGTTTCTGCAGTATTTTCTTTGCATGCACACAGGCTTCCACCACAACCCAAAATAAAGTGGCAACAGCCACACGCATTCATGCGTCTTTCAAATTTCGCATCACAAATCAAGACCCAGACATGTTTGCAATGCATAACCCCAAGACCTTCGGGAAGAACTTCCGCATGACCATCGCGCGAAGCTCCAAAAACCCGGGAAAGAGCACAGAACTTGGACTGAGCTGCTCTAACGTCTGTGCCGCAGTTGCGCCGAGCTCCCCACCTGCCCCAGCAGCTGCGTCCTTGCCTCGGACCGGGGCTGTGACGTGAGTGCAGTTTTTTTCTTCTCATGCCGACTATTATCTCTTCTGCACGCGCCATGGATGCCTGATAAACTGCGCTCCATCTTATACGAATAAAACTTGAGAGGCTCTGCGCCTAAGTGCGTGCATTCGAAAGACTAAGCACATTAAGAAAATCTACATAGTTACGATGTACCATTCAGCTCTGGAATGTACGCCCATCCGCAGCGATCCTTCCGGGGAATTCGTGGATCTGCGTGCCTGATGTCGCGGATTCGTGCTTTCTTGTCGACCTCGATGCCGAACTCCGCGAACCATGTCTCTGCGTCTTCCAATTTCAGAGAGTCATAGGCCAGGTCAATGTCTTCCATGAAGCAAAATACCGGAGTGAGGAACGGCGTGAGCGGCAACGAAATTCCCCGTGCCCAGAGCCACACGCTGATGAGCCGAAACGTTTCCCGGTCAACATCCGAACGGAAGACCTGCTTGCCTGTGCGGGTAAAGGGGCACCCCTGGGGCCCACAGAAGTACGACACTCCTCCCTTGGTCTTGTCGCGCTTGAAGTCTTGCTCCCTCTCCACGTCTTTGGTTCTCAACCAGACAAAGAGCTCGTAGAAAATCCATTTCTCCAGATCACTGAGGCCGTCGCGCTTGCCGTACCGCCACAGGGTGTCACCCTTCCAGTCCTTGACACGGTTACCCTTCTCGTCCTCCCCGTCGAAGTTTGCCAGAGCGGCATCGATGCGGCGATTTTGCTCGTGGTTATATAGCGACTTTGCGAGCGCCAGCGCAGCGGGTTCAGATGGCGTTCGTAATTCGTCGGGCTGCTTCGCCTTTTCCGAAGTCTGCACCAGAGCAAACCCATGGCTATCACGCATGGCACTGGGCGTGGTAGTGCCTTCTGCGCTCGTCATTCTTTCATTTGCGCGGTACGTAAAAGAGCCGGTGTGCGGTCACACCTGAATAAAGACAACCACAACACAGTCACAGCAAGACAATCTTCATATAAATTACAGGAGATACAGCATAACCATAAGCTTAAGCATAAAGCACTAAAAAAATAAATGGTGCAAACAAGACGATACCAACAGCAGGTAGCGGATAGAAGTAAGTTTATTTCTCCAGACTGGCCAAAACATCTAAAGCAAAATCCACAATCACAAAAAAGACTCCGTACGAAATCCACAAACAGCAGCGAAGAACTTTTCGGATCGCTAAGATCGAACCAACAGCATCGTCAAAATGCCTCGAATTGAGCAGGATCTTCCCAGTACTCCGAAAGATCAGAGACTGATCGTATGTGAAGAACCCTGATCGACAACGATAAGAACCTGTCTTGAGGCACAACTGCACCAGGCTCGCTTTATTTTCTTGGCACAACTACAGGAGACTCACATCGAACACATAAGGCAATCACGCAGATCGCGCGTAATATTCAGTCATGATATTAGCAACTGCCTGTAATCCGGCCGCTTGCGAGGTAAAAGCTCGCCATGATCAGAAAAATACTCGTTGTCGCTATGGTGTCAGAACAAGAACATGTGACTAGGATGTCTGTGCCTACTCTCGTTTCGTTGAAGAAAATCCAGGTGTAACCAACTTTACACGTTGTCATCCCATGAGGGCTAGATTCCATGCCTCTGGCTTTACGTTTGCGCGCGGCTGCGCGATTTTGAAAGTGCACATAATGCCTTTCTTTTCCAGATACACACCAGCCAACTGATTCCAGTGATCACGAATGCTGCTCTTGGAGAGCAGCATTTTTGCTTCGGCCAACTCTTCAGCTTGTTTCGCCTCGGGAACATGCGGCATACGGTTGAAAGCCACTACCCGCGACAAGTGTGCGAGCAACGCCGGGCCAATGGTGGCAAATTTGCAGTAAACGTCGCAGCCGAGCTTTTGGTAGAGATCCTCGCAACGCAGGTACCCGAAGCCGCCGGTGTCGCGCGAGGGGTGCCACGTCACGACGTGTCCGCAATACGTGTGCTCAGGATCGATTACCTTGTCGGGCATCGCCAACGCATTGGCCGGAAGATGATTCCCCTGCTCTTTCCACCCCTGGGCAGTCGAGGACGAGCCCGCCTCGGCCTCGCCGCCACCCTGCCCGGGCGCGGGACAACCGTACTCGTCCTTCCAAAAGAACTCGAGCCCGACCGCCATCTCCTTCTTCTGGACGCCGTCGCGCTTCGACTGCTCCAGCGTGAACAGCACGCACAACTCGTCCTGGTTCTTCGCTAGAAATTCCGTCACCTGCTTGCTGTCAATGGTGTTTATGTCCAAGTAGCGACGGTCGCTGCGACTGATGAAGTCCTGGTCGCATTCCTTCTTGAAGGCCGGGAACTTCCGCAGCGCCCGCGTCACCTCGGTGAGCAGCACAAAAATGTCCTTGCTACTTTGCAGCGGATACTTCCCCGTGTGCAGACCGTGGAAGTGCGAGTGAGGCCGGATGAAACCGAAGTTCGCGCGAAAGTCCACCAACCGGCCTAGCGCTCTTCCCGCCGGCAAATCGTAGTGCCCGTCCGGCACCAGCCACTTCTTAAGGCCCTTGGGTGCGTCCTTCGACCTGCCGAGATCAGAAAAGTAGCGCGCGGCTTCGGCCGGGTCGAGGTCCCTTTTTCCGCCACCTTGCACGTTCATCGTGGCGTTTGGTCTAGGAAGCGGAGCACTTGTCGTGGCCGCTGCGCTCGGAACTTTGTTGATATTTTGTGCCCCCGTGTTTAACATCATTCCAGTTGCAGCACCTCCAGTTGCTGTTGTACTAGTGCTTGACGACGCTGGGAGCTTGTTCATCCCGACTTTCTTCTGCATGAGGGCAATTTGGGTTGACATTTGGTCGATAGATTTCTGGAACATCGACAGCACGCCTTGAGGCGCCACAGGCTGTTTAGCCGTAGCACTACTAGTACCAGAGGAAGCTGCACTAGCCCCCGTGCGAAAGTCACGGTCCGCGGACGAGGCCACGCCCTGTTGCGTCAGGTAGTTCCACCAGGAAGCGTCGTTCGTCGCCCCTCCCGCAAAGGGGTTTGAGGTCGAGGAGGAGGCGCCCCCTGTTCCGGCGGCCGCCCCGGTGGACGAGGCTGTGGCGCTCCACCAGTCGTTGGCTGTAGCGCTCGGATTTATTCCCCATGAGGCAGTATTGTTCCAGTCGTCAGCGGCACCAGTGCCCCAATTATTCCAGGACTGGTCGTCCGTGCGGGCCATCTTCGGTGCGCTCCCCGCGGCTGCCCTGGTGGCTGCGGCGGCCGGGCGCTTGAAGGAAGCTGCCCCGCCCGATGCGGGTTGATTTGGAAAGTAGCCCTCCAGATCTGCCCACATCTGGTTCCACTGTTGGTCGTCACCCGCTCCGTAGCCCTGCATGATGTTGTTCTGTCCGTACATTTGCGCATTGCCATTGTTCCCGTAGTTGTTTTGAGCGAACGCATTTGGGAAAGCTGTTCCCTGCGGCTGTAACTGCGCCCCGTTCCCACCGAGCGTCTGAGTCTTCTGCGGGGCATTTGTCGCGGTGGCCTTGGTGAAGGGGAGAGAATCGAAATCGGGCACCCACGCCTCGCAATTGTCACACAACTTCTGATCTGACGTCTCCACCTGCGCCTGACAGGCGACACACACAGGAAAGTCCACCGGTGCAAGAAACATCATCGGCCGTCCATTCGCGTAGTAGGGTCTGCGTCTTCTCTTCCTACTTTACTTATGTCAGTCAATAGGAAAGAACGATGTTCGGACAAATGATTGTCGCCCCTAGAAGTGGTATTGCGCGACAGACTTTCTGGTTGCCATAAAGTCGCATCAGTTCGGAAAAATGAAGCGTAAAATGAGGAAATCGCTGAGGGTAAGTACCGCTGTGAACTGGAGTTCTAGCTAATTGATTCCGAGGCATTACCGCTAATTTCTTTGTATCGATAATCAGAACAAAGAAAAAATTTGATCCCAGTCCGGCGCAGCGCTTGGATCGCTTTTGTGTGCACCACTCGAACAAGAACTCAATCTGATGAGACTGGTCAATTTTGGTGCGCTATGCCACGCGCAACGGTATGAAGTTCATTGATTGCGATGATTCGCTTGAAAGCTAGATTCTACAGTGTAGGTAGGTCGAGCGCTTGAAGCTCTGTCAGAGTCAGTGGCTCTTGAACAAGCGCAAACTACATCAGCGTGTTACTACTGTGCAACTAGTATTTCTGGCAAGCGTCCTGGCATGGCATGACCACGGACTGCAATGCTGCTCTAAGCTCTGAAATTCGAAATCAGTGAGAAACTTCTTGTAAGTTTGTGTGTGAGAAGATAGAATGAAACGTGAGACTGAGGATAAAAAGACGAAGACGAAACTTGACTACAAGTAATTTTACGTGTAACAGCGCGAGCCCGGACTACTATACAAGCGACTGTTTGGAGAAGAAGAAGACCACGCGGGAAGCTACAAAAACAGCCCTGATCTCATCAGATATAATTGGAACGACAAAGTACAACCCGTTTTCGTTTTCTGTCGCTGTTCGCCTTCGAGTATTACTACCTCAGGCATTGAGCAGCCCCCACTTGCGTCGGTAGCTGTGAAACGCAGCCAGCACATCCCGCAGGTGCGGGACAACATCCTGCCCGCGTCGGTCCTCCCCGGTTAACAGTGGTGCGCGCTGCTTTGTGCCGCCGGGCGCGTGCTGCATGGTGACCGCCTGTATCAACTGTAAAAGTGTCTGGGTCTGGAAGAATTCATGTTTGTCATGCTTGTCTGGCATGACTCTGAAATCTGTCATGCACGTTACCCAAGAGCTCCGTTTTTCTATGATGCAGAAGCGCAGTTTGTCATGCAGAATAGGCAACACCTAGGAGCTCAGAAACTTGTCATGCTGAGCCAGCATCTGTAGCCTCATCATGAGACGCCACCCAGCATCACAAGTTTCCAGACCCAGACATTTTTACTTTTGATAGCCTGCAGGACCTGCATGGCATTCTGTGCCTTTTCCATCAACAGCCGGCGGTTGCGATCGATGACCAGCAGACTGACGGTATGCAAGAAAAAAACTGTGTGAGTGTAACTCTGTGATGCAGAAAGTGGAAAACTATTACACTTGTCATGCTGGATCTGCGTCATAGGCTACTTTCATACGTGTTTTCACGTACTAGCTGCGCATGACAGGTTTTGCCTGTAATGCAAAACGGATTTGTGATTCTGTTTTTCCTACAAAGTTACACTTACACAGTTTTTTTCCTGGATAGACGGTTTCGTGCACCAAATCGAGCTGCAGGAACAGCACCCCGGTGTTCTGGAACAAATCATAGGTCACCTTGCGCGCCTTGCAGAAGCTGAAGATCTGCGAGTGCGTGCAGCGATCCAAGCCCGGCACCTCGCACGTGAGCACGACCAGCGCCACTCGCTCATTCGCGGCGTGGTCGGTTTTGTGGTAGCCTGGGGCGTGCGGCGCCAGGTACAGGCGTCCGTCGTCGCCCAGCTGACACTGCCCAATGAACTGCAGCGCGGCAAAAGCGGAAGCAGCGTCCGTGATCCTGACGTCCACATCCACAACCCAGAACCGGTACGGAAAACACACGTTGCGCATCCTGTTGGTTGACCAACGATATTTCTAGTAAAGCTACAGCTCGTTTAGGTGGAGATGAGCACTTGAAAACGAAAGACAACAAAACAAGACGGACATCACGACCAAAGGATCAAGTCCAAGCCAGGCTGTTATTTCTGTATATTACCCTGCAACGGTGCACGGAAGCACGACATTCTCCCGAAACTCATCTTCGGTTTTTTCTTGCAACAGCTTGCGCGCCTGCACGGCGGCCTCTGGATCGAAGGGGGTTCCCGGGGGTTCCGGCGATTTGAATGGCGCCAGAAACTCCCCCGTTTGACCGGGGTCAAGTGGCCTTCGCTCTTCGGGCTCGAAGTCCTTGTTCTCGAAGCATACCAGATCCACCGAGGCGTGACCAAGCATGTCCTTCGCGGCTAAAACACGACCTGGTGACAACGACCATGTTAATGTTGTGAACAGCTTCCGTTTATCACCGGCGAAATCAAAGTAGCTCGCGCATCAAAGGGTCACGCGATTGAAAGATGAAAAACAAGAGGTTTCTTGGAGTCTGTCGCTTAGCAAGTAGGTACCTGTGCTCTGTGCGAAGGCCTCACAGACGGGGAGCGGCACCTGATCGGGACTTTGCAGTGGCAGGAGGCACGCGACTGGCTCGAAGTTCGAGCTGAAAATGTATTCCGAGGTCGCGAGCAGCTGGGTGCGCTTTTCCGGTAACACCTGAAAATGCACGGTGGGAAAGCTGAGCACCTCGCCGGGAACTGCCTGTATTATGCCGCCCCGCTTGCAGAATTCTGGGATGAAATCAGCCAGCTCGCTGGGGTACATGCGACCACCGCCGCAAAGCAGAGCTTTCTTGGGAAACGCACGCGCAACCACGTCGCGGGCCATTCGGATTAGAAGATCCCGTAACTCGGTACTAACTGGCCCGGCGCTGCTCACACGATACAAGCCCGCCACACGGTCAACGGTCACGTCACTCGTTCTTTTACCTGGTGAGATAGATCGATAGTACAAATGATATCGATTCCGACTGACAGAAAAATCAATGTTCCGCGAAATAAAACTTCGTCCAATCAACACCTTCTGCGGTTGCCGAGTGCAGGAAGCTTTCCATGGCCCGATGTTGCAGTTCGGCAATGCTCTTGCGCACGTTTGTGTCCACATGGAAGATGGCGGATCCCTTGCCGCGGAACTCGTCGTCAATCTTAAAAATCCATTTTGGCACGGTCGGGTGCTCGTAAAGCTGGACGCCAAACTGATGGTACAGCTCTTCCTCGTCGTAGAGGTCTACGCTGGTTGGCGGGTGCGGTACCTGCGCCAGAGTCACCAGGCGCTGCATGGCGCTCTTTGTTCCGAGATAGTCCACGTTTTTCGGGTTTGCACCATACAGGGGAACGTTGAGCTGTGCGGACAACTGCAACTCGGCGAACGTGACGCCGTGTCCCGGGATGAGAACGCTGCGCTCCTCCCGTCCGCGGATGAGAACTTTTTTTTTTTGTTCGTCGGAATCCTCTTTTTCTCATGATCATATAGATACTCACAAATTGCAAGAAATAATAATTCTTCTACGTAAAACTAGAGCCAAATCGATGATCAGCGACATTTTTAACAGGCCAACAGTTGAGTCGTTACCGCGCAATCGGTTCATCGCTCTGCGGGAGAGCAGCAAGCAGTGCGCGAGCGTCATGTGGGCGGGGATCGCGGGGCTGTCGAGCTTTTCCGGCACCAAAATTTGCAGACGGCCTTGCGGATTCTGGATGCCGCGGTACTCCATGACCTTCGCCATGTACTCCAACAGGTCCTCGTGCAGCGGCTTGGAGCACACCAACACCACGTCCGGTGGCGGCTCGTCATTTTTTGGGCCGCAGTACCCCAACCGAAACAGCCGCGAGATTTGTGCGTTCTGCACGCTGGGAAACGAGTGAATACACGCGCGCCGAAACTCCGGCACCGAGAGGGACAACAGGTGGATCTCGAGCCGTCGGACCGTGCGGGCGGCCTGCGCAGAACTGCTGAACTTCGACCGCAGCCGCGTGAACCGCTTTACCTCCTCCTCGCGCACCAAATTAATCGCCTTCTTGGTTTCCACGAGGTTCTGGCAGCTCACCCAGGCAACCTGGATCGTTTTCGCGGCCCGGTGGAACTTCAGAAGCAGCGCCATTTTCAGTTTGCACTGAAACATCTGCCACCCGCCCCAGATGCACTCCGCCGCGAGCTCGCGTCGCAGAGGCCCCCGAAACCGCAAACCCGGTATTTCGTGCTCGAGGAACGGCAGCTCCTCCAGGTTCTTCACGCACGTGCCCACAATTTGCGCCTCCGAGAAGTTGCGGCGGTCGCGGTTCCCGAGGGCGAAAATCACGTCGATCATCTTACTAACGTCGATGATCGCCAGGGGCGCTTTCTTCAACTTTCGGCACAGCAGCGTAAACACGTCCAGCAGCTGCGGCCAGTTGTTGCGCTGATTCTCCTTCAGGTCGGCGAGGTTCTGGAAAATGTTGCCGTATCGGATGCACACGTATCCCTCGATCTCCTCCCGGGAGGGCACGTGGTGCAGTCCGTAGCGCGCCAGAATTTCGCGGCGCGCGAGGTCTTCCGCCTCGTGCTGCAAAGGATCGTCCTGTTCCTGCCGCAGCAGGTCTCGCCTACTACTACTGGAGGACGTGCCGTGCTTGCGGTGTCGGCCTTTCCTCGCCTCCCCGGCCACTCCAAACGACGTGTTGGGTCTTGGCGCGTCGGCGTCCAGCGGAACCAGTGCCGTCGAAGATGAACTGGGCGCGTTCTGTCCTTCGGGCGGTCGCCCATGCGGGATGCCGTGGGGGTCGGCAGCGAGATCGGCGCCTCCTTGACCACTGCGTGAGGCATGCACCGAAAGATAGGATTGCAGAACCGACGGAGCGGACGCTCCATCTGAACCGGCTGTTGGTCCTGCGTGGGACGTGCTGGTCCTTTCTCCAGGATGATCTGCGGCCGCACTTCCGAGGACGCCCCCGCCCTGTTCGTTCTCGTAATACAAGATCCTTTGCTTGGGTTGCTCACCGGTGGGTTTCGGACTCTTGTTGTCGAGCGTCTGGTCTTCGGGGATGTTCTCGAGCGCTCGCGGCAGCTGCGCCGCACTGGTCGACGCGTGTATCTGTAGGCGGGAAAACGCGGCGGGGTGCTCCACGGGATTGAAGTTGCCGAGCACCTGGGTGCGGAAGTAGCTCACCGAGTATTCGGCCGACGGCGCGTCGTCGTCCTCAGCGAAGGAGTGGCTCTTCTCGTCCTCCACGTTCTTCTTGGAGGACCACAAGACCCGCCTTACCCAGGGGTCGACGGCTAACGTCTCGCGCGCGATGATGGTGTTCGAGGACCGTTCGATTGTGTACGCCTCCTTCAACACCAGCAAGTTGTTGCTCACCAGCGGAAACACCAGCGGCGGCGGCTGCGGCTGGTGGATCTCGTCCATCTCCAGGCTGCGCTCCTCCTCCTTGGCGGACGATGCCGTCAGTCGCTGGAGCAGGTCCGCACTCAGCAGCTCCTCCCACACCGCCACGTCGGCCGGGTCCGTGGTCGTGCCGCCGCTGGTCTCTACGTAGTAGTAGATTTCCTTGGCAATCCGGTTGGCCTGCTTGTCGATGCTGAAGATCTCGCGCTGGAGCAGGCGGTCCTTCCTCTTGTCCACGGTGAAAAGCTCCTTCGACAACAGGTCCTGCGAGTTGCGATCGATGTGGAACACCTCCTTCACCAGACGGTCCTCGTATCAAATGCAAATATGTCTGGGTCTGGGAGAATGCTAAATTTCTCATGCATATTTTCCATGCCCCATGAGGTCTGGAATGCAGGACCTAGCATGACAGGTTTTGCGAAGTCTCTGCCATGCCTATCCTGCATGACAAACTGCCTCTAAACTTGTTCAAAAGTGGACAGCTTTTGGTAATCACGCAACACAAGTTTTTGTACGATCCAGACTTAGCATGACAAGTTCGCGTCCTTCCAGACCCAGACATATTTGCAATGCATACCTCGGTCTCCGACGCAATCACCTCCTTCTTCACTGCGTCGTGGCTCATGTGACTGCTGCTCGACGTACTTGCGGCAGGAGCTGCCCGCTGTTGTCCCGTGGACGACGAGCCGGAAAACATGCCCTCCTCCCCGGTTATGAAGGTGAAGTCTCCCGGGTCGTGGTCCATCCCACCAGACGAGGCTGCACCAGCTCCGGGGCCACCTGATGTGTGTACAGTTTCATGTATCCATCTGCAAAAGGCCGTCCGAACAACATTCTCGTGATCTACTTATCGCGCAGTTTTTAGCATGAACGAAAGACCGACAGCACGTATGCAAAAGAACAAAGCATGTGTAGCTCCTCGCAAAGAATTCTTAAAACCTCCTTTCCCTTGCAACCGCGCCATTGCCTCTATACTTTCGTCTCTGAAAAGCCGCGTCTCATCGGGGCTGGGGCTCCGCAAGACAATAGCGTGGTTGAGGCTCGCCTTTTCCTCCTCGGACATAATCGGTGGCGCAGGACTTGGGGCACTACGAGGTATTCTGGGCAACAAGTCCGTGAGCGGCACAAGCACATCACACTCGCCTGATTGATTTTTCACTCGCTTTTGTCGACGCGATACCTAACAGGCGGCAGCGAAGTGCGTGACTTTTATTCCCGGGCGAAAAAGATGCAGATAATTATAAATGTCTCTAGCGAGCTACAAGTACTTTTTACCATGACTGTTGATGTAGCTGCGCTGTCCTGCGATTGCACTCCTGCTATTCCCCCGCGATGGCGGCTTGACGGGGCAGGGTACCACTGGCGTGTGGTCCAGTTTGACCATGGCCGTGGGTAGGTTCACCGCAGTTGCTCCTTTCTGCGCCAGCCGGTCGTGCGGAGCGTACATGCGCGATCGCTTTTGCTTCACCACTTCCTGCAAACCGGGCGTGAGATCCACCGACGCGGGCAAGAATCCGCGATTTCGCAACGAATAAAGCCCGCATTCTAAATCTCGCTCCGTGAGTTCTGGGGGCTCTGCGCCGGGGTCCTTTCGATTGATTCGCGGAAGGATCCTGATGAATCAGAATGTGACACGCCTAGCTATCCAAAATAACGTATAATTTTTGGTCGAACAAGATGCACACAGAATTTGCTCCACATCTTCGCCCCAATCCACTGTAGAAGGAGAAGAAACCCGAAGCCGCACACTACTAAAAGTATGGGAATGGGCTGCATCTATTACAGATGAGAGCATGATGAAAATCAAAATGAAGGACTGAATAAATTAATATCTCCAAAATCTTGGATCTTCAAAGAAACACCTCTTGGACGCGGCAGTCTTCCCGCGGTGAACGGATGACCGCGACCGGGGTCGGGCGGTGGAGGACGAGGATCCGCCGGCCACCTCTTGTGGCGTACTGAGCAGCGGAGGCACGACGCCTGTCCTTGTCGTTCGCGATGGTCGCCGGCCAAAGGTCGAGGACTTTCGCTTCGCCTCCTCCTGCTGCTCCAGTTGAGCTTGATAGGCCAGGATCTGTTGTGGTACAGCACATGATCTCCTCGAATCATAAACTCAGATTGAAACGACGGATTGGATATAGTTGTTGCAAGTTCGTTTCAAGTGAGAGCGCAGCAGCTTGGGTTCTTGCTCCTTTTCCTACGTTTATGTACTTCGTGAAAAATTCTATCAGAGGGTTGCGAGCCATGCGCTTTGATTTGAAAGCAATTGCATCGAACCTGCATGATGTATATACTTTTTCCCACGCGGCGCACGCCGCGTGGATTGGTTCTTATGTACTTCGTGAAAGCGAGCGGACAAATCTATAATTGCTTTTCAAGTAGCGTAAGTCGTACCTCGGCTGCTTTGCTGCGCAAGTTCTTTTCTGCGGACTCGAGCCGCTCCCGTAGAACCCCCGTCTGGCTTCCATCTCCGGCCGAGTTCTCAAGTTCGGCTTTCAGACCACGGAGATCCGCATGGAGGTCGTACAATATGCGACCGACCGACACCACCATTGGGAGGAGATCGCCACTCCCACGAGGTGGCTACTCTGCTACATGGTCCTACCCCCAGGAGCCGCCCCCTTCAGCGGTTCATTCCCCATCTACCCTTACGCTCTCACAGGTTGCGCTCCGAAAACGACGTAAAGACGAGGTCACGAAAAAATTATCGTACCGAAAAATGATACGACGCCACAAAAAAAGTGGTATAGAAAGAACTGCATGTTTGATAAAGCAGACGAAGAGACTCTCAGCAACCAAGCCCAAAAATAAAAAAGGAAACCCTGCAGCCTTTGAAAAGTTGCTCTCGTGTCCGCGCTCAGGGTCTCTCGCAACCCAAGGTCAAGACAGCACACAGGTCTAACATACGAGTCGGTCGTGTAGAAAAGCCCTTGCAATCCGGTTCTGTCGCCGTCAATCCAAAGAGAGACTACGACTTTCGGTATGTCGCGCTCGCGTCTCAATTGAAACTGAAAATAGGAATACATCTTTGCACATACTAAGCGATGGAGATTTGTACATATGAACATGTTGCAAAAAGGAAACAGCATGGCGCTGTTTTTCTCATGATGTCTGTGCCAGAAAATCTACAAGGGCGGCTTCAATGGCATCATCCACATTGTAATTCTTGTCTTTGAAAATGCGCCACAGCTCTGCTTCATTCGCAAGCGTTACCACTTTCTGAGGGTTTTCCGGAAGGCAGTCCTGCAGCTGCGTATGGAAGTCCTGGAAAGCCCCAAGATGCGGATTCTCTGCTTCAACATTCTGCTGCTGCGCTACGCCTCCTCCAGTTGCGCCGTTTGAAAGCGAAATACCGCCTCCGGCACTCAGTAGCTTGCGGACCTGGCTGAGGTTCAGCTGAGCCCCGCTGCCGGATTGTCCTCCGCCTGGTCCTGGTGCGGGCACGACTAAATTGTAGTGCTCCCCCCCTATGTAGGCCAGAAGTACGCAGGTCCCCGCAGATTTTTTTCTTGAACTCGCCAACGACTGCTCCCGCTTCGTTCTCAGCTCGGCGGCCCTACTAGCTGCGGCGGCACGCTTTTTTGCTGCTTGATGCAGCGTTTCCTTCTTCTCAGTTGCGAGAGGTCGCGCATCGCCAACTTTTACCGCTTCTTTGGTTTGTCCTTCTTCAGTTGTAACCCCCCGTATTTGTGATGTGGCATCTTCTTCGCCACTTGCTGCGGACTCCACGTTGCCCCCGAGCTCTTCGAAAGAAACGATGTGCAAATCGGAATCTTCTTGTTCGGAACGAACAGCAGCTTCGTCGTTTTCAACAAAAACCTCCTTTGGCGTACTGCCACCTGGCGTCTGCCCTTCGTGTGGCGTCTCGACGTGGTGAGTTGGGCACTCGATCTCGTAGAACGTGAACGAATATTCATCAGAGATGCTGCCCGCGGTGCTGCCTCCAGGAGCATTTTTCCGCGGGGTTGCGGCCGTCTCCCCCGCCGTACTGCGCTGAAAAATGAGTACGTCGACCGCAAAGTACCGACACAGAGCCAGAATCTCGAGCTGTCCGGCCCAAACGCCCTCCTCGCGCATGTTCGCCACGTAGTGCGCGTAGCTGCCGTCCGTCTATCGAAAGGAAAAATCCCCCCTCCCCATATCGAAAACGAAATTTGTGATGCTGTATTTGAGGTCACAAAACGACTTGTCATGCTAGAAGGCCAAGAGCCGCAGTCGTGGCCTCGTTTGCAGGCAATTTGTCATGCTGTTTCCCGCTCTCAGCTGCCTCCTATCATGCTGAAGATGCAAGGCTTGACCACGGCACCCAGCACTACAGTCCGTATCTTTTCCCGTGTAGCATGACAGAGCTGATTTGTGACAACAAATCTGCATCACAGATTTCCGTTTTGATATGGGGAGGGGGAATTTTCCTTTTGATACCGTCTCTTCGTCGAGGAACCACCGATACTCTTCCTCATGGGCGAGGAGCGTGTCGCAGCAGAAATTCCTGCAATCGCCGTGGAACACTGCGGCATTTCTGAAAACGTGCTGCGCGAAGGAGCGGAACAGGCAGTTGCCGTCTTATCAAATGTAAAAATGTCTCGGTCTGGAAGAATGCGCGATTTGTCATGCAGCTTTTCCATGACCCATGAGGTCTGGAATGCAGGACCTAGCATGACAGATTCTCTGAGGTCTCTATCATGCCTTTCCTGCATGAAAAACTCCATCTCAACTTGGTCAAAAGTGGACACCTTTTGGTACTCACGCAACACAGATTTTTGCATCATTCAGATTTAGCATGACAAGTTGGATTCTTCCAGAAGCAGACATTTTTACACTTGATACGTCTTCCGCCTGTCCGATCATCTGCAGGCCGCGGTCGCCCAGGTAGGCTGTATCAAATGTAAAAATGTCTGGGTCTGGAAGATTCTGACACTTGTGATGCACGTTTTGCATGAGCCATGATGTCTGTGATGCATACCCTAGGAATACAGATTTCTTGAGGGCTTCTTGATGCCTATTCCGCATGACAAATGCCTTCTCAGCGTAGCAAAAATTGCATTCCCGTTGGTAATCATGCAATACAGATTTTTTTGGAATCCAAATGCAGCATCACAAGTTGCATTCTTCCAGACCCAGACATTTTTACATTTGATAGGCTGACAAAGCGCGCAACTCCGCCTCAGACGCGGTCTCGCCGCGCTTCCGGCGCTGTCGATTTTCCTTGCGTTGTTTACGTGATCGCCCATTCTGCTGCCTGCCTCCACCCATACTGTGCGGGTTTATGAATGTTGTATCCCTTGTTCTATTGGTACTTCCTTCATGGGAGCAGGGGGACACAGTAGCGAAACAGACGGAACGATGTGTACACTGTGTGGAAAATGACTTGCTACTTCCTGGACGTTCTTCTACAACGTAGATCTAGAGTCAATCGCAGCTCTCCAAGCTGTTCGGGAGTTGATCTTCATCGAGCATCGCTGCTGCATTTTGTGCGAGTCAGACCTTTGAACTCGTCACTATCAGTGGTGATAGGGATCATGATGGATCATTGCACCGAATGAACTGCGACAAAATTTCTACTGAACTAGTGACTCGGCTTTTCGCGATAGACCAGCCGGCGACATCCCCTTTCTGAAAAACCCACTTGTTTTTTATTTCTTGTTCGTCCCGTCATTTGATGACAAATCGCGTATATGACAAAGTGCGTACGATTTCAGTATCTTCGATAATCTAGAAAACATATGGCTTATTTCCTTGGTAATTATTGACCAAACCTGCACGCGAGCGATCACGTGTGCGTGTGCTATTGATAGTTGCGAAATGAGATGACCAAGAGATGAGTGAGCAGTGTGCTATACTTACCACTTTAACGTTCCGACCTCAGGAGCGCCCGGCCGACTAAAGGAGCGTTCGAGCTGACCGAAGCTTTCCGCGGATGAGCGACAGCTCTTTCTCGACGTCAAGGAGCCTGGCTTCCGCTTGCTGCTTGTTTTTGCGGTCGGTCAGCGTCCGCCCCGCTGAATTCGTGGGATACTTCATCAACGTGGCTTCCAGTGCTGTTCGCTCCTGGTTCAGCTCCATCATTTTTCCCTCGAGCTGCGCCGTCTGATGTTGATTTCATTGACAAACAATGCGGTGCCCCAGCAGACCAGGCATGTGTATCAGGAGGAACAGAGAGCTTCATACCTAACTCTGAACGACTCTACCATTGAGCAATAGCAAAGGAAAAATGGACCGGAACCGGTGTGTAAAGCAATAGGATGGCTCTTCTATCGTCTTCGTTAGTAACCTAGCAATGAAGTGATCATTACGTCGATAACGGGAGCTGCCTTGAAGTTACTTCTCGAAACTTGGGTGTTGTCGTGGATGTCTTGCATCTCGAACACCCGCCCATAAGGTCCCAAGTGCTCTTCCTTTCCCGCTTGCGTGGCACCCGGACTCGAGGAGCGCGCGCGACTGATAAACGGTGAGCTTCCCCCAGCCGGCTTTTCAGGCCTACCGCGACCCGTCCCAGGAACTGGATCAGCTGTTTGTAGTAAGGTGACAATTGTATCCATGTCCACGCAGCGAAAGTGACACGTACAACATGAATCATAACTGCAGGTGCAATAAATTCATCCGATGGGAAGATACAGCTCACGAGCAGCACTAGTACCGTAGTCGCTGCCGTAAAGTGTGTTCCAGTCTCCCGAGAGCTTTTCAGGCTGCGATTCGCCTGAAAGAGCCTTTGGGCGTGCGTCTCCGAACCGCGTTTCGGGCGGATACCTACTGGATACAGGAATGGAGCGCGGCGTTGGCCCGGTTGAAAAACCAGGGTGACCTGTACAAAGGGAGACGAGATCGATGTCGCATCACCGGGAACGAAAGACAAGGAAGGCAAATGAACAAAACAAAAGACTATTGATCAATACTTCTCGCGATTCGGATTTAAAAATGCATAAGCATAAATGCAATGAGGACTACTAAGATAAAATACGCATGGTCGAAGGCTCCAGCATTTCTGCTGCTGCAAACTTGTTGTAGCGTTCTTTTCTTTCGTCTATGAGGAGAGCATTCAGCCTGTCGATGTCCTTCTCGTAAGTATTTGAAACCTGCATTTTTTTTGTCACACAGCAAAAATCAAAATTCACATTTGTCATGGCTGTGGTGTCGAATCTTCAACAGGGTACTTAGTTGTAAAAAATGAATGCTGTACTCCAAACAAACACAGAAATAAGGTCACAGCTCTTTTTCCGCCCATTGATTCTTGAAGCCTACCGATCAGTAGAAGATCGCATATAATTTGTACCGCTTTGAGTTGCACGTTTTCTTCTCTGAGGGAGGAGACCGCATCTTCCTGGGTCATCAACTCCTTTCGCCACTGCTCTGCCTGGCGCTGCGCCTTCGCAAACTCCGCGTTCAGCCGATTACATTCTTCCTTGTATTGATTCAGCGAATTCGTTTGCAGGTTAATCTGCCGGTTGGCTTCCAAAGCTTCCTCCCTGATTTTCAGAAGCTCCTGCTCCATCTGGTTCTTGGACACGGCGACCTTCCAGAACGTCAAAAAGACAATTACCCAGTCTTTGCAGCCATAAGAAATATGAAATTTCAATTTAGAGAAATCAAAATGCGAAAGGATGCGGATGCCCCGAGTTGACAACTACAGATGCAATCATAATTTGCTTTAGGCCTTGGCGCTCGACCCACGAGTGCTGTACTTCTATACTTTTATGCTTTCCTCTCTTTCCGCGTTTGCAAGCCGAATGTCGCGGTGTAGATTCTCGATTTCCGCTTGTTGCACTCTTGTCGTGCCCGAGACAGAGAGTATTCGCAGGCCGAGATCCTGATTTTCGCCCGTCAGCTTCTGCACCTGTCGGTCGAGCTCGGTTTTTTCCTTTGACTCCTGTTCCATCTTCGCCTCGCCGGTTTTTAGCTTCCACTGCGTGTTCTGCAACTCCGTCTCCAGGCTGTGGTTATCCTGCTCGTACCGGAAAACCCGCTGCTCCAGCTGCCGTTTGGTCTCCTCCAAGCCGAGAATATTCTGCTCCTTGCCACTAACCAGCCGCTGCAAGTCGCGGTTTTCGCTCTCCAGTTTGTTCTTCGTATTCTCCAGAATCGCATTCTTTGTCTGTCGTGGTTGGGATGATGAAAAATTGGATTCATTTTCTCAATCCTTTCTTTGGTTCTTCCAGAACAGCTGCGAGCTCGCCATTTCTGGTTTTGTCGGCTTTATTTTCCGAAATGGACTCAACGCCAGCAACAATTTGCGACGACGCAAAAACTAAACAGCAACCACCTAGTACCAGCAACTCTTCGCATCGCGACTCGATTTCGCTGATGTGATCCCTGTCGTTTCGTTTCGTGTCCTCCAGCGTTTGTATCTTGTTGGACATTTCTTCCTCCTTCATCCGAAACGTACCCAGGTCGTTGCGGTGGGCTGTCGTCAGCGCGTCTAGTTGATTCTGAAGGGACATGATGTTCCGCTTCAACTCATTTACGTCCTCCAGGTTGTTCAGATTGCTGTTGAACGTCACCTTGCTGAACTGCGATCCCGTATCCAGGGCGGGGTTTTTCAGGAGGTCGGGAATCAGACTGTCCTCGCCTTGGGCCGGAGCGGCGGCTGTGTAGGTGTTTTTGCTTTAATATTTTCATTTGTCGAAGGCTTGATCTAAAACTTCAGCGGCACGACCAGCGAACGCTCGCCATTACGACGAGATGAACGGCGATGATGAACGACCGCAAAAAACTATGAATGCATAAGCAGAAATAACCTGCACTCGTCGCAGTTGCCGGCTCTGCAGCAGGCGCGGCTGGCGTGGAATCTTTCAGGGAAACTAGTTCCGCCTCAAGCGCTCGTATTTTACTTTCCATTTCATGCTCTTCGGCTTCATCGACCTCCTCCTCTGTTTCCTCCTCGTATTCCTCCTCCTCATATTCCTCCCCACTGGTCGCCATTGTGGCGGCTTGGGGGCTGCTTCCAGCTGGTCCCGCAGGTGGATGTTACGGCCTCGATAAGCGCGGCTAAGCACTCCGTGTCACCGCATTTTCAATCAGTTGAAAAGTGCGGCGGTGCCGCGCTAAGTGGTCCTGTTGCCTATGATCTTCGAGCGCACAGGTTTATTCAAGATGCTCTCGTGTTTTAAAAAAAGCGAGCACTGTCCAAAAAAGTAAAGGGCCACCACCAGCTGAAACACTTTGTCATCTCTTTTTTTCCCGCATCGTTTGCCGTCTCTTTCCCTCATCGCATCGTTGCAGTCGCGCTCACTGAACCACATAGATGCACGAAAATGAAACGGACAAGAAAAATAAAAACACGGCCCAGAGGGTTCCTTGTGCGACCAAGCGCAACAACAAGGGAGCATCACAAAGAGCTAAGAGATTTTTACGGCTTTCGGTGATCGATAGCAACCAAGCGTTGGTACAGTGTTTAGAAGCCTGAAAATTTGTCTCCTATCGCTGGTGAAAGCGGAGCGCTGCACTTCTTGCTTCCTCGCTTTATCTCCCTTTCGTTTTCCGAAATGGAGTTCGCTCGCAATATCTCCGTGCTCCGGCTTGCGCAAATTAACAATTTTTTCCATCCAGTGTTGAAAACCCTTCCAAAGTAGATGCAAATGGTAGAAGTACAGTCGGATTGTTTCGAAAGTGCCCCCCGAGCATTAAGGAAAGAGAAAGACAAGCTAGAAAAAATTATTACAGGAGGGCGACAAAGACAATTGAACGGCTGAAGATACAAGACCACAGTTAGGTATTCCTCTTCTCGGAAATAACGTGTCACACAGCGGATTACCAAACGAAAGTGATGCTACGAATGCGTCGGATTTTTAAAGATATGGATCCCTCCGTAGACATTTGGTGCTCTTGCGCGCACGAAATGTAAAAGACAGCTAGATGAAAATCAAAGTCAAAGTGAAGAAGTGTGAAATTGGAAATAAGCGTAAAGACAAAAATACGTGAATTCGGTAAAAAATAGGTACAGTAAGGGTGAAAGTTGTTCAGTCTAAAAAATCATTGTACAGTTTTTCTAAATTGCAATGGGCAACGACGGTCTCCATAAAGCGGTACTATTGAAGTGGAATTGCTACAACAAAAACAGAAACACAAGTGGAAACTTTTTGTCATTTTTTTGAAACGAAGATTGAAAAAATTCCATTGAACAAGCAACGCGGTGCTTGTTGGAAAATGCTATTGCACAATCGATGACATGCAAACCTAAACTGCCCTCCTAGCATTTAACAATCGACATTCAACATTCATGGGGATAATTCAAGTGACATTTTCTACAATATCCATTTATTTTGACAGCACGATACACGACCCTACAATTTTCATAGATGCCATAGATACAACAACAAGATACAGACCCGGGGGATCCTTACGATCGGTACAGCACCCCCGTGGATTCCAGTCGCTGGGAGTAGTCCCGCTCCTTCCTGCGTTCCTTCTCATCGGCTTCGAACCGCTTTGCCGCGGCGGTCGGGGTGAGCTGCTGCGACGCCTTGCCCGGGGAATCTCCGGCTTGCTTGGCGTACTGGAACTTGGACGGCACGGTGATCCAGTCGAACAGACGGTCGTAGCTGAAGTTTTCCCGGTAGAACACGTCCTTCATCAGCCTTCGCAGGTAGCTGTAGTCCGGGGTATCGGTGAACCGCAAATTTCGGCAGTACTGCAGGTAGTATTTGAATTCCTGCGGAAGCGGACGGGAAAACTTCATGCCCGTTGCGAGCCAGTAGTTTTCCGCATCGGACGTGTTGGTCGAACAGGTGGAGTTGAAATCTGCCGTGAAAATTCGTTAAAAATCTTCGGGTTTTTTCAGCTACAAAGAACGAGAAGGTCGTGAGCAACGTAAACGTTACCTTCGACATACTACTATAGTTGCTACCGTCGATAAGTATCCTAGAAAAGCCTTTCTCCTATAGCATTCGTAAAACACATCAAGTACCGCGCTTCTCCCCTGCTTGATTGGCCGCACCAGTCCCGATGAGGTCGTCGATGCTGATGTCCTGCTTCAGTGCCATAATTTTCTGGTACTTCTCCTTCTTCGCGCCCTTCTGGCCCTGCCACGGAAGAGACCCGCGCAGGAAATACATCCAGACGTTATTACATTGAAAAGTGCCCCCCCCCTGAAATTGCAAAAATTTGTGATGCGAAGTTTCCAAATGAAAACTTTTTCTCATGCATGAAAGGAGTATGAATCTTTCTGATGCAGAGTCTAGGCCTGTAGCGTATCGTTTGCATGACAAGCGCCGATCTTGCTGGGGTCTTTTGCAGTACAAATTTTTGCTATTCACGATTGGAACCCTGTGATGCTGATAGATGCAAGAGGGCGAATGTTTCATTTGGAAAGGTTTGCAATACAAATGCCCCCAAGTTCGGGGGTGGGGGCATTTTTCATTGTAATAGACGTAGCACAAACTCTCCAGGTCGTCGCGACGGCTCGGCTCCACACCCAAGTGGGTGTTCACACTCACGTATCGTGCCGTCCCGGTCAAATTTTTACCTGCGCGTGTCATAATTCCAACTAACATCGATAATGTCCCGCACAAAAATATAAAGAGAGCCGTGCAATCCAACATGAAAAATCTTGTGGTGTTTATGCTGTGAACCAACATCAAGTAGTACAACTTACTACTAGTTTAGTACTATGCAGTTGCAAATCCGACGTGGAAAAAATAAAATTTACCCGTCTTCATCGGGATATGCTCGTGCGTTTTTGGGCAGCGGTACTTTTTCGCCAACCCGAAGTCGATCAGGTAAATGAGGTCGTTGTGGTACACGAAATTGTCGGGTTTGATGTCGTATCAAATGTAAAAATGTCTAGGTCTGGAAGATTCTGAGACTTGTCATGCAGGTTTTCCATGACCCATGATGTCGGTGATGCATGCCCTAGCATCACAGATTCTTTGAGGGCATCTTAATGCCTAGTCCGCATGACAAATGTCCTCTCTGCGTAGCAAAAATTGCATTCTCTTTGCTGCTCATGCAATACAAGTTTTTTTGGAATCCAAATGCAGCATCACAAGTTGCAACCTTCCAGACCCAGACATTTTTGCATTTGATACGTCGCGGTGGATGTAGTTTTTCTTGTGCATGTACTCCATGCGGTCAATCATTTGCTCGGCCAACAACAGCACGGTCTTCAGCGACAACCGCCTTCGATAGTGGATGTCCTGTGTAAAAACGTCCCCGCACCAAATGTGTCAGGTCCAAGAACAAAATGAAGCACACTTTGTAGTCTTTGCCTTTGCAATGGCGGCAGATGGCTTGGCGCGCCTATGCAACATGACCCCAAATTTGTCATGCAAGTGTCCCTGTTCCGGATGTCTCTCATGCGCGATTCCATGACAACGCCACTTTGAATTTGTCGTGACCCGGCTTTTGATGTAACCCAGCACGATTAGAGTTGTCACGGAGCTCAAAAACCTTCTGAATTTGCTTACCGCAGATTTATTCCCTTCTTGACTACGGGGACGTTTTTACTCCGGATAGTATGTGAAAACCTCTTCCAGCGACGGCCCGAGAAGATCCAACACCAAGACGTTCCACTGCCCCTCGATCCCGTGCCAGTGAAGTGTCGGAATACCTGAGCATTGATTTAAAATCTTGTTCACAGTAACTACCTACTAATTCCGCATTAGTTTAAGTTTTAGTTTTTACTTTCGATATCGATATTTAGAAGGCCAAGGCTTATGTATTTCATGCGAAGAAGACGATTCGTATTTTACTATACATCCAAACACAACGCAAAAGCTCGGCAAAGGCCCCTCCAACAAACGAAACCTCTTCCGCCCGCAAGCAGCTTGTAAATCTTCGCTTCATAGTGGATTTGTGGATGCTTTGATGCCCGAGGTTCGGTCTTTACTGCAACGTGCTGGTGTCGATTCAAGTCATACGCCACATAAATCTCGCCAAAACTACCCGCGCCAATCTTCTTTTCGATCCGAAACCGCTGGCTGACAACAGTTCCCAGCTCTATGCTTGGCGTGGTAGTGCTACTCATCCTTCGTAATTATCGTGACCCGCTACGGCGTGCAAAAGTGTGTATCCCTGCCTCCGAAACCCAAGTGGAACGTTATCGTGGGACAGGTGGGGATCGTTATTGTGTCTCACGGCTGCAGACTTAGTCCGACTCCGAGCGTGTCCAGTAGATGATTGGCAAGTGTTGTCGGTTTTGCTCGTACTGGAAAAAGTGATAAAGCAACCTCCCCCAAAGTTACGCTATCTCCTCTTGATGTGCGCCAAAACCTTGCGTTCTCGACCACCCGCAGCCATTATGCTTCTGATTTTGTCGCTGATTGTGCTTCGGAAATTCGAAGTAAAAAAAAAGCGAATGAATGTTGACATTCACTCAACGAACTGTGACAGTGTGCGAGAAGTTGTCAATGTTTGAAATTTTTCCTTCAACCATCGTACTTAAGCAAATCCATGTCCTCTTCGAGGTCGATTTTCGTTAATTTGCGACGAACTTACCGTCCACGAATAATACGTACGAGCAGATTTGTTACGAACAGCTCACCAATGACGACCCCCATGCTTCAGGAACCGAATGATTCTGTCCCGTGAAGAAGACCGGCATATGTACAACGATGCGCGAAGAGTCTTTCTACTGTCTCATGTTCTGTCGGAGGAGCGCCTTCGCATGCTTTGACCACCGTGACGAACTTACTTTTAGTCTGTACGTTGTGTTGCGCGCCAAACCATGAACATGGGCTAGGCAATTGAAGCTCGATCACCAAAGGTGGGAGCTACGGCTTGTATGTTCGACGAGGATGCGTGTCTCTATGACTTTTGTAAGTTGTGAATGTGGCTGTAGGGGCCTGGGCCTTCACTAGCGAAAAAGCTAATCTTCGCAAGCATGATATTCACCAGCAATAACAGCTTGAAACCACACATCGTATTCTCGGTGGCAGTTGATAGATTTACCACAACCTTGATGACGAATCCATCAAACCCCCACTAGGATAATTTTTTGTCTTTTCTTGCTCATGCTCAATTATACAATTTATGAAAATGAAGTAGAAACTACTGTTGTAACGGCGAGGAGCATGTAATGCTGTTTGATGTGTCACTGAATACTCAGCAAAAGGTGCCTGAAGTAGCCCTGGCCGTTCCCGGCGTTATTCACGCCATTACCTCCACAACTGGCCTCCCGTGATCTTAGCTGAAACCTGACGCCGCTCGGGAAGATGGTGCCTTTCGCAAGGTCTGAAAACGACGGGCGATACTTCAGTTCAGCCAGCGGCGCCGTGGTTGAAAAAGCGGAAAAATCGTGGTACTTCTGGTGAAGTTCCGCCTTGACATACTCGATTAGGCCGTCTTCCAGCAAAGGTTCTACTTCGGATGCCCAGAATTTTTTATCGGAGCTGCATTGATTCGGACCTGCTGTCAACTCGAACAGATACGTCAGCGTGAATCTCGTTGCTAGGGCGTCGTAGCTCGAGTAGAGGGGCGCATGCTTCCACCAGGGCTGCATTCCCGCGGCCGTGGCGGCTACACCTACTCCGTGCCGGTCCAGCTCGATGAAAAGGGCTACGAGTCGGGTTGCTCGCGCCGCGGTAGCAAGTAGACTACACCTTGTACGGATAGTAGTCATTGCCAAGGAGGAAATTGGTTATCGAAAGAATAAAAAGCAAACCAAAATCAGGAAGTGATCGTAAAGAAAACCACCTAGCGGGGGTGCTAGGGCAGCTGGGGACTACATAAGGGGAATTTATTGTTGAAAAAGCAATACGACTTCTTTCTCTTGTAACTTGTCAGTTTAGCGAAGCGGGTTCCGAGAGCTGTCGTCTCTTTGTCCAAAGATTTTTTTAATATTCATTGGCCCAAAAACATCGCGGGAAATGTAGGAGTGGTGGCTGCAGACATCATGATCATACGACAAACACCTCGTCGCGCTTTTCCATTTTAGTGGACGAACCGAAAATCAAAATTGACGCAGAAAGCAACACCGAACAAACATGAGGAATACGGCCCTCTTCTAGTGCATCCGAATATTCTTCAAGCCCACAAGCACAAGTTCGACTTGCGTCTTATACAAATCACTTCGACCGACGTCCGTGGCGGCATACCGCCATTATTTCGTCGTGTGAACGAAGCTACCTGATTCAGAGATGACCGACCACACCTTTAGCGATACTGGTTGATTCCGAGACCGACGAAGCTACCTGACTACGAGACTTCGAAACCTTCGCACCGATGTTGCGATACATACCGCAGATTGGACTAAGATCCAACAGGCAGAACGCAGTTTACCATGATAAAAACTCGCATCGCAATCGAAGGTCCGCACTCATTAGATGCGCGTCCTGTTGTATGTGAAACAAATGTGATTTTGCAGAAAAGTCGGGTTTCAGAGAGATGTGACACGAAGATGTCGAGCGAACTTCTCGCCGGCTCAGGGGATGAGCCCTCGTTCGGATTCCAAAGAGGATGGTGAAAAGTCGCACAAACCTTGTTGCACGTCGTGTCCTATTAGAAAAAAGAAATGCACTCTTGAAGATGGCAAACTTGGTGGAGTACAAACAGAAGCGCAACGCCGACATCGTAATGGTGCATTAATTTCGGTGACGCCGCAAGCATTCTCAAAAACAAAAAGGCATTGGTAGAACTTGTTCTTTGTTGTCAAGCCACATGAAGATAGATACAGAGAGACTATCTTAGCTTTGATCGCAGATTTGGTCGATGAGCGCAAGAACGGCCTTTCCCAGGGCTTATGGAGGGGAAATGGATGATATCGGAGCCCGACAACCACCCAACTATTCGCAGGCGCTGCTTTTTGTTTTTGTTTTTTCTTTTCTAGACCGGAAAATAATGCAAATGCCAGCGTCGTGCCCCTAACAGCGAGACCACGCGTTCCCTCATGCTGCATTCTCGCGAGACACGACAACCATTAGTATCCGACGGCGACACTTTCAGTGTTGCTTGTACCATGACAAAAAATATGCCGAAACTAGAAGTCTAATTGGGCCGCCGCCGCCAGAGCTCGGAAGGATCAACCGTGTGTCCCCATCCATAACCCTTCGTCGGTTCCCTGGCAGGTCAGCGGGTAGCAGGGCATCGGATCGTCGATGGCTGTGAGATTCGACATTTGGATCACGCAGCCGCTAACCCGATGCAGTTTGGCCAGGTCGAGCAGCTGTAATCGCGATTGGGGCACTAGAAAATCCAGATTCGCCGTTGTTAAGTTGCGCAGTTCCCGGATAGCTGACACGATGCCCTCTGGTCTACCCCAAAACTCCATCAAGAAAGGCAGTACTCCCAGTGTGCCATCCGAGTTGTACCTGCAAATACACGCCCAGTGTCGTATATTGGCACGCAGTGTAGCACAGACCCAGAGGAACTGAATGCTCTCGAGGACCAAACACGCAAAACATGCGCACCGCACCGCAGCGCGATTCGGCTTCAAGATCAAAAGTACACTCATCATCCATCATGAATGATAGATTCCTTATCCGCGCTAGTTGTATTTGAAATGACGTTAAAAATACACTTACCACTCGAAAGCCCGTACGCTGACATTGTGGCGGTCTTCGCATTATCAAATGCAAAAGTGTCTGGGTCTGGGAGATTGCAACTTGTCATGGTAAATCTGAAGCATGCAAAAAACTGTGTTGCATGAGTGCCAAAAGCTGTCCACTTTTGACCAAGTTGGAACGGAGTTTCTCATGCAGAACAGGCATACCAGAGACCTCGCAGAGTCTGTCATGCTAAGTCCCGCATTTCAGACCTCATGGGTTATGGAAAAGCTGCATGACAAGTCTACACTCTTCCAGACCCAGACATTTTTACATTTGATACGTATTCTGGTACTTTCGCTCCGTCTTCCGAAAAAATTCGTTTACCCTCTGCGATTGGGAGCAGGAGCCGCACCACCTGGCGTTGTTGATTTTGCATGATATTATATCCCTGAACCACACATCAGGCCATCGAGGGAAAAGCACAAGACCAAGAAAAACAAAGTCCGCTACGAGAATTCAACCAAAACAGAATCATTTTTTTTTTTTAACAATGAATTACCTGCCTCGCTACGACGTTTGAAGCGCCGAGTCCCTGGGAATCCTGATACAGAAAGAATTCGCAGATAACTCCAACCCGCAAGCTTTTCCTCTGCGCCCCAACGATGTCATCAGCATGGCAGAAAACTCGTCCTGGTGGCAGAAGAATTGGTAACATTTCTTATGTTATTGATTCGCTGCTGCGAATGCGAATCTCAACATCTACACAAGGATCGCAGAAAACAACCAGCCGCTTTCAACTGACGCACTTTCCTTTTTCTCATCATTGCAGGTCTCAGGCATAAAAACTGCAATTCTTGCCGTTTCTCTTATCATCATTACATCAGAAGTAGAACCACGTGCAGAAATCGATAGCACCTTACCCTGATGTCGGTCGAGCTCCGGATGGTCGATGGGCTCCAGTGACTCAATTATCGCCAAGAAAAACCCATCCCTCACTTACAGCATCAACAGTTCCCCTTTAGTTGAAACGAGGTTTTGCAACGCAAGTCCAACGCTTTGTTTTAATGAAGCATGTGCACCGAAGGGCACAATGATCCGGAACACGGGCATGATCGCTAGATGAGCTACTGCTGATCCGTTACAACTATAGAACGTGAAACATACAAATTTCTAGAGCTGGAAACAACATAAGAGATCCAACTCTGCGACATGACAAAAGAAAACTAAAAAACGTTTTTGCGTCTATAAATTTCTGCCGAACCAGTAAGTACTTGGGTCTTGGTAAGGGACTGCTTTTTTCCCGCGATATCAATCCAGCCGTAGTTATTCTTCCATGCGTTTTATCAAGTGCAAACGTGCCCTGTTCGACGTGCACACATGTCAGTATCTCCCCACGTGGCTGTCGTTGTCTTTTTGAATCATGCCTATTTTCTCTGAATGAGAAACAACATTCAGATTCATCTTTGGTCCTCGCGAAACTGCATGCAATAGTTGCGCCGGTGTGTCCTCGTACTTCCGACACATTTGCAGTTGATAAGACGACTCGTCCCGCGAAAGGCACGTCGCTCAGTTGATATCGCGGCTCTGCGTAGGTGTAGGTCATCTTATTCAATTTTTCTGAACGCGATCGAGGTCCTTGTATCAAGCTCGAGGAGCCTTCAAAAATGTGCGTCAAACGTCAGAGACAAAAACCAGCGCGAGATCTTCTGAACAGACATACAGATGAGGCCGCTTTGAACGAAAGGAAGATCTTCGCTTTCAAGCATTTGAGGAAGAAATAGACCCGCTTTGCTTCGATTTTCAGCTCTTCAGCAGTACGACGAACAATAGAAAAAATTCGGCAGGGAAAAATGACCGCCTAGTCGAATCCTCGTGGCACTTGCGTCCAAAGGACGTTGCGACAGTTTGATTTTCACTTAACATCGCCATGTAATATACTACATCCAACGTTGGCAAAGTCCAGGAGCCTGAAACTAACTGCAAATTGTGCAGTCCGACTCAAAGTTGAGATGAAAATGAGGCCAAAATCATACAAATTGAAGGCTTTCCACGTCTTAAAAAATTGCTTTTTCAGGTGATGAATCTTCGTGGTATAAAATCTTTTTACTCATATGGTCGCGCATTACCTTCCGGCCAGACTCGCAGTTTCTGTATTTCCTTTTCCAGGAGGATAATAAGTACAATCCGAGCCTTGACATCGGCGGAGCGACAGGAAGAGTTCGATTGTGTGCAACTTTGCTGAAGACGACGATTTTCTATCGCTCAAGACTATTACTTCTCCGGATCCGCCTCTCGCCGGGCATTTTGGACGTGCTGCTCTCCAGAAAGAACCTTGTAAGGAATACAACTGGGACTACAATACTTCTGTCGTGTCACTTCACAGTTCAAAGATTCGCGGTCCAGCTACGAGCGCACGAAAAGAAATCTATACTAATACAAATGCATGATTCGTTTTTGCATCAAATACTGCAAAGAATGACGTCGACATTACTTAAAACCCTTGTTCGCGGACATTAAATATTTCTATTTTTTGCGAGTATCACAAACTGTTTCTACACAAACGCATCTATCAGATAAGAGACAGTAGTAGTACAGGGACGACGAGGACATAGTTGCACGTTACAGAATTTGGTGCTCGCATCTTCTCGCGTGCGAGTTACTGTTTCTGAGACATTACAGAAACATCGGTTGAGAGATGCTGCAGTTGACAGACCTACGGAACAAGACCACAGGCTGACGCAGGTTTTTGGCTCAGGTGAGACCGGAGAGTACGAGCCAGGAGAGGTCCGGCGGTGGGTCGGAGCGGGTGAGTAGCTCGTGTATGGCGTGGATTTCGCTGTCTGCCTCGGACGTCGTGAGCTCTACGTCCACGCCGTTCTCGGAGGTGACCAGGGCCTGCGACCAGAGCCGCAGCAGGGTCAATTCGGCCAGCAATTCCTCGATCGTCGGCTCCGGTAGCAACTTGACCGTTTTGCAGCGCACCCGCAAAAAATGCCCACTATGCGCGTTGATGCCCTCGTACCGGCCGGACTGCATCCAAATCTTCAGAGGCGAGTTGGCGTTGCCGGCAGCCACGCGCGCGGCAGCTTCCTGGTTCAAGTGGGCCGTGTTACCTAAGTCAACCGCGGCGGTGGGGGAATGACCGCCGCTTTCTGGTAAAAGTTCCTCCTGCGTGGTCAAACTGGAGGCTGTTCTTGCTGCGCCTTGCGAATGATCAACAACGAGACCACTTCCCTCCTGCTCCCGACCATCCTGTTTCATCCCGGCCGCCCCACCAACGAGCCCTTGCTTCTCCTCCGAGCTCGCGGTGTTGAGTAGGGAACTGTTATTCATGTCTATCTTAGAGTTATTGTTGTCCGCAGACGAAGAGGTGGGGGAAGATGTTGACAGCAGGTTCGGTAGACTACACGACGAATCTGGGACGACACCAGCAGCTCCGGTCGCTGTGCCTGAAGTTGTGCTGCCAGAAGGGCAAGCGGCGAAATTGTTTCCATCAACTTGCTCCACGGAGCTGGCCACATCTGACACGGAAGAGGTAATCGTCGCGGTCAGGGGGACGACGCCGGCGGTCGAGCTGCTATTCGTATCGCGGAGAAAAAAAGCCAGCGTCATGCCAGAGATATTGGTGCTGCAAAACGAGATGAAAGAACACGCATGAAATTATCTCTGCCTGCTCTCCTAGCTTAAAACCCTGGCTGCGGGCCTGGCCCGATCGCGGATGCCTTTGCTCAGATCTGCTTTTGCACTTCGCAACTGAGTATGATTATGCACTGTAGCTTTTTTCCGTTTCCTATTTCACATACCGCTCGTAGTAGTCATTGATCGCGGTTTGCGTGCCGATCCGCTCGAAGTCTGAATCGCCGATGGAAATCACGTTTTTCCAGGTCTGCCCAGGGTACTGCAGGTACAGCTGTCCCACGCCGTCCGCGATTGCCAGGGCCTTCATGCACACGTACCGCTCCTCGGGCGAGGAGTTGTTTTCCACCGGCACCATTTTCCCGTACTCCGAGGCGTACAGCATCGGGATTTGCAGTTCCTCAAACACGCACTTGTGCAGGCGCGGGGTCAGATGCTTCGAGCTCATCTCCACCCAGGGCGCCTTGGCCAGCGTGACCAGCAGCACGCGGCCCTGGACCACGAGGTTGCGGAGGAGTAAAATGGCCTCCTGCTCCAGGTGCCGCAACTTCGCCTTCAACTGCTCGCACCGCGGGCCCTCCTCCACCTGCCACTCGAGCGGGTACTTGTAGCTCAGACCCACGTCGCCGCGCACCCAGGTGGTCGGGTACAGCGTATCGTCCCAGTCCAAAACGATCACGGTTTGCTCCCGGCTCGCGAACTCCAGGTAGCTCTCCCGCCGCTTCTGCCGGGACGAGGGGCTCAGCTGCTGCATCTTCGCGAGCAGCATCTCGACCGACATGCGCCGGTGCGCCAACGGATCCACCGACCGCCCCATCGTCTTGCGCCGCCCGCCGTCGGCGCGGGAAAAGAACTGGTCCTCCTCGGAAAACGAAGAGCTGGAGGACGAACACGAGCTGCTGCTGGAACTACTGGAACAGCTGCCGCTTTTCTTCGCAGCTCCGGGTGCTCCACCAGCTTTGACGTCGAGCAACTGTGTCGTGTCGGAAGATTTTTGCATTTCCCGTGATCCATCTGCGGTGAAAGTACTACTCGTGCCGTTGTCAACATGGAGGATCCCCCCCGCGCTGTTGTTATTAACGGGTCCTACTAAAGAACCGCTGCTCGGAAACGCACTGGAGGACTGCGAGGACCGTGCCTGGTCCCCGTCGGAAGTGAAGGCGTCGTCCGGGGTTTCGGCCGGGTGAATCACGCTCAACCGGGTCCGCTGGTTCGGGTTCGGCAGCTGCGGCTTGTGGTCGGACAAATCCTCTTCGACCGCGAATTTGCGCAACTTCTTCATCCAGGCGCGCCGCAGGATGGCGGACTCTGCGGCAAACAAGAAGCTCCCGGCCAATGGGTGCACCAGGCAGAAAGCGGCGCGCTCGTCGAGGAGCCCCGCGGCGGCGACCACGTGCTTCTCGGGGATTTCAATTTTGTACTGACTCACGTCAATCGCAACATCCGCCGGGATGCCGCTGCTCCGGGGGCTGCACCCGTCGAGCAGGCTGAGCTCCAGATACAAATGCAGGGCCCCACTCGGATCCAGCACCCCGCGATACTCTTTCGGGGCGCCGTGCGCGCTACTGGTGGTGGCAGCTTGGTCGTTACTGGAGGAACTCGCGGCGCCGGAGGGCGGGGCACTACTGCCGTCGGCGGCGGGGGGTGCCACCATCGTCAGTAGACCGACATAATTCCCGTCCCGCTGCTTCGAGGCCATCTTGAGCAGTTTCGAGCTCTTACGCTCCGGGGTCGCCTCGGCGACCACCCGCGCGGGAAGGTCGCGCGCGTCGAAAGACCGGAGCCACTCCTCCGCTGGAGAAGGGACGCGGCAATCGAAAAGGTGCAGGTACCCGTCCTCCGGGTGATAGCACAAAGACTCCCGGACGAGCTCCAACCGCAACTGCGTCGCACTCAGCTCTCGGTCGTCGAACCCGAAGTCCGCGGCCGGGAGATAAAAAGACTCTTCATCGCCGCTTCCCTTGCGCAGCGGCACGGCGGTATCGCTCGCTTCGGGGGGATCTGCAGTGTAGTATTCGGAGCTGCACAGCTTCAACTTTTTACCCCTTTGTTTAAAAATGTTTTGTTCCGTATGTACTGGTGACCGGTGCTCAAGCACGACATTTAGTACAACCTTTTTACACTGTGATACTCTTCCTTCTCTCCTCTTCTTGATCATCAGTAAACAGCACAGTGGACGAACAATGTTTACAAATGTGTACCAACGCCGGGCTTCTGCGAATGCGAATGCGGATCCAGCAACCGTAAATTGCCATCTCGGTAAACGAGGCGCGCGGAGGAGGCGGCCGCGGGGTCGTGGTTCGGTTCGTCTTCTTCGCAGTGTAGGTCGTGTATGGTGAGCAAAAGCGTCCCCATCCCGGAGTCAAGATGGCGAATGTGCTACACAAATCAACCAGCTTTGCCCGTTGCGCATGACAAATTTGGACTCGCAATGTAGTGGTGTTTAGCTAGTGAAGCAGCATCACAGATCTAGCATAGCATGCGGATGCGCGCATCACAAATCGCAAAACACCAGTAGAAACTGCTTTTCATGGGTCTCCGCATGAGAAACATTTTCAGCATGCAGATTTGCATTACAACTCTGGGGTGGGGACGTTTTTACAAATGATATCGTGAAACAGGAGTTCATGCAGCCCGCCCGCGGCAGTCAGACGATCCTCCGGCTCCCATCGCAGCAGCCTTATGGACGCGTCAGGATCGAAATCAACAAAATCGAAATAATTTGTGACGCATAACATCGATACCAGTTGGGGCCTCAGTTTCCAATGACAAATTTCGGGAGCACCAAAATCCAGCCTGTCATACTGTTTGGGCAAATAAGACTGCACCTCTGGCAGCGCATCGACTTCCCCTATATAGGCTTACAATCGGTCTCATTTGCCTGCTCCCCAACACGGGCGATGCGTGCCCTATATTTTATGCATTGCAAATTTTTCGACTTTGTCGATTTCGATTCTGACACTCCCATAAGCCTGTTCAGCAGAGTAACTGCATCACGCGCCATCTCGTCGCTTTCCTTGTGAACGTACTCCCATTCAAAGACAGATTCTGGCTTCTGCGGTCCCACTTTCAACTCTCGACTGCAACGAGCTAGAAACTCGCAACACTTTTCGCTCGGGATGTCAGCCGTCCAATTCTGCGGAGGCGCGCCCAAAAGTTTCACGATACTGCGAAGCACATCCTGTTTTAGTTTTATCATATGCAAAATTTTTTGTACTGAGTTGTTGCATTTTCGCAATCCCATGCTCGGTGACTGAAATCGATCTTTTTTGGCGGTTTCGTCTCGAACGCGGAAACAAACTGCTTTCTTTTTTTCCTCTCCAGCGAAAAGATGAAAGCGCAAAAAATATACTTTTCCTATTCACAATACCGTGGTGCTATTTCCGAAGAAGCACACGGTGCCATCTGCGATGAGCTCCGCCCAGATGCAGCCTAAGCTCCACATGTCCAACGAGGGCGAACAGCGGGCCTTTCCGCACAAAGCTTCCGGCGGTCGGTAGTACCGAGAACACACGTACTGAGTCATATTCGGCTGCTTCGCAGTAGATGTTGCAACAACGTCGGCCTGCGTAGTTCTGCTCGTTCCCAGAGAGGACGCAGCTTTCGACCCCGGCGGGCAAACGATCCTCGCCAACCCGAAATCACAGATCTGCAGATCCCACCCCGTGCTGACCAGCAGGTTTTTCGGTTTTAGGTCGCGATGCACCACCCCGGCCGAGTGGATCCACTTCAGCCCGCGGAGGCACTGGTACATCAGGAAGAGGTGGTGGTTCTGGTCCATTTGCAAGTCCCGGCGGCGGAGCAGGTTGCCCAGGTCCGTGTCCACCCGGTCCGTGACTAAATACACGTGCGCAAAGTCGGCGCCGGACCGCGCGAAGTAGACCGCGTCCGGGTGCAGCACGTTCTCGTGCCCGCGGAGGTACCGGAGCAGGCGCAGCTCGCGCAGCGTCCGCCGCGCTGTCTGCAGGTGCTCGAACACGTTCTCGATCTTCTTCACAGCCTTGCGGTGGTGCTTGCCCTTGGAATCCGTCCACGAGGTGGCGTACACCACGCCGTAGGCGCCCGCGCCGAGGATGGGCACGTCGTTGGCGAGGACGTGCGCGGCCGGCAGCTCCACGTCGGTACTCCCCGGGACGCTGCGGGCGGTGACGGCCGCGTTGCGGAGGGAAAACTCCGCCAGCCAGGCCTCCTCCGGATTCACCGGGGCGGCTTCCGGCTGCTCGCTGTTCCTGCTGCTGGCGGCGTACCCGCGCGCTGCCGCGGAGAAGCCGGCCAGCGACTGCGAGGAGTTGGCGCTGCCGCCCGTCGCCGCAACCGATTCGGGACTCGTTCGCTCCGTCACCTGCGACGACGAGTCCACATCCAGCAGGTTGTTCTGCCGCAATTGCTGGCTGTTGCTCGCAAAGCTCCCGCGCTTGTTGCGGCTCACGCGCTTGGGGGGCGGCAGTTCCCCATTGGTGTCCGGAAAGTTCTCCTGAATTGCTGTTTTGTGTTTTACGAATTAGACCACCACTTTGTGGCTGCTACCTGTAGATTGAATTTTGGACACCTTCAGTGAAAGCAGCTCTTTTCTTGTTTTCCAGTTAAGAAGTGTATCACTTCTACACGGCAAAATCAAATTAATGTCTACCTGCGATTGGTGGCTGCAGTTGCTTTTCGAGGAGCGACCGGAAAGCTCTGGATCCCAGTTGCTCGTGCACCCCCTGTGCGTACCGCGTCCATTCAGGTAGTGTGAACGAAGCGGCTTCTCCGTACGCATTGCGACGGAGCTGCAGGCCATTCCCGTCCGCCACCACAGCGAGAAGTCGAAAAACTTCCGCCGCCAGTGCCTGGCTCTCTGCGTCGTCTTCCCAGCGCACCATCGCCACGGAGAATTCCTTGTGGAAGTGAAAAGCAGACGAGAGCAGCTAGTACCAAATATAGCCGCCGGGGCGGGGGTAGTGAGGTCGTGGGCGTTTTTTTGCCGACCGCAGCTTTGGCCGCGGCTTTGCTTTTTATGGGCTCGCCATACCAGCGCGAGTAACGTTATGCCGCACGGTATGGCGGCCACTTGGGAAACGGTGCAAATTTTGGCAAATTCCCGAAATTCCTTTCCGAAAGCCAGCCCCCATGCTACGGGGCCGATCCGGGTGCCACGGGGGGCGCCCAAAAACCGAAGAAAAATCGAGCCCCTAGCATGCGGATTGGCTTTGCGCGTGCGGGCCGCTTTTTCTTTTTCGCGTTTTTATTTTTCACGCCGGAGCTTTTTGCAAAGCTTCCCAGGCTCTGAAACCGGCGAAAAGGCGGCCGCTTTCGCGGCCGCCCAAAATGCTCCGAAATCGCGGCCGTGCCATGCTGTTTCGCTGTTCTGATTTTGGGCGCGTTTTTTGGGCGCCCCTTTTTGGGCGCCCCAAATCGCCAGAAACCAAGGGGGTGGGCGCCTCAGAAGGGCGCCCCTTTTGCCGGCTCCCCTGCGTCGTTTTATCAAGTGCGAATCGATAGTTTTCGACCGGGCTTGTTTGACGGCAAAGCCCCGGCCGCTTGATAATTGAAAATTTTTTCTGTCAAAAAACACTTCCACCCGCTTCAAAACTGCCGGCCGTTTTTCACGATAGGTGGCAAAAAAACTCCCCGGTTAGAACCGTTCGGTGACCTCACTACATACTACATCGTCGAGCAGCACGCCTGCAACTACAGACACGAGCCCAACACCAACAAAACGAGAAGACAGCGAACGCTCTATTACACCAACACAAACACTAGCTCCCACAAAAGGTAGTAATTAATTTCGACGCTCGGTGTCGATCGTTGCAGTGCTGTTGTGTTTTGTCAAAAAGAAGAATGAAAATTAGACGCCACTCAACGCGATAGGAGATCCCCAGGCCAGACGTGAAAATCTCTCGACAACGCCCACTCGTGGGATTGAAAGGAATTGCTCATTCTTGCTCCGCATCAGGCTCAAAAGAACGCAGAGTAGACAAACACAAGAAAATCCAGAAGGGCAACTGAAACTGATCTGACGAATAAATTTCAATCTGGTTGTGGTTTTATTAATTCGACCTATCGATAGAAGTCGTCGAGGTCCGACGTTACTCACAACGTACAGTCTTTATTGAGGTTCGAGTCACCTTTTTTTATCGCCGCGGTGCACCACAACCACTCGTGCTTTCGGTGGTCTTTTAGAGTAAACGAAGTTCAGCAAAAATAGCTTTTATTGGATGTGGCAGTATTTTACCAACAGCTTTGGAATTATAGCAAAGAGGCCGAGACAAGTCTCGCGTTTGACTCTCTGCTTAATCACAGAAAGCACGATGGAAAACCACCGCAGAAATCAGAAAATAAATGGTGACGATCGACAGCAAAATATCGCGTCTATACAAGGGCATTCGCATAAGGAGTGGGGTTCCCCTCACAAAACCTTTTAGAGAAGATTCATAAGTAGAACAGCGGCGATACATAGAAATATGCCATTCTCTTAGTGTAAAGTGTAAAGATGAGTTCGAAGCTACCTTTCGCCAGTGGCGCTTGGCTTTTGTTGGTACAACGATGCAGAAAATTATTCCAAAGAGTTTTGAAATACTAGCAATTATCGCAGAACCTTCCGCGAACTTCTTTTATTTTCTTTTATTCTTTTATTCTTAGTTTATCGGAAAAACTGCTCTTTCTTCAAGGCGTATACATTGACTTTAGATATCTTTCCTATCCCAAAATATTGCTTCGACTGCAAAACACCTGCAGACACTTCCAGCAAAAAACTTCTTTACTTTCGACGAGTCAGGCCACAAAAGATGATTCGCGTCCTCTCCTCCGCGGCGTCAATGGCTTTTTGAATGAAGGTCTCCAGCCGGTCCGGAAGCCCCGGCACTCGAGCCGCCGCAGCCTGGAGGCCATCGAATACCACGCTGCCTGTTTGATATTGGCGATTAGCTTGTTGCTATAAATAGGACTCGCTCTACTTTTTGTTGAGCATTTTGCTTTTCTCTGAAAGCATTGGCGTTGCATGAAGAGTAATTATGCAGACAACCACGATCGAGCTAAAAATCTCATACCTGCACTGATCGCGACGGCGAGCCGTTGTTCCTCCAGGTCTACGCAGTTGTTCGCGAAGTCGAGAAGGACGCTGTAGATCCAGGCCTGCAACTGCGAATCTTGCATGGCCGCGCCAAATTGCAGCAGGAGCAGTTTGTTCATTTTCTTGATGCACTTGATCGCGAGGTGGTCCCCAATGTCCTGCTCTTTGATCGTGAAGGACAGCAGCATCTGGTAGGCCAGGACCGGCGAGAAGTGAAAGACCGTCTGCAACAACTGCACGGTGCACAGGTTCACCTGCTCTAGCAACTGCGTCTCACGCTTCCATGCGGTCGACTTCGTCAGGGTCACCAACAAACAGTGCAGCAGCGACCGCAGCACCTCTTGAGGAGCCCGGATCTGGCCCGCAGCGGAGCTTGCACCTCCAACCGGCAGGGTCAGCTGTTCCACGAACCCCTTGGTGAGGGCGATCAAGTGTCCCGCGCACGGGGACGGAGGTTGGGGCGACGGAAAGTTCTTCTGCAGCAGCGCGACGAGCCGTCTCGCGAGGACGGCCTGATCCGTGCTGCCGACACTCGACGCGCCTCGTTTCTGCAGGGGGGCGCTCGTCGCGGAACTCGAGGGCACCAAAAGCTCGCTCCTTGTTGCTGTACCCTGCTTCGTCGTTGCACCCAGCTCCAGCAATTGCTCGTGCAGGCGCTGGGAACACTTGAAAAACTGCTCCACGTCCCGGTTCTGGGAATGGATATCGAGCTCTTCCAGCTCCCGCTCCAAAACGGATGACTCACACGCGCCACGCTTCTTCTCGCCCACGCGCTCGTGCAGTTTTATCGCGACCTGCATCAAAATCAATTTACAATTTTCTCGTCGTAGAACAAAGGTCATAACATACATTGGCACGGCTGTTGCAAGAACATTTTGCTGCTTACATCTTCATTTTAGAACTGAAAAACTTTTTATCGACCTTCATCACCATCTACAATTCTTATTCTACCTGTGGCGCAATCGGCATTAGAAATTCCAGTATTTGTGTGGTCAGTATCTGAACCTCCTCGGTAAAATCAAAGCTGCTGAGCAAGTGCTCGGCGACCCCCTGGAGCAGCCCGGGGCTGACCGTGCACGGCTTGCGGTCCAAATAACTCCGCATCAGCGCACGGACGATCGTGAACGACTGACACGACAATACCGCTTTGAGCTGTTAAGATTTTTGTTTTCCAAAGTGCTGATGCGCCAAGACCATGACAGGAGTCAGTGAGCATACATACGCATTCCTTTTCTTCGAGCATTTCAGTAAAAGTGATTTTTCGATATCGATTGAACAAAAACCTTTTACCATGCCTGTGACGTCTTCACGACTAGCCTCCTGCATCTTGATTCCGTTATTCTGAATCGCGTCCAAGCAAGAAGTATCTTGCTGCGAAATCATTTCCGCAATCGTCGAATAGATTTTGCTTGGTCTCTCGTATTGGGGCGGGTAGGTCGTCTTCAGCCCCCGCAGCGACGGGCTCCCGAGAGAGGGTCCTCGCACCTTCTGAATGAAGCTAGGCCGTCCGCCGCTCGACGCCGGACTATGTCGAGCCTTCGGCGAGGCCAGCTGTGCCGGCCGCGGCGGTCGTTCCGGAACGCCCACCGGGTGTTGGTTGTAGTGTCTTCGTTGGTCCGCACGCTCCGAAAGGCGTGATGCGTTGTTGTTGGCGTTGTTTTCAGACAGCATGCTGCTGTTGTGTCGCTCGCGCGCTCCGACATTCTCTTTGTTTGCTTGATCCATTAATCCAGGGGCGGCAGCTTGCTCGACGCTCGTGTTCACCGACGCCGATGCGTGCTGGGCCACGGGCCCCCGCGGGGGCGGGCCGTAGGTGGAGTGATTGCGGGCTAAATCGTGCCGGGCAATCCATTGGTCCACCTGCTGCAACGCAAGACTGCCCGGCTTCACGTTCTTGCGAATGCAGTGGTAAAAGGTTTCGTAATCGAGACCGAGCATGAGCGTATGCAGGATGCCGAGGCCGAGCTTCTTCACCTCGGCGTTGCCCGAATTCTCCACCACCAGATTGGTCAAAATCACCACGTCCCGCTGGCTCTTCGCGAGAAGGAAGCAGAGGCGCGAGTCAACTTTCGTGCTGCTCGATGGTGGAACAAACGCAGTGGACCGGCTGGCTGCGGCTTCCTGCATCGGCGCCGGAGAAATCACCAGCAGGCTCTCCAGCTGCTCCAACAGATCACAAACCGACTTCTTGTTTTTACTCGCGCACCCCCGCACCAGAGTCAACAAGACACTCTTCGGCAACTCGCTCCGCGGGTACAGTTGCACAAAGCCACGCAACACGGTGCACAGAGCGTCTCGCACCTAATGCATCAGTGGTGAGAGAAGTGAAGTCATTTTGTTCATTTTGCAGCCACAACTACTACGCAAGCGTGCACGAAGAAAACAAGCTGCAAAACTCGTCTATACCACGTGCACAGGGTGATTAGACTTGGTGGAAGCGTCAACTGCGTTAATATTCAAAAAATCTATATCAATAGCTAGTGCGAAGACATATAAAAGACAAGTATCCGCTATTACAATGACTAATTACAATGACTAATTACAATGACTAATTACAATGACTAATTA